CGCGTTGAGCTCCGTGTTGTCCAGGACGCCCATCTGCGCCAGGCGCCTGCGCTCCATCACGCGCCGCACCAGCAGCGCAAACGTCTCCTCAATATTCACCTCGAGCCGCGCGCTCGTCTCCATGAAGCCGCAGCCGCGCCTGCGCGCCCAGTCCAGCCCGACCGCCGCCGACACCTGCCTGCTCTGCTGCAAGTCGCACTTGTTTCCCGCCACGATCTTGACCGGCGGCACCATCCGCGGGCCCGCCCCCGCGCCGCGCCGCTTCGCATCCGCCGCGCCGGCGCCGCCGAGACCGGCTTTGCGCGCGCGCTCCGCGTTGTCCAGCCGCGTCTCGGCCTCCATGTCGATGAGGTCGTTGAAGTACTGCAGGGCGTCGAGGGAGTCGCGCGAGGTGATGTCGTAGACGAGCAGGAAGGCGTCGGCGCCGAGGTTGGAGCTGGCCCACATGCCGCGGTACTCCTCCTGGCCGGCGGTGTCGGTGAGGGCGAGCGTGTAGGCGGCGCCGTCGACGCGGCGCGAGACCGAGTAGCTGTCCTCGATGGTCGGGTCGTAGTCCGAGGTCCACTGGGAGCGCACGAGGCGCAGCGTGATGGAGGACTTGCCGCAGCCGCCGTCGCCGCAGATGGTGATGGAGATGGGTGTCGGGGGCGTTGGTGTAGGCGTCGCATGGTATTGCTGCGACGGAGGGGGCGGCGGAGGCCCGGGCTGGTAGTAAGAGGAGGCCATTTGCTTGGACCGGTTGTGATGATTTTTGTTGTGCGAAACTTTGAGTTTTTGTTTATTTGTCAAAGAGAAAAGGACCTGGGCCTGCCGGCGCCGGGATGACAACGTGGAAATACTAGGAAAGTTGTCGTGATCAACTGCCGTGTTTCAATTAATTAATAGCGTACGGAGCACTCCCGATGGGCGGCCACGCGAGTGCTTGCGCGCGGACGCTTCTGACCCAAACGAGATTGGAAAAATCCCTGCGAAAAGGACGTCGCGGACGAACGATGCAAGAGATGAGGTGCTTGAGCGCCGATACAAGCCAGCTGGTGATCAAAGAAGCCCCTCAGGCGAGGCAGACACGTTGTATTTCTCCGTCGCTTGCCGTCTCCGTTGGGTCGAAAGAGGAGGGAGGAAGAGGCCCCGGCGTCGATTGTCGCGTCCAGGGGGTGTGTTCGGTGGTGGGGTTTGCTGGGAAGCGGCACGTTTTGTTATCTGGATGGTATGCTTGGTCTGGGTAGATTGCATAGAGCAACGTGGCGGATGAGACAAGTGCCTGAGAAGAGGAGGAGCACAGCCTTTGTGATGAATGATCAAAGGGTAAAGGAGAAGAAAAAAGATGAGGCGTGTGTATTGGGAGGTACATACATACATACATACAGTAGGTAGGTAGTAGGCCGCTGTAGTACATGGATGAATAGGTAGACCGCGGGGACGACGCCTTCTTGTTCCCCTTTTTACCCACGGATAGTCGGCCGGCCACAGCCTCGGATGAAAAGGCAAAAACAAAGAGCCTATTTTTTTATACGAATTAATATAAACAATCAATAAGCCATGTGCCACAATGAGACAGAATGGCGCTGGGGCTGGCAAACACCTGCCGACCGACGCAGGGCGCGTCGTCATAGTTAGGAGGTAAGTTAGTCAGAGGGGGAGGGGAGTAATGAGACACTGGGGGACCGCCAGCATGGTTCCGAGGTGGCCCTTGCTTGCTACAGGCAGTTCGCAGCAAATCTACATACATCTCGCTAATTTTTGCCCGTATTGCATGCATTCAGTGATCGCAGGGATATCACCAACAAAGCTGGTCATTTTGACTCGGGTTGCGGCTGTGGCGCGGCCAGGTTCCGACACCGCTGGTCCTATCACTATCAGTAGTTCAGAGTTATATAATAATCACACAACACGAACTTGGCCGGCTTTTTTTTTCTCTCTTCCCATATCCCGACCACGGCACTTGTCAATTCACCCCTCGGTCTCTTTCCTCTTCCCATCTTGGACTTCCCTACATGAACGACCCCTGCCTCTCTCGTCTCAACTTGCCCAAGCTCAGACTGTGGCGGACGCCCGTGCTCTGCATAATCGCAAAACGACGTACAGAGCGTAGACATACGTACGCAGCGGCGCAGAAGAGCCAGACGTTCATGCCAGGGCTGATCAATAAATTGTCTTTGGCCTGCAGCCTGAATGATTCTCTGTTGTCGCGCCCGATAGGTCGCGGGCCTGAAAGCAAAAAGAAAATGCACCACCTGAAAACAGGGTCGCCCCTCCTTGGAGCTACTATAATAAACAACAGCCGAGTTGCAGGGAGGGCATATACACATATTGTCCGTAAACTTGCTTGCTTTTTTGTAATACGTCTGTTTCAACTACTGATATCCCTTTTGTTCTCATTTAGAATTGCATTTTAAAACATTTCTTTTTGTTGGTTCATGTTTGTTTGCTCAACAATGATGCCAGCGGGCACGGCACCTACCCCCATAGCATTGTAAGTTTTATTAGTGGTTGGGCTTTGTCCTTGCCAGCAACTTCAGGCTGCCAAGGTCGGCAATAATCCCGAATTTCATGCAATCTTATGCGCCTTCTCATTCGTACTTGCGCATAACCTGTCGGCCCATACACAGCCTGAATCGAACAATCTACCTGAAATGAACAAGGAAAATTCGCCCACCACTTCCCCGCCTTACCTTTCTACCCCTGCGCCGGGTACGTTCATCCTTCATCCCCATACAAGCCGAGCGACGTTTAAAACTACGCCACACCTACATCGTGCGTTTACTCGCATGTCAGAAATACCCATGTATTGGTTCCATCCATACACAATGAGAAGAGTTTTCTAAATACAGCCACGGCAAAAGTTGTCCTCGGCTTGAAGGGGCATCTGCCCTGGTGCTGCCACCCAGGTATCAAGTCTCACTACACGACGCAGTGACTGACTGGTCCTGCGAAAAAGCAACGGAAAAGTGAGATATGCTTGCCAACTCCCGAAACGCCCGAAAAAAATGACTGGTCAAATATTGAATCACCAAAATGCGTCCAAAATGCGTAAAAAAGAAACCAAATCCCGCGACTCTATCCTCTTGACCTCTAGGTAGAGAGAAAGCCAACGCCCGCAGCAGCCCATGCCCGTCTATGCCTTTTGCTGCTCGGCCGCCCAGTCCTTCCACTTCCTGTACTCGGCGTAGTTGAGCGAGCGCTTCTTGCCCTGGTACCGCGTGAGCCTGAGCGCCAGCTCCGGCCAGCGCGCGCGGCTGCCCGTCCACCCGGCCTTGCGCGCCAGGCTGAACAGCGTCTCCTCCTTGGTCCACCCCTGCTCGGCCGCGATGTCCGGCAGGTACGTCGCGCCGTAGCGGCGGCCCGCGGCGTCACGGAACGACAGCCGGATGCCGTGCCGCCCGACCTCCCAGTCGAGCGCGTCGGCCGCCTCCTCGAAGTCGGTCAGCAGCGTGACGGCGACCTGCAAGGTTGACAGCTCCGAGGCGGTGACGGGCGGGAAGCGCGTGTCCTGCAGCGCGGAGATGAGCGCGTACTCGGGAAGGCCCTCGGCGAGCGGCTGGCTCTCAAAGGTGCCGATGCAGCCGCGGAGAGAGACCCCGTCGTCGTCAAAGTCAGAGTCAGGGTCAGAGTCGGGGTCGGGGTCGTCCGGGGAGGCGTTGTCGAGGGTGTTCCAGGTGACGAAGAGGGGCGCCGAGGTGATGTTTGCGGGCGTCAGCGAGGAGGAGGCGGTCGTGGCGGGCGTGGATGCCACGAGGGACGTGGAGGATGACGATGAGGAGGAGGAATCGCCGTCGGCGGCGGTTACGCGCTGCAGGGCGGGGTCTTTGGGGGAAAAGGCGGCGGGCGGCGCGGTCGAGCTGTTGTAGACGGCCCAGGAGGCGCGCAGCTCGTCGAGAGACATGGCTCCGGTCTTGTTGAGCGCGGCGTCGAGGGCCTCGAAGCAGAGGAGGCAGTGTTCGACCGTGGCCATGATTGTTGCCCAAACGTGAGGGGTAGCACGCACAGAACGGGAGCGACGGCAGGGGAAAATGTATTGTGTAATATTTTTTTCTTTTCAAAATTCTTAGGAGTAGGAAAAAGAGGCCCTCGACCCCTGATCTTTCTCAAGGTCTTTGAGCTTCTTTTTCCCAAATGCGTCCTGTACAAAAGTGTACGAGGTGCAAACGATGCATATGCATTGCGGGGGAGAGAAAGAGGAAAGAGGGGAACGAACAACATGTCACTGCGACCCCACCTCGATCATGGACCCCGCGATGCAAGCAGCCAAGCAAACTCAACCTCGTCCATCATAGCTGGCTTGAGCTATAAACGTGGACACTAGCAGTGAACTCGTGGGTTCTTTTTTGAGGTTATTCCTCTTGGATAATGATTAGGGCTGCTTTTTCTTGCGAGAGTTGCCCCCACCCATCCGCCCAGTCGACCATTGCTCGTGTTGCTTGACGCCGTTTGCGCTTGTCACTGCATAAACCTGACTTTGCACAATTCGCCATCTTCTCCCGGGTGAGGTCCGTAGAAAGAACATGGTCCGTGTTCAAAAATAGAATGATGCTAAAATTTATTAGTCATTCTCGTACTCCCTTTCTCTACTACCACAATCAACTCCAGACTATACGATGCCGATCAAGCCGGCGATGATACCCAGCACAAAACCTCAACCACCCTGGGCCGCATCATCACCTCGCCACTTCTCTCTAACTAGCGCACCAGCAGCAATGCCTCCAAGCACCAGCAACATTTCAAATATCGCCTCCCTCTTCTTTCGTCTGTTCATCTGCGCCTCTCTCGTCTCAGCAACACTGCCCGTCGCGGGACCCGGGATAAACCAGCTCTGAAGCACGCCCGCGTTTCACCCCCGAGGGGCTGATTCAAGCAGTCCCCGCTGCACCACGGCAGCAAAGGGCCTCGAACGCCATACCTCGCCACAACAAACATCTCATCGCCAACTCGTTACACAAATCATGCCCTCCGAATGGGGGATGACAGATGCCAATCGGACGGGCCTTTGCAATCTTTCGTCAGCCCTCTCCAGCTTGATACTCTGTGGCTGGTTTGAAACTTGGCGGGCATATCGAACCCGGTTTGAGAGCCATGGCCTTTTTTTTATCTCGTCCACACTTTTTTTTTGTCCCTTTCGTCCCTTCCTTTCGGGTGTCATCTCGAGTACGGGCATGGTCCGGTCTCGTTTTGACTTGGCCTGGTCTTTAGAGTTGTCATCAGACAGCCTTGGCCACCAACCGACGGGTCGTCCAACTTCCGAGCCGCAGATCCCGTCTGTGATTGAAGGCAGTCAATAATTGCAATTCGTCACTCCTGTATCGTGGCGCAAGGTGCACCGACGTAGAATATAATAACTCATTGTCCTGTAAGTCGTAGTCGTTCTATTCCTTCTCGACCCTCTCTCTCATCCTTCAGCTCCCCAATCGTCCTTCATTTAATTTATTCTTTCTCTTCGATATCAATCCTTCTTTTTCAACCCTACTTTAATTCTTCTCAATCTTTCAAGATGCAATTCACTGCCGTGACCTTCCTTGCTCTCATTGCCGCCGTTGTCGCCGGCCCCGTTGGTAAGTATTCGGTCCATTGTAACAGACTCTTGCTAACTGATAACTTCTCGTGACAGCTCCCCGCCAGGCCGACGAGGGCAACCAAGTCACCGTCGAAACCCCCGCCATGACCGATGCCAACGGCAACATTGTTCCCTTTGACGCCGCCACCGTCTCCCAGCCCAACCTCGACGCCGGCTTGTAAACGGCTGATATAAGAGGTGGAAGACGATGGGAGCAGCAGAGAGTCTCGTGTTGTTGAGCAACGGAGACTCGGATACCCTCTTCATGGAAATGAGTGGAGAGACGGGATCGTATTAGCGACCTTATAGGATAATAAAATCTGCTGTGTTGTCTTCCTCCAATAACCTCATTTCATTCTCTCCGCTGTAGAGCCAAAGATGCCGTTAATACACAATCTCTTCCCGTTGAGTTTATGTCACTAGAATACGAGGGCATCCTAATACTAGACCCTGTTTTGGACTTGTGGAGGGAGTGACAGTAGAAGCCATTTTGGCCTACAGGGTACTAGACAATAGCCGGCGACAATACTCTTGACGCAGATTACAACCTCGGTGTTTTTTTTTTTAGATACCACCCTTAATTCTTCACGTTTTGCTTGACTAGCGGCCGGTATGCAGCATCCCACATTTGCGCCCTTATCCATTCTCTGAGTTCACCATCGTCGCGGGGGATGTCCTTCTCCTGCGCGAGGTTTTCCTCCACGGCACATTGAATCACCTTGGCAGCAACCTCGACACTCACTTCGCGCACGTCCTGCACATCAGGCAAAAGAGCGCGCGCAGGGTTCCCCAGGGCAGGCGACTTCAGCTTGAGCGCTTCGACGGCTGCGACCAGCATCTTCCGGGACACGAGCCGGCTACGAGACAAAACGGCGCCGAGGCCGATGCCAGGAAAGCAAGTAGAGTTGTTGCACTCGGCTAATAACACGGGGAAGAGGTTAGTTCTCTGGAGTCTAGGACCTCGGACGAGTTTACTTGCCAATCGCAAACTCATGGCCCCCGTACTCGACTGGAGGGAACGGGCTACCGGTCGCGACGAGAGCCTTGCCGTCGGTCCAAGTGAAGAGGTCTTTTGGTCGCGCTTCGTGTAGACGAGTTGGGTTGCTCAAAGGAAAGACAATGGGCCTCTGGACGTGCTTGGCCATTTCGCGAATGACCGTCTCGTCGAAGGCGTTTGGCACGGTCGATGTTCCAACTAGGACATGCGGCTTGACGCGCTGGATGACAGAGAGCAGGCCATGTTGTTTGTCGGTTGACCACTCGTCCGTGTCCCTTGCAATTTCCGCTTGGGAAGCAGTCAACTTGTCGCCGTGCGACTTGAGGAGAAGGCCGAGTTTGTCGATGCACCTGCGTCGAGCGTCTTGTCAGAATACACATCCCCAAACTTGTCCCGTGAAACCGCGCACCCAAAGAACCGGAGAATATGGGACATTTTCTACTTTTTTCTGAGAGGAAACTGTCGATTGTGGGGGACTCACCATATTTGCTTGCGCGCATCCTCTCTGGATTTGTCTGCTTGCCTGGCAATGGTGTCGGCGAGTTGGTCTGCAATCCCCATCCCAGCGGTGCCTGAACCAAATATGACGGCCCGGACGTCCGTGACCTTGACGTCGCTGACATGTAGTGCAGCAAGAATAGCAGCAACGGTGACACAGCCGGTACCTTGAATGTCGTCGTTGAAGCATGGTATCTGAGACTGATATCTGTCGAGGATTCGCTTTGCATTTTGGATGCCAAAGTCCTCACTTGCAAAGTCAATAAAGATGAAAGAAGAGCCGCGTATCCAAGTAGCCTGTAAGGTAATTTACTTACAAATGAATATAGGCATTTGGGTATTGCTTGCGAGCAGCTTCAATGAATTTGGACACGAAATTGTCGTATTCTTTGCCCCGTACACGGCGCTCTTGCAACCCGAGATACAGTTCGTCTTTGAGTAGGTGCTCATTCTTCAGGACTTGATTAGTCGCTGCACTTGATAGCTGATCGGGGCTCGCTGAAATCGTACATTGGTGCCGCAGTCCAGGACGACGGGAAGCTGACGTGATGGGTGAATGCCAGCGCACAAGGTCGCAATGGTCAGTTTCGCGGCGGAGATGAGGATGGCACCGACGCCCTGATCTCCGATGCCTAAGATCTGCTAGAAGCTAAAGTCACTCTGTTATACTCGCTTGCAATTTGGGTTGCCCTACTTCTTCGCCGTCGCTGACTACAATATAATCGATATCCTCGGCGTTGCCGTAAGCAGCCAAGCACTCGTCAATTGCATCCTGATCGCGAATGTTGAGAAAGCAACCCTCCGGCTTTCTGAACAGACGAGAGTAGTTTTGAATGGCATCTGCTTCGGTGGGAGTGTATATGATACTAAACATTTCCTTTAAGTGCGTTTGGAGAAGCTGTGTAAGATTTCAAGGTGAGCTAAAGCATTGCAGCGACGAGCACGAGGCGAGGCTCAGCAGACCTTGTAGTACAGGACCTCGTTCTGCACCTTCATGCTGGCCATGAATGTGTTTTTGGAGAGGTCGTCACCGCAGCTGGAATATTGCTGGTAGGCACGATCAGCCTGCTCCTCGAGCGTCTGGATCTTGGGCGGCAACAGTCCGTGCAGCGCAAACGCTTTGCGCTCATCGTCCGGGAAAGCAGAGCCTTTATTGTACCGGGCAAGGGAAAGCAGCAACGGACCGGTAACTGAGCATTGCAATGCGTCAGACGCCGCGCGAGGCAGATGGCTAAACCTGGACGATGGCTCCGCGGCAGACATATTGAGGGGCGAGATGAACGACGGGCGATGGCAGTGATGGTTCATGAACGATTGGAGCTAATAAGGTGCAGAGTGTGCATAGATGATACAAGCAACTCTGCAACGGTAGGAAATTGGGAGCAAGGAGAGATGGTTGCTGAGCTGCCTTGGGCCCATCATGCGAACGTCACCATTCCAGTTGCGGGTGGGCCAAGCAAGCTATAGTTAGACGTTACTATAGCGTAACGACAGACGATCTGCAGTGTGCTTTATCAGGTTTATCATGAGAATTAAATTTACAATAACCTATGACGGAAAGTATCTCCCATTAGCGGACATCACTTTGTATCCTTGCGGCCCTTGCTCATATCCTCTCCAGGTGTGGTGAAGCCTTTGTCGTCAGTAATGTTGGTCGCGGTAGTGACTCCTGCAGCCGAGTCGGGCTCCTGTCTCTTGCTTCCCGGAGCACTCATGTCATGCTGGGGATGGGTGAAGCCGCTCTGGTCGACGCGGTTGGTGGCCGTGGTGATGGGGCCGGTGTTATCTTTCTTCAGGCTCTCGCTCCCCGGCGCCGAGCTGTTCATGGAGGCTTGATCGACTCGTTCGCCTTTGTTCTCTGTTAAAAGCTCTGTCAGCGGCCGTAGGCAATGTGTTGCGGGGTGTATTGTGTTTATGTGAGGCATCTCCGGCCTAGAGGGAAGCGCGGGGCTTCAGTGCACATATTGTGTGGGGTGGGCATACCTTTGAATGATTCCATTTTCACGTACAAAGTCGCCTAAATTCGGGTGTTTGATGATGAAAGTTAAAGGCCTGCACTGGAAAGGATAGCGTACTTGTAAGCAGTTGATTGCTCATTTATCCATGAGCCTCGGTTGACAGAGTTGGTGAGGTGATCTGTAGCTCATCATGACATACACATGGTGTAGGCGGAGAGGAGTCCACCTCAAACGCGACGTCTTTAGGAATACAGTGATAAACTATTGAAAATAGTATGTTTTAAAAGAGATGGAAAGGAAATAAAGTAAAAATCACAATGGGTTTTTTTCGACCGTAACTTGCCGCAGACTTGGCTGCTTGCCTACGCATTCATCCGAGTCCGCCAGAGTTTGCGCAGAATTCGTAAGCTAGGCTTTCCATAAAATAGTTATTTTAGATTAAGTAGTTTCTCCTTAAAATCACATTCTTTACTATATTTTCTTGCCAACACCATGAACATCATTCTGCCCTTCCAAACGCCTCGTCAAAGCTGGTCAGGGTGCAACGGTAGCGGAACTTGTTGTCGCGCTGCATCTCCACAGCCTTGCCGCACGACTCTGCAGAAATCGGCATCTTCTCGACCCAAGGCCTGACCCCCTTTTCCGCCGCGAGCTTGAGAAGCGCCTCCATCTCCTGGCGGTTCCCGAGGTGACTGCCCGTCAGCTTCGGGGCGCCGCCGGCAAACAGCCCGGCCGACATCTGCGGGAGCGGCTTGTCGGGGATGCCGACCATGTGGAAGTCGCCGGTCGGCTTCACGATGGACAGGTAGGTGGACATGTCGAACTTGTCGGTGGCGTCGGCGCAGTTGAGGACGAAGTCGAACTTGGCCTTCCAAGGCTCGTTCCAGCCGTCCTCGGTGGTGAGGATGACGCCGCGCGCGCCGAGGGCCTCGCAGTCCCGGACCTTGGAGGGCGAGTGGGTGAGCGCGTACGTCTCGGCGCCGAGGGCGGCGGCCCACTGCAGGCCGAGGTGGCCGAGGCCGCCGACGCCGACGACGCCGACGCGCTTGCCGGGCCCAACGCCCGCGCGCACGAGCGGCGAGTACGTCGTGATGCCCGCGCAGAGCAGCGGTGCCGCCGCGTCCGTCTCCAGCTCGTCGGGGATCCGGAAGGTGAAGTAGGCGTGGGCGCGTATGTGCGAGGCGAGGCCGCCGTGGGCTTGGCTGCCGTCCTCGTACTGCGCGTTGTAGGTGTCGACCAGCCGCGGGCAGTAGTTCTCGTTGCGGTCCTTGCAGAGGTCGCACTCGAGACACGACCATACCTGGGCGCCGACGCCGACGCGGTCGCCGACCTCGATCCCGCTGACGTGCTTGCCGACCTTGACGGCCTTGCCCACGACCTCGTGCCCGACGCACAGCGGTCCGGCGTACTCGCCCCAGCCGCCGGTGATGGTGTGAAGGTCGGAGCTGCAGATGCTGCAGGCTTCGATCTGGACGTCAATGTCATCATCGCCGAATGGCTTGGGCTTCAATTCGACTTTGTGGAACTTGTTCCACGATTTCGGGCCGTCGACGCAGAACCCGGTGAATGTGTCAGGATATCCCATGTTGAGTAGCAAATTTTTTTGTTTTGTTTCCTCGAATCGATTGAAGCACACACAAAAGCTGTACTACCGATGCCCAACGCGGTTTAATATATACTCCTCCATTCTGTCCTGCATGTAAAATGGTAGCTTGTACTGCTCATGGTGACGTGGGCTGTCGTTGGTGCGGGTGCGGCTGCAAGAGGAGGAACACTTGCGTCATAGACAGCTCATTGCCGACTCTAGCTGTAAAGATGATGCTGGCTGCTGCCATCCTAGATCGACCGGTCTCGCTTTCTAATTGCTGCATAACTTTTAAAGTTAAATCAAAGCGGAGGGCCATTCAAATCACACCGTATACTAGTTTACCTCACCATCAAGCCCCCATCACCGGATTTAAACCACCGCCGACTTACTTTCTTCAGACTTGCTTTGATCTCTGCGCACGATGGCAACTCAATTCAATAACGGTATGCAAATACTCGGACAAAGCGATGCTATTCTACTTTTCTGATATTATCCTAGAGAAGGACATTCCCATCTCGAAACAAAGCTTCCCGGGCAAAGACCACGATATGCCGAATCCAGCGCCCACCCGCGACCAGCTACCAGATGCACGAGGCAACGCAACAACATACCATGCTGCGAACAAACTCAAGGGGAAGCGTGCCATCATCACCGGCGGTGACAGCGGAATCGGCGCCGCGACTGCAGTGCTCTTTGCCCGAGAAGGCGCCACGTCTTGCATCGCATACCTGCCCGAGGAGGAGAGAGACGCTCAAGACACGCGTGAGCAAGTCGAGAATTTCGGGGGCGTCTGTCATCTGATCGCCTTGGACCTCGTGAAGAAGGAGAGTTGCAAGAAAGTAGTCGACTTTGCCCTTGAGAAGATGGGCGGCATCGACATTCTCTTCAACAACGCCGCTTGTGAGTTGAACGTGTCCATTCGCATCAGGCGCCGCCGGCCCTGACTGACTTGATGACAAGACCAGATGGTGGTGGAGAGAATCTCCGACCTCTCCGAGGAGCAGTGGGAGCACACGTTCAACATCAACATGCATTCCTACTTTTACATGGCCAAATACAGCCTGGAACACATGGGCGCGGGGGCCACCATCGTCAACAACGCCTCCATCAACGCCTACATCGGCCGGCCGGACCTTCTCGACTACACGTCGTCAAAGGGCGCCATCGTCTCCTTCACACGAGGTCTGAGCAATCAGTGTCTCGAGCGAAGCATCCGAGTCAATGCAGTCGCGCCGGGACCCGGTACGTCAATCCGCACCTAACCAAGGTTGTAGTTCAATGGCTGACATGTCGAGCTTTAGTCTGGACTCCGTTGATCCCAGCTACGATGAATGACAAGGCGCAAAAGAATTTTACGAGTCCAATGGGACGACCGGCGCAACCCTCGGAGATTGCCACATGCGTCGTCTTTCTTGTCTCGATGGATAGCTCTTGTGTGAGTGGGCAGACGCTGCACTGCAATGGCGGGGTCGTTGTAAATGGCTGATTTCAAAGCCTGCATTTTTCTCCCTCTAATTGCGCCCCGGACTTGATGTTAGAGACACGGTTGCTGTTTTCCGACACCAGACATGGCAACGCTGCTTATGGCTTGTACGGCTGTCGGACAGACAGCGTCTTACTACGTTTGCCGGCGCCGGCATAGCTTCCCGTTTTGTTGCCTATTTTCTTTTTTAAAAAAAATCTCATGTATTTTTTTGTACATCTCTAGTCCCTTGAATACCGATCAAATAAGCGCGGGGTCAGACCGTATGGTTCAGTCGTCATCTACGGGCTCACAATCGTTCCTGCGAATCAACGCATCTGCCCCAGATGGTCGAAACTGGCGTCCTCTTGACTGCTTGCATTTTGTATCGTGGCAGGAATCATGACGAGTTCTTGGTCACGTTCTTCTTCTCCGACGCGGGCACATTCTCGTGCTTCGGCTGCGTCGGCATCTGCCGCTGGACTTCAGGCCGGGCAGCCTCGTGCGGAGGCTTCGACCTCTTCTCATAGCTAGCGACTGTTAGCTAGTACACGGTAAAACGGCCAACCTTGCTTGCCTGGGCTCATGGGCAGACTGAGAGGCCGCCACAGCCTTGAACTGTCCCTCCTCGCCTGATTTGGTGGTCTTGAAGCGACACTTCGCTGAGATGCGTGCCAGCGTCGGTGTGAGCAGTGCAGGGGAAGGACACGACGAAAGAGAGCCACGGACTGCCCTAGAAATATTGTGAATCATTGTGAAAGTGCTCAGTAGAAACTTTTTGATGATGAATTCATCCCTTGAATGAGATGGATTAGGAGTCTCATTTATGGCAGCTGCAATCCGCTACTGCTGATGCAGGAACCGTGACGTCAAGATGATTCTGGCATTACACACTTGCCCTTGCGATCGTTTTGTTTCGTCGCCCGTTGTATTTCTAAAAGCCGAAGAAGGTGGCACTAGGTTCTAACTAATAAGCTTAGAGGGCGGAACAGACAACCCCAACCAAGACAACTTTGACACAGCAAGGATGTATGTAGACACTTTCTGTGAGACAATGGCACCGGGCCAGTGACAGTGTCCCGGTGCCTACCTATGGGAATTAGCATATCTTATAACTTTTATTGGATATACCCTAGTAAAATATACCCCCAGGTTTCCTTATAGAGTAAGTTAAAGTTGTACTTTGATTCCCTCGCTCCTCGCTGCTCGCCAAAGCCAGTTGCTACCCGGTAGTTAAACCCTAAACACGTACATACAAGCCTCTCTGCAACGAGGGGACACTTTTTAATTTGTCACGCATAACTGCTGGAATTTCACCAATAGAGCCAACGTTTCTGTCATTTCCGCAGGGGTTTTCGCATGGTTCATGCACCATACCTGGGGTGGCCGATCTAAGTGCTGGACAAGGCGGATTGGCCCTGACTCGGAATACAGAGAACACTTGTGAAGCGATGGTTGAGGCTATCTCCTCTGCAAGTACTACTCTGCAGAGCTTCTTTTAGATGGTTGCATTAACTCCATACGCGCAAATGAATTCATGAACATATGTGCGAAGAAGTTAATTATGGTTGCCGCACACGGACCGACGAAGAATAATAAGCGACAGGCCAACAGTGACATGGTTCACTGTAACGTTCCCAAAATAGTACACACATCTGCATCCTCAACCGTAGTGGCCAAAACTTACTACTTGCATGTTGATCGATGCCCTATGCGTGCGATATTACTACTCTTATGACAACCCGCTCAGTCGCCTCCATGGCTAGCGAAGACGTCATGGCAGGCGACTGCTTCCTTCATCTTCACCACTGCAACGCTAAATTTAGGGACAAACGAGCCTAAATAGATTGCCAACGCACCTTACCGAGTACCGTAGTAACGCACCCCTGGCCAGGACAGAAGCAGCGGTCACGACTTGTTGTGGGCGCTTATTTCGGTATGGGAGGCCTTCCCTGTCCGTCAGTCAGCCTCGGCGGGTCGCTAAAGTTCCACCAACAAGTCGCTCATCAGCTGCTGAAACCATCTCTTTGCATAGAATTTTATACAGTGACTTGTCGATGGTGTAAGATATATATACGAGAAAATTATGAAAAGAAAATCCGGACGAGTAGAGGTCCGCTGCTTCTTGAAAAAAAGTTGATCAATGTAACCCCATCGTGACTGCTATCTACACGCATCCAGACCTTCAATATGCAAATCTGCCATGGCGTTCTTGTTAGCGTGCGTTGGCTTTCTCCATCCTTCACTCAGCCGCTCAGCCCCATCCTTGTCCGTCCTTCACTGCTCCTTTCGACCAGTCCACGACTCCACGGTCACCGCTGGCCCTCATCATGCGCGGGCTCGTCAGTTCCAGGCACCAGCCATCAGCAGCGCTCCGCCGGGCGTCCAGTTCCGTGTGGGCTTGTAAGGCTGTCTGGTGGCTCTGCAGGGAAATTGCTCCAGAATAATTGATTGGTTGATTGATTGATTGAACTGCACCCCCTCCTGATGGCGTTTTTCGGATGCCTTGTATGGGCCGCAGCTCGAGAGGGTTTACCGAGCCTGGTGGCTGGATGCTGATTCTTTCATGTTCATAAAAGGCGTCAGGCTGCTGGATCTGCATACCCTTTGCTGCAGATGGCCGCCCGACATATTTGAGACCCTTTCCAAACCATAAAGCTTGCTCGCTGCCCATTGCATGCATGTACGCATGCTATATGATATCTGCATAGCGAGAAAAGCTGGAAAGGGAAACCCAGAGGTACAGCGTACAGAGGGCGCGCGCGGGGGCCGTAGATGGCTCTTCACAAGGCTCAGGCGCAGTTTGCGCGAGCCCAATGGCGCATCAAGCTCCTCGCTCCGATATGGGCGTCCCAGCTGCTCCTGTCGACGACCATGATGGGCCTCTTCGCCTGGCGCTTCGGAAACACGATGCACCATCACGCCGACAAGGTCCAGGCGGGACAGACGCCCATGATTGAATACGCGTACGTCAACGGAACCGGGAATGGCTGCGGTGCAAGCTTTGCTAACGAATGCCGGGGCGGGCAGCTGGGAGGTGACCAACATCGCCATGTCGCTGATCGCGTCGCTGTGCACTTTCGTCGACGCCGGCCGGTACTACACCGAGTCGCTGACGCCGTGGACCATGCTCTTCACGCACATCGTCAAGGCGACCTGCGCCTTTGCCATCCTCGCGCTCGATGTGGCCGTGTACGTCATCCTGAGCGAGGAAAAGTACTCGCTCGTCGGCATCGCCCTGGACAGCCTCTTCCTGTAAGTTGCTGCTGCGCATCCCAAACGTGCTCGGTCCGTCGCTCACAAACGGTTGGTTCCAGCCTCTTGACTGGCGTCATGGCCACGTACGCCTTCCTCGCCTACCGCCGTCTCTCCGCGTACGACGACTACGCCCACCCGGCCAACGTCAAGGGCTACGGCTTCAACGACGACTGCTCTACGTACGGCAACACGTCGTACCTGCCCGCCAGCAAGCGCAGCTCGATCCGATCGTCGTCCGGTCGCCTCAGTATCGGCTCCGTGTACGACGGGACCACTTTCCCGGCAGTCCCCCTTGACATCCTGGACACCACGCCGTACCACCACCAGCGAGACACCCAGTTCGACGATTACATGGCCCAGCGCAACTCGTTCCACGCCGCTCGAGAAGCGCCGTCCATCGCGGGGGATTACTTCGCGCGCAGCAGTCCGCCCGGAGGGGGCTCGCCGAAGGGCCTCTCGCCGCAGACCCTCTCGCCTGGTGTCCAGGCCAAGACTACCCTCCAGCGGGGGCCGTCGACGAGGTCGCGCGCCGTCAGCTGGTCGAGCGACCACGTCTTGGTTGCGGTGCCGGAGGAGGAGGACGAGGCCGAGACGGGTACACGCGGGCAGGCGGACCAGGTGTCCCTGCTCAGCCCGGACGGCTACGAGGTGCCTGGCTCAGACGGCCCGCGCGTGACGCAGGAGACGGATATACCAGAGCCTCAGCACAAGTGATTCAGGTAGTTTTGAGAGGAATACTTTTTTTTATAAATGTGTCATGATGAATCTATGGAGAGCTTTCGTCTTGTGAGGGAGGTAAATATCGGCGTTTGGGCAATGGGCGACATGAAACGATGTTGTATCGGCCATAGATTTCTTATTCCAGATTTAGCGAATGATCTTTTACAAAATAGACAAGTCTCAACAAAATCCCCTCACGAACCAGCCTATTTTATTTTTATTTTTTGCATACGATTATTCCCACCTTTGCTAATAAACAGTATCAAGGGTGAACGACGGCATCATGCAGTGAAACCAGTCAGCCTGTATGCCATCCTTTGGACATATTTCACCCAAGGTACTGGCTCTTGGCTTTCAGACAGCTTCTATTAAGTCCTCAACATAGCTCAGAATACCCGTCACAAGCTCGCGCCCTTGCTATGCAGAATCTCATCACGCTAGGGAGCGAGGCCATGTATTCATTCATGAGCAGGCAAAGCAATTGGGAAGTATGGACGAATCGCTTTTGTATTGATGCTATGCTTGCTAAAACTCCGAGTCCCATTTGAAGTACTTATCAGTGACTGTTTCTTGGCAAATTCCAGCCCTCCTTCATAATCAAGTTCTTGCACCTGCCTATCCTTTTATCACATTGTAGACCTCATGCGTCCAGTGTCTGTACCAAAGAGACCTGTCAAACCCCAAAGAGGCATCCCTGCTGTCATGCTTCAAATACGGTGTTACTGAGGCGGGCGCAGCAGCGCTGATCGCAGGCTCGAGGCTGAACGAGGGTGCCACTACCGAGTTGTCCAACAGGGGAGGCGGCATATCATCAACCGGTTTGCGCTCAGGGCTGCCAACTTCGAACACAGGGCTCGAGCACCCGAAATCGTATGAGAAGACCCAATTCGGGAGGATAATGGAGCCGTTATGGGTTTCCGCCATAGGCTGGGCCTCTGCTGCAGTGTCTTGGACGCCAGAGGCGTCAATACGATCGTTGCCATGCGTTGTAGAAGTCTCTTCAGCCCAGGCCATGGTCGGTGCCTGCACCTTTTCGGCAGCATGTGCTACGATAAATACAGGCTTCTCCCTGTGTGCCAGTTTTCGCGGCCAATATAAATGCCGGTGTCGCTGCAGCCAGTCTCGGTCCAGGCGAGCCTCGTGCTCCCGCAACGACCATGGGCCTTCAAAGACACAGTATTCGCCCAGGGTGACGCAATTGATGCAAACAGGTTTTTCTCTACCGCATTTGATCTTTTCCGCGTCAGTTTTATCTTGTATAAACAATAAGAGCTCCAAGAAGAATTAACGCACCCGACGAGAGCGACAAGAGAGGCAAGAGGAGCGATACGGATGTCTAGGCAACCCTGACTTACGACGCGGCATGATGTATGCTTTGCGATTTTGATGGCGGACGGGAGGCAAGTCGAAAATTTAATGTAAAACATGCAATAAAAGAATGCCAACGAGGTTATTCGATGCTGATGTAGGGACCAAATCCTGGCCATGGAACCAAGGCTGAGGGCCTTGGTTCGTTCCGTTCCTGCGGAAGCCCTTCCTTCCCTCTACGCGAGAGCGTATGGCGCGCCAGGTGCTAGCAACTGAGCTCGCATGGAACTGAATATAATGGGAGGGGAGATTTCTACTTAAATGATAAGGCCAAGCACCAAGCATGAGAATTCGGTGCTCGATTTGACCACCATTGTGATAGCGATGTCAAGAGCCTACCCTGCAGCATTCGTTGGGCAAATAGCGACCGCTGTGCGAGCCATTGTCGAGTATCATGGCTCGCTGGTGCATCCGCTGGTGGGAGTATCGCGGCCCAAAGATTCAATTCTTCTAATAGAAAAAACACTCTAAATAGAGGTCGGGATGGGCGGCTTCCAGAAAGAGTTTCTGATTGGTGATAGGTGATGATGATAGTGATGCTGGATGCTGATTTTGGTGGTGGTTGTACTGTAACTAGAGGGCAACGGCCGAAGTGGGTCCAGATGGCCAAGTACCAAACTCTCGAACCTGTGGTCCTCCCTCCCGCGAGCAACATTTCGAACAAAAGATACGTTTCACAAAGTTGGACAAAATATCAACTGTTCAAACTGATGTAATTCAGAGCGAGACATTGTACTCATAAATCGGGATCAAGTTGTCAAAGTTACACGTGACCCGCAGCCCACGGCAACGGGACGAGCCAGCCAAGTGGGACATTGACGAGGCCCTTGACGGACTACAGGTACGAACCTGAGAACAGCTGGCGATACTATGGATCATCGGCGACAGCAATCCCAAAGTTACTGTCTACCCCGACCTCGTTGGAAATTCTCCTACAGCTCGCCAAGATAGCCATTCGCTCCACCGACAACTTCGCCTCCCAACACAGCACCCCTGACTCAATTCCCAACCAGCATTCGAAGCGCATTACGTCTCAATTTCAACGCTTATTACCTCGTCTGTCCCTCCACGACCCCCTCCACTCCGCGTCGGCAGCCCCTCCTTTGACCGCTTCACCCAACGCGCAACCCGAAAACCACAGACCCGGAGAGGAAACGAAGAGCCGCGCGCGCGCCAAGTTCTTGAGCGAATTGTCTCGCGGCGTGACCTCTGGCAGGATCCGGGCTCTCACGACCGAAAAAACGACCAATCACCCCTGCGCCACGAGCCGAGCAACAACGACGGCCTCGCCAGACGGCTGCGACGGCACACCGCCACAATGAGCCGTACATTGCCTGCACGGCAGGCTGAGGAACTGTTAGTGCATGACATAGAAATCCCCCATTGGGCATGGATGGAGTTACTAACCAATTCATTCTTCGTCCAGGCATAAGTCCATCATAGCATACCTCGCGGCCAACAACCTGCACAGCAGCGCGGCAGCCCTCCGTGAGGAGCTGTCGCTTAGCGAGGATGTATACGATGCGGCCACGGCCAAGAAGTACGAGTCGCTACTAGAAAAGAAGTGGACGAGTATCGTACGATTACAGAAGAAGGTACGCAGAACCTGCGAAGGACGCCATAGCATTGGGTGCTGACGACGCCAAGATCATGGAGCTGGAGACGAGAAACGCATATTTACAATCCGAACTTGACAATGCCACGCCAACATCCATCTCGAAACGAAATACCGACCCCGCATCTTGGCTACCACGAACCCCAGCACGACACAGCATGGAAGGGCACCGTGACACTGTCAATTGTGTGGCCTTCCACCCCAAATTCACCTCCCTCGCCTCCGGCTCAGAAGACTGCACAATCAAAATCTGGGATTGGGAGCTCGGCGAGGCGGAGCAGACCGTCAAGGGCCACACCAGGGCCGTGCTGGACCTCGACTACGGCGGGCCCAAGACGGCCATCCTCCTCGCGTCCTGCAGCTCGGACCTGACCATCAAGCTCTGGGACCCCGCCGACGGCTATAAAAACATCCGAACACTCTCAGGCCACGACCACAGCGTCAGTGCCGTACGGTTCATACCCTCCGGGTCCGCCGGCGTCTTCTCCTCGGGCAACATGCTCGTGAGTGCGAGCGGCGACCGGACGCTCAAGATCTGGGACGCCACGACAGGGTACTGCGTCAAGACGCTGTCCGGCCACTCGGACTGGGTTCGCGACGTCTGCCCCTCGCCCGACGGCAACTACCTCATCTCAACAAGCGCGGACCACATGGGCCGGTTATGGGACCTCACGCTGCCGAACCCGGAAACCAAGGCCACCATGGTTGGCCACGAGCACGTGGTGCAGTGCTGCGCCTTTGCGCCACCATCCGCCTACCAGCACCTCGCCGCCATCGCCGGGCTCAAGAAGCCGCCGCCGACGTCCAGCCCCGCCGAGTTCATGGCCACGGGCTCGCGCGACAAGACGATCCGGCTATGGGACTCGCGCGGCACTTGCCTCAAAGTGCTCGTCGGCCACGACAACTGGATCAACGCGCTCGTCTTCCACCCGAGCGGCAAGTACCTGCTCTCCGCCGCCGACGACAAGTCGATACGCTGCTGGGACCTCGCCCAAGAGGCCAAGTGCGTCAAGACGCTGGCCGACGCGCACGAGCGCTTCGTCAAGTGCCTGCGGTGGGCGCCCAGCATCGCCAAGGATGGCGCAGCGACGACAGCCGTGACGAACGGAGGGGGCCACGGTGAGGCGGGGGGCGAGGTCGGCGCTATCAAGAAGCTCGAAGCGGACAACGCGCACATTCGCTGCGTCATTGCCACGGGCGGCGTCGACCAGATGGTCAAGGTGTGGGCAAACTAGAGAGGCCCCCGTTTTGCATAGACTCAACCTTTTCTACTTTTTTTTTTCACGACTATGACGGACAAAAACAACAACAACCAAGATCAAGATGGGGGACGGGTAAGGCATGCTTCCTTCCCACCAACGAGCAAGGACTATGAATCATGTTTCTTCACTTGCAGATAAATTGGCATTGAATGACGACAGGACAGAAGAAAGGAAGGAAAAGACACGATTGTTTTCTGCGGGGTTATAAAAGAGTTTAGGTGAAGGGGGAGGGACGGAAAAAAAACAGATGCAAAAAAGCACACTTCTTTTGGGTTCATATTTGCAACAAGATATTCTCACGCTTAGACATGGGCGGGGTTCGTGTTCTTCTTCTTCTACACTTCTTTAGTTTGAATGGGATAATATGGAATACATGGGCAGCACACAAAGGCACATACACTGGTGCGGTATTTGAAGCTTGCGTTTTTCCTTTTCTCATGTGAGACCTGTATGATATGATAGAGGTGGTGGTGGTGCGGGATCTCGTCCTGCATACTTTGCTGATCTCGCCGCGCCGGGGGCCCCGAGTCGAGAACAAAAAGATTGAGACCACTGACAGCTAGGCGAAAAAGAGCTGAACTTTACAACCAGGACGGAATACGTGTTAGAAATACAAGGAGAGACGCTGTGTCAGTGTCCTGGGTTCCATTTTTGGGTGGTCGGCACACCCATTTGTGGATGCGTGGACCAGCCACAGAGAGGTACCCCCAGAGTTTGTCCACAGGTACCAGGTAGTGTCACTGGTACCTTACAAGCACACTGCTAAGCGCCCGCAAGAAGCTGCAATCACAAAGCATGCAACACCGTCAAAAATATGATGAAGCCATCTGTAGTGTGTGAGGGCCATTACGCCCTTGGTTGCGCTTCCCACTTATGATCAAAGGGAAACGCTTAGGTACGCGGAGGAACCTTAGAATAACGGTGGCTTATGTTAAGGACTGGCCCTACGGCTGCTGCGAGTAGGCGTCGATATAAAGTTGAATTGAATCTCTTACGGAGGGAAGAGACAAGAGAGGGTGTTACGAAGTGGCTACTATACATAAGGGGGAGTGTTACAAATGCACTGAGGTACTGCAGATGAGGGGCAGGGCGGCCCGACAAGTGACCACAGGGCGCTTACGAGGGCGCAGGAACAGAAGAACTGGTCACGTGACTGGATCACTGGGGATCACGGTGATCCAGCATTGATCCAAGGATCACTAGGATCACGGAGTGAGCCAAGTGATCTAGGTAACACAGTAGAGAATAGGATGGATATATAAGGAAGGGGATTTCTAGTAGATAGCCAGACTAGATCTCTACTAATTAATCTAAGTAATAGCTCTACTATTAGGAGACATCTCCTAACTTGCTTATACTATAATAACTACTTATTAGCACTTTATACATTTAAACTAACTCTCTTCCTAAGAAATAGACTAACTATAGATTAGGATTAAGCCACTATTATAGCTAGGTTCTAAGTGTACACTCTATAGTGTTTTTTTATGATTATAATAGCTTTATCTAACTAATTATTATATTATTATATTATTTAAATAACCAGCCTATTCTAACACTTATAGTAAGTGCTGTTCCTCACTATGTTATGTGTGCTGTCGTACCTGACTATCGCGAGCCCATTTTTCAGTGCCATGACCTTGAGAAACCGGCGCGCCCCCGCCTTGTGTCCGGCCCGGGATACAATTGGAATTCTGCCCTTTAAGTGATCAATTGCACCACTAGCAACCCTATCATAGCCAAAAGGCGGTAGGGCAGGTACACACTTTGCGATAACGAACGTAAGACATTTCTCGTCATTGTTTTACAGTTTCTTTAGTTGCTGCTCTCCTCTAAAGATCTAAAAACAATAAAAAAAAGACACGCCATTCTTAGATACCTGCTAACCGCTGGGCCTGCCAACCGCGGAGGCTAGCCCGAAAAATTCAAGAGTTTTACATCGCTGTGGGGCGCTCTCCTTAACACCATCAGACTACTGGGCCGCGTCCTCGGCCAACAGTTATTCAACCATGGCCGGCATTGTCGATTTCCGGCTCGGAGCAAAGAGATCTGGCTAGCTGGGCAATTCCACGGGGTCGGATTGGTGAGCTTGAAGCTCTCTTGGACCCCATCCTCCTGTGGCTCTGTGCGATGGGTATTTTTTATCCTCGGTGTTTGGCAAGGCCAATAGCTCAGTGCTTCTTTTCTCCTTGTTTCTTTTCGCCGTGGCCTTTTTGTCGCGCCGAATCAAGTAAATGGCAGCAAGACCAAAGATGCAGAGGAGAGCAATTCCACCAATCGCACCACCGATAATAGCAGGAGTGTTATTGGTGCCAGAATCTCGAGGCGTGGCAGTACTGGAGGTTGCCGGTGCCATTGCAGGTGATGTCGTGCCGGCCGAGGTAGTACTGCCGCCATTACTGCCGCCATTACTGCCGCCAGTATTGCCACTGGTACTGCTGCTAGTGGTGACTGTCGTTGTCGAAGTTTTTTTCGGCTCCGGGGCTGCTGTTGGCAGAGGCGTTGGCTGCGTGGCCTTTGTGTCTTGGGTCGTCGTCGTCATCGTCGTCGTCGCTGCGGCAGTAGGAGACACGAAATAACTGTCTATGCCAGACTTCCCACCACAAGCAATATACGAATACGATTGATCAGTGGCGAAGGCCAACAGCGGTGGAACAATATTGGTCCGAGTTACTGTCAACAAATGTGCGTCAGCAAGTCGTTCTTCAAGGTCTCAATAGGAAATTCAACCAACCATATAAATGTTGTAAGCTTTCCTTGGAGATTGCCACAACCTTTTGTGCAGTCATGCTGATCAATGCAGGCTCCAGCCAGGCCACATATAACTGTCGGTTCGATACAGCAAATAGCCTGTGGGGTTACTGTCCCACCACGGTTATTCGAGCCGTTGACAGAATTGGCGGTGCGAAAGTGAGTCGGATTTCCATCCAGATAGCCATAGGTTGTAAGCGGGTGGGGCTCGCCAGCTCGAACTACCAGGTGCTGCGTCTCATTGGTGCCGGCAGCGAGATGAGCGTTGAAGGCTGGGTTTGGGAAAGCGGACGAGCTGCGAAAAGGAGCGAGGAAAAGAAGAAGAAGAGAAAAGTAACGAGGCATCTTGTGCTGCCTATGTAATGAGCGCAGAAAATGCCGTGTAGCCCAACAGGCGAGGAAGAACAAGAACGAGAGGGAGGCGCACAAGGCATACATAACCACCACCATGGCCACGGCGGCGGGCATGGCGGTGGAGAGACAACCACGCATGCTGCTATTCTGGGAAGGGTTGCTGTCGAAGTAGTTCGTACATGGACCAGTATCCTCTAATACATATCAGGTATGGTGCCCGCTTTTCGTCTGGGACAGATGCATCGGAGTCTGCGGGCCGACACTAATTTTTCAAGTGGGTGGAGGCACTACCAGGACCCTCTCTCTTATCCAACCGGCCCTACCGGGTCTCCCGTCGACTAGGGGACAAGAGACATCTAGTTTAGTGGAAAATGCCCATAAGAAGCGCTGCTATTTCCCTTATATTATTATTGCCCATATAGAAGGATAAGGAACAGCATTACACCTGTTGTGCCCTTTTGCCTCCCCAATTCAACCCTGCAGCCGAGCTGCACAAGCACTATTTGTAAGCCCGACCCAGACTCATGGTGTCGCCACCAACACATCAACATTTCATGACCCACCACAGCGCTTATTTTTCCTTCTAGCACAAAGTGTCGACTCGGCGTCGTCCAGTTCAACTCTCTATCTGGTCCATACGTGTTTTTTTTTTTTTTTCCCTTCTTGACCAGGAACCATGTCCTACAATAAGAGCATTGTTCTCGTCAACAGGCAGCTTTTGGATATGCTTCTCGCGTACTTGGGGCGCACCAGACGCAGATTCGGCATCACCTTCCTTGTCATAGTCGCTTTGATCCTGACTTGGAACCTCGGTTTCTATCCATCACTGGACTATTCACAGACAGAAACACCCCCGGGCAACTCACCAGAAATTACCAAGCAATCTACACAAATACCAATACAGACACCCTCACTGGCTAAAGTATCTATGCTTTACGGTCGAGAAGATCCGATCTGTGAACGAGCGCTCCAAAGTCACCGGCGACACTGTGATCGCTGGAACCATCAAATGCATATTTTACGGCAAGAGATATCGGCTGGTAGCTGGAGTAAGCCAAGCTACCTTCTCTCTATTGTCCTGCAGGAACTGGCTAAGCCAGTAGAACAAAGACTAGATTGGCTTATGTATGTCACACTCCTATTAATATGTCCCGTGATGCTTATTTAGATATAGGTGGGTAGATGCAGACTCAATCATCCTTAACCCGGCTATACCCCCTACTATCTTCCTTCCACCAACCGATATTAGTGACATCCACTTTATCGCCTCAAGGGACCACAATGGGCTTAACAATGGAATAATTTTCTTGCGTGTGCATCCCTGGACGGTCAACATGCTTTTAGAAACGGCCGGGAATCCGCTTTTCCACCCAGAAATCGACCTTGGCTGGTCGGCCGACCAGACAAGCATGGAAAATGTCCTCGCCAAGGAGGAGGGCGGATTTGATGGCACGGGATATAAGCGGCATGGAATCTACATGCCAAGGATTTTGTTCAATGCATATCAGTTCGGCCATGGATTCGAAGGAGATAAGGGGAATCTCCTGGTGCATCTCCCGGGGATGACATATACTGAGAAGTGGGAGCACATGCATCGATGGCTAGACATTGTTGAGGGAGAAGGCGGCCCAGTCTAGAAGAAAGTGGCTATGAGAACAAGACAGTCGCATTCTGGAATATTGTTAGGGATGTAAAACGAGAGATCCAGGAGACGGAGAGCGCGATTGGAAGCATGCCGGAGACGGATACGGCGAAGCGGGTTGCTGTCGACAAATTGAAGAAGGTGCTATGGGAGGAGGCTGATGATATGGATTTTATGAGAAGGAGGCTTAGCGAGCTAGTGAGTTGAGATAGTTACCAGTGTTGCGGTTGCTTCTCCGGCGCTCTCCCTACCACTCACCTCTAGGTCGATGCTCCGAGTTCGAGAATCTTGTTGGCGTTTTAAATTAGATGCAGCAATGCTTGCCTGCCAAATTCTGTGTCTTGGGCAACTAATTCTTCGAAATAGTATTGGGTACTGTACGCTTGACAATGCCGCCAATAATGATACAGCTATGGGAGCGCTTGGTGCAGAGTTTGGCTTCGACTGGGAGGAGCGTCGGATTCGCTATGCTCCCCATGTTCTGAATCTGGCAGTCCATGCCATGATGTACGGTAGCAAAAAAAAGACAATTTTGACGAGCTTCTGGCTCACTGGGGGGATAAAGATTTTATGAGTGAAGAGGATAAGCAACGACTCGTGTCCGAAGCCATTGATGAGCTCGCGATGGACAATGACTTTAGCAAGCCGAACAAGGTCCCGCTCTTGGAGGTAGAAGTTGATACCGAAGACAGCCAGGCTTAATACCCAGAACCCGAAACGATTAATGCGGTGGAATTGGACAAGTACCGCAAGTTTGGACCGTTTGGCAAGCTGCACAACATCGGCGTTGCGTTTCGGACGAGCAGTCAACTTCTCGAGGAGTTTTACGAAGCTCAACGGCAAACCGCCCCAGCGGAGCCTATTTTTACTTGGGTACAAAACGTCTGCACTCGCTGGCAACCCGACGAGGCAATGGCTTCACGCGCCCTACTAAAACGGGCGGCCGTAAACAGGATGTTTCTGATGATTAAGGAACGATGGATTAGCCACGGCGGCAGAGAAAATGACAGACCAATAGTTTTACGGGAAAGACTTTCCCTTAAGGAGTGGAAGGTTGTTACTACAATTTAGAAGATCCTTCAGCCATTTAAGGTCGCTTCCAAGCAGCTATAAGGTGAGGGCATTACGAGAAGTCGTTCAACTTCAGGAGGGTTTAACGAGTGTTTCTAGGTGATGGAGATGCTAATTAACCACCTAGAACTCGCCGTTTAAGGAGCGATAATTAAAGAGAATGATAGCCAGGTCATAGAAGAAGTGCAACTGTTCCATAATATGGATACAAAAACGCGGAGGCTTTTAAAGGTGTACATCAAACTTGGCTAGAAGAAACTGAATGACTACTATAGCAAGTTGACCTCTACTGCCTATGTAGCGTCGGTTGTTTTCCATCCCTGTAAGAAGTGGCAGGCCCTCGAGCGACTTTGGGGCGAACTTCCGTCTCGTCAGGCCTCGGAATGGAAGAGGACGTATGGAGGGGCATCAGAAGCATATGGGAAGATAGGTATTTGAACAAGGTGTATGACGACGAATCTAAGACGGCATGCGCGGCACGGGCCACGAGCGCCTTGGACTATATTGAGCGGCGCCTGGCCTTCAGTCGGTCGCTGACCAGTCCTGACCTCCAGGGGCGACAAAGCAAACGGCAACATCACGTGTCAGCGATACCAGCACAGGATGAGCTTGATCGATATCTGTCGGAGCCGCCGGTGGACAATATGACGTACAAGGCCGATCCTATCGCTTGGTGGAGGGATGTCGGCGTTGTACGCTTTCCTCACCTGTCGTGCATGGCTGTTGATTATCTTACTATAGCATCGTCTTCAGCAGAAACATAGAGGGACTTCAGCAGTTGCGGCAGGATGGTAACACCACTCAGGTCGCGCTTGCGACGGAATGTTGTAGCAATGGCTCAGTGTCTCCGTTCCCAGAGCAAGGCTGGTATTTATCAGCCGACACTTCCTCTGAATCTTCTTAAGGGGGATAATTGGAGGCAAGTTCTTCGACTTATGGGCAAAATTACAGTAGATAAAGATAGCAAGGACCACGATTAAGAGATATGATCGATAATTTACATCGATCGACTAGCCATAAAGATGTCATGCACGGCAACGGGTCTATCGAGGCCTCGGACAAAGGATAGTCGCACAGCTCTCATGTAGGCTTGTATGCTGGGCCACATGGACATTACAGCCAATCTAATTGAGCGATATAGTGTGGATCTAGGCTAAGAGACCAATAGGGCGATTATGACTTTTCATTTTCTATGCTTAGTCGGCTAACGGTTGGTATAGAAAGCTCCAGGAAAGGGTTCAGAACAAGCTTCCAAGGTGAGAGGTGCGGGACATTTAGGCAACACTTGAAAGAGATTTAACGGCTTCTACGCCCTATCAGCGTTCAAACTGTGTTTATAATAGTGTTTTCGTCTATTAGGATACAGAGTGGCACTACTAGCGATACTGCATAAGGCCACCAGATCCTAATAATAGCCCAGAGACATCGCGTAGGAATTCATGACCTTTCATAGCTAGAGTCGAGATTCTTCGCTTTCAGCAGAACACGTCAGGCTGCAGAGAGGCGCAACGCGGCATTTTCGCCATTAGCTACGAAGAAAAGGGGTAGAAGGATCCAGAACCAGAGACAAAAGAAACTGCAGGCTAAAGTTGCGAGGAGGAACAATTGACCATCGCAGATGCATCTAGGGTACCTCCGGGAAGCTGTGTCAGGTACCTTGGCTCAGGTCAGTTGGGGTGGCCGCCAACGTGACAGCGCGGGAAGGCGAATCAGAAAACGGATGCCAGGACACCGACACAGGCATTACATTGGGAACACCAGGTATAACTGAGCAAGTGCCTGTCCATCTTGACCCCTCCTCCCCGCATAAAATATCGGGCTGAGCTCGGGATGTTGATATATATGCGGGACGGCGGAGGGCGGAGGGGTCCAGGTCCCCATGCCGCGTGGTTGTTTTATTGCCCACTTCCCCGCATCTTGGCTGTTATAAGCCGCGATAAAAGGGGAGGGGGGTTCCCGACTTCCACGTCCTTATTAGAAAGTCAGGTACTCGGCCGGCGCCGCCTTCTAGTGTCATCATATATACCTGTCCCCTCTGCATGCGTGACTGAGCCATCAAGCCATCAACAACCACATAACCAACACACGACATGGACACCGCAATGCAGGACGATTTCAGCACCTTTGACCTGGGCGACTTCACCCTCGCCTCCGGGGCGACCATCCCCAACGCGTACATCGCCTACAAGACGTACGGCGACAAGGCCAACCCCGCCATCATCTACCCGAGCTGGTTCAGCGGCCGCATCGCCGACAACGAGTGGCTCATCGGCGCCGGCAAGGCGCTCGACCCCGCCAAGTACTACATCATCGTGCCCGCCCTCATCGGCAACGGCCAGTCCGTCAGCCCCTCCAACACCCGCACGCGCCGCGCGGGCGCCAAGTTCCCGGACGTCACCGCCCGCGACAACGTCACCGCGCAGCACCGCCTGGTGACCGTCGGGCTCGGCGTCGCGCGCGCCCGCCTGGTGCTCGGCTGGAGCATGGGCGCCTGCCAGACCTACCAGTGGCTCACGCAGTTCCCGGACTTTATGGACCTGGGCGTGCCGTTCTGCGGTAGCGCGCGCGCGGCGCTGCACAACCAGGTGTTCCTCGAGGGCGTCAAGAGCGCGGTGCTGGCGGCGAAGCGCGGTGCGAGCGCCGGCAGCGCCGGCGGCGAGGTCGCGCGGGCCGGCACCGCCGGGGGCTACGCGCTGTGGACGGAGGAGGAGCGCGAGGCGGGCATGAAGGCGCTCGGCCGCGTGTATGCCGGCTGGGGCTTCAGCCAGCAGTTCTACCGGGAGCGGCTGTACGAGACGAAGCTCGGCTTCAAGGACCTCGAGGACTTCATGGTCAACTTTTGGGAGTCGTGGGCGCTATCCAAGGGTGCGTGACCCAGGGCGGGCGGGACAGGCAAAAGGTGTTGACTGACAATGGCTAATGGTGAATATCGTAGATCCGGAAAACATGCTTCACATGCTGCACACCTGGCAGGCTGCCGACTGCTCCGACCAGCCGCCGTATGACAAGGACTTTGAAAAGGCCATGGCCGGCATCAAGGCCAAGACGCTCGTCCTCCCCGGAAAGACGGACCTGTACTTCCCCCCGGAAGATTCCGAGTACGAGGTCAAGTGCATGACCGAAGGCAGGGGAAAGTGTATTCCCTTTCCCTCCATCTGGGGACATTGGTAAGAGATCTGCGTGTGCGATTGTGCAGGCACTGGGTTGCTGACGTTTACAGGGCTGGCGGTCCGGGAACGAACCCGGAGGACGTCAAATGGCTTGACGACAAGCTCAAGGCGTTCCTGAAAGACGAGTCCTGGTGAAACTTTGCGGTGGTCATGATCCGCTTCGTATTTGGAATAATGTACAGATTGTCTATTTACAGTGAGCCATGCCTTGATTGCCTGACTGCTATTTATGTACTGAAATGATAAACGTCTTCTCATAAGTCGCATCACACTGCGGGTACAGTTGTGCTTTCGCGTCGTGTCGTGCTCTCGGTGTGCTCTTGTATCGGCGAGGTTGGTAATGGTGCTGGCGGTCTGTCTTGTATTGGATAACTGGGTGCAGCCTCCGCATATGGTGGCGGCTCCTCGATTCCGTCGAATCCATGCGATGGTAACCCTGGATAAGGAGGTTTCGAGAAGCCGGACAGGGAGTGTACCACGATGGTCTCTCTTGGCGGTTCCTCCGGAGGAGCCCGCTGTATCTCCGCGCTCGGCTGGCGAGTCTCTGCAGACGAACTTGCTGTTATGGGCGCCACAGGTGCAGCAGCGTTATTCCCCTGGCTTGGTTCAACTGCCGTGTCTGTGCCACCATCTGTAGAATGATTCGGGGTGCGCTCCTGCGTGGATGACGTCTCCACTGCCAACGCCTGGGACTCTTCGTGCTCCTTTGCGATTTCAAGCTTCTCACGCCTACGACGCATGCGGAAGCAGCATATGCAGCAGCCCAGGATGGCGAGGAACATGATGATAGGGACCGCAATCACGGCGGCAAAAACGCCCGTTGCAAGGCGGTTGGTTCCCGGCGAGTCGTCGTATTGAAGCACGTCGAACGTGGTCACGGGTTGGCCTGGCACCCAAGACGGCGCGAAAGACCACCCCTCTATGTTTGGCGGTTGGGGCGTTAGCGTTGAGGCATCTGTTGTATGCCAGAAAATGGTGATTGGTGTGGGTATCATGAGAGTGGCCGAGCCGTCAAAAACGGTGACACTGCCGTCAGTTTTATTCGTCACGATCATCGTCATTTCGCCTGACGTGATGCTGCGGGAACAAATATGATCAGCACCGGATGGTAACGACCATGTTGTGACCGACATTGAGAAGCCGCTAATTTTTGAAACATTAGTGTTTGTCGCATCGAGGGTCATCGCAACCAAAACTCGCTCACCTTGGACAGCAGTAGGCAGAAAGTTGGTTTGTGTAGTATGTCGACGTGTGCGCCGAGGATGCCCCCGGATGCGATGTTATTTCGGTTACTGTTTCGGTGTAGTCACCGCCAACTACGCTATAATACGTCCATCCGCTCGGGCAGACTGCCGGACTGTAGGTTTCTTGGTAGTCGCCGAAGGGCCAGCATTCGGGACGTGTAATCTCATCCAGGTTCTGCGTCAAGTGGGTGGTATCCTGACCATTCTGATCGTTACGAAACACCTCCATCGCCGCTCCGTCAAAGTCGAGGCAGTCTCGCGGCATCGAGAACGGGGTTGTCATCGCAAATGAGGGCTCCGGCGTCTGGCCGCCATTGAAAATGGTCGTTACATCGCCATGGACACCCGAGACGGTGACCGTCTCGGTCGGGGTAGGCATACTAGCGCGCGCTCGCCGTGCCTCGGCGGCTGGAGGCTCGATCAAGCGGGTGAGTCAATTCGGGTCCGTAGATGATGGTTGTGGAAGAGGAAAAAAGGAAACCGTGCGGGAGGAAGAGGAAACGGAGATGGCAATGCGACCCGCCGTCGGACGGTCCAGGTCCACAGTTGTCGCGACGTCTAGCAGGGTGCTGAATGTTATTTTGCCGCTAGAAACTCAGCTTCCCTGGGGCAAGGAGTGAGTCGTGGTTGTATCCGCGATGATTCGATTGCGCAGACAATGACAAGTTTTGGTTGTTTATGAATCAAACGAGCCTGAAACAGCGGAGAAAAGACGTTGAATGTGCCGACAACAACGTCGAGTCCTATCTGCGTACGCCAAGTGCGTCAGTGGGAAGGCAGTGCTTGGCGCTAATCCGACTAGGCAGGCCGCCCGACCACAGTGCCCAGGCTGTGCTGTGGAGTTGCTGGAATCAGTTCGACCTATGAACAGGCGACAATGACTCCTGGGAGAGGGGACAGGGGAGAGAGGCTGTCGCTGGAGATGGGGAATTGGCGCGAAAGAGGTACGTATAGACGTGTAAATTAGTGTATGTAACAGGGTATCTAGGAAGAATATATATAGCAAAGGCGCGCTCCGCGACGTAAAGCTTCATGATACATTGACGTATCCAAAAGGGAGGGAAGAAAGGAGTGGTTCGCAAACTCCTTAGCGCATTGCAAGCATAATGGCAGCGCCGACAAGAGTCAGTAGGGAGCCCGCGACTGGTACCGTGGCGGCTGCATTCTCCTTGTCGTCGGCGGCTCCCGTGCTGGGGGCCCCGGGTGCGGTCGCGAGGACTCTTTCGCCGCTGGGGTAGCGAACGTTGTAGACCGGCGCCCCCTTGAGTACGTCGGGCAGGCCGAGCTGGTGCGGGCAGGTGGCCTGGTTCTGCGCGGGCCAGTCGAGCGAGCACCGCTCGTCGCGGCCGAGGGTGCAGATGGGGTCGAGCACGTTGTAGAGGGCGTAGTTGCGGGCGACCCAGCTGTCGGCGCGGCCTAGGCAGTCCGCCAGGTAGTTCATGCTGTTGGCGGCGCTGAGCGGCAGCGCGCCGCCCTTGGTGCGGATGAGGTCGCGGCATCGGGCCGGGTCGGCCGCCTGGGCTGTCATCTCGACGCCGCCGCCCGCGACGGGCGCCTTGGTGGCCGACTCGCCGGTGTACAGGTAGTTCCAGGCATCGTAGCTGACATCGTGCGCGCCGCCTGACTGGTCGATGCGCAGCAGGTACAGCTGGCGGCCCCCGTAGCTCAGTGACACGCAGATGTTGTCGCAGGTGACTGTCTCGGGCCAGTAGGCGACGCGGTCCGTGTTGACTTTGCAGCCAAGGACGCCGATGGACGACGAGTAGCTGTCGTGCGGCGTCGCCCAGACCTTGGTGCCGGCGGCGGCAGCGGCGGCGGCAGCGACGTGAGCGAGCAGCACGGTTGCGACAGAGGCGGCTGTGGAGGGCATCGCGCCGGGGGGAGGGGCCAACAGCGGGTTGCGGTAAAGGGAGGGAGGAGGTCTCAGCCGGCTTGGAAGGAATGTGGCGACGATTCGCGGTCGCAGGCGAGACAATGAAGGAACGACTGGCCGTGCCGCTGCAGCGGCTGCTAACGACGGCTGAAGGGCATCCAAAAGCGTGAAGGATCGTGAAGGACCGGAAAGGCGGAGATTTCGCATCCTCGCAGCCTTTGGGCGCCTCGTCAAAATGAATGGCGAGAATTTGTCCAATTTGCCTGCAGATGAACTTGCTAAAATCGGGTTAGCGCTGCCCAGGGTCTTTTCGTGCCTGAATCATACCGCCACAAGTGGCTTACGGTGGCTCGCAGGGGCTTCAGGTACATGCAAGCAAACAAGACCGAAGCTCGGAGCACCTTCTCGGATAGGTCTCAAGGTACGACATTGCTGTTAATAAAAGCCTCATCCAGATCATGTGTTTCTCGTGGATTAGATTCCTTTTGTTTCAATGTCAGGACTGCCGCTACAAGTAAAATTCAACAATATGTAAGCTGGTTTCTGTTGACTCCTTGCTGCCGCGCTGGTAGCCCAATGTACCGAGCGAGGTACCTGCTAACTGAGGGACAACTCAAAGACTCTCGTCTTGCCCAACCGTTCTCTACCCGATCCTCTTCATCAGACTTGACCAACGCCCACGTTGGCTCTCGTTCCCCTCTTCGGGTCAATACGATGGAGAAGAGAGGAAAAAGATATCCGATGAAGCCGCCCTTGTCCCGACGAGACAGCTGCCGTAACATGTGTGGTCGAGTAGCGTCGCAGGCCTCAGCGACACACAGACATCAAAGTTCCGTGCGCAGCACCGACTGTCTGCCTTAGGCTCAAATTTATAATGGCGCATATGTACACATTATCCAGACCCAAGCCAAACAATACAGCCCGCTTGTCGACGGCACGGCCCTCCAAGGACCCTACTGTCCTTCCGAGGCACGGCCACTGAATCGGATCTCGCATACTAACCTGCGGGTATGTCTTTTCAGACCAAGATGGCGATTCGATTCAGACTCGAGCGTGATCTGATCACTCACCTGACGGCGCAAAAGCTAAATTGTAGCTTTGGCGACATTTACCAGCTTCTTGCGCAACCTCGGCTCTGTTCAAATTAATGAAAGAGGGGAAATGTCAAAGTCGTCGAGGAGTTGACAGGACAGACGCTGTTGAAACTGAAACGAAACGCTGTTCGATTGATGGGTTTCTTTCAGCGGCACCCGTACTGTGACTGGTCAAGCACTACGGATCGAAAGCTCGGAGTCTTCTCGAATCTAGAGGTTTCAGATTGCCACATGTCTACCCCCATATCCCAATAGGAGGCCAACAACGTAAAGGAACCGAATCGGCCAAGGCTGAGTTTGTTTCTCCTTCAAGGACCATACATCCACTCATCCCTTCCCGCCGGACAGTACCCATACTACGCTGGGATTCCATCAGGTGATTGGCTTCTCCATAGTATCTAGACTACCGACCTATCCGGCTCACGGTGAGCTTTGACTTGTTGCTACACTTCGCGGAGGGGACTCTTGCCCCTCAACGTCGCAATCGGTGACCCTATCGCAAAAATGGCAGACAATACTGGCCGATTCTGGCTTGCGCTTCTCGCAGCTATGTTCTGAGACGAAACTCTAAAGTAGAGCCGGCCCTTGGGCTCGGCTTCTATTGTCATATAAATGCTGGCTGCGCTTCTCCTTCGTTAACCTCCCCGCGTGGGCTGAGGTGTGCCAATTCCTTCGTCACTTACACGACTTCTCGCAAGCCTCACTGGCATTCCTATCAAGATGGCTCTACGGACATTGACCGCCGTAACCGCATTCCTGGCGTCCAGGGTTCACGCCAATGCTGCCGACAACGGCGTCCAAGGCGTCCCGCTACCCGCCGGCTTCTCCCGCGCCCTCTTCTACGACGACTTCTCCTCCAACGGCACCCTCGACCTGACCAAGTGGAAGCACGACCTGGGCACGCAGTACCCCGGCGGCCCGGCCAACTGGGGCACCGGCGAGATCCAGTCCTACACGGCGTCGCCGGACAACATCTACGTCACGCGCGAGCGCACGCTGCGCATCATCCCCGTCCACGACGGGCAGGGTGGCTGGACCTCGGCGCGCGTCGAGACGCTGCCGGACTGGGACTTTGGCGCCGCCGTCGGCCAGCAGGTGCGCGTCGAGGCGCGCATCAAGCTCGGCCAGGCCGCCGCCGACGAGCAGTGGGGCATCTGGCCGGCCTTCTGGTCCCTGGGAAGCGCGTACCGAGACGACTACCAGAACTGGCCGTCGGTCGGCGAGGTCGACTTCTTCGAGAGCACGCACGGCCAACCGGCCGTCTGGCAGTCGCTGCACTGCGGGCCGGCGCCTGCCGGGGGGCCGTGCAACGAGCCCGTCGGCCGCTTCCAGGAGGCCGGCGACGACATCTACGACCGCGATGAGTGGAACGTCTTCTCGTGGGAGCTGGACCGCCGGCGCGGCACCGGGGCCACGGACGCGGAGCTCGGCAAGGGGGAGCGCATGACGTGGTTCGTCAACGACAAGCCGCTCTTCGTCCTCGGGCAGTCCGACATTGGCAGCGACGAGGTCTGGGGCCAGCTCGTGGACAGCAAGAAGTTTCTGCTTCTAAACGTCGCTGTCGGCGGCAGCTTTGCAAATGCCAGGGCCGGCTTCGAGACGCCGACGAATACGACGGCTGGTGGGCTTGGAGCGGCCATGGAGGTCGACTATGTCGGCGTCTACGAGGCCTGGTCCAAGTAAGGAAATTCAACTGCATGATATTTATGACCTTTTTTTTTTAAAGCGACGGCGTTGTGTAACGTTTTGTTTTTTGCCATGCAAGCCCTAGCACGCGAAAACCTGGTGCCAGTGTCCAAGGTCATGCATGGCTCGCTCGTATTATATTACCATCTATACACGTATAAATCTACAACATTGCACTTTGAAATGGCTCCATTTAAACTGTTCAACGATAGGCTTGTTGCTCCAAATAAAATACATGTAAAATTCGGACTTGCGCCTAGACCAGGTTGTCCAGGCAGATGAAGGGGTAAAAAGAATATTTGCTTTCTCTCCAAGACGTTGGGGGTTACATTGACGCAATAACCATAATACATCCAATTGACCATGTACGCTCTATAGAAACGACGCAAAGTGACGGTGGAAGTCAGCCACGCAAGCTCACTCACAGCATGAGGGCGGCAAGGGCGGCAGCGACGACGGCGACGCCAGAGACACGGAACACGCCGGAGGCGGCGGCGGTGACGACCGGGCCAGGGCCGGTAGGCTTGCTGGTGAGTCCGGTGCTGGGCTTGGTGGCGGTGGAGAGGCCGGTGGTGGTGGGCTTGACGCTGGTGGCGGTGCTACCACCGGTAGGCTTGCTCTCAGCCGGCGCGGTGGTCACCTTGGTGGCGCCGGAGGGCTTGGCCTCGGAGGCAACACCGGTCGTCGTCGTCGCCGGCGCGTCGGAGGACGAGCCGGCCACCTGGGCCAAGTTGGCCAGCTCGCCCAGCTTGCAGTCGACACCGTTGCACTTGCTCTCGTGCTGGCCGCCGACGGTGGGCTGGGGCGGGAAGGGGATGCCGGTGAAGTCGTCGCCGGGGCACCATGTGGTGTAGGTGGTGATGATCTCGGTGGTGACGCGGCCGACGGGGCAGTCGGTCACGACGGGCGGGCACGAGGTGATGGTGGAGGTGGTGAGGGTGATGTAGGGGAACGTGAAGGTCGGCCAGGCGTCGCTGGTGGCGGGGGCGCTGGTCGTGGTGGCGGGAGCGGTGCTGGTCGTGGTGTTGCCCCAGGGGACGCTGGTGCTGCCGGTGCCGGTGGGACGCGCGGAGCCGGTGCCGGTGGGGTGCGCGGAGCCGGTGCCGGGGAGGGCAGAGGAGGTGTGGACGCCGGTGCCGGTGGGAACGACGGAAGTGCGGATGCTGGAGCTACTGCGGCGGATGGACGAGGTAGGGCGGCCGGTGCAGGGGGTGGTCGAGTTGCGATGGACACTGGAGGTAGGCTTTCCGCTAGAGGTAGCCGCGGAGGAGCTCGGGGCAGCGGAAGAGGCCGGCTTGCTGCTGGAAGAGGCGACAGAGGAGCTGCTGGCAGGGACCGAAAGAGGTAGGCTTGCTGCTGGAGAAGAGGTAGGCTTGCTGCTGGACGTGGTCACAGAAGAAGAGCTAGTGGCGGGACGGACAGAGGAAGTCGGCTTGCTCGTGGGCGTGGTGGTGGGAGCAGCGGTGCTGGTGGTGGTGGTGGACGAAGAAGCAGTGCCCTTGGGTGAGGAGTTGCCGCAGTCGCCCTGCAGAGCCGTGACGGCGTCAGAGCCCTTACCAAAGGCAACCAGGTTGGTTCCGCAGTCGGCGGCCTGCGCGAGCCAGAGGTTCTTGTTGTCCTGGTCGAAGACGACGTACGCCGCGCGCAGGAACGAGTCGCCCAGCGACCACGTCTTGCCCGACGTGGGCACGACACCCAGGATGCACTCGTCCGTGCCCGCCTGCCAGATGAAGTCGCTGAACGGCACCTTGATGACGGCGCCGCCAAACTTGAAGTCGACCGTCTTGTCCTGCTTGCGCAGCTCGCACGGCACCGTGTGCAGCTTGTCCGAGGCCACCCACTTGGCCCCGGGGAAGCCGGCCGCGATCGCGTTGACCACGTCCGACGGCAGGTGGCCCAGCGTGGCGCCCGTGTCCGGGAAGATGTCCAGCGTGGCGCCGTCGGCCAGGCCCTGCTTGACGCTGCCGTCCGGCGCGTTGACCGCGACGCCGTCCATGGTGATCCAGTAGCGCACGGCGCCGTCCGGGCCGGGCACCACGATCGGGCTCTTGCTCAGCGTGCCGGAGAACTTTTTGGTGTCGGCGCCGCCAAAGATGACCGCGCCGCGCGGGTTGTCGACGGAGCGCAGGTCCACCGAGAAGGCGCGCGCGTTGATGACGCCCTGCTGCGCGAGCGAGTCGACGACCATCGGGTAGGGCGCCTTGTCGAAGCCGTGCAGGTCCGGACCCGCGCCGAGGATGCCCCCGGAGAGGTCCGAGCTCGAGTAGGCGACGCCAAAGGTCTGGTTGGTGATCTTGGCGCTGCCGCCGAGGCCGACGGAGTCCTTGACGTAGTCAAACTTGACCTGGCCCTTGCCGTAGGTGACGCCGCCCTGGGTGCCGAGCTTGACGGCGGTGCTGGAGCTGGTGGAGTAGCTGCCGAGGCCCTGGCAGAACTTTTGGCTGTCGGAGCTGCCGGCCTTGCTGCAGTCCGGGTTCACCCAGAGCTCGTTGGAGCCCGTGTCGAAGGCGACCTTGACGTCCTGCGCCGGGGTGCCCATGCTGAGGGAGATGAGGTACTGCGTGCCCTGCTCCGCGTTGAGCAGGTCGGCCGAGGCCTGGCGGCGGCGGCTGGCGGCGCCGCGGCTCTGGGACATGCGGCTGCCCTCGACAGGGAAGCGCAGGAGGCCGGGGAGGTCGACGGCGCGGTTGTCGTCGACGGTGGCGAGGTTGTTGGCCACGGACAGGGCCTGGGCAGCCAGGCCCATGGTGGTGGCGAGAGCGACGGTGCGCATCGTGATGGTATGAGGCAGAGAGAGAGTGACGCGCCGCGTGACAGAAAAGGAATATCTAGAGAAAGAAAGAAAAGGGTGGGATTGGGATAGGACGAAAAAGAAAGAGAGTGGGTTAGTTGGAATATCCTGTATAAAGAGAGACGAAGAGCACCGGAGAAGAAGAGAAGTGAAGAGGAGTGAGGAGATGACAGAGACAGCTCTGGAGGAGCATCAGCACTATATACCGAGCTCTATAGGCCGAGAACTGCCATGTTTGCTCGGGAAGGGAAGCTCGCTTGCTTGGGGGGATAAGCAAGGCGCTCATCTTCCAGCTACCAGTCCAAGCAAGCGATGTGCACATTCAGTGGATCATCAGAGGCAGAACGAACCCTGCATGTTTGGTGGAATGGAGCTCGGATGAGGAGGATCCTTGCCAAGGACATACCGGACGATATTGAAGATCCATCCCAAGAGATTTGCATCATGTTTTGAGGGGGAGCTGACCCAGGGCCGGGAGGAGACAAGACCGGATGGTAGTTGGGCCTGGACATGGCAGGGCTGTTTTAGTTGGGATTAGGCAGTGGGAAGGTTGCATTAGCGTCAGGTACCAGGCACACGTTTTCGGTAGAAATTCGATGCCGTCGTGTTTATGAGGCTGAAGCAGCACGCGCCGAAAAGGTGGTCGGTTTGGTTGGGATGACGGCATGGTGGAGGGGTGGCTGTCCATCAAGGCTCTTTAGAGCATTTAGTATTAATACTACTAAAAAAGGTTCGTAATAGGTCATCGACGTGTTTCCTATATGTCGAGGAAGATGAACCCCGTACCCGACTCTTGTCCTCTGAGAGCCTCGAGCCATTGCTCTCTCCTTTCCGTTTCGACGATGAACATCAATTACAAACATTATGACTTCCCGCCCCAGCAAGCGAGCAGACGGGACCGTTGATCCTTAATAATGCATTGCTCGGTATCCGTTTTCCACTGTATCATGTTTAATCACTCGTTTCTTTTTTTTCTCGTCCCTCTTGTTTTTCTACCTTCCCGTTCCGTGAGGACGAGTGTCCAACGGCGTTGAAGAAACTGGGGACTTGGACGCCATCACTTACCTGATGGGGCAAGGTTAACCCAGGCAAGCGCCGTGCTGGAACAGCGCATTATGGATTGTGATGGATAGATAGGGCCAGGGATCGCCGGTAATCAGCAGGGGATCGCTCCGTTGAAAAATTGCTGTATCAGAAGAGGTTGTTGGGAGCGTGGTCCAGACGCCGTGCAGCGGGAACTTTGGGTGAGAAGAAAGCAGGGAAACATCCCGCTCATGCAGGCTTCCGGCTCTTTTGGATTTCGTGTTATACGCCAAGGAGAGATTTAGGAGCATATCAAGAGGGGGGAAGGGGGGGGGCAGGTTCGTCAGATCCGGATTGTGGTTTGCCCGTCTGCCAAGGAGGAAAGGGTAGCCCTATCGATGATGGACAAGGACTTGGCGATGAAGAACATTTTTCGTCTTTCCCCCGCTCTCCTATTCCTCAGCAATAAGGGGCGGTATATTGCAAGAGCCCTTGTAAACTCAGAACCCGGTCCTTGCTGAATTTGCGATGGCAACTCGTGGGTCATTGCAATATCCATGTTCCTTGTATTCTCCTCACCCACGTTCCGGTCTCGCTAACGATCCAACAAGAGCGAAAAAGGAAGCTGTGCGAGGGAAAGGGGGAAAAGGCGAGACAGCCTCAAACCGCCACCGCGGACCCCCCCCCCGTCCCGTTCGGTATAGGGGTCGCCAGGCACCTTTGATTGACCGACCAATGGCTTTGGGGCGGCCGACCCCGTTGCAGGCTGCCAGGACAGGGCCGGACTTGCGGTATCAGCTCATAGCATGAGCTAACGGGAAAGTGCAGGGCGAACCGGCTGCATCAGCTCATAGCAGCCCGCTAAGAAGAAAAAACCGATCTTCCTCTACAAAGGTGTGCGGCGGATGGATATTCGCCTGCGTGACGCCGGGAGAGAGAGAGAGGCGCTTCCAGGAGGTTTCAAGTATGGTGGGGGGTGGATTGAGACTTGCCAGTGTGCCTGACTGTGCCTGGTGCCTTGTAGTCGCGCGGCAAGCTGCATTGGCAGAACTTTTTTTTTTTTTTTTTTTTTTTTTTTTTTTTTTTTTTTTTAAATTTACTGGAATAGAGTTGACGCTAGCAAACACCTCAACGCTTTCCTCATGCAAATCCCATCGACAAGCGCATAAAATTACATCCGTCGTCAGTGAGTACAACTAGCCAACTACACGACATGGCCCCAATCCGTGCCAAGCATGTCTGTCTCGGGCGCACCCGTCCAATGGGACGCCATCAGATGAACAGAATGGGTTAATATACCGCTGTTTGTGAGTCAATCTATACACGAGCAAGCATCCATCTAGACTTGGAAATGTATTGCTTCCATATCCCATGATTCTGGATAAAGATGGCCCGATGCTAGTCTATCCGCCTCTAAAAATGCCCAAGTCTTTCTTCTCGCTCAGCTCTTCTTCTATCCCTACATTGCAAGTCCCAAACGCCATATCAAATGCCAACAGATGACAACACCGCCTTCTAACAGAAGAGAAAAAAGCCATGTACGTAAATATACAATATGTCCAAGTTAAAGCCACAAAAACAGACGCCAAGCGGTATGTGTAAAATCAAACTCTAAAAAGCAGTCAAGCAGAAAGCCGCGGCAGCGACGAGGGCCAGGGCACCGCTGCGCGACAGCCTCGCCGCCGCACCATCTGCCGGCTTCCGCGACGGCGTGCTCGAATTCTCGAAGAATACCGAGCTGCTCGTCTTTTGCGCGCCGGACTCAGTCGTCGACGACGCCGGGGGCCGCGCCGAGGAGGAGCTCGACGACGGCGGCGGGCTGAGCTTGCCCTTGAACACGTCCAGGATGCACTGCTGCATCAGCTTGTTGTCCGTGTACGCGCCCGCGCTGCCCGTCGGCGTCAGCGACATGACGTACGTCCCGTCGAAGCTGCCGGCGCTCCACCCGACGAAGCCGACGAAGACGTCCGTGTTGTTGTTGATGAAGCGGTTCTGCGCGCAAAACTTTTCCATGCACGAGTCCTCCATCGACGCGCCCGTCTCCGACACCATGGCCGTGCGGTTGTTGGCGCGCAGCCAGGTGGCGATGGTGCCGAAGCCCTCGACGTTGTCCGTCGTGCACTCGGAGTGCTGGCCCGAGTTGTTGATGTCCAGGTACTTGTGCAGGTCCAGCAGCAGGCCGTCGGTCGAGCCGTCCGGGTTGGTGATCTTGGAGAGCAGCTCGGCGCTGCCGTTGGCGACAAAGTCGGCGGCGCTCGAGAAGTTGTTGCCCGGCAGCAGGATGGCCTGCGTCTTGGCGCCGGCCTTGCGGATCGCCGTGACGGCGGCCTGGCAGGTGTCGGCCCACTTGGCCGTGTCGAGGTCGTGCGGCTCGTTCATCAGACCGAAGACGACGCGGTCGTTGTCCTTGTACTTGGCCGCGATGTTGGCCCAGAGCCGTGCAAAGGTGGCGTCCGACGGGCCGCCCTGGCCGATGATGCCCTTGTCGAAGCGCGCAAAGTTGTGCAGGTCGATCATGCAGTAGGCGCCCGTGTCGAAGCACGTCTGCATCAGCGTGTCGTAGCTCTCCCACCCCTGCGGGTCGAGGTCGCTGCCGCCCTTGGCGTTGGTGAGGAACTGCCAGGACACGGGCAGCCGGAAGATGTTGAGCTTGTCGTCCTTGACGAAGTGCTCCATCTGGGCCTTGCCGTCGGCGCCGCCGTAGTTTTTGAGGGGCAGGGCGACCGTCTTGAGCGGGCAGGTGCCGTCAATGTCGCAACCAAAGTCGATGCCGGACATGGCGACGCCCAGATATTGCAGCTTGGCGGAAGCGGCGGCGGCGAGCGCCAGCAGGGTGGCGGTGCTGGTCGAGGGACGCATGGCGGCGTGTTTATGCGCGTGTGTTCGTATGTGGTGTGTGTATAAAGATGCCTGTACTCCGTATATATAAACAAATCTGGAATTGATCCCTAGGACATGAAGAGGGGCGTTGAGTAGGAAGGGGCTGCGTGTTTGCGAGCTTGGCGTCTTAAAGCAAACAACGGAGTCGACGGATGTGGCGTATAGGGTGATATGTAAAGTTTCGGCAGAACGTCGTACAAAATCGATGAATGAATGCTTCGAATCAAGCAAAATGTAGAGCGAGTGTCGTGAACGGCGGCCAAGTGTCTAGTAGGTAGAGTGTAACGGATGACGGAATATTTAGTAGACTGTCCCTGACGCAGGCCCGAAGAGGCTAAGAAACTGAGACCGCAAAAGGAAAGAAGGAAACCCGGGAGGAAGAGAAAGAGGCTGGCGAGATGGCAGAAGAGGGCCAGCAGTGGGTTCTTATTGGAGTCGTGGAGTGCGGCGTGGCATGGTTGTTGTTTCTTTGTTTCGTATTTTGGCTGGGCTGCGGATGGGGAGGATGGTGAGGTGGATTTTGCGGCGTTACAGGGTCTCGGGCTGACTGACGTCGTGACAATTGCGCGAGGCTGGGCTGAGTGGGCGGGCTGCGCGGAAACTAATAAACCCCCTCGTGTTGCACCCAGTTTGTCTCTTCTGTAATAACTAGTCGATTTTAAATACAAGAAGGAAAGGAGGAAAAAAGGAAGACAATAGCTTGGCAGCCCGTTTCGCCAGCCTCATAAAGCGCCCCTAGTTTGCCTGGCAACGGCCAGTTTGTCGTGTCGAGGTGGGCCTATGACATTTGGTCGTATTTCGAAGCTATTTTTACCTGTCTGACAATACCAGTCGAGGTTGGACGTCACAGCCACCCCTAAAAATTGGGACTAACTAACTGTGGGAGGAATTTTCGTGGGAGCCTTCTGGTACATGTGTGAGCCTGTTCAGTGACAGGATGAAGCAGCCAATCCTAGCACGGAGTCGGCTCCGTCATGGTCCCCTAAAACGGCCTGAATACGAATTTATAACACGTCAATGCCAATGCCCGCCGAGGCTAGAAGGCGTTGCTGCGGCCGCTAAAAAGGGTCCCTTGCTTGGCCCCCGCCAGTACGAGATAGGTACTAGTTAGTGGTGGGCTAACTATTTAGTTAGCGCTTGTCGGTGGCTATTCTGTGCGGCGACTTCAGCCATTGTCATTTTCAAACGGCAGTCAGTTGAATACAGGAATCCCCATGCAGCCGGGGATCATGGGGCTGTCAAACCTTGCAGAAGTCCACATGCGTCTATATCCTGCCGCGAGACAAAAGTAGAAATCCTGGCCTGTCACCAGTCATCTGGTCTAGCCAATCAGAGATCAAGCCCGGCTCCATAATTTATGACAGCTACAGTAGGTACCACCAAGAAAAGAAAAGTTAGTGATGGGAGGCATCATTGGTACTCTGTAGACAGAAGCCAATTCAGGTCCATTGTCCATCGATGCTGCATCACCACTGCAAGCACTTTCAGCATGCCTTAGTTGTCTGCTCCGAAAGTGCCCTGACCGTTCAACCTGTCGTGCGGCACCCTTGAACCAATAGTCAACACCCCCGAGTCTCGTTTCCTTCCGCCGTAGAAAACACCAAAGCCAACACCACCACCACCGCCACCATGTCCCTCACCGACATCGACCCCGACGAGGTGTTCTTCACCTTCTCCCGCCTCCGGCCCCAGTTCTCCTGCGGCCGGCGCGTCCGCGACACCCTCGACGCCGCCCTGCGCGGCTCCCTCGTCCCCGCGGACCTGCCCCCCATCAGCGTCCTGCGCGACCCGGCCACCGGCCACCTCTTCAGCCTCAACAACCGCCGCCTCTACGTCTTCAAGGCGCTGCGCGCCGCCGGCCGCCTCGAGACGGTGCCCGCGCGCGTCAAGCCCGTCCCGCAGACGAAGCGTATGCGTGACAAGTATGCCGCGGACAAGTGCGCCAAGACGGCGCGCCTGATGGGGGAGCGCGAGGCCGAGGCCGTGGATGGCGAGGCGGAGGGTGTGAATGGTGATGAGGAGGAGGGGGGTGGTGAGGCGGCGGAGGGGGCGAAGGAGGAGGGTTCGTCTTCGGTGACGCCGAGGAAGTCGTCAAAGCCGCCGAAGCCTGTCCGCAACATGGACGACTGGACGGACGAGGAGGACATTGGAAAGAAGAAAAAGGGAACAAGGGGTAAAAAGGGCCGGTAGCGACCACGACTGCAAGTCATTCATTGAACTGATGGCATAGGGCTGCATTTGAATAATGCAGGCCAGGGCGTTCTGCGGCACATCTCACATGGAACAATCGTTTCACTTGCATCAAGGTGGCATAGGAGCACGTTGCTGAACCATACCCTGCTGCATACCAACTCTATTTTCCATGCGGTATATTTGCTTCCATCAGCTATGAAGCGGTAGACGTCTGCTATACCCAAACGACTTAATCTATTCACATTCTTCATCTCCTACTTCGATTTCTTCAACATCGCAACCCCCGCAAGGGCACTGCCACTCGGGCCCCATACTGTACGAGATGCCCTCTCCACCAGATTGGATTCACTCTATCTGTGACACGTATTCCCCCGATGCAGATTACTCGCCCGTGCGTTCCTCACCTGCACTCCCAGCTTGACGGCTGCTTCGCGTCCCCGCCCACGTACGTCTGCGTCTGGGGATACCTGCCAACCACCACGTCAGCATATCATCATCACACAAGCGTCGCAGTCTTGTCCCCAGAAACTCACCGGCAGTGCCGCCGCTGAAAGTCCACCCCCAGGGCCACGCTATCATCCACGTACTTTGTCCCCGTCATCGTCGCCGGCGCCCGCCCTCCCTCCCCCCACGCCACCACCGCCGCCAGCACTCGTCTCCGCATCGAAACCTCCGGGCGGCGTCGCCGCCGCGCCGCCTCCTTGACCGAGCACCCACGCGCCCGGCCCGCCGCTGCAGTGCTGCATGCCCGCGACGCGAAAGAACCGGAACCAGCCGTCCATCGCGGCGTGGCCGTGGTGCTGCGCTAACCGCTCGTAGAACCGCTCGCTCTGGAAGCTCGTGATCTGGTTGTCCTGCCCGCCATGGTACGCGAGCACCTTGCCGCCGCGGGCCTGGAAGCGCCGCAGCGAGGCCGGCCACGTCCGTAGGCGGCCCGGGTCGGCGCGGTCGCCGGCTTCGATGGCGGCAAAGGTGAACCGCGACATGTCCCAGCTGCGGTCGCCCGTCACCGCGTATCTGTAGTACTCCTGGACAGCGTTTTAGCTCTTTTCCTCATGGGCGGGGAGGGGGGTTGTGGGACGTTTTACCACGGAGTAGTTGAATGGTCTCCCGGCGAGCAGCTTCTCCGTCGCGGCTAGCTCGTTGCCCGGGTTCATGCGCGGGAACAGCAGCGTGCCGTTCGGCCAGCGATAGTCGGCGTAGATTCTCCGCAGCTGCCGGACCTGGGCCTCGTTCAAGCACGCTGCCGCCCCCGAGCCTCCGTGGTGGTCGTCACAGAGCAACGTGCCGGGGTCGAAGCGGCACCGGGACGGCACCTCGATGATGCCGTCCGCGACGCCGTCGAGCGCGTCGCACTGCCGGAGCACCTCGTCGTGGATCAGCCTCCTCCACGTTTCGACGGGGACGTAGTCGGAGGACCCCGGCGCACCGGTCACGTTGTAGAACATGGCGCGCTGCCCCTGCAGCAGGTTGAAGTCGACGGCCGGCGCGCCCGCCACGATGCCGTCGTAGTCGTCCGGGTGCAGGTCGGCGGCCTGGACGCCCATGCGGCCGCCGAGGGAGCACCCAAGGTAGTACGAGCGCGCCGGCGCCGCGCCGTAAAACGCTTCGGCGAGGAGCCGGCCAGCGCCGGTGCCCGTGTGCAAGCTAGGGTTCCGTCAGCCGTGGCTTTCCAATTCTGGAACCTTGATGGTGGTTCTGACGCTCGATGGGAAAAATCAACGATGACGTCTTCGTTGTTCAGCATGGCGCGGGCCGATGCGCCTTCGTGGCCGTTGTTGGTGCCGAGCGTCGCGAAGCCATGCGCGCTGCCATACGCCAAGTCCGGATATTTAATGCCTGAAAAGTTCTGTCAAAATTGGACTCAAAAAGACAGTTAAAGGCCACGCGTACAGCCATCGATGCCGCCGTTGCCTGTCGACAGCAACCTCCGGCCCGTCCACTTCTCCGGCAGCCACAGCTCAAAGGCAATTTCGGAGCGGTTGGACGTCTTGATGGTGAGGCCGACCCGACACAGATCCGCCTCGACGGTCTGCTTCTTGCCGCCGCACGACGGGTCGTTATTGGGGAACTCGGCGTCCGTTCCGTTGGCTAGGAACTCGAGCTTGGTGAGCTGCGCGTTCTGGACGATGGTCTGCGGGTGAAACTGTAGGCATTTCTCCTGGAAGTCATCGGATGAAGACGCGAAGCCGAACTGACCCCAGTAGCCCCTAGACGCAGTCAATGCATGTAGGAAATGCATGCCAGTGAGGTGATGGGTGATGGATGTCAAAGATGAAAGATGAGAAAGACATCCGCTACCCCGCCTCAGCAATTTTGGATCTCCCATCTCCACGATCGGCGAGCCTTGTTCAAGTCGCGACCTTGCACTAGCCGACGGCTTTGGTACACAATCAGATTTCCGAAAGAATTTGAAGGGGAGCAGTTTATGATGTTGGTCAAAAGCAAAATCTAGCGTCCTCTACAAAAAGGCATAGAGCGAGTCAACGAAGCACACAGGCTTTGACATGCTCATCCTGGTTTGCTTCCCTCCTAACCACTCTCATTTCATCTCATTCATATATCCTACCCTTTTCCAAACATCATGATTGAAACGTCTTGTGAGTTGCGTCTATCCGCAAGTCTGTCGCACATGCACACCTTAGTGCGCGAATCTAAAGTCTAATCTTTTGCTTCCCTTCTCCGTCGTCGTGTCAACATAACCACGCTTCTCCTCCGCAGTCATGGCGTCCCATTTGGTTGCCTTCGTCTTGTTGCGCCACACGTAGTACCCCTTGATCGCGAGGGTGAAGACGGCGTTCCAGGTAATGATGCCCAGGATCGCCGAGTTGCCGCGGCGGTAGTAAGGCTTGTCATCCTCGCGGTAAATCTACGACCAAGTTAGCACGCTTCGAAACATGCGAATGAAAGGGGTCCTCGGACTCACGTTGGAAGCGATGATGCTGCCTGCTTGCACGCACATGTTGTACACTGCGCTGCCGACAGTCCTCCCGGCCACGGACCCGGCATTCCGCGACGTCAACGAGACTAGGAAGAGCCAACATTAGCCTTGACCCCTTGATCAATTTAAACAAATCTTCAGGTTCAGCATACCGACGATGGAGTGAACGTAGGGGTACCCGATGACGAGCACGGTCAGCGCGTACCGCGCCCAGCTGCTCGCGCCGTCGGGCAGCAGCCGCAGGGACAGCACCAGCGGGAACAGCCACACGGAGCAGAAGAAGACAACAATGAAGCGGTTATTAATCCATTCCGAGATGCGCGTCCAGACAATCAGCTGGATCGCAAAGAGCACGTAGCCGGGGATGGTGAGCAGGTTGGTCTGGAAGGTGTCGAAGCCCAGCTGGCGCAGGTTGAGCGTGAGGTAGCTCTGGATCGGCGCGACGGGCTCGAGCAGGGTGAAGCCGAGCAGGTAGATGGGCCACAGGTCAAAGTCGGACAGGGCCTGCCAGAGCAGCGGCAGGGTTAGGCCTTGACGGTTGTGCATGCCGCCCTAGATGTGGGAAGCAAGTGTCAGTCAGGAGCCATACGCGAGGGATGGAGAGTCGAAGGGGGGGTTTAGGGGCTACAAACCTTGCTGGGATCGTCACGCAGGATGCGGTTCACCATGATGACCTCCTCGCGCTCGTCGAACCAGCCGTCCTTGCCGCGCAGCCCGCCCGCCGTCTGCGTCGGGCTCGGCGGCAGGTAAAACCACGAGACCACACCGATCAGCGCCGTCAGCCCGCCCTCCAGCACAAACAGCCACCTCCAGCCCTCCCAGCCGCCGATGCCGCGCATGTGCAATATGCCGTACGCCAAAAACGCCGAGATGATCGGCGTCAAGTTGCTCGCCGTGTAAAAGTAGCTGACCCGCACCGGCAGCTCCTTGGAGTCGTAAAAGTACGAGAGATACAAGATGGCGTCGGGGATGAAGCCGCCCTCAAAGGCGCCGAGGAAGCCGCGGGTGATCAGAAAGCCGGTGCGGCCGCGGATGACGCACTGCAGCATGGCGACGATGCTCCAGAGGATCATCTGGGCGGGCACCCACACGTCGGGCCCCAGCTTCTTGGAGATGACCTGGGAGGGCAGCTCGGCGAGCAGGAAGCACAGGTAGAAGATGGTCATGCCCAGGTTGTAATCGTTGGTGGTCAGGTGCAGGTCCTTGAGGAAGTTGTCGGCGAGCGCGTTGGAGATGTTGCCGCGGTCCAGCTGCAGCGCGAAGAACATGACGCAGACCCAGGTGCAGATTCTGTAGTCGAGCTTTGCGCCATGTCAGTCGAGAACAATACGAAAAAGGCGCAGGTTTAGACAAGGACGGATAAATGCACACACCTTTCGCACGAGGCGCTTCTCCTCCTTGGGCGTCCACTCGGCCTTGGGGTCGTACCGGTGGCGGCCCTCGTACTCGGGAATCGGCTCGTAGTGCTCCGTCGAGCCGCCACCGAGGAAGACGTTCCCATAGAGGCGGTCCTTGGCCGAAGCGTCCGACGTGCTGGCCGAGTCGGAGCTGCTGCCCAGGTTATCCAGGGCCGTGACGATGGCGGGCTCCTTGGCCGTCTGGTGAGCCATCTTTTCTTCCTAGCAAGCAAGCACACTCACTCGTCTAGTAGCTGAAAGTGCTTGGCAGCAAATCATTGGCAGTACATGCCAAGTGTTGGCCTTTTATACCTGTTACCAAGAGCAGAGATCCTTCCCGCGGAATTCTGCGGCGCCAAAAACTCCCCATGATGCCATCCTACCCATGTCCCAGCATTAATCTGCGGCGGTGCTAAACTTCTACGGGCAGATTCCGTGCTGCCCTGACCCAAAAGGATCTCCCTGATGGAACCAGATTGTCCCCGCAGACTGGCACTTATCGCTGCGGTTGCGGTTGCGACATCGACGACCTCCTAGCATATATGGCGTCGTGGGGCGGCCCGATCACGTCAGTCCAAGCAGCACCGGAACCCCCAAGCACGCAACTTGCTCGGAAGGAGGGGCTCGGGAGAGTATCAGTAGCCTATCACGGTCTTTGAATTGATCAACAGCGAGTAAAACGCAAATGGAGAAAGCCTTCTATTGCATGACGCTCGTGTGGGTTTTCTTGCGGCCTCGGTCCCAGCTCTGGCAAATTGTCTATACGCGGAGGTTCCAGAACAGAAGGGGCTCGACAATTGCGCAAAGATATCATATTTGCCGGGAGGGAAAACATACGAGATTTTGTTTCCCTAATGCACAGGGTTATCAATAATCATGATTCGTTGCTGTGGAGTGCGTGTTAAGGTTATTATATGCACTGCATGTCATCTCAACGACGGGTAGTATTGGTCCAGAGTCGTCCGCCTCGTGAAGGTCAGCTCAATACCTCCCTCCAATTCTTGTACTTATCCCTTATGTTGGCTCTCTCGGGCACACTGCATGAGAGCATGTTCCGTTGACAACATCAGGCTCGCCTGGACGTCGGCGCAAGAGCGGCCCCCCCCGTCACACGAGACCGACAATTCCCCCGGTAGTTATCAACTCCAGGGCGGATAATAAGTGCCGGTCTAGCGCTCTCTCATACTTCGTCAACAAGGACAGGGTGGTAGGTTAGTAGTACGCAGGGCAAGGTGCCGATGGTAGCGGAGATGGTCAAGATGCGTTGCGCAAGTCTAGAGCATCAGCACTGGCCAGGCTCGAGACCAGCGACAGCTTTGCCGCAGGGCATTCACTGGAAAAGCGAGAAGCAGCGTACATAACTTGCACGACACCATCTATGCAGTACAAGCTACTCGGGCGTACGTGCCGGGTTCCCCAGTCAAGTTGTACCACTCGCCAAAGCCTCCTTCACTTGACCTGGCCTTCCACTTGTTGGCAGCTACCTTCACTACTCACACTTCGCTCTAGTCGCCGGGTTCATAACAAGCATCACATTCGTTTGCAAAATCGGGCAGTCCTCATACGCAAAGTAAGGATTTATTTCAATTCCTGTGCGTAACTATCTAGTGGCAAAACAGTGATGCAAATGAATTTCCGCTTCATCTTGATACATTAATTCGTAAAGGCTGCTCTGTTTTTCGAGCGCCATCAGTCCAAAAAATACAGAAAAGACGCACTGAGCCAATCCGGCAAAAGCAATCTTGTGAATTAGTTAATCCTGGAAAGGATAAGCCAGGTTGTCCAGATCAATGTCTGCGAACATTTCGGGTTGGGTGTTTTGGGAAAAGCCCATGTTGGCGCTTGGCATTTCATCAAACAGCGACACGCTGCTCAGCTTGCCGACATGATCAAAGAGCTGGAAATCAACATCATCGCCGTTGCTGAGCGGCTCGTCAAAGGTCTCATCCACTTCACGCAGAGAAGTGGGTGTGTAAAGCATCGCGTTGCCCTGGCCAGCAGGAGAAAAGTGCATCGGGACATCGATATCCATATAAGTGCCCGTCAGCGGCACCATTGGAATTTCGGGCATCTGCTGAGGCATGACCTTGTTGTACATCTGCTCCGCAATGGGTATGTGCTGAGGAAGGTGCATTCTCGCAGCGTAGAGATCTTCATCATTGTTGTTGATGATGAAGGCGGACCCATTCTGGTACGGAGGGAACTGCTCGTATGAAGAAGCAGTCGAAGAAGGTGAAGCGTTTTCGTGGGCGAGATCCAAGCTGTCGATAGATTCAGGGGAAATATTGGCCGTGGCAAGCCAGTCCGCTTCGCGCGGATACATGGGGAAAGCGGTCGACATGTCCTGGTGTAGGACATCTTGCGGTGGGGTTGGCACGCTGTAGCTAGGCGTCGTGTTCGGAGGCGACAGGTTCGAAATGGCAGGAGTATCCATTGTGACAGGCTTGGATGGCATCTTTTTGCCGCTAGACTTGGTGCGTACGTAGGTCCAGCCATGAGCCTTCTCCATGTGCTGCTTACAGTTCGACTCACGCTTCGACTTGTAAGGACAGGGCTTAAACAGACACTCGTGCATGGCGGGCGCGTCAGAGTGCTTGTCATTGACGTGGCGGTCCATCTCCTTCTCCGTAGGCCAGCCATAGTTGTGGTACTTGCAGGTCGGAATGGGACACTTCCAAGGACGAGAATGAGTCTTCTCATGCTTGGTAAGGTCGCAAGGGCGTTTGAACTCTTTGTTGCACCCGGGCTCGCGGCACTTCTTGGGGGCGAGCTCTTCTGGTGTAGCGTTCTTCTTGCGGCGGGCCATGGAACGCATAATCTCCTCGTCGTCGTCGAGCTGCTCGCTGAGGGAGCGCTTGAACTTGACGGGAGGCTCGTTCAAATCAACAGGCTTACCCGTGGCCATGGAGAATGCAGTGCCATCCTTCTTGACGCGGATGAGCTCAGCCGGTCGGCCATTTTCGGCAATGCCTCCAAACAGGCGAACATCATCACCTCTGGGTGATGCATTAGCAGGGTGGTCGAGAGGCACAAATCGTGGCACATACTTATCGATGTCCATGCCCTCAGGAAGGTCTCCCTTTTCCTGCGTGGCAAGTAATCTGCCATATTCATAAATCTGCTCCTTCAAATCAATGAAGTAGCCGTTAGTATAAGGGCGATCGCCGGGTCGGACTTGTTCGCTGTCGGTCAAGTACTCGACAGTAGCTTGGACGCATCGGATCGACGTGAGACAGAAATCCATATAAAGAGTGGCGGACTTGGTTTTTTCCTTCAGGCGTAATTTTCGATAAGCATCACTCCAAACGCCGATGCCAGTTAAAAGCTGACTTACCGGAGCCATAAAAAGAAGAGATCTTTCGATGTCCCGAAGACAAATCATGTCCTTGGAACCAATGCGACCACGCACATCCACCACGATCGTCTGGAAGGGTTTCAATGATGGCTTCTGCAGAAGAGGACCAAGTGTGTGCTCGTGGATGCGATTAACGGCATGGTTGCTGAGGGTGGAAGCCAGCCTGCTGTTGCTAGCAATAGTGGTGCGGCTAGTCGCATGGGTCTTGATGGTTTTCTTAGACGAACCATCAACAATGGAGGCCTTGTCGTTTGTTGAGGCAAGTGAGCTGCCGAGGCCGCTGTCGGAAGCATGCTTGTGTCTATTGTGGCGAACCGAGCGCGGGCGGAGAACCCGACGCTCTTGTTCTTTCGCCATGGCTGGGTCGACAACAGGGAGCTCGAAGAGGCCACGGGGTATAGGAGCCGACCTGTCACGGAGAGGCGACTTTCTGTTCGGTCTCGCTTCGGAAAGAGATGTTTTCGAAAGAGCTGCCTCAATATCGCTGATAGTAGAGGTCAAGGCCATGCGGCGGCGGTTGGCGTCGATCACGTCGTCCAGCGAAGACTGGGAGCGAGTGAGGCGCGGTGGGGGATTTCCCTCACCAACGGACTTTGGTGATGAAGGAGAGTGGAAGGTAGCACCCTTCTGGAGAGAGGTGGTGGCCTTAAGTGCCATTTCCTTTTCGGCGATGGACCCGGAACGAGTCATCATTCTGCGGCGTGGGTTGGCCAAGGACATTGTGGTAGAGAGTTTGTCGGGCAGGGAAGCCAGCAAGTAATAAACAAGCACTTCAAGTATGCAGGAAGCTGGCAGCCGAGGAGACGGTTAGCCCAAGATGGTTTGGTTCGGTCTGGGATGCAGGAAGGGAGGGGTGTGAGTCACAAGCCCGAATCTCGACGCAATGTCTACGATTGGGGGAAGTAACTGGGATGGTGAGGAGAGGGTACTGGAGAGGCGGAGCCAGGCTAAAAAATAAAGAAAACCAAAGTGGAATAAAGTAGGGGTGTGTGTATGCGAGTATGTGTGTGTGAAGGCAGTCGGCCGATGTGATCAGGGCAGCAGGTTGTGTTGCGATCTTACCCAGTTGGCGAGCTAACGTGCACTGGTGCTTCGCCCAATGGCAAAGGAGCGCGAAAAAGTGACAGAAATAACAGTGCACTGCGTAGATTGTATCTGATAAAATCGAGATGTGTGCGGCGTGCGGAAAAGCGAAGGTTTTTGAGGCGGGTTGCGTGAATCGAAAGACGAGGGATGACAAACGGGGTGGCGAAGGACGGACGCACAGAGTGCGGAAAAGGCGGGAAACTGCGATGATATAGAAAACAGCGCTGGAAAAAATCACAATGACAGTCGGCCAATAGCAGCGACGGCTTGCGACAGATGACGAGCAACGATCCGGGGAGCGACGAGAGAGGATGGTCGTGGCCTGAGGTGTGCGAGCGGGTATGTTATTGTGTGAGGTGGTGTTGGACGGGAAGAAGACGAGAGAAGTGGTCAAGATGTACTTTTGCCAGCGACAGGAGGAAATATGGGGACTACAGCCCGGAGGCGCTGCTGCCTAGCCTAGAGACCCAAAAGAGGAATAGCGCCGAGTTGAGAAAGCGTTAGTGTGAGAGGACGTTGGCGGTGGCCCATCTTGCCGTGCCCGGCGGGTGCAGCAGTACAAATACATTCTGCACTAACAACTTGGAGGAGGTTTTCAGAACAGCGCAGCAGCGGACATGGCCTGACCCAGCGGTCCGAAACGGCTTGTTGACGCTGTTGACCGCCCTCCCCTCCCAAGACTTCCCGTCTCTTTGTCCTTTCGCTCATCTCCACCGTCGATCCTTCCCATCACATCCATCGCTGCTGGTGGCTGACCCGGCATGACCAGTCGCTGTCCCGTCCGTCCCGGCTTATGATAGTGCTCAAGTACACACTACCAAGCATCCCAAACATCCACACAAACCACACCCGCCTCAATTGGCCAACGCCAACGCCTTCCGCGATGCACCCTGTTGAATCGACCTGTCCCCTGCCGCAAACAAATAATCACGAGCGTGTATGCATGCCGAGCCTCCAAGAAATTCATCAAATTAACCCCCATACGGGTTGTTCGATGGTGCTAGCAGTGCAGGATTGCGTTGGACAACCCATCCTGGTGCCGACGACCACACCACCCTGCGGACTTTGCTTCAGAGCTAGCGGCGAGCATTGCGCAGCCGTCGCCGTAAGCCTATCGAAAAGCCTCGTCAACATCAACTGGTTAGCGCGGACTGGCAAGTTTGTAAATGTGGTGCAGCCACTGGCGCATCACCCCTTATAGCTACCCGTGGGCCGTCAGATCCATGCTGATCCTACCTGAGGGCTGGCTGGTAAGTTAGTTACTATGACTTCCCTCAGACGCAAAAAAGGCCGTGCAACGAAGCGAATGGTTCGTCAAGCCGTCATCGACAGTAACAGGAAGCCCTCATCCAAATCGAACATAGCTCCATTCCCCCTTCCTCACACCTTTGCCGACCCTGCAGATGCAGTCTTGACACCCGCACCGCTCACTCTGTGCTCCGATCTCAAGGGGGTCACAAGCCTTGGCTCGCCCAACCGAAGGTGGTGGCCCTCTTCCGAGCCCTTCGTTTTCTCTCACCTCAAGTTATTAATTAGCATCCTTTATTGTTAGCTCAGGCGTGGCGCTACTCCCGCTTCAACTCGATGCAGTCCTCAACAGTCAAGACAACATGCATCGGCTGCACCAGGTCACAACTCATGCAACCCCATCATCGTCCTTGTCTCAGCTCGTTAGGGCTGGCAAGACAGATCAATGCCACGTCTCATTCTGCAAGTCGAGCGCCATGAAGCCAAGTCAACAAGCAGCACCCATAACCAAACTTTCTATCCGTACTCCGTACGTTGTGGCGCTTCGCCCAATTCCGACTTTCAGCTTTCCCATACATGCTTCCATAGGGCATCCCCCTCCAAGTGATGATGACACGTCTCTTGCCCATCCTCAGGACCTACAACGAGGCTTGGCTTCTTCCCACATAACCCCTGGCCAATAATCGAGCCGAAAATGGTGAAGCCTGGTCGGAGTGGCTCCATCCCTCCTCCACCTTTGCCAGTGACCACCCAGCGGTCGCCCAGTTTTGGTGGGAACGCTAAGCCCCAAGGCACCAACATTCCCAGTCTCCTCGCCAGGCTGCCAGATAAACATCGCCCAACACTGAAATATCTAGCATCGTAGCCGCCGATTTAAACGACTGCCTGGATGATTTGAGCTGTATCCACGTAAGATCGTGGGCTCAACTGGGTCCGTGGTTTTGTTTAGCGGCTTGCCAACGCAGGGCAATCTTGGGCCTAATCCGATCGTGAGGCCGTTCTCAGGCTATGTTACAAAATATCGACCCTATGATTCCTCTATAAATAAGCCCCTAGCCATTTTCACCGCTATATGGTCAGCTTAACCCCCAACTATTCAGGACCCTTGGATATGACATGTTGGAGCTGAATTTATAGTTAGCTACCTATCTATGAACTTGAGGTGGACTATAGGGTACCAAGCGACTACTTAGGAGGCAACCAGGTTTCTATCTATAAACCGCTATAACGAGATGCTTATGACCCTGCAAAAGTCCCGTTTATCTAAGAACTAGACTCATTTCCAGTGATGTTTCAATCCAAGGCCCAAGCAGATTGTGACTGTCAGAGGCGGTCTGGAAGCTTCCTGGCCAGAAGACCCGTTCAAAGACTGATTGTGTGCGGTTCCGACTGCAGTCAACAGCATCATTTCCTTATAAATCTTACCAATAAGGGATAGAAAGGAGCACAGAGCAGCATTGTACGGTTTTGTGCCAGACATAGCGTGGGAATAATGATGACCGTGGTTTCTCGAGATCAGCTTGTACGTAACAATGGGATAAACTTCCGTTTCAAGCCTCTTTCGTCTACAAAAGAAAGTGATGACACGATAGGACAGAGCTAAAAACTAAGTACGAAGAAAAATGAGGAGGGCAAGGTAAGATAAAGTAGTTTGGCGGCTTGGTTCAGAACGGCGGTAGTTCATTCACGCATCTCGAGACAGCTGAGAGTTCTTGAAAGGCGTGATTCATATCATGCTACAATGAACAAGGGGTACACGTGAATTGCTTTTATTACAGAACGAATACGGAAACGTGCGTTGTGTGCCGAGGGACGTACAGCCGCGCAACACAGTTGTGCCAGCCCAGCATAGTGTTAAAGCGCCTGCCATTCCTGGCTCCAAACTCGCGAGGGGGCAAAGAGAATTGAAACTGTATACATATGAGACTAGGAGAAGTTTGAAGGTATTATTAGAAACGAGGCGAGCTTGAATCTATGAGTAGAAAGTCAGGAAGAGCAGCCTTGGCTCACCTAGTACAATCTGCGAGTGCAAAGTCTACCTTCGAGGAGTTATACCTACTGCAGCAATGACGAATGGGTAGCGTATGCTGGGGGACAATTGGTTTTACAAAGTGCGTTCGCCTTTCACGTTCACCCTTTCATCTTTTTGCCTCATGACCTTTGCGGACACCTCCAATCTCTTTGTCACCTGACTCTGTGAAGTCCTTGGGTTTGGTGCGAGGGACGAAACACTTGTTATACCCTGACGAGCTGCGAGCCCATCTTGAGTAACATCTACCTTGAAAGAATGAAAAACTACGATGAAGAACCACAGGAATATACCAGACTATTGACTGTATAAAGAAGTCTTTCCACCCTTCGCCTCGAGGAGAGAGGCCTAGCAATTTGTCTACCACTCCATAGACGACGCAACCACCATAACGGCAACTCGCTTGGGTAACCTGAACCCGGGCAACAAATGTTCCGCAATGAAAAGTCAAACCTCAATTTTCGGAATTCGCGAAGTGCCCCGCAGCAAGGGAAACATGAGTATACCCAGTGAGGCGACGTCGGCAGGGGATCCGACGGACAGATACAGCGTCGTCGACTGGGGCACCGCCTGGAGCGCCGGCTTTGACTTGAACGCGCTGGAGGACAGCGAATGGCTATACGCGGCCATGAAGCGCGAGGAGCGCCTGCTGCGGCGCCGGCGCGACCCGGTCGCGCTCGACCTGGGAGGCGGCTGGCAATACGGGCGACGAGAGGCCAGGCGCGACAACGTGGTATACGGCTTCGTGTACGAGATGTACGGAGCAAACGGAGAGTGAAGGGGCAGTCTAGATGTTGGCCAGAGGCGTTGGAGAGGAGGGAGAGAAGACCCCTGCTGAGAATTTTACCCAAGATGCCCTCTGAAGGACAGACTTGGCATGGAAAGATTGGTGATGCCGCCAGGGTATCTATGTATATGCGTGTATGGTAGTTTCTCTCTCGGGGGTGGACATGTATTGGCGGAAGGCTGCTTTGGTTTAGATTTATTTTTTACATCTCTTGGCATAGATTTGGATTTGACCACATCTGTGCATATGCAAGATATGCATGTTAAATGAAGGAACAAGTCTAGATGCATGGGTGGCGTGGTCTACTACCTCTTTTGCGAACCATTTTATGAAAGCCCAGACCCAAAAAAACAAAACACGACACTTATTCATACTTTGCTTGCCCGGCATTTTTACCCCCTTACACTCTATCACACATGAGCCCATCCGTTCTCCGCCAGGACCTGCATCTCGTTAATCAGGCAAAACACGCCCGGCTCGTGCCGCGCCATGTCCTCCTTCTGCCACGCCGCCACGCGCTTGCGTACCACCCAGCGCTCCAGCGAGACGACGCTCGTCCAGCGGCGCAGGCGGTTTATCCACAGGCCGAGGAAGATGTCGACCGCGCGGACCCACGATGCCGACGTCCCCGCGGCAGCGCCGGGGTGGGTGGCTTCGTAGGCGGGCAGGTTGTAGCCGACGCGCACGCGCGGGTTGAGGAAGACGCCGAGCGTGCGCGACAGCGGGTTATCGGCGTGGATGAGGCAGCACTCGGAGCCCTCGAGGTGGTGCCCCGCGAGCGAGTCGGGGATGCCGCGGAAGCGCAGCTTGGTGGGCGACACGAACGGGTCCGCGGGCATGACGACTGTTGTACACGACGGTTGTGGTTAGCTTGGACGGCGGGAGAATGCGGAACGAGTCTTTTCTTCTTCTTCTGTGTGCTTGGGAAGGAGGAGTACTTACCGATGCCGTTCCAGCAGCTCGTCACTGGGACGGCGTCGTGGTTGTTGACCAGTGGCGAGCGCGACGCCCGGGCCTTGAAGTACGGCCAGGTCTGCATGATGTGCGCGCTGCCCTCGGCGTCGCGCAGCGCGAAGGTGTCATAGTACAACGGCGGCTTTGAAAAGTCGAGCGAGCACGCGGCACCGTACGCGCCGTCATTTGTGTCCATCAACGTGATGACATCATCCGTCTAACTGCGTGTCAGCGAAGAACTCTCGTCTGGCCCCGTGTGCCGCCTCAAAGGTGGCTGCTCACCGTAAACACGACATCATTCAGGAACAGAATCTTGTCAAACGTGACCCCCTTTTTGTATAAATCAAACAAGTCCTGCAACGTCTTGTTCCGCAACTTGGCCAGGTACGGGATGCGCCGAAGCTCCCTCTTGGCCCTCGCCGTCTCTATCCATCCCTCTTCACCACTCCCGCCTTCCCCGGCGGCGCGGATCTCGTCGGCGTGCGTCACGTCCGAAATGTCCACGCGGTGCGGCACGCCGCGGCTCTCGAGCTGGCGGCCCAGGTCGCGCAGCACCTCCTTGGTGTCGTCCCAGCTGCCGCTCTCGTACACGCTGACGAAGACGTTGTCCGGCCCGAAGAGCTCCGTCAGCTCCAGCACCGCCGCGTTCCAGTGCGACTTGAGGATGGCCCCGTTGTTGAAGTGCATGCCGGCGATGTAGACGCGCTCGCGCTCGCCCGGGCGACCGCCGGACTTGCGCGGCACGTACTCGCGCTCGCGGGCCAGGTTGTGGTGGATGCGCATCACGTCGAAGAGGTTGAAGAGGACGAATACGACGAGGAGCAGGCGGATGGCCTTCCGCCGGCCGAGGCGCCGCAGGTACAACGCCGTGGCGACGGAGAGCAGCACCATGGCTTCGTCGTCGTCGTCGTCGTCGTCGTGGGGGGGGAGATCGATTCGGGTCAGGCATTCGGCCTCTGGTTTGTGCGGCGACGCGACTGTCCCCTGGCCTTTCACATGAAGCTGATTGGTAAAGCCTCGAGATCGCGGTGATAAATCGGGTTGGGTTTGGTATGTGCCAAGTCTTTCGAGGCTGAGCTGTCCTACCCGCCCTGACTAGGTAGGTACGCGCGAGAGGACTTGCGAAAAATTCACCTTTTTGACATAGGGAGTCAGGGCATGCCTTCTATTATTAGGCTCTAACTACCTAGCATATAGGTAGGAGCTCTGTCACGTCTTAGGAATAATAGTGTTTAATTTTAAAATCTATTTCCCATGGATCTTACATAGCAATGTTTGATAAAGCTTTCGTTATATTTTTTTCTTGTCGCTCTTTACCTCTACCCGTACTCTACCTACTCCCCCCCTTTTCCCTTCACATTGACATCTATCAACAGGAGGTAGGCAGCTTAGCCAGCCAGCCAGCCAGCCAGCCAGCTACATACCCAGTGAGACAGCCAGGGCGCCAGCCCGCGAGAGAGCCAGCTCTCTTGCTGGCTCCCTTGCTCGCTCTTTCGCTGGCTGGGTGGCTTAGTACCTACCTGCTATAGGTATCTGGGTAGCTGGCTGCTTACCTATACCTACAATGTACATACGTACCTATGTACATAGATACATAGATACTTGCCCCGCTGGAGGGCCGGGTGGCTGGCTAAGGTAGCTGGCTAACTGGCTTCCTAACTGCCTACTACAAACATACATACTCGATGTATTAGTAGAGAATAACTTTTCGATAAATTTTTTGTTCGAAAGATACAACACTCCCGTGTTGTAGCTATGTTGAATGTAACACTAGATGAAAATTGTGTCAGGACCCATGTCAGAATACACCCCGCGCGCGCAGGGCAATGACCGCCCGCCCAGAACCCCTGAGCCGGTCAACCGGTGTGGAGGTGAGACTGTTAGTGGAGCTTGTGAGTGAGAGCTCTGCCCCACATTCAATATGCTTGAGGAGCGCAATTATGTAAAAAAGAAAACATATTGTACGGATACTACTGGTAACATTCAATCTCCTTTAGTTCTTTTCTCATACATGTTTGCCAAAACACCATAATTTGCATTTCAATATCCCATTCCCAGCAAAACGGCTTACTCTAGATGCGAACAGTCATGGGTGGGCCTGGCCATGACACCAGCTTTCTTATTGCCCTGTCTCTGGTGCCAGGAGCCAGGCTTGAATTAGGTGACCGGGTTTATTTAGCAAAGTGCAGGTCGTAGCTGAGCCACTTTCTCGCCTGCACCTCGGGCACGGAGAGACCCGGGTAGCCGTAGGTGAGCGGCAGGAAGAAGTACCAGCCGCCAGCGATGATGGCGGTGACGACGCCTGACGCGACCCAGACGCCGACGAGGCTCTGGCCGGCAAAGCGCTCCTTGGCGGTGAGGTGCTTCTGGCCGGGCTTGTCGGTGCTGGGGGCGGCGCCGGTGGTGAAGATGAACTCAACTAGGGCGCCGGCCACCAGACACGAGGCGAGATGAGCGGGCAGGTAGTGGTGCAGGAAAAGCTGACGACCCATCAGGAAGAATGGGAAGTAGTGGGTGGCCCAGCAGAGCCAGAAGAAACCAGTCGAGTTGTACAGCTTGGAGCGGGTGCCTGAAAATAGTTAGCTCTGTCACGGTGGCGAGTGCGTGTATGAAAGGTCTACTCACGGCGATCCAAGGCGTCGATGCCACGGCGGAGAGAAATCTGGTCGGCGAGGACAATGCCGGCATAGATGGCCAGGAGACCACTGGCGAACCACCAGCCAAGAGGGTTGCCCACAAAGTAAATTTGCTGGCGGGTGTCGTTCTGCGTCCAGAAGCTGACACCGCGGAGCAGGAAGGGCCACTGGTAGGGGTGGCTGGCGTACGGGTGACTGCTGGTCAATTTGCTGTTGTGGTAGAACATGGCGCGCTGCAGCTCAAAGTACTTTTGCAGGAAAGGCATGTGCTTGACCTTGCGCGCAGGCTTGTCACGGCGCGCGTCCTTGGCGTCAAGCGACGGGATGTCCTCGGCGATCCAGACGTTGGAGCTGGGGGGGATCTGCTTGTTGCCGTTGATCTCCTGCTGCTTGTGACCCCAGTCGGGCAGGGGCTTGGTGTGAGTCCACATGGCAACCTTGCTCGGGAAGTGAATCAGCTTGAAATGACCGGCGACCGTCTTGAACTCCTGGTTAGCCTTGCCATGCTCGATGCGAATCTCGAACAGAGTGTCGTTTTCGCGGCTTCCAAATGCATCCTCGACGGACACGGTGGTGAATTCCTGGTTGGTCGGGTAGTAAGGCGAGGCGACGTCATGCGAGAGCAGGACCGTGTCGGTGGAAACATGCTTGAGGCGAACGAGGGCGTTGTTGATGACATTGACGCCGGTCTTCTTATCGTCGCCAGCAGGGATAATCTGCCAGTAGTTGTTGGTATCGTTGTACGGGTATCCGGTGACCTGCTGGCCCTGACTTGAAACTCGGCCATCCTCGTAGCGAAGCGGGTAATTCTCGCCGTGGCTGTGAAGGTAGGCCTTGGTCTCCTTGTGGCGAATGGTAATGGTATCGTAGTACTGGATGTCAACCGCGTTGGCGAGCATGACATTGTCGCTCAGGGTTTCCTGGAACTCGGGAGTCATGAAGTCGTCGCCGGGGCCGGAGCGGCTCAGAATGCTGAAGTGGACCTGGAACCAGAAGAGGTAAAAGAGGAAGGGCATGATGATGAGACCGAGGGCGCGCGCGGCAAAGTGCTTGGCGTACAGAGGCACGCTGAGCGCACCGCCAGCGCGCTTAATGTCCAGGAGCTCCCACAGGTCGATGATGACGGCGGAGCCAATGGCAACAAAGGCAAAAGTACCGACATACTTGGTGGACATGTCGCAGGACAGGGCAAAGCCGGTGAAGATGAGCCACTTCCACCATTTGCGACCAAAAGGCTCGTGGCGCTGCTTGTAGAACTTGATGTAGCAGAGCAAGCTGCAGGCCATGGCGAGGATCAGGGTAGCGTCGAGGAGGATGAGGCGGGTCTGACCGATGTGGGCGTTGTCGAGGAGGACGAGGATGGTAGCGACGAGACAGGCGGGCACGCTATAACCAGACTCCCACATGATGAGGTAGGTGACGGAGACGGTGAGGGCGCCGAGGATGGCGGGCAGAGCTCGAAAGGCGACGTAGGGCACGTTGTTGTCGATGTAGGAGTCGCCGATGTTCTCGAACTTGAAGTGGCCATTGTAGCCGACGAGCCAGCCCATGAAGGCGAAGAGAAGCTTGGCAAAGGGCGGGTGGACATCGAAAAAGTACGTGCGCTCGAGGTAGTAGGAAGCAAACTATGCAAAGGAGGAAGGGTTAGCTTGTCCGTCATTCTGTCCGTCATTCTGAGGTTGTGCGTGTCGGCGCGCACCTTTCCAAAGTGAACCTCGTCGAAGACGACCTCATTGGGATGGCTGATACCCCAGAAACGTGTGACGAAGCCGAGAACCGTCATGGCGGTCAAGGCAATTGTGTGATCCCATTCGATGCCGGTCTTCTTCTGGGCCGCGGCGGCCTTGACGAGCTTATCGAGTTCCTGGTCGTCGTTGGAAGCAGGCGCGCTGGCCGCCTTTTTGGAGGCGCCGACGGGCCGCTGGCGCAGCGAGCCCTGGGGCGTTGCAGGAGACGCCATGATGCTGTCGATGCGTGTCAGCGGGTTTGGGCTAGTTCGACGAGATGCTTCGGACTTGGAGGTGAAACAAGGGAGGGCGATGGCGAAGCGCGGTGGCTGTCGTTGACGTCTCCTCGGATAGGCAACTACCCACCTTTCGATATATGAGAGCAACGCGGCACAATACAGGAGGACGAGCAAAGATAATGGGACAAAGAAGTAAAAGAATGTCGAGAAGGGGAAATAAAAAAGAAGAAGGAGAAGAGAAGAGTTACGCGCAATGGCACGCGCAGTCTGCACCGCAATGGAATGGATTTGCGATGAACCTCCTTTTTTCGAGGGACCAGCGCATGAAAGTAGAGACGACCGTGTCCATGCGAATATGGGGCTGCGCTGGCAGGGAGGCGGTTTGGCTGGCAGGCAAACAGGCGATGAGCTCCGAGCTGGCAGCCTGAATTTGGGGGGCGCAGAAAAAAAGCCCGGTGCTATGATGCGCTCCGGCGGCCATGGTTGGCTCGCTGCAGGGGCTGTGGAGCCTCAGCTCGAGCTGTTCCAGGGGTTGAGTTCGATGGCCCTTGACGAGTGAGACTTTTCGCCGCCCTATCCGGGAACGAATACAGAAGCGTCTTTTCATCTCGATGTTGGTAGGGAACTATGCATTGGGTGATGAATATCGGCTAGCCAGAGTCGCTAGAGTCATCGGGGCCTACCCTTTATGACAAGGGCAGCACTGCTCCAGGCGATCGATGCTGGTCCCTCTGCTTCTTCTTCTCGTTGACACGACCGATTGATCATAGACAAGACACCATACACCGTGTTCATAGACCTCATTCGGATGTGGTCAATTGGTCGGGCCCTCGGCTTTGCAAGCCTGTCGGACAAACAAACAGACATAGGTTCGTATCATCACGCCTTCAGATCGCAGCGTACCATTGCTACCTAATCGAGGGACAACCAAGATCTACCCGATCACAAATTGCACACAGTTTAAAAATAGCCTCTCTATCTCCTGGACACCCCCGGCCCGATTTCTATTCTTCCAACTAGTTAGTTATCAACACCTATTGCCGGACGGAAGGCAGCCCCTGCCGGCAGCCGCTCGCTCTTCCCTCAGCTGCAACGCTCAGACTGCCGGAGCCCCTCAAAATTGAAATAATTGGCATTACATCACGAAACACCTTTTCCTTTCCCAGCTCGCGAATCTTTCATGTAATAGTGTGGTACGAGAAACCCATTCCTCAGTGGGCCGGCAGACGAATTTGGGCCGGCAGAAACCGCACTGCGCTGTGCCTTGTCCGTTACCTGTATGAGCCCAAATATCCAGGCGGGGTCCATCTACTCGTCCGCCGCCGGAGCTCGGAGCGCCCCAGCCGTGTTGCTTGCTTCCCCTCCAAGATTCTCAAACTCACCTCTCTGGACCCCCGGACTACAAAGACTTGACAGTCCCACGTTAGTAATTGCGCCCTTTCCTCTCTTCCCACCTCCTTACCATCATCTCTCAACAACCGCAAACTCTGACCTCGTCAAAAACCACACAGGTAGGTTCAACCAATGCTCATGCCTGCTACACGGGCTGCCCTTCGACAAGTGCTAGCCTCGAGCCTCCCTCGTCCGCTGTTGGCCGCCGCATCGGCTTCTTCCTCCTCCTTTGCTGCCGCGCCTAGACTCAATCGCTCACCAGCTACTCCAAGATTCATATCCACAATGTCTGACCAGACCATCATCTTCACCAAGGATGCCCCGGCTCGTAAGTCGCATTCTCTGCTTGCTCCCAGCTACACCTTGGCTAACCTGCCCCTCCCCCGCCTCTAGCCGTCGGCCCTTACGTGAGTTGCAAACAACCCCATTCGACCTTTCGAGCGGCATCACACTGCTGCGTCTCCTATCCCCTCGAACTGTCCCCTTATATCATCGAAATATCGTTTCTGACAAAAACCTCCCGCTACAGTCCCAGGCCATCAAGACCCCCTTCGCCATCTACTGCTCGGGCGCCATCCCCCTCAAGGCTGATGGCACCTTTGTTGGCAGCAACATCACCACTCAGACCACCCAGTGCTGTGAGAACCTCAAGGCCGTCCTCGCCGAGGCTGGCTCCTCCATCCCCAAGGTCGTCAAGACCATGATCTTTATCTCGGACATGGCCCACTTTGCCGTACGCCCTCCCTACAACCGTGACCCATGACGCTTGTCCTTGTACTGACTACTTTGCAGGAGATGAACGCCGAGTACGAGAAGTACTTCTCTCACAAGCCCGCTCGCAGCTGCGTCGCCGTCAAGACCCTCCCCAAGAACGTCGACGTCGAGATTGAGTGCATTGCTCTTCCTTAAACGTAGGCGCGATTCAATTAATAAAAGCACATCTGTTAAAACAACTTTATCCGGCGTTATTTGTTATCATTGTAAATGTGGTAACTATATCTATATAGCCAGCCAATGACTTGTTTAAACGTTCCAGATAACGACACGACCATCGACACCGCTGGCTGCAATGATATTAGTAAACATGCTGCATAAAGACTTGCCGGATCAACTTACAAGTAAATTTGGTAACGCGGCCACCTGAAGACTCGTAGGGACGAATGGTTGTGATGGTATTTTGGTGAGTCGTTTTGAGCTGCGTGTCATCCTTGGCCTTGCCCTTAAGATCCATCTGGCGGAACATGTTGAGCGCCGACTCCTCGCGCTGGGCGCCGCCGCCACCGGCCCCCTTGGCCTCGACGGTGCCCGCGAGCTCCCAGCCCGTCTCGCCGCCCTGGAAGCGAAAGGCCTCGCAGTCGTAGCCGGCGGCCACGATCTCGTCCTCGGACTTCCACAGCAGGCTCTTGAACGGCAGCAGCTGCGTCGCGACGGTGAGCACCGCGCGGGGCGGCTGGTCCGGGCCGGCCGGGTAGACGACGGTGACGCTGCTGTCGTGGGCGGCGAAGGCGAGCGCGTCGCCGCCGGGCGAGAAGGCGACGGCGTGCACCCAGCCGGCCGAGTTGTTGAGGAACTCGCCGCAGACGGTGTTGAAGGGCAGGCGCTCGCCCCAGACGCCCGGTTCCGGGCGGGCGTCCATGCCCTTGATGAAGGCGGAGAAGACGCGGGCGTGGGCGTCGGTGGAGCCGGCGGCGAGCAGCACCGAGTTGGGGTGCCAGGCGACGCTGGTGATGGTGCTGCGGATCGGCTTCTTGAGGTGCTTGGACACCCACCAGTCGTTCTCCTCCTCGAAGTAGCAGACGGCGATGACGCGGTCGCCGGAGCCGACGGCGAACTTGGTCTCGGACGGCGACCACCGCACAAAGGTGCCGGCGCGGCTGATGCGCAGCAGCACGAGGGTCGGCTTGTATCCGGTCGGCGAGGGTTCCCAGACGAGGGCGTTGCGGTCTGCGTTGAGGAGAAGGGCGGGTTAATAGGAGCTCTCGTGGCCCAGGGCAGGGGGTGGAGGGGGGTCGAAAACGTTGTCGTCGCCTTACCTTGCGAGCAAGTCACGATTCGGCCGCTGCTGGGCGCAATGTCAACGCTGGTGACCGTCTTGTCATGACCCTTCAGCTCATCTTTGAGCTTGAAGGTGTTTCCGACCTTGCCGTAGAGCTCGACGGCCGTGTCGCGCGCGACGGCGAGGACGCTGTGGTCAGCCGAGAAGGAGTGGTCGGCGATTGGGTTGTGGAACAAGTGGTGAACCTCGGGAGCAGCCATCTTGAAATGTTGGTTGGAGAAGGCAAGCGATAGGAGTAGCTCTCTACTATCGCTTCAAGCTGTTGTCGGGCAAATTGTTGGATGACGAGGTGGAGGTGTCAAGCGTCAGGCGGGAAGCGACGTTGGCAGCGGGGCGGGGTTGGTGCATTACGTAGGCGAGTTGGCTGAGGTTTGCACTTTAACTCACGCCGGCGGTTTGAACTGGCGGTAAAACGAGGTATTAAAAGCTCTGTAAAATTGTTGCACAATTTTAAGGTAATTAATATTCATTAGCCTTTTTGGATGGGCTTGTGGCTATCAGAAAACCCGGTGTGGCCGGTGATGACCTGTTTGCCCTGGGGTTCTGGGACAAGACTGAAGATGTGGTCCCGCCAAGCTGAGACTTCGACGCGGGCGGCATGGTGGTGACACGGCTAGCGGCGGCAGCGAGGCAGGCAATATCATCATCTGAGTGCTATTCTTCCTTCTCACCAGATACAAGAGTGCGTTTTCCAAGGCCATGGTATAGGTGAAGCCTCCATCAGCATCGGTCACGGAACAACACAACACCATAAACAAGTCCAGCTTAAAAAAAACTGTTGCAACGCGTATTAATGTATGGCCTATGGTAAAGATGTTGCCAAAGTTACAAGAGACAGTCCAGCCCCTTCCGATGAACATGTGTAACCAACGGCTTGGCCACAGCTGAGCACACAAAAGTATTGTCAAGGAGAAGCACCTGGTGTAAGATATAAAGCGGTGCGTGTTACGCCCTAGTTACCGCATGGCGCGTAAGCTGTGCATTGTAAATTTGGCAGGTCTTTTGGTAGGAAATACACCGGCGAGTTTCCTTTATCGCCTATGCGCAGTAACTCAACCGTTGAACTGAGACGGCTTGAACGGTGTGACTTTGACATGCCTTTCTTGCTGTAACTAGCAATTCATTCCTTGTCAAGTCTTTGTATGGTGGGAATATCGCCTGGCTGTTTGGAATTTAGAATGGATTGTTCGAAAAGAATAAAAGAAATTCACCGATTAAAGGACAAAAGAAGCGAAAGCATAATTGAAAATAAACAAGTTAAATGAATAAAGAAAATTAAAGAGCAGTGGCCATTTACAAGAACATCGGGGCCATGTCGGGGCAGAGCTTGTGATGCACTGGGCAGGGACCAAGCCTGTGCCATGGCCGCATTTTAGGGAGAAGAAACATTGCAGAGTCACCGGTAGAATTGGTGATGCTTTCAGTGATACGGATGGTGAAATATCGTGGGTCAAGTTCGAATCGTTTTGCATTGTTCCCAGTGACACCCTCCCATTGTCAGAGAGTAGTTGCTATCACAACTCAAAGAAACTGCGGGTGAATTTCGCCGTGTCGACGGCTGCATCGTTGCCCTTCACTATTAACTTCCGTTGACTTAGCGTCGAATCTTGCTTGTAGTTGATGTGAAAGAGTTTCGACTGGGCCCTTTACGTTTGTAACTTAAGAAAGGGCCTATCGACTTGTACATCGACAAGGGTTGGTGCAGCGGGCAGCAGGACATCCTATCTCAATCACCCAGCAGTTTGATGGAATTTGTGATAGATAGACTTTTTCACGCATATTGAACGACAACAAAGTCTCTATTGTTATTTTTCTATATTAGATTCACACCGAGCATTGGAGCACCGTCAGACAATGGGAAACACAGTCGGCTTGCAGAACCTTTCAGGAAGTGGTAAACCATATGTGACTCAGTTTCCTGCCAAGTAGAAATCACGCGCCGTCATTAAAGTTGCTGCCGCTCTGTGCGAGGGTCGCTGATTCAGTCTTGCCCCGTCAGTAAACAAGAGAATCGCCCTGGTTGTGACGGGTATAAATACACCCAGACACCTCGCCCTTCCCCGACAGCTACATGGTAATTCTTCAACGACCGCGCTGACAGTTTCGACACTACTCCGGACACAATACAAGTACAGCAGCAGAACTTGACTCTCTTGAAGATAATATTGGCACAATGAGCGACCGGGTTCCCCGAAGACGCAGGGGAGAAAAGGCACGAGAGATTAACGTTCCTGAATACGACGAGCCTCTCCGGCTATCAGCCGAGCAGTGGTCTCAAGTTTGGTGTCCTCAGTGTATCAACGGGCTCTTTCACGACGACGACTTCAAAGAAATTTGCGAGTGCTCGCGAAGCGCTAAAGAAGAGCTGGCTCGGCTGGAATTCATCGATGTAATCAATGAACACTGCCGAGGCATAGTTTCTTCCAGGACAAAGCTGAAGGAGGGGGAGGACGCAGGCGAGCTACCCAACTGGACCACCAAGGAAACCCGCCCCGGCCTCAAGGTACGAAGAAAGCCCGGGCAGTCTACATCTACGTCGTCCCGCATACTGACAGTCTTTGCCAGAGGAAAATCCAGGTGCACAAAATTGCCATCGCGGCCCTCCTTTCGGAGACACGGAATTGCAGTAGCATGTACGTTCGCACGCCGGTCTTGCAAGATAGCTATCACGAAAAGGCTGTGGGTGTAACATACGGCAGGAAATATGAGCTGTTTTGTCTCCTCGATGCGGTCGCTGGAGAAGGAAGCACTGAAAACCCTTTCCTGCAGCTCCTTCCTTTGGACGATGCCGGTGCCCCGTTGCAAGATCCTGCTGGAGCGGGAGAGAGAGAGCGGCCAACGATTCATAATTATTAGCCAAGGATGCCCTGAGCTTCACTAGGAGGGATAAGTCTTAGTCAACTTTCATTCTATTGTATGGAAAATCGTCAGATGGGACCAGATAGCACGCGGCAAGAGATCATGCCCATGTCAATGAAAACATTTTCCCTACTTTTTCTCGCAACTCTATCGAGACATGTTTAAAAACCATACCGGCGGGTGAAATTGACAAGTACAGAGCCAAAACCTTGGAATAATGGAAACAAGCGCAATATTTCGCCCAAAGCGCCGTACTCTCATGGGCGGGCGGGTTGCGAAGAAGTGGTGACGAACGAGTGCTGTACGCTTGACCTTTGTCCGTTCAGCAGCAAGGGGAAGACATGTAAAGGGAAATTTACGATAGCTAGTCGACGAGTCCTGGAGTGGGGACCATCGCTGTCTTGCTAGAACATCCAACATGAGCAACAGGAAGCCTCCAGGGGACGTAGATCCAATTGGTCGTGCGCGGTCTCTTTTAGTGACGGGCCATCTTACCGAGCATCTCGCCCGCGAGTGTCAAGGCGCACCACGCGTAGTTCAAGACTCTTCACCTAGGAGAAAATGCCCCATGGAGCAAAAGAGGCTGGAAGAGAAAGTTGCCCTGGGCGATCGTTGGTGCGAGCCCGATGTTCATGCTGCTGCTGTCATTGCCGCTCTGTGCCGATGATATCCCAAAAACACCGAAAAAGAGGAAAAAGGAAAATAGATGAATAAAAATAAAAATAAAAATGAGCGGGATGAAAAAAAAGTGAGGAGGAAGAGTTGAGGCGATAAGATATAGGCATGTAGGCGTAGCATTGAACATGTGCTTAACGCAGAGGTAGCTATTACCTCCACTGAAACACATCGGGCGTGGCTCATCGTGATGGGATACGGCGAACTTTGGGGGTTGCGCCCATTTATCGAAGAAATACGGTGTCGTTTTCCTGCTTCAGCCCTGCGCCCTACTCCGATGTTATTCTCTCTTGTCCGCGGACTACTGCTCAAGGAGACCCGGCGCGCTGCCTCGGTTCACAGTGGGGCTTACGGACCGGGGTGGAGTCGATCGCCTCCGGCACTCGTTTACAAAGTCCGGTGCCCAATGAGGAATATTTTTACGATCTCGTCCTGCCGGCCATCGACGAAACCGGACCCGTTTATGTCGCTCCATTGGCTTTCAGAACTCGCAGTCACGCACCAAAGCTCGAGCTATACGCTGGGTTGAAAGGAATAGAAGGCACGTTTCGACCAAGTACTAGTTAGTGCCTATGGTAGGAACGGAAAATTTAGCGATCGAGGGCAGCGGTAGAAGGAAGATGAAAAGCAGTCGTAGTAGAACCAGAAAATCAGTAAAATCAGAAAATCGAGTAAAAGCCACCCGGTGGTCTGGCTGGATGACGGACCTAGTTCGGCACCGTCGTGCCGGAGGGCTCGGAGTTCCCGTAGCTTAGTGGATACCCAACGCTACGCCCAAGCTCCGGTAGCGCATACTTCGTTATGCTCTAGAATAATGTTGACGTAGCTTCCATTGATGCCCGAGATAAGACTTTCCGAGACCAACAAGGCATGACGTAACAGTCAATTGTTCTTATAAAAGGGCTCACGCTCTCCCGAGTTTGCCTAGACGCTGACCAGACGCCACTCACACACTACCCCATCAAACTTCCCCATTCAATTCACAAGCAAAAGATCATGGGATTCACACTACCCTCTACGGACGGCCGCGTCGTCACCGTCCTCGGCGGCGGTGTCCTCGGCCGCCGCATCGCCTGCGCCTGGGCCGCCTCCGGCTTCGACGTCGTCATCCGGGACCCCAGCGCCGAGCAGCGCATCGCCGCCGTGCACTACTGCGAGACGAGCTTCCCCCAGTACTCCGCCCACCACTCCCCTCGCGGCTCCGTCACCGCCACCGAGGACCTTGCCGCCGCCGTCGCCTCCGCCTGGCTCGTCATCGAGGCCGTGCCCGAGAAGCTACCGCTCAAGGTCTCGACGCTCGCCGACCTCGAGTCCCTGGCGCCGCCCGACGCCCTGCTGTGCAGCAACTCGTCCTCGTACAAGAGCCGCGAGATGCTCGGCGGCCTGCGCCGGCCGGAGGAGACGGCGCGCCGCGTGCTCAACATGCACTACTACATGCCGCCGGGCAACCGCGTGGTCGAGCTGATGACGTGCGGGCAGACGGACGAGGCCGTCTTCCCGTTCCTCGTTGAGAAGCTGCAGGCGGTCGGGATGCACCCGTACGTGGCGAGGAAGGAGTCGACGGGGTTGATATTCAATCGTCTCTGGGCGGCGATCAAGCGCGAGGTGCTGACGATCCTGGCCGAGGGCGTGTCGACGCCGGAGGAGGTTGACAAGCTCTGGCTCGAGGTCTGGGGCGGCAACAAAAGCGGCCCGGTTGCCATGATGGACGCCGTCGGCCTCGACACCGTGTCGTTCATCGAACAGCACTACATCTCCGAGCGCGGGCTGCCAAACACGCCGGTAGACTTTCTGAAGACGTACATTGACGAGGGCCGGCTGGGCACCAAGTCCGCCAAGGGCGGGCTGCTACCTCCCGGCGGCGGCCCCGCGGCCCCTAGCGAATCAGCCGGCTCCGGCCACGACGACCTTCACGCCCCGCTCTTGTACTTCCTCGACATCGGTCTCTCCGCCGAGGACCCTCGCGAAGCCTTCCGCGCCGGGCGAGTACTCGTCGGCGCCTCGGACGAGCGGCCCCTCAAGCCGCTCGTCAGCAACCAGCGCACGCCCGACGGCATAGACGTCGCCCTCTCCGCCGGCAAGCTCTTCTGGACCAGCATGGGCATCCCCAGCCGCGACGACGGCTCCATCTGGAGCGCCAACCTCGACGGCAGCGACGCCAAAGTTCTCATCCCGCCCGGCTCCGTGAACACGCCGAAGCAGCTCGTCGTCGACCAGGTCAACGGCAAGCTGTACTTCACGGACCGCGAGGGCCTGCGCGTGCTCCGCTGCGCCCTCGACGGCTCCGCGCTCGAGACGCTCGTCGAGGCCGGCGACCGGCGCGACCCGGCGCACGTCGCGGACCAGACCCGCTGGTGCGTCGGCGTCGCCGTGTCGCCCGCCACGGGCACGTTTTACTGGACGCAAAAGGGCCCCAGCAAGGGCAGCCGGGGACGCGTGTTCCGCGCGGGCACGGAGTTTCGGGAGGGCGAGACGGCGGCGACGAGGACGGACGTGGAGGTGCTGCTGCAGGGGCTGCCGGAGCCGATCGACCTCGACGTTGACGAGGAGGGCGGGCACCTGTACTGGACGGACCGCGGCGAGCTGCCGATCGGCAACAGCATTAACAGGGTCAAGTTGGAGGGCATCCAGCCGGTGCGGGACGAGGGCGCGAGGAGCGTGCCGGGCAAGGACTATGAGCTGCTGGCGAGGAACATGCACGAGGCGATTGGCATCAAGCTGGACCTGCGAAACCGTCACATCTACACGACGGATTTGGGTGGCGCCGTGTATAGGTTTGGGCTGGACGGCATGGATAAGAAGAGATTGTATGAAGGAGCTGGCGCGTTTGCTGGAATCGCTTTGGCTTATGTCTAGAACGATGCTTTATCACGAATAGATCTGAATAGAACCATGTATGACTGTTATCTTTGAATTTACGGAAGCACTTCGCCTCACCATCTGCAAAATAATGTACATGGCTGACAGATAGGTTTTATGCGCTGCAGCCAGCAGACTGGCCCGTGATTAGATTGCATGCATCCTTGAATTACCAAGTACCGGCAAAGCCTATTTTACCCTGACACTGAATTTGTTCCTTCGACATGAGCGCCAAACCATTACTATACATTGAAATCAGTACATAAACACCCATCTCTTACTCTGCCTGCTATAGGCATTCGATACCACGCAGCAAAACATCGATACCCTTCTCATCGATTTCAGCCTTGTCACCAAGCAAGTTTCCGACATCGCTGAGTATACCCAACGGAATGTAGCATCCCGTCTTTGCCTTGTCCAGGGATTCCTTGAGCCTGCTCGTGTGCTCCCATTCCTTGGCGGCCACCTCGGCACGCTCAATAACCTTGTTGGAGATGCCGCACATGGCGGCGCAGTGCATGCCAAAACTGCCCTCCGCAACGCCATCTTCCAGCTTGTAAAGGAAGGTAATGCGGCGCTCCGCGTCGTCTACGAGGATCTGCATGCGGCGGGCTCTGATCTCAGGGTGGTTCTCAAACTCGGTGGCGAGAGAGTGATAGTGCGTGGCGAAGAATCCGACACATCCTATGTGCGTCGCTACGTGGTGTAGCACAGCTTGGGCAACTGCAACGCCGTCATATGAACTTGTGCCGCGGCCCAGCTCGTCAAGAATGACTAGCGAGCGAGGAGTGGCCTCGGCCAGGATTTTCTTCGTTTCCGAGAGTTCAACAAAGAAAGTCGATTGCGCGGCGAAAATGTTGTCGTTAGCGCCGAGGCGAGACATAATTCTGTCTACAGGCGTGAGCTTTGCCGAGACGGCTGGCACGTAGCACCCGATTTGCGCCATGATGACCGCGATACAGGACTGTTTCGAGTTAGATATGCATTGGCCACATGCTTGATGATGTATGTACATACCATTCTCAGAACTGTAGACTTGCCCGCAGCGTTGGCACCCGTGAGCAGATTAATATTGGCCCGCTCGCCGCCGAGCTTGATATCGTTGGGGATAAAATCGCCGGTGGTGTTCAGCATACACGGGTGACGCAGCTCCTCAAACTCGACAAGACTTCGGTCCTGCTCCACGAACTGGGGACGGCAGCTCGGCTCGCCTAGGCACGATGATGCTTTGGCAAGGCTGACCAGGCAGTCTAACTGAGCAACGACCTGAATAGCACAGAGCCAAAGTTCGTAGTCAACGTCAAACTTTTTGCAAAAGCGCGTAGCGACGTCACGAACCAGCTGCGAATGCGTCTCTTCCGCCTCTTGAAGCTCGCGGACAAGAGCTGTTAGGTCAGTAAAATACCATCGCTTGACATCCTTTGTAGCGGACATCTGGCGCCAGCTGGAAGGCACTTTAACAGTCTTGGGGGCCTCAATTTGGTAAATTTCTTTGCCGACGTCGGTGAATTTGAGCGACTTGCACTTGAGCTCCGTCTTCTTGTCAGCTAGCAGCTCGTGAAGCTGACCCTTGATGCATTCCATGCGCTCCAAGCTGGCATCAAAGTCTTCTTCAATACCGCGCTCTGGTATGAGGATCTTCTCTTCCTTGGCCTTTGTTCTATTAAAGGCATTTCTCCAGTAGGCAAGCGGTTCCTCGAGGCTGGGCATGCCCGAGATCAAACGATCAAGCAAACCATTGCCGCCTTTGAAGGCGGACAACAGGGTCATCGTGTACTCAATCTGCTCAAACCCTTCCAGAACACGAACAAAGTCCTCGGGCTTGCAGGAGCAGGCATGGATTCGAGAGATCAGCCGCTCCAAATCCGGCATTTTGACGAGCTGGGAGGCAAATTGTTCGCGGACAGATGGATCTTTGTTGAGCATGTCTACCGCATCCAATCGTTCATTGACTCTATCAATGTTTTGAAGCGGATGAGCAACCCACTGGCGGAAAAGGCGTTTGCCGAAGGGTGTAATGCACTTATTAAGAAGCTGGAACAAGGTGCCCTCGCCGCCGCCATTAACCGAGTTAGAGAAGATTTCGAGATTGATGAGGGTCTGGCCGTCAAGAACCAGGGTGCCGTCCTTCTGAATGGGGTTGTATATGGAGAAGTTGCTCTGGGAAAGTAAAGGCCGCTCGACTTTGAGGAAACGTAAATACCAAACGAGAGCGCCAACTGCGGACATGACGAGGTCATTGTCCCTGTCCTTCTCGAGAGCCTCTGGCCATGCTACATCACCGTCCTCTCCCTTGGAGAAGTAGTTTGCAACAGCCAACTCGCGTCTGCAAGTATCGGCATCCCAGAACTCCACGTCAGATTTCAAGTGTGTCCAGATCGTGGTAGGACTGGTATTATTCTTGAGGATCCTGTTGGCCTTGGTCGAGATATGAGACTTCTCGAGCAACATTTCCCTTGGGCTGATTTGTGCAATGAAGGTCTCAAATTTGGTCAAATCAACGTCATCAACGAAACCAGTCAAAAAGAAGCGACCAGTGGCCGTATCGACAAATGCGATACCGAATGCGGGAAGCCCGTCCACAATGGACTCTTTGATGGCGACGCAGTGAGCCGCCATATCGTCTTGGAGCATGCTTCCATCGACTAATGTGCCGGCGGTAAGAACGCACGCAAGTTGACGAGAGATCACCTTGTCCGCCTTTTTTCCAGTTTTGTCCTGTCTTTCACGCATCTCCTTTCCGAGGTTGGTTTCCATCTGGTCCACCCGCGCAACCTTGTATTGCTTGGCAATGAATTGATTCACCCAGTGGTCAAGGACACTCTCAGGTACTCCGACCATGCGCATGTTGACACGGTCGGTCATTTTAAAATCGAATTCTTGGTGGCCGATTGTAGCATCATTTTCATACAGCTCGTAGAATTTGCCTTTTTTGAAGAACACGATCGTGTCCCAGAGATTCTGCTTAATCTCCCAGTACTGCTTCTCAAAAGGCGAGAACTTGCTCCAAGCAAGAGGAGGAATGTAGATTGTTCGTGGATCGTAGTCGGGGTGCCCCGGTTCGCGCTTCTCCTTGTCTCTGACCTTAGAGAGCCAAGAATAGCGTTCCTCGGGTTCTTTTGTGTGAGCCTTTTCCTTTCGCTTCGGGTCTTTTGCGGCACGCTCAACTGGGGTTGTCACAGGACGCTTCTCCTCGGATTCGGGGTCGTAGTTCCATTGCTTGGCACTGGTAGGCGGCGGAATATCGAGCATGAACTCATCTTCGTTTAGGTCGCTTAGCTCGTCTTTTGTGGCGGGTGGTGATATATTGGAGCGCTTCCGGGCAGTGTTTGGTTGCGATGGCCTCTTTCTCTTCTTTGGTCTGGGGGTCTCGCCGTCCGAATCGTCCGAGACAACAAAATCGTCAATATCGTCTAGAGCGACGATTAGCGATGGCGAACATCAGGAGTAGACTGTTATAGTTTACCTTGATCCTCTTGTGCGTCGGCGGCACCGTCATCACCATACTCGTCCTCGTCATCTAGAACCGGTCGTGTCCTAGTACGACGGCGGTTAAGAGTCGAGACTGGCTCGTCATCCTCGGAAGATTCCGCGTAGCTGACAGCTTTTCGTGACTACAGCAAATGTCAGGTAAAGTTGGTTGAAAACGGTGCTGTTTCACAGTTTCGGCATACCTTCCGTGCCGGGCTGCTACTAGCCGGGACCTTGATTGCTGGTCGAGGGTTGGACTTTGGTTCAATGGCCCTGGTAGGAGAGCTGGGGGCAATCTCGGTCTGAGAAGCTGCATCAAGGTTCTCCTGCGAGCTGCTGGGTTCCAACGCGTCGCTTGAAGGCACAGGCGTCGAGAGTTTCTGCGCAGGCTTCGCCTTTGGTAAGAAGTTGGCCTTGGTCTCCTTTAGACAAGAGCTGGGGTCGGAAGAGACCTGTTTGCGAGCAGCTGGCGATGGGGTCGCAGCCGGAGAAGATTTCTGAAAGAAGGACATGATAGATCTCTGCTTGGCAGAAGAAGAGATTGACGCGGCAGCCTTTGCCGGCTGTCGCGCTGGAGTGCGCGTGGCATTGGTGTTTTCGCCCGCCATTATGCACGAAGCTGCAAGGAAGGGCGTTTGCTGTACGTACACGCGGCTGGCAAACGCAGCAGAACAATTCGGTTAAGATGATATCATACAGATTTTGCAGGAGCCGATTGAATTCAAGCAAAGTATTAATGACGATCAAAATGGCAAGAAGAGCATGGTGTGATGGGCCAGGAGAAGATGGATGGACGAGAATCCCCACCACTTTAAGCTGGCGCGTTGGAAAGTCGCGTTCTGGACAGGGACTCGCGTAAAGGGACACCAGTGGGGCGGTCTGGATACCTGCATCCCGTCTCACTGGCGACAGCACTGCCGTGTCTCTACATTTCTGTATTCTGGAACATGTGAGAATGTATATGGAATTATCCTAGCAGATTCTATCTACGAAAAATCCAACGAAATGCCTTTAATACCAGCAGCGCAAGCATAAAGAGGAGATATCGCAACCCAGTGCTGTGACCAGTCCGCAACAATTTTCGAGAGCGGGTGACAACCCCCTTTGCTCGTGGATAGCTGATGCTATCATACGCTGCAACTGCCTCTTCCAAAGAGTTGCCTTTAACGAGTTGCTCTGCCAGATCCCACGCGTCGCTTAACCCAAGATTCGCACCGTATCCTGCGAACGGGCTCAGGGCATGATTGCTATCGCCGATGAAGACAACTGGCATTTTGCCTATCTCGGAATGCTGAAAGGGTAGCTTGTCGTGGGCATTGATGCACATCACCGTCTCCGGATCTGTCTTGGAGAGAATGGTCTTGAAAGGTTCTGCAATATTGGAGCCCAAACTCGCGCATTGCTGGACGATGAGCTTCGCATGATCGACATCCCGTATTTCAGTCGACACCTTGGGCTCCAAATGACCAACGGCCCATTGAAGATCCCCTTTTCCTGCCGGGGACACGAAGCATGATGTGCCGCTGCCAGATAGAACAAACCCCCAGTTTCTGCCAATTTCCTTTGGCAACGGACCGGAAAATCTGGACACCGCTGTGCGCAGAACTGCCCCTGTGTATTCCAGGACATCGCTCGGCCGTAGAAAGCTGCGGATCTTGCTATTGGCGCCGTCCGCAACGACGACGATGTCGCAATCCATAAACCGAGGCTTGTTTTCATCGACTCGGATTGTTTCCACCGCCAGGCGACCAGAAGGCAGCTTCGACATGGACAGGCACTGAGTACCCCAGTATACGGCGTCTTCGTTGTTGAGCTGAGCACCTTCAAGCAGTATTTGACGAATCTGCTTCCGGGAAATGCGTACGTTTGCTGTCGGTATTCCTTGCAGGGGGGAGCGTCGTCCTCCTCCCATCTCTATCCAACCCGATGTCCAGAGCTTAAAAGCACCGTCGTCGCCTACGCCTGCGATGGCCCCGCGCAAAACATCGAGGAGAAGTCCCATCTTATTGAGAGCGATGAGCCCGCCTGATACGTCGCTTCCAATAAGAGACAAGCTGTAGCCCCCACGTCGTTCATGTGTAGCCTTGGGGTCACGGTCAAACACCGAGATGTCTGGAAAAGGACTGTCATAGTCCCATGCAGCCCGGAGGCTAGCAACAAAGGCAGAGCCGGAAAGGCCAGCGCCGATGACAAATATCGACTTTCCTGAGAGGAAGTGGTGAGATGGGAGGTTGGTAGACATTGTATTGTGACTTCGTAAAATTCGAGTAGAGGAGGGAGTAGAAAGATGAAGCACCAGGGCAATGTCTACTTTTAAAGCCCTGGTAATGTCTTGCGTCACAAAATGCGTGGCTGATATCTTTGCTGTGAAACAGTGTGCAGCTGCAGGCGTGGTCAGCTGTTGATGCCTATATGGCACACAGAACGCTAACTTGGAAAATACTTTGCAGATCATGCATACACGAAATTCTCTTTATGGGATTAAAACCTTTATCCGTATGGCAGTTGTGTATCGACGTGGTAGGCAGTGGTTGCTGAGAAAGGTGTGCAGGCGGACTGGATAGCACTGGATAGCCCGTTGAAATTGGTATTGAAAGGCTGAGACAGTTCAGAAACGGAGACACAGCTTTTCTAGCCATGAAAACAAAAAAGAAAAAAGAAAAGGAAAGAGAAAGCTGAAGAAGCGGCCTGGTTTTGCGGGATCATACAGCTCAGGTCTTGGTGCGATGGCAGGCGCAGAGTGTCCGAATTAGGAAATTCGTGTGCGGACTTTGTGCGAGTCGGCCGAACCGTCACATGGGTATGCAGGTTGAGACCGCCAGGATTTGTGTGTGAAATAAAAAGACATGAGACGTGAGTTTACATATTAATAGCCATGTCTGAAGTAATGGAAATTTCCGTGATACCGAGAGCTGCCTACAACCTCGCAAGCACAGAGGCGTCTCTTCAGCCGCCATGCTTGCGAAGAAGATGCAAGTAGGTTGTACATACATACATTGTACGTTAGTTACTCTAGCGCTGTGCCAGCATGAAAATACCCCGCCATTTTTTGCTGTGCAGAGCTGCCCCGCCAAAAGTTTTCGCATCATCGCATGAACAATCCGAGCATCGCCGGAATAGAGAAATCGCGTGCCCAGTGTTGTTTAAAAAAACATGTCCGCCGATCTCGCCGCGCCACCGGTCCTGTCCACCCCCGAAGACCGCATTTTCGAAGCCGCCGCCACGCTCGAGGCGCCCTCCTCCCTCAGCGACGACGACCTCCGCGAGATCTACGATGTCGAGCGAACAATAGCGGAGCTGCTGGCCGGCGGCTGGACGCGAATCGCGCTTCAGTTCCCGGACCACATGCTCGTCGACGCCCCAAAGGTCTCGGAGATTCTCGGCAGAGAGCTAGACGCGCGCCGCGGGGAGGACGAGGAGAAGAAGAAGAAGCCGGTCAAGGTCTCGATCCTCGCGGACACGAGCTACAGCGCCTGCTGCGTGGACGAGATCGCCGCGGAGCATGCGGATGCCCAGGTCGCGGTGCACTACGGCCGGACGTGCCTGAGCCCGACGAGCCGGCTGCCGGTGATATACGTCTACACTACGCATAAGCTGGACCACGGCGCGGTCCTGCAGGAGTTCCGCAAGGAGTTTGGCGACACGGCCAGTAAGGTGGTCGTCATGGCGGACTTGACCTACCAGAGCCACGTAGAGACAGTCGTGAAGCTGTTGAAGGACAGCGGCTATCCAGACATTGTCGCGACGCAGGCGACGAGAAACCCGGCTGGCGTGCTACCGAACAGGCAAATAGTCGGCACGGAGCTGGACGCCGAGCAACTAAAGGAGTACGCCCTCTTCCACATCGCAGACCCCCCGCAGTCTCTCCTCCTCGCACTTAGCTCCCGCTTCGCCTCCCTCCACATTCTCTCCATCCCGTCCTCGTCGTCCACGGCCTCGACCCTGACCATCGACAACCCTACGATCCAGACCGCCGGCCTGCTGCGGCGACGGTTTGCCAAGGTCCTGTCGCTGGCGTCCGCAGGCGTCGTCGGGATCCTCGTCAACACGCTGTCCGTGTCCGACTTTTTGCCGTCCATCGACCTTCTGCGCGCCAAGATCGCCGCGGCCGGCAAGAAGAGCTACACAATCGTGGTCGGCAAGCTGAACCCGGCCAAGCTGGCCAACTTTGCCGAGGTCGAGGGCTGGGTGGTGGTCGGGTGCTGGGAGAGCGGGCTGGTCGAGGACGACGCGAGCTACTGGCGGCCGGTGGTGACGCCGTTCGAGATGGAGGTGGCGCTGATGGACGTGCAGGACCGCGTCTGGGGGGATGAGTGGTGGGGAGGCATCGAGAAGCTCAAGGTGGACGATGAAGAGAAGGAGAAACAGACGGAGGCGAATGGTGGCCACCCGGCGCAGAATGGCAACGGCTACGATGCCGAGGGAGGGGATGACGAGATTGACGAGGACGAGTCGATGCCACCCGAATATGACCTCCGGACAGGCCGGCTGATTAGCCACAGTCGACCGATGCGCTTAGCAGTGCGCTCAGCGGCTGCCAATGGTGAGGAGAAGCAGGGAGGCGAGTCTTCATCGGCAGGAACAGCGCTCATTTCGAGAGCGGCCGGGGAGATTGCCAGCATCAACGGCGTTGCCAGCCCCGGCGCGGAGTATCTGCGCTCACAAAGAACGTGGCAGGGCCTGGGAACCGACTTTGACCAAGAAGCCAGTACGTTGATTGAGAAGGGCAGGAGTGGTATAGCAAGAGGCTACACGGTAGGCGATGAAGACAAGGATAAGCATTAGCATGGGGCGGCGCACTGATTTATGGGACGGGACATGACATCAAAAACAGAATAGACGGATAACTCGAGGACCTGTATTCCTTTGTAAAACCTTTTTTTGTAAAAAGACAAGCTTTTAAAGGTGCGTGGGGTGGGTTGGAATCAAGGCCGAGAGTATCCTCTGGGGCACCTTGCAATCCGCTTCTCGCATCGCCCGCCACTCGTGCACCAAGACGCTCATGAAGATCTCATCCCAGCGCCTGTTCTTCAAGTACAGCGCCTCCCTCTTCCTGCCCTCCTCCCGGAACCCGACCTTCTCGTACAGCCTGCGCGCATCCTCGTTCCACTCGTACACCGTCAACCCGACCCTGTGCATGTTCGCGTAGCCAAACGCCCAGTCCAGCGCCCAGCGCAGCGCCTCCCCGCCGTACCCTCTGCCCTGGAAGGACCGGTGGATGCCGATGCCGAGCTCTGTGTTGCCGTGCTGCGTCGACGCCGGGTCCGACGCGTCCAGGATGAGCTTGCCCACCGGCTCCAGCTTCTCCTCCTCCTCCTCTTCCTCCTCCTCCTTGCTGGTGCGGTTGACGATGACGAAGAGCAGCTGGCTGTTGTGATGGCGGAGGATGCCCTCGTGGAAGGCACGCGTCATGGGGCGCTGGATCTGGGAGCAGGCGCGCGTCCAGGAGACGGGGTCGGCGTGCATGGAGAAGAGGAAGGCGTCGTGCTTGTCGGCGTCGAACGCGGTGTAGACGAGGCGCTCGGAGCGGTGAGGGTTCTCGACGGTAGGCGGAGTGGACGTGATGGGGGACGGGGCTGACATGGTGGGAGGATGAACGAATAGCTGTTTGAAGTGGTGGATGGAATGAGGTGAAGGATTGAAATTGGAGCTTCTATTTTGATGGTCAAGGGTGGGCGTAATCTCGTTCGTACCTGCCGTTCCCGCCTCACCACCTGCCTCAGAAGGTGAGGCGGTCGGGAAGCGGGGACATCGCGAGGTCACCAGGTGATCAGCGGACAGTAGATGGGCTCACCGTGTGTCTGGCGTTGTGTTCTCAATTTGACTGATTCGAGTCATTATAATTTTAGGTGCTTTTCTTTTTTTCACATTTTCCTGCGTTTTATTTATTTTATTTTACACATTCTCCGAGAGCTTTCGACTTGTCTCTATTCCCTATGAAGGATTCATGGCCAAGTATGTACGACACGTATTTACATAGAAAGTGACCAATAAAGTCGGTGACGACAATTCTACAACTTGGCCGGTGGTCCGGTCTCTCGAACCACGGCAATGGATTCGACCGCAGATCTATCCCGAAGCTTCCGTCTCAAAATCTTGCCCGCCGGACTCTTGGGGATGACACTGACTACTTCAACCTCGACGATCCACTTGTGCTTGGCCTTGTTTGATCTTACAAAATCGATGAGTGCCTTGCCGGCTTCCTCGGACGACGGCGCGTTATCCTGTAGCACCACGTACGCCTTGAGGCGCTCGCCAGCGCGGTCGTCGGCAATACCGCAGACAGCAGTATCTTTGACAAAGGGGTGACCGAGAAGCAAGTCCTCCAGTTCTGCTGGAGCAACGCCGATACCCTTGACCTTTACCATATCCTTGATTCGGTCTGTGATGGAAACAAAACCCTCAGCATCGATGCTCCCGATGTCGCCCGTGTGGAGGTATCCTTCCGCGTCAAAGGTTTCGGCCGTTGCCTTTGGGTTGTCCAGATAGCCCATTGTCACTTGCGGACCCCTCGCCCAGAGCTCTCCCGGAGTGTCTATGCCGCAGTCCTGTCTCGTGTTTGGATCCACGATGCGTAGCTCCGTTGAGCCCACCAGCTGGCCGACCTTGAATGCGTACTTGTAGTCGTACTTCGTTACGGGATGCGTGGTGAGCACCGAGCAAGACTCGGTCATGCCGTAAGCCTGCTTGAACCCGGTTCCTGGAAACTTTGCCTCGAGAGCGGTCAGGATCTCCTGAGAGAGCGGCGCGGCCCCAGAGGAGAAGCGGCGGACATGCGAGAGATCGTACTTGCCCACCAGCTCGGGTTCGCGGACGAGCCGGATGATGATGGGCGGGACGAAGAGGACCTCTCGTATCTTGTACTCGACGACGGTGCCCAGGGCAACGTCGAGGGTGAACTTGGGCACGACGTACACGTTGGCGTTGAGGAGTATGGGGAGGTGGAACTGGTGGATGAGGCCAGTGATGTGGTAGAACGGCAGCGCGGCCAGGAATTTGTCGTGGTCGGGCGGCGTGACAGCCTGCATCTGCAAACACTGCGCGATGACGTTGGCGTGCGAGATCATGACCGCCTTGGGTAGGCCGGTGGTACCGCTGCTGAAGCCAAAGTACGCGCAGATCTCGCCGTTTGTCTTGCCTGGGGGCAGCTTCCATGCCGGCACCTGCGAACTGAGCTTGCTGCCCTGCACGATCAGCTCGTCGACGCTCTGCACGTCGCTGCGCTGGCCGTCGATCAGAAAGACACGCTCGCGCGCCAGCCCGCACGCGGCGGCGGCCGCCAGCGCCGTGCCCACGACCTCGGGCCCGGCGAGGAGGAAGCGGGCGCGGCTCAGCCGCAGCGTGTGGGCGAGCTCGTCGGCGGTGTACTCGGGAGACGCGCCGCACGCGATGCCGCCAGCGCGCACGGCGGCGAGCGCGGCGACGGGGAAGTAGAGCGAGTTCTTGCTGAAGACGACGGTGACGTCGCCGGGGTGCAGGCCGCAGGACCGGACCAGCGCAGAGGAGAGATGCGTGGCGTACCGCCGGACCTGGTGGAAGGTCAGGTGCCGCCTGGTGGTGACATCTGTGAAGCCGGCTGGCGGCGCCAGAGGAAGGGAAGGGGAGGCGGAGGCTTCTAGAGCCGGGCCGGATTCAAAGAGCCACTGCCAGATGGTCTGGTCTTTCGGGTCTGCCGTTTGGAGGGGGTTTAGAATGGGACTTGAGTGGTCGGGCAGCTTTATTGATGCTGGGAGTACTCACAGGAGATATCGGCTTGCTTGGATTTGAAAACCATGATTCCGGGGATTGAGATGGCGATGGAGGATCGATGATTGCAAGCCACGATGCGGGGAAGCTTGTTTTCTACGTATAGCCGTGACCGAACTGTCCGTTGACGGAGCCCCCGCACCGGAACGTTGGCCGGACAGGGGTCAGTGTTGTAATGTATTGGTAATTATTAAGTTCTTACTACCATCAGGAGCTGTACACGGCAAAATGTTTCACAGGATGTAATTTCTGCAAGTGTTGTGGCATGTTCAGGACCGCAGAACTTACCCATACTGTAGACAGCACCAGTACATCATCCCTCGCAGGCTGTGATATTGCCACACAGAGCTGCCAAGCTCATTCATAGCGGTCTATCGCGTGCGAAGACGAAGAAAATTATTCATAAATATCTATGCTCATTATTTTCGGTAGCCATGTCTATGCTAAAAATACAATGCAATTATACACAAATGACCGGATTACAGTAAGATCGTCTTCCTTGCCATGTCCAACACGACTTGGACATGCCACTTCACCATTCATTCACAGTCCCTTCCCAGCCAGCGCCAGGATCCTCTCCGCCCCCTTCTCTCCGGCCACCATAACCGCGAACTGCGGATTGACCGTCATCGGCGAAATGATCGAGGCGTCCACCACGTGCACGTTCTCCGTGCCTACCACCCTCGTATCCGCGTCCACGCAAGCCCCGATGCGGCACGAGCTCGACCAGTGGTTCACCTGCCCGCGCGCGTACGCTGACGCCGTCGTCACGTACCGCTCAATCTCCTCCACCGTCGCGGTGCGCGCGATGTTCAGCGGCGTCAGTCCCTCCGCCGCCGGTCTCTCCGGCGTCGACGCCGGCAGCGCTTGAAATATGTCGTGCACGAACGCGGCCACCGCCCGCGCGTCCCGGGGGTGGGAGTAGTACGTGTCCGCGCTCGCGCCCGCCACGAAGCGCCCGTCCGAGGACAGTTCCACGCGGCCGGCGGAGAGCAAGCCCGAGGTCCCGTACACGTTGAGCGTGACCGTGTGGGCGCCGGTGTAGTCGGCGTAGCCGGCGGAGCTGATCGTGCCCTGGACGCCGGAGCGCGAGCCGTCCTCATGCGGCACGTACGTCCAGAACGCGGCCGCCTGCGACGCGAACGAGTAGCGCCCGCTCCGCGCGTCCAGGTAGAGGTCCCGCCCCGCCGGGTCCGGGTCCTCGTAGCGGTAGGCGAAGGAGGTAATCGCGGGGGAGGACAGCTCGATAAAGGTGTTGGGGTTGTCGAAGAGGCCCTCGCCGACGGCCGGCTGCACGACCCACGAGGAGGGCGCGGCGTACGCGCCGAACGAGGCGTCCGAGAGCCGCTGCAGCGTCTCCCGCGGGCCGATGCCGGAGTGCATCAGCAGCTGCGGCGACTGCAGCGCGCCGGCGCTCAGCACGACGCGGCCACCGGGCGCCAGGCCGACGGACCTGCTCGCGCAGCCGTCCTCGACCTCCACGCCCGACGCTGTTCCGTTCTCGTGGATGACGTGCTTGACCCTGACGCCGGTGGCGAGGTGGAAGTTGGGCCGCGAGAGGGCGCTCTGCAGGTAGGTCCGGACCGGCCCGCCGCGCTGCCCGTCGATGTAGTTGTAGACGGGGCGGCCGTACACGCGGTCCTTCCGGTCGGGCTCAGCGCCGAAGTCGACCTCGGCGAAGCCGGCGCCGTCGACGAGCCAGGTGTGGGCGGCGGCCTGGATGTCCTCGACGTAGGTCCGGCCGTCGGCCGAGTAGTTGGTGACGGGCGGCTGCCGCTGCAGGAGCCGCTCGGTGGCGGCGCGCACGTCGGCGCTGCGCCAGCCGGGCGGGTGGTGGTCGTCCCAGTCGGAGGAGGGCGGCTGGAAGTACAGGCCGGCGTTGATGGCGCTGTTGCCGCCGAGCGTGCAGGCCTGGTACGCGCGGACGGCGTCAGGCTTGCAGAGCAAGCTGGAGTTTGGGCTGTCGAAGATGGTAGAGTCTGGGGGGAAGGGGCGGAAGAGTTAATACAGGCGGTCTGGGGTGTCTCGGTGTGCATTTGGTGAGGGTATGTGCGTACAAAGGCCGGGGACGTCGACGCGGCTCAACTCTGTGCCGTTGAGCCAGGCTGGACGTTCAGTGCCGCCTGAAATGCCGTAGGATGGACCGCCCTGCTCGAGGAGCAAGGTGTTGAGACCGGCTTCACTGAGTCTATCGGCAACGATAATCCCCGAGGTGCCGGCACCAACAACAATGGCATCCCATTTTTGCAGGGTCCAATCTTTCGGGGTCGGGGAAGCGCTGGCCAGCGCTGCCAGCAGTATCGTATGTGAGTATTTCATGGTAGCTAGCAGCATATGAGGTAGCAATGAATGTCCCTAGACAGATGCAGGATCATCGTGAGAAGCAGTCCAGCTTTATACACGGCGACGAGTTTCCATCAACTCAAAGAAAACCTCACTGCCGACGTCATACCAAGGCACTTCTTCAAGAACCCGCCGCCACCCGCCCAGCTCGCACCCGAGAATTTCCTTTTATAGAACGAATGCCCTCGTATTGTTCCGGTTTGCTGGGTCGCGGCACCCACAATTACGACTATGCCGTCATTGTCGGGCCTGCACTAGGCCCGAGTCAGGCGCAGGGCTGAAGGTCGAAGACTTAAGAGAAGTCTTGAGAGCGTGTTGGCGTGAGGAGACAATGAGAACAGCTGCGACTGCCTTTTTATCCCAGATATGACCGGGTGACTTCCGGTATCCATGTCGCACATCGTACGACTGTTTGTCTCAACTCGTTTGTATGTACATAGTTACAATGTCTATCTGATTGACCAACCAGTAGACCCTGAAGCTATTTTAGCTCGGATAGTCTGGCAAGTTCTTGTCTGGGCGATTACAGTGGAGTGCCGTGCTCGGACATTTCAGCTTTCAGAGCTACTGGTAATAATAATAACTAGGTTCTGTCTTGCATTGAATTGCTGCAAGTGCAAGCTGCGGGATTGTGCCTCAATTAGCGCTTTCGTGGTCTTGCAGCGATGATCAAGTGCAATGATGACTCTACGGTAGCTCGTATCCCGTAACAGCATGACAAAAAGAGGCGAGAAGCGAAACATTATTTATGTAAATTTTATAATTACAATCGACTTGAGCGCAGCAATAAATCGTTGGGCACTTGTTTTTGTTTTATATTATATCCGTAAGGCCAAGTTTGTGCATTTCAGCAACAGGAGGAAACCACTGCGCCACATTGGATACCCTTGACCAACGAAAAGAGAAAGAGAAAAACTTTATTCTATCATGCCTCATAATGCAAAATTACAATGTACTACGAAAAGAGTGAGGATGATACATCCTTTGTCCGTGATCGGCTTCTTGACTCCGATGACATACACATTCAGGTAGCTAGTCTCGGCCACCTCACCTCATCGACTCTGGTCCGCCCTCCATAGCCGCAAGTTGGCCTGGAGGAGGCCCATGATCGCCTTGATGTCCTCGCCAACCGAATTGCCCAGCGCCTCCGCCGCCTTACTCAGCTCGGTCTCCGTCAGCTCGATCGCGCCCTCGTGCATGCCCATGATGTCGTAGTAGAAGACGGCTGCGTTGACTATGATGCTCATCCGCAGCGAGCTTCCCGCATCGAAGCGGATCTGCGCGAGTTTCACCGCGTCCTTTATGTGCGGTTTTCTCCAAGTCAGCCTTTCCTCGTTTATCAAGCATGCCCTGGCGCCAAACTCACGCCGTAAGCCGAGGCGGCCAGCTCTGTCCGCACGATGCGCTTCTCCTCGGACGTGCACTCCGCACTATACCGATTGTAGTCACCTCTCCTGTCACAGAAATTAGCGTTCTGAGGGGGCCCCTTTGCATTTGTCAAGTAAATGTCAAACATTTTCAGGCAAAAGAGGAGTGTTTCATCCGTGGTGGCGCTCGGGTAGATGTGCTTGTCCACGAGATCAATCACCTCATCGCACAGCTCCTCGAGCTCTGCCTCGACGCCCCTGCGCGCTTCCTCGATCAGTCCGAGATGCTTGCCGTTGCTGGCTCGCTGGTCCTCCTCGACGGCGGACATGGCCCGCCAGGAGGCGCGCAGGCCATGCTGCAGCTTGCTGTACGCGACGCTCAGTAGTTTTTGCTCCTCGTCGCTCGGCTCGATTCCGCTCTCGATGATCGTCTTGATGTATCTTTTCGTAGCTTCGTAACGTCCAGCTTGTCCGTTGAGCAAGGCCAAGAATGCATTTCTAGAAGGCGCTGAGCATTTCATCTGAACTGTTGGTCCACGTGGCAACCCACTGTTCACGATCCTGTAACGGTCGTCAAGTTAGTTAGTAGAAACCATCGAGAGTGGTCTAATTATGGAAACGAGCCGCTCATGCTCTCGTGATCGCAGCTCGACTTACGGTAATATTCATGCTGTACAAATTGCTGTTCAATAGCGTAAGTGTCAATATGCTCATGTGAAGAGGGCAAGTAGAAATAGCAACTAATCAAGTCTACATTTACAAACTCATCGAGGCAGGAACTACCCATTTTCCACCATGTAACAAGTGTGACTGATCGCATATTTCCGAGTGATCTTGGTCGTGGCGCAGCAGTGAGGGGAAACGTCCTTCTGACTCACAAGTTGGGCAGCCAGGGACATACGTGGTGCAATATAGCGACGTTATTATCCATGCTGCCTACAGAAAAGCCATATGACACTCAGCTGACCTCTCATTCTCAGCTTTCATTCGCTGTCAGACTCTCCGATGGCCTGATGTTGTCCCGACACCTTACATACTCCCAAACGCAGCCACCAAAGCAGTCACGATGCAAGCGCAAAATGCCCCCTTCGCCGATGCCATGGCCGTCGCCGCGTTCCCGTACAGCTGCCTCTTGTATCCCAGCGTCGAGTTCCACAGCGGCGTCCCGTTTCTGCTCGGCAGCAGGACGTCCGACCGGAGCTCGTCGAGCTCCCCGAGGAAGCTGATCGTGATCGGCCCGCCGAGGTGCACCTCGCTGCGCCCATCGCCCGGCGGCCGGTCGCCGCCGACAAAGGTGCCGCTGATGCGCAGCGAGGCCGACCGGTTGTTGAACTGCCCGCTGACCGAGGGGAAGCTGGTGACGTTGAGCGGATTATCGGCGCCGCGGCGCTTCGGCGGGTTGACGATGGATCCGCCAAACTCGTTGCTGGAGAGGCACTGGGAGCAGTTGAAGCGGAGGCTCTGCAGCACGGTCGAGTTGCGCTGGCCACCGAACGAGTATGAAGTTCCGGAGCCGTGCGTGCTGTCCAGCTGCCAATACGGCGGCAACGTACCCGATGGTCGGTAGTACCGGTTCATGCTGCACATCGTCAGCACATTTCTCCCGCATGAGTGTGCCATGCTAGCAATGATGCGGTGATTTGATTCACAGGCTGCTAGTCAGACTTACTCTACAGAGTCAATATTTCGGATCGAGTTAATCGGCCCATCTGCGTCATCGTGCACGGGTGTGATGTTGAGTTGCTTGTCCCAGTACCGCAGCGAGAAGGTGAGTTCATTCTGGTCCTTGACGAATCGATTGGACTTGACAATGGCAAGAATAGAATTCTCATAGGTTATCTCAATAGGCTGGGTGAGTCTTGTGTCCTTGTCCGTGTCGTCTTCGAATTCCTTTGGCTCTATGCGGATCGTCGTTGAGCCATTGTAGTAGCTGGGCGGCGATTAGAGGCAAGCGTGGTCACGATCCGCGGGATGAAACGTACGAGCCAGTCCAGCGATAAATGTAATACGGTAAGCCGGTAATATTAATCGGGCGGAGATTTGCGCGCGGATCAGACAGCCATTCCTGTGCAATTGCCACGGGTATGAAAAAGAGCACCGCGGCGTACAATGCTAGCATCTTGGACAGCGCAGCAACACAAAATGGCTGGACTTTGAGTTGATCCTTCTGCTACGCGGAATTGAGCCTTATATATAAGACCATAGGGCTTTTCTCGTCTCCGCATTGAAACCAACGACTGCAAGGATTATCGCACAGTTTGCCCTGGCTGAAGCGCCTCACAGTGGGGGAGACCAGCTGGCGACATCACAACTTGCCCTCTCTGGTCGACATTTTCAGCTGCCAAGGCCCTAACACCCAACACAGTTGGGACCGACGTTGAGGGATATGAAAGATCAACAACGTTTATTTGATAATCTATGGATTACAAAGCCAGATCAGCAAAGTTCTTTTCACCATCTAAAAAGCGACGACGAGTCTTGGTCCCGTCTTTCGCACCCGCTCCACGAGAATAAACGTCGTCCCGACCAAGCAGAGAACGCCAGCAAAGATCTTCATCCCCGTGTAGCCCCCGGAGCTGTCGATGAGCGCGCCGCTGACCGGGTTGGTCGTGAGGCCGCCGATCGACGCGACGAAGAAGACGATGCCCGTGCGGAACCCAATCTCCGGCAGCGGCGAGATCTGCGCGACCACGGGCGTGACCAGCGAGATGTACGCGCCGGAGGAAAAGCCGAACAGCGCCGCAAAGGCAATCAGCGCTGACTGGGTGCTCGACGTGATCCAGAGCGCCAGGATCCAGACGCCCGAGAGGTAGCAGCAGCCGACCAGGATGTTGAACCGCCCGATCTTGTCGCCCATGAACCCCGCGAACAGCCGGCCGAACAGCGACGCACCGTTGAGGATGGGCAGCAGGTACTGGACCAGCCCGGGTTCCACCGTGCCGGTGCTGGCGGCCTGCACGGGCAGGTAGTTGAGCGGCACGAAGACGCCGTAGGTGAGGAAGAGGAAGCCGGCGGCGACGAGGAGGTAGTCGACCTCGCGGAAGGGCCGCGCGAGCTGCGCACCGGTCACCTTTTTGGGGACGGGCGGCTGGAAGCAGCGGACGGTGACGTTGGGGATGGCGAGGAGGGCGAGGTTGACCAAGGCGCTGGTGCGCATGGCCCAGCCGAAGCCGACGCGGCGGATGAGGTGCGTGACCATGATGGGCCAGACGACGCCGCCGACGGAGGCGCCGGTGGAGAGGATGCCGAAGGCGGCACCGCGCTTTTTGTTGAAGTAGCCGGCGACGCAGCTCAGGGCTGAAACCAGGTTATTAGTGTTTGCTCGGGATGGAGACAGACAGGTATGAGTAGACGTACGGGGCTGGAACACGGCAGAGACGCCGATGCCAGAGCAGACGCCCTGCGCGAGGAGGATCTGCCAGTACTTGGTGCTGATGCTGGCCATCATGATGCCGAAGACGTGCATCAACGTGCCGACCAAGAGCAGGCCCCTTGGTCCATACCGGTCAAAGATCATGCCAACGATGGGTCCCTGTCACCACCATTGTGAGTACGTGAAGGGAAGACTGAAGACTTGGAAGTATAGAAAGAATCAACATACCAGCCCGAGGATGAAGAAGATTTGGAGAGAAGGGATCCAAGACACGGTGCTCGCGTTTTGGCCGCGAAGGAGCTCCTTCTGGTAGTACTGCTGGAAGACGCCGATGCTGTTGAGCCAGCCGAAGCTGCAAAAGGCGGTGCACCAGCCGCCGAGCACGACCAGCCAGGCCGTCACGCCTCCGTCTGGTGGTGGTGGCGGCGGTGGCGGCGAGGAGGCCGGGGCAGAGGCGGCTGCCTTTTCTGAGTCTGACGAGTCCTGCTGCGAGCTCACGCGGGCACTGTCATTGTTGTTGTCCATGGGCGAGGTAGACGCCGCAGTCTCGGCGGCCTTTTCGGTGTGCGACATTATCACAGGGAAATGGAGAATGCCGGCGAGCGAAGAAAGGACGAAGGGAATGGAGAAGAGGGAAGATGCTCACAGGACAAATTACAGGTAGAGAGAGGAGGAGCCAGTAATTGCCATGTTATAAGCCGTAGCCCCCACGGAACATGATTGTGCCGTTGCCTTTGCTTGCCCGAGTCCCGCAACGGCTTATTCTTATTCCTATTTCTTGTTCGGTCATGGGAAGACACCATCCATGACTACAACGCAATTATAAGGAGACCCTCCCCACAGACAAGGAACGGGATGTAAGAGTTTTCTTCCCCTCTGTTCCTCTTTTTTTTTCCCGCCTTGGTTTTTTGACATGTGCCGGCTCGGCGATACATCTCTCTCTTGGCAATCAATCCATCCGCTTGGCAAACTGTTGAAAAAGCGGCAAAACTTCACGAGACAAGATTCCCGAAGCGGCAACCGGCGGTGGGTGGCGTCCGAGGGAGGCGTTCGGCTTTCCGCGTGGCTTGCGGCATTCGTCGCATCGGCCTCGCTTAATTAACTACTAGATTGCCAGGGGGGGGCGGGGAGGGCCCTGATGAAGATGGGGGAGGGGGGCGAAAAAGGATATCTTCTCGAAGGGGATAGTGTATCCGTCATGGGATGGGGGTTCACTGATCAGCCCTGCCTGTGCTGTAGGTGTAGCTGATCTGGGTAACCCAAGGCGAGGCGAAGGATTTAGGTTGGTCTGCCGGTTCATGCGTGTAAGAGGAAGGATTGAAATGAAAAAGGAAAAGAAAGAGGAAATGGTCAGCGCGCCTACGGGGTTCGCGGGTTGCTGCAATTTCGGGGCGCGGCTCCCGTATCGGGATCGGAATGGGGCTTACTATAAGCTGATTCAGAAGGGCCAGCGCCGCAATGGCCTCCCCAGCGGCGTCGGGGATTACAATGGCTTGAGGCAAAAAGCGGAATAATGGTACGGCGAGGATGTAAAACGGACATTGCCACGTCCTGTTGTCGTGTGCTCGACAGCCCACAAGACGTGTGACATTTAGAGTTAAACAGGGTCGATTGCGAAGGGTGCATCCAAGATGGAGCAAAGTTTGCACATGAAATATTTGATAATATAATTAATCCAGATACAGAAAAACAAACTATAACAATCCACTTCATGTGGCACGACCAGTGGGACTCTTGCCTCCACCGTCCTTCACTTCCTTCACCCCACGACAACTACCGAGCTGATCAACTCCGCGCACCCCCTTCTGTCACTATCAGTAACAAGTTTCAACAGCTCACGGGGGGCAGTGTTGGCCTTGGCCTGGGGGGTTTGCTGTGCTGTGCGGGCTGGTTTCGGGTGTATGATGGCACCATACGGGACGGCAGGGGCGCGCAGTATATAGAGAGTTATTTATCATGTCATCGTCGTCGCCCAAGTAGAGAACAGCTTCACTCAGTCAAACACTGTCAAATCACAGCTTCGGTCCATGTAATTTTTCAAAATGGCCGGCATAGTACGACAAAAGATTGACCAGACTGCCCTGGAAAACTATCTGCGGGAAAATGTGCCCGAGATTGCGACCCCGATTGAGCTGAAGCAAGTAAGTGACATACATCCATCCGCCTAGACAACCAGCGTCCATTCCCTCTTGACTTACACAATTCCGCCTCAGTTCAAGCACGGCCAATCCAACCCGACCTACCAGATCACCGCCGCCGACGGTCAGCGCTTCGTCCTGCGCAAGCGGCCCCCCGGCCAGCAAATCTCCGCGCAAGCCCACCGCGTCGACCGCGAGTACCGCGTCCTCGCCGCCCTCCACGGCCACACCGACGTGCCCGTCCCCCGACCCTACGCGATGTGCTCCGACCCCTCCGTCCTCGGCACCCCCTTCTACGTCATGGAGTTCCTCGACGGCCGCGTCTTCGCCGACGTCGGCGTGCCCGGCGTCAGCCCGGAGGAGCGCACCGCCATCTGGCGCGAGGCCGCCGCCGTGCTGGCCCGGCTGCACGCCGTGGACCCGCGCGACGTCGGCCTGGAGGGCTTCGGACGGCCGGACGGGTTCTACGGGCGCCAGATCCGCTCGTTCGACGCCATCTGCGCGGGCCAGTCCAAGGTGGTGGACGGCCGGACGGGGAGGCCGCTGGGGCCACTGCCGTACTACGAGGAGTGCGTGCGCTTCTTCCGCGACCCGAGCGTGCAGCCGCGCGACCGGTCGTGCCTGGTCCACGGCGACTATAGAATCGACAACCTCGTCTTTCACAAGACCGAACCCCGCGTCATCGGCGTTCTAGAGTAAGCAGCACACACCGTAGCTGGGAGACGTCGACGATCGGCCACCCGCTGTCGGACATTTGCAGCCTGTTCACCTTCTTCTACATGGCGCGGCACCCGGGCGCCTCGCCGTACGACTTGACGAGCCTGCTGCCGGGCCGCACGCCGGGGATGCCGCAGCCGGAGCAGGTGGTGGCGTGGTACGCGCGGTGCGGCGGGTACGACCCGACGCCGGACGTGGACTTTGGCATCGCGTTCGGCGCGTGGAAGACGGCGGTGCTGGCGCAGGGTATCGAGGCGCGGATGGTGACGGGCCAGGCGGGAAGCGAGCAGGTGGCGGCGTACGCGGCGATCAAGAACCCGATGGCGGAGCTGGCATGGCAGCTGACGCAGTACTGTAGTAGTGGGTGGCAGCAGGCGGCCAGGCTGTGAGGGAGGCATTTACACAGACGTGTTCGTGATTCTTTAGCTGCAATGAGATCTTTGTTTACGCCAAAGTAACTTGAAACCGTGATCCGACAGCAAAAGAGGTGACGGGACAAGCACCAAAGAACAACGACGGACAACTGCCAAACCTTGCATGTGAAATGACATGTATACGCTGAATTAAGAATCTACAACTTGCTCCGCTCGCTTAAATACATCCGCCCTACATTCAGCATCTCTGCCGCCTCCCTCACCATGCCCTCCACGATCTCGCCCGCCGGCCTAATGTCCGTGATCGCCCCGGCCACCTCCCCCATCAGCACCGGCACCTCGACCTCCCTCCCCTCCCTCTTATCCTCCTCCATCGGCACCACCCCCCTCGCGCACAGCCTCCTCACCTCCTCCTCTCGCCCTTGCCACCGCCTCACGTACTCGTTGGCGCGCATGCGCAGCGGCCGCCCCGTCAGCACCAGCGTGCGCTCCGTGCCCCCGAACGGACAGTCCACGATCGCGCGCTTCGCCGCCTCCGACGCGCTCGCCTCCTCCGAGGCCACGAACCGCGTGCACACCCACACGCCGGCCGCGCCCTGCGCCAGCGCGCCCGCCAACCCCGCGCCGCTCGCAGCATCGGCGGTGTGTGCCGCCTAGCCACCGCCGCGACGGCCGGCACCAAGATCGACGACGGCACCTCGCCCGTGTGGCCCCGGCCCTCCTTGCCCTGCGCGCAGACAATGTCCACGCCCGCGTCCAGCGCCTTCTCCGCGTGCCGCGGGTGGCCGACCAAGTTCATCACCAGCACGCCCGCCGCGTGCAGCTTCGCGATGACCGGCGCGGGGGCCACGCCGGCCGTGCTGACGAAGAGCCGCGCGCCGCTGCGGATGGTCACGGCGACGAGCTCGTCGAGACGCCCGCGGCTGACGTCGCGGTTGGTCTTGCGGGCGGTGCCGCCGCACTGCGGGATGGCGACGGCGACGCCAAAGGGGAGGTCCGGGTGGCGGAGCTGCGACTTCATGTCGGTGATGGCGTGGTGCAGCTGCTCGGGGGTGCACTGGTAGCCGCCGACGACGCTGAAGCCGCCGGCGTTGGCGACGGCGGCGGCGAGGCGGCCGCCGGAGACCTCGGCCATGCCGGCGAGCATGATGGGATGCTGGCAGCCGAGGATGGTTGTGAGTGGTGTGGTGATGGGGCCGGGCGGCGTGGGTGTAAACCCGGGCTGTGGTTGTCCCTGTTGCTGCATTATTTTCGAATGGTTATGGTGCTTGACAAGTTGTCTTGTGTACTGATATCCCGTAGAAGCAGCCCAAGTGATTAATATCCAACAACACCTTCGCGCGCTCTCTTGAATGTGTAAGTCGTCCCGGTAAGCAGCAATGCGCACCCCGGGGGGTGTAGCAAGTCATCGGCTTTGGGCCAGGAGCGGGTTACGTGCACGCGACACTAGTTTTCAGCGAGTTTCCTTGAGAACAAGGTATATCAGGACGTCTGACCTAATCTGGACAGTGGCTCCTCGTAAAGCAGGTTCGGGGAGTACAGGAAACAGGAGTTCGTCGTCAGCGGCTGGCCTCTGTCCGGACCCTCCAAGTCCGAGCTGTCGCCGTTGAAGCATGTCCAGCACCTACAAACTAGCCCGACAAGGCAAGTCACAAAAGCCGTTGAGTCGCTCACAATCCATTGTTACGGGGACAGCTGAAGGGATCGGCACGAATTTTAGAAGTTTTGGAAATTTTTAGCTTCGGTTGCATGTACCTGCGTTGTGCGCGGTTACATTCCTGAGCAGTCACCATCTGATAAGCGTGCCGTCGCATCGCATGGGAGCCCCGACAGGCATGGCCTCGTTTTCGCCTCTTCAACGATCCACTGTGGACAAACAAGTAGAGGCATGAAAACCTCGAGTGAACGCATCCGAGGGTAGAAAAAATACAGAAATTAACCGTCGGGGATGGAACCCAGGGGTTGGGCGGTGGCTAACGAGGCCCGTGATGGAGATGGTAAGGCTAGGTAATTATTATTCCTAAAAGAAAAAAAAAAAAAGGAAAAGTAAGAGATCAAGAGATTTTGTCTCAAATTCGAGCGAATTCGAGACAAACACGTAAACAAAGAAGTGGGATAATTAAAGGTTGGAAAATACATCGTGCGTGGTTCTCCTCGTCCTGCCCCTGTGGCCTCGAACTCGCAACAAGTAATTGATGTGAATTAAAAATAAAAATAAATCCAGGTAAAACTAGCGCAATTCTCCGTACGTAGAAATCGAGCTAAATCAGCCTTTTCAGCCGCAGTCTAGACATTGAGCTTTGATCTTTGAGCTTCAATCGGAGCTCCGATGTGTGGATCTTGGTGGGAAGTGAGCAAAGTCCAAAGTTCCACGACGGCATTCGCGCCACATATGAATATATGGATGCACCCTAGTCAAGGTTAGTTATCAGATTAGATTAGTTATGCCGCCGAAACAAGGTTTAAATTTGATAGCGAGCCAATGGGCATCGATCACCATCTTCTGCCCGTCCCGTTCCCTTGGCGAGAAGGCTTCACTTACAGGGTATGCCGTCTTATTTGCGAGTGAGTATTCATTTATACGCACTCGCACATACATAAAGCCCCATGTGCTACACAGACTGCAGCATGTGAAAGGGAAGCTCCTCGGCCCCCGGCTCGACGTGACACAAGTAGGTTTTTGCCTGTCCATCTTCCACTATCCCCTCAGGACTAGCTCTGGACGCAATCAGCACCCCCAAGGTGCCGGTCTTGCAAAGAAAGACTTCAATGAAACTCAAACAATCCTATTTCGTTAGACATAAAGAGACATCAAAAACATAACAATCTGATCTGTTCTGAAGCCGCGCAGTACCGCTGCACGTCGCCACACTCCTCGCCGAACCCATACTTCCCCTCGCCACTCCTCACACTTCACTCTTCTTCTCGTCGCTATCTTCCTGTCGTCTCAGAGAGCTTGGAAGGCGGCGAATAAAATCAAAGCAGTTTACTACCACCGCTGTACAAGGGGTCGCCGCTGTTCGCAGCCTTCGAAGAAGCCGAAGCATCTGGTATCGCATGATCCACCACTCCGACGGTCTCCTCTGGCCAGCGCTCGGCGGAAACTCCTCGAATCCCCCGCTCCGCCCCTTCCACGCCTGGTCCTCGTCCTGCTCCATCTGCTGCACGAGGCGCTTCCGATGGCTCCCGTAGACACGCCCGGGGAGCTGCGCCAGGTTCTCCAGGTTGAACACGGCCAAGTAGGTGACGAGCCCGGTGAGGACGGCCGTGATGATGAACGGCGTCTGGGTGTGCTGGTCGGTGATGTTGGGGATGGCCCAGAGGGCGGCGCAGAACCCCATGGGGAGGTAGAAGATGCTCACGTACGTGAGCAGCTGCACGTTCATGCCCAGCCGTGTCGAGGAGCGGCTCTCGATCAGCGCGCTGGCGTTGAACAGGCCGTCGCGCAACGCAATCACTCGCTTCTTCTTCGCTTCGAAGCCCTCGCGCACCTTCTCGAGGTCGCGCTTTGCCTGCTCTCCCTTTTGGTCGAGCTCGAGAAACCAAGCTCGGTCTTGCGCCTTGTCGAATTGGTGCGGACCGCCCTCGGACGACTCCTCGGACGACGGTGATGTCGACGAGGCTGCAGATGCTGAACGCAGGCACGGAGTGACGCGGGCCTCACGGTAAAGTTTCCACTGTGTAATATTATCTTCAATCATCGGGTCAAACTCGTTGAGACATCCCAGAACCCAGAAGTACAGCCGTGACCGGCTAAATGTCGAGTCATCAAAGAGTAGCTGACAATAAGCCACAGGATCCATAAAGTCTTCCATCAATAAGTCTCCTATATACTCGTCAAGCTCTCGCCATCGTTTCTCAATTATTCTGAGAGCATATACAACACGGGACAGCTGGGCTGTTTGCCCGCTTGCCTGGCCCGTCGCAATGATATCTCCAGGTATAGAATCCAAAATTTCGGCAAGATGTTGGATAAACTTTGGAGGAGCCAAAATGAGCATTGTCCAATACCAATCATCAGAAGCCTTAGCCCTGTTCTCAGACCTCCGGGAGATTGTAAGGACCGTGAAGGAGCTCCGGTAAAACGCCTGTTGGCACCCTCTCTGAGCCCAAGACTTGTTTTCTTGGCCGCTCCGCAAGGTTCCGAAAAGATGGCCAATCTTCAAGTCATCCCTTGCTATCAATGTGCGGTAGTATTTCTCTTCGTTGCCGTAGCGCGCCTGAAGTTTCTCGAAGAAAGTAATATGAAATGCATGATCTGGGTTGAGGTACGGGTTGGCGCTCTCGTTACCGCCTCTAAGAATACCTGCCAGGTGCATCTTGGGGGCCGTCATCAGTGATGCAGCGTCCATTCCGAGGAAATAGTCAAACGGGAAGAATTCGCGTTTCTTTGCCGTTGATGACGCCAAGCAGAGACCCTCGCAGTATATAATCCGCTGCCAGGGCGCAATCCCGTCCAGTGACTGATTGGCAGGGCTGAATGATCCGTTCGCGGCCATCCAGTTTTTCATCCGAGACATCTCTCTCAACTTATTGCAGTACACTGCCCCATGGGAAGACCCTCCCCCATAGATGCGCGGATTTCGGTGACCGAGGTCGTAGGAAATTTGTGCGGCAGTTCGAGGATCAACATCCCAAATGAATAGTTCTCCGTACTGTCGAAAGTCCGCACCGAAAAAAAATTTCAGCTCGCTCCTTACAGATTCTATCCTTTCCACAATGCGCTGTGGCCAATCCCTTTGTATTGGGGAGTCCGAGAGAAGATCCATGACGCCACCGTCATCTGGAAGGTCACACGTGTAACGATTTGCACGTTTTACCACAAAATTGCTCCATTTGGTACCCTTTAATTTGGGAAGCATTTCCCATATGGATGTTAGGGATGTCACATTTTCGAGACGGCTATTATGGTCATGCCACGCGATGTATTCCTCCCTGAGTGGTCGAAGAAGATGAAATGGAAGCGCCAACCTGCCATCTTCAGGGACTGTCGCGGGGATCAAGCTGGCGAACGCCGCACTTTCCCGATCTGACTCACCTTCCGCTTTGGAGAATCTCCCGAGGTTGACAGGAGTGTAGGTGAATAGGAGTGTATCTTTCACAAATACCTCTTTTCGATCACAATTGTCATCCGGTAGGAGCTCCTCTGGCATAGCGGAAAGAGCCTTCTCTAGCTTCCTCGCTTCATCATTGCCGAGATGACGACGGATCTATTCCCCGGGAGATTAGCTTCCGAACCCGTTAAAAAACGATGGATACTCACAATATCGTCCCAATCTTGACTCATTTTTGAAGAATCGCTCTCCAGAAAGGTTGGGGTCTATTCTTCGGTTACTGGGACTCTTGGCCGGAGAGTCCAGAGATCCTCCAGCGCACTTTCAGTACCACATGAGCAAGGTAAACCTGGAACTTTTCAGGTGTCGACTCTGTCTTCGTGCGGGGTCTTTGGGTTTTGTTTTCCCTCTCATTTTGAAAAATTCTCCCTGTCTCTGCATGAGGCAGCGCAGCTGCTCCCTGCTGATTGGCGGCACCTGCATGATGGCTTGAGAAGGATGAGGATGATAGGTGACAGCACAGTCTACGAAGCGCCCAGGCGGGTACTTGAAAATGCCTTGTTGGCAGTGGGCTGCAGGCTTCATCAGCAGCCCGCAGCAGTGTTGGGATCCTGTTGCATGGGTTGTGCTTGCATGATCCACTGCACTGTGTACGGAGGTCGCCTGTGATTCAAAAGGCTGCGTCGGATAACACTAACGAGCAAGGATTCAGCAAGGGTATGCTTGTACATGAGGAGGATACAGCAAGCCCTTTGAAAAGGCAGCCAAACCAGCCATAAGATTGCCGCTCGTCAATGGTGGCTCGCAGCAGGTAGGAACAAGGATGCCGCCCAGGACAACCAATTAACTAGGGATTGAGGCTCCATAAACGGTCGCGATACCACCTGTACGGAGTAATGAGAAGTACTTCGCTATACTGTCTTACAACCCTAGCTCGGTACGAGACGCGATTTTTTTTGAAAGCGATCTCCATATTCGTCGCATTCCCACTTTCACTGTAGGTCTCAGCGGGGTGCGTACGGATGAAGTATCGTCTGTTTCGGTGGACATTGTTCAGAAGAGAGGGAAGAGGGAGAGTATGAAGTCAGAAGCGATACATCACCAGTCTTGTGTCACGTTGCGGCAAGCGCCTGCCAAGTTGTACAGCTACAACGCGGCGCCTTCAGCCGAAGCCTTCAATCTCTCGGCTGTAGCATCCTCGGTTTCTCCCAGCAGGAGCATATTCATTACTAGCGCACTCCAGTACAATGTGGTGCATTCTTGCGTTCCTAGGTAGTATGTGATAGATTACTATGTGATAGATCTATAGAGCGAGAAGAACGACCGTCATCTACAGGTGGCTTCTCACTACCACCAGGCTCGCATATTTGTCATGAATGCTCTCCACGCCCTCCGACTTGCCCTCGAATGCAAACTCCAGCGCCGCCAGAAGCCCGCCCACGATCGCCTTCTCCGCCTCCCGCGGCTCGATGCTCCCGTACCCCTCCTTCAGCCCCGCCACCACCTCCGCGGGAAGGCCTGCCATAAACGGCTCCGCCAGCGTCAGCACGTCCGTGAAGGTGCCGTGCGTCGCATTGGCCAGCGCCAGCTCGGCGGCCGGCCCGCGCAGTCGCGGCCACAGCGCATCCCACGAGGGGTCCGTCTCGCCATGGCCCGCGCGCCCAAACTGCATCGTCGGCGCGGACGAGCCGGCGCTGAGCAGCGGCTCGTGGATGCCGCCATCCATATTTACGCCGGCGCGTACGAAGCGGGGCTGCTGGGAGGCGAGCAGCACGGAGGCGACACCGCCGAGGGAGTGCCCAACGGCGGCGGCGTGCGAAAAGTCGATGGCAGAAGGGTACTGGGCAAAGAGAGAGCGGCGTACGGCGGAGGTCTGCAGCTGGGCGAGCACAAAGGAGAGATCTTGGACGCGAACCTATTCTCAATGTTAGCATCGTATTGGTCCCTGGGTGAAGAAGTGGCCACAGACATTTTGGAAGCCGACAATCTCCGGCTCGGTTCCGTTGAAAGGAACCGACTCAACCACAGAGCCGTCGGGAAACTCGACAATGTCCGCGTCGTACGGGTGATCAACTGTGACAACTACATAACCCTGGCTGGCCAAGTTCCTCGCCTTTACCCCATACAAGCTGCGCGAGGTCCCGAGACCCGTGTCATACAGCACCACTGGAAAGGCGCCGCGTGTCTTCTTGGCGCACAGCTTCTTCAGGTCGCAGAACTCCATCTCGAACCTGGCAAATGTGTCGTTAGCCAGGCCGGCCTGCGCGGCGACCTGGCCGTAGTGCGCGGCGACGGCGGGCGTCATGTACGGCAGCGTCTGTTTCGGGCACGGCGCCTTGCTCGCGTCGACAGGCAGGTACGCCGAGACGAGAACGCGGCGCTTCTGCGGTATCGTCGCGTAGGGGTCCTGCCGGCTACTATCGGTGAGGACCGCGGTGCTGTAGCCGACGGCGTACGGGCCGCCAAGGCCCGGGACGATAAGGGCTGCGGCGGCCGTGGCCAGCGAGAGGACGGTGAAGAATGATGACATGATGAGAAGTATTGACTTCCCTGTATAAACAAGCGGTATTTGTTCTGTACAGAAATGAAGGAAGAAATCCGGACTGGGTGGCATCGACGATTTTATATCTTCGGCGACCTTGAACAGCAGTGGACCAAAATCAGAGCTGACGAAACGTGATCCGAAAGCGATGCTGAACTTGCGAAACTACTCGTAAGTAATACCCACGTTGTGGAACGCGAGGAATCAGCTTCATAAATCGAGCCACTCTTACCGCGCCATGAACCCAGGCAGACATGCACTTGCAGTTGCGGTGTCGGGGCCGCAACTCCGGTCGGCCGATTCGAGCTCCGCACCGCGAGATGACTTCCCTTTTTGGCTCACCCACGAAGGCCCAAGGGCGAGACTAGACAGTTTGGGGAGGGGGCTTCGACCATGCCGCTCTCCAATTGGGGGCCAGGGCTAAAGAATAAACTGCTTGCCCTTCTAACCACCGACAACGCTCGAATCGTCAGCCGCACTGGGGCAAAATAGCACAGCCTAGTTGGCCTTCAGCCCTTTGCCCGACTTTGCCGAGCTCATCATAACAGCCATTTTTCCTACTCATTCCCATATTCGATTGGGTCCGTCGGCATTAGTTTAGACCCTTCGGCAACGCGCGTCCATAGCGCATCGCTCGGATCCAGCCTTGCAACCGAGAAGGCATCCTCATACGGCTTGCTGTAATATCGGCGCGAGCATCAAAGTTGAAAGAATCCAAGCCAATGCTCTAGTTTGCTTAGAAAGGCTCACACTTCTTGGTCTTGGTGCGTCCCGTGAAGGTCTCCGTCATACTGCCATGGCTTCATGCCGATCTCTTGACAAACAAGTGAAGCTGCAGGGTAGCGCATCCTCGATTGGCCAAGATGCTAGGACCGCTTGACCGACGACGCAAGCGATCTCGTTGCCAGCGGTGCGCTTCAAGTCATCTCAAGGTACGTACGACCGACGTCCGTAGAAACCACCATGTTACGACCAGCTTCTTATCCGGGCTATATCGTCGCGACGCCACGCTAGGGGGCAAGACCACAGTCTGACTCTCATCTGTAGTGCTCCGGCGCGACCCCCTGCAGCAACTGCAGCAACAAGGACAAGCCGTGCATTTACGCCGCCGCCACTAGCACCGACATCCCTCTCATAATCATCGCTAGCGGTAAGCCGGGGCGTCCGGCCACCTCGTTGGCTGCTCGGAGGCGGGCTCCGGTGGCGTCTCCCTGGCCAAGCCCCGGCCTAGACGATGAACGATACTTTTACTACTTTGACGTGTTCGCGCGGCGAAACAGCTTCAGCGGAAAGGGCCGCTTGTTCACACAAGATGTGAAACGAATGGCTGAGCTGCACGCTTTGCCGTATTTCCTCGATTCGGTGCGTGCGCTCGGGGCCATCCAGGCATCGAGGCTATCACTCAGCAGCTCTACTCATGCTGTCGACACTTACACGAGCTACACACTGTACTCGCAAGCCGTCAGTGGGCTACGAAACAGTCTTGGCAAACAGCGAGAGACTATGTCTGCCTCGAGTCGCACGGCGCTATTATGGACGACCCTCTTCCTGGGCATGTTTGAAGTATGTGGCAGCCATTACCCTTCTTGACCATCCACTAATCTGGGAGCAGCTCATGTCAGACACCAGCGGCATGGGATGGCTGCAGCACATGGTGCACGGCACCGCCAAGGGTTTGGCTGCCGCCGGCCCATCCATCTGCTCCACGCCCGCCGGGGCGCGCATGTTTCTGCAGGCTAAAATGTTCGAAGTGTGCCGAACGATTGTGTTTAACGACCAAACATTCCTTACACGCCCTGAGTGGCGGGCAGCTTCGCAGAGGCTGTGGTTTGACGCCGGCTTCGCGGATGAGTGGCGGCCGTTGGACGCCCTTGTGGACTTAATGCTTCTCTGTCCCGACCTTCGATACCGGTGAGTCATGGCGATGTGATTTCATTACGAAAGACGCTTGCTGATTCTATCGACAGTGCAAATCGGTTCTGCCTGGCTGAGGACGCCAAACCAAGTGAAGGTGTACCGGAAGAGGCGCGTGACATTGCCAATACAGGTATGGCGTTGCGAGAGGCGCTGACGGCGTGGCACGCCGTCCATCTCGGGCTGGAGGAGGCCAGAGGCGGCGACGCCTATGCGGAGGGGGACGATGAATGTGGCCTGCTAACGAGGCTCTTTTGGGCCGCCATCAGCATCTACCTCTCGGGTGAGTTCGATTACGAGATGCACCACTGGCGGCGCTTTGGGTTGGCGGTGCCAACGCTCGCGCCTGGGGCTGTGCGGCAGCACGTCGAGACCATTCTGGCGCTTAGCGGGCGCGCTCTCGCCGGGGGCCACCTGTCGCCGCTGTTGTTACTTTTCCCACTTCGTATCGCCGGGGCGCGGTCGCTGCAGGCGCCGCGGGCCCAGCGCACGCGGGTACTTCTCCTCCTGGATACCGTGGCGGAGAGGTTCGCGGCCGGGCAGGCTGTTCGCGACGGGCTGATGGAAGCCTGGGTCGGCATGGGTGTAGAAGACAACTGACTTACTTCCGAGGTCGCATGACGAAGCGACCAAAGAAAGGAAGTAAGGGAAGATAAAGTGGCAATGTCGCCTCCCCAGCGTTCTCGAGCTGTATCATCTCGGTGTTGCTGTGTCACTGGTCAAGTTCGCCGGCTGGCGTGGTTCTCACGCCATAAGTGGTACTGCTGCTTGGCGCCAGCTATAGCGGAGTAAGGCCGCAATACGGAGTGCGCCCGTGTACATGCAGTAGCTGAAATCAAAATATGCTTACGCATTATACTCTTCCTCTGGCCGCAGAGAAGATACAGTTGAGATTGATTTCCTTGGCCAGCTGCTTGCCGCCATTCAAGATTCCGTGGTGTAAGCACTTGCGCAGTTCGCAGTCAGCAACATGGGGGTGGTGACTTCGTGTGGTGCTGTAATCGCGGGAATTGCCATTAATGAGGGTAGCCACAGAGCTAATGCAAGAAGGAGAGCAAGTAACTCCCATTCATTGATGGATTCATTAGATTGAATCGTGCAGCACTCCGGATAGGCCGCGATCCGGCCACCTGGTGCGCAAGGCAAACGCTAAGTCACCTGTTAGTTAGCGCTGGGCATGACCTCACCACTAACTGCGCTTGGAGGTCAGGCAACGTCATCGTCAGCCACAACCGGGGCTTGGTTGCTTGACAGGATGGCTACGCGCCAGAGGGAAGGTAGACCGAACAGTGGCTGCTGAGCGGGTAGCTACAGGCGCTGGCCTTGTGCCGTTGCGTGGCTCGCTGTCAAGAGCCGATCAAGACCTTGCGTGCTTTTGGTGTGACAGTGGTCACCCTCCAGCATCGTACTCGGTTGTGCATGGCGAATCGGGTAGGAATCGCGCGGCCCTGTGGCTGTGGCTTGGGGGGGATTTCCCATTCGTCGACGAACTGCTAAGCTGGGCTGAGGACTTTGATTTGTGCGAGACTAGTGAAGTGGGTGGGCGGAACCGGCATTAAGCTCGTGAGAAGCGGGAAACCTTGGTGTTTGTGTGGGTGTTCGAGGGACTGGATCGTAGGGCGCGTCGGTGGTGGGCGAGCAGGTGGTACACAGCGGCACCAGTTATACCGGGCAACAGGGAAATAGCCGCCGGTGAAAGGGGAGGATGGAAGGTGATGCCCCAGGCTCTGTAATAGGTTCTGTGGATGAATGGACCGGAGTTATTCGTGCTGAGACGAGGAAGCGAACGAGAGGAGTCGAGAGGCAGGAGAATCAGACCCACTCTGATGACTCCAGGAAGGCAATAAAAAGGAGTGACGTCAATCATTGCTCCGGGTTAAGCAATCACACGGGGTCGTCGGGGAATAGCGACGAAGGGGGGACAGTGAGTCGTGGAACCACGGGTGTAACGGTGAAATTCATACAACAAAGACTGAATAGGCATAAACGGCCCGTGGTTCTTTCACACAGAAAATTGTCAGTAAGGACGTGTGAATGAAACTACGCAGTTTTTTTCCTTGTTCCAAGGCTACGGACCCCCGACCACTGTACGCATCGGGCACGGAGCTCCTAGCGCCGGCCTGCACCCACTGTAGCTCGCTGTAGCTCTCCACTTGGGAAGCTCTTTTAGGGGGGCTTTGTCACCTGTTGGGGCCGGAAAAGTGAGGAAGCTTCAAGCTTCCAAAGCGCTAACTAAAACGAATTCGAAAAAGGTAAAACAAAAAAACCTGCTTCCATCCTTGCGTCAGCGCGAGCCGGCGGTGCCAGGCCATGCCATTCCAGTCCGACCTGCCTACCCATCTAAATCCTCTCCTCTCCCCCCTACATAAAGTTTTCTTGTCTTCTACAATTTGTCCAGTTACACCTTTGATCGCGCCGCCGCTCTTCTCGTGACAATCTCGTTGTACCGTCATTCAATCGTTCGAATTCGAAAAAGCTACGTCCTAAACCCAGCAGCCCCTCGCCAGCCCGAACCGCTCCCACGCCTCTCTCCAAGAAAACAAAAAACACAATCGCAATGGAAGGCGCCGTATCAGCCATCGTCCACGGCCTCGTGGGCGTATTTCTCATCATCGAGCTCGGCCTGACAGCCTACCGTACGTGATCCAAGCCCTTGCGCATTCTGATGCGCAACCGCGACCACCGCGCTGCGATAATCGCATTCCTCAAATCGCCGTCTCCTCACTAACGCGCTGCGCCTCCCCATTTACAGTCGTAAGCCGGTTCAACGGCGACGTGTCGCGCTTCAACTTCATGCTCTTCAACTCTCTCTGGACCCTCGTCGTCATCCTCTATACCGGCGTCGTCAAGCGCGCCTTCTCCCGCGTCTACCACGCCATCGTTGGCGTCGCCTTGCTCGCCATCACCGCCATCTTCTGGTTCGCCGGCTCCATCGCCATCGCCGCCCGCATCCCCATCCGCTGCCACGGCTTCCACGACTGCCAGGTCGCCCAGGCCGCTACTGCCTTCGGTTTCTTCCTCTGGGCCATCACCACTGGCCTCACTGTCATCGAGGCGATCGGCTCCCGCAGCAGCTCGCGCGTGTAAAAGAGGGAATTGGACAGTCTCTCTCTTCCTCCTGGTTTTCCCAGCAACACAAACGACAACAAGGGCCACAATGCGCGCGTATTGTGTTGGGGGTGGAGCAGAGGCGTGCCCCTCCACGCCGCAATCGCCGCTTGCGCCTCTGTACCTAGAATACTAATGATTGCACATGCTCTCTGTTGGGTCGGCAAGGAGTTTCTGCCTTGGTCTCCTGTCCTTCAGGGCTATTTTCTCTCTCTTTCTTCTTTGGCTTCTTCTCTTTAATCCGGATTATATGCACGAGATACCCTCGAGCCGCTGTCTATGCGATAATGCGAGTACGAGCAATTTTTTTCTTGGATAAACGCCCTGGGTTGGGACGGGCACGAGTATGATGATAGGACGTGGGTTGCTTGGGTCACGGAAAGTGGGAAAGCTCACACTTAATGAAGGACGTTGATTGCCAGCTAACGAACAAAGGAGACGTGCGCTTTCCTCTCCACTAATTAGACCCTGATGAAATATAGGATGAGAGTGTATGATGGCGTTTTTTATTCAATTATATCAAAGAGATGTGTGATAGAACCAACAAAAGGGCAATATAAAGCTGTTACACCCCGGGAATCTTGCATTTAGAAGATTTAAACGTCCTGCGCAATCTCCCAGCTGTGGCCCGCCGGGTCCTGAAATGACGCGATGCGCTTTCCCCAGGGCTTCGTCTTCGGGCCAAGCAGGATCTTGACGCCCTTCTTTTCGAGCTGCGCAATCTCGGCGTCCACGTCCGCGACCCAGACGGAAAGCTGGCAGCGGTTGCCCGCATCGCGCTTGGCCACGAACTCGTCGCCGACTAGCTCCCCGGCGGCGCTCGCGACGAGCAGATTGAGAATGACGTTGTTGAAGCGTACCGAGCACGACTCGTCGTCTTCGAAGACGACAGACGCTCCAAAGACGCGCGTGTAAAAGTCCTTGGACGCGGTCAGGTCCTCGGTGAAGAGGGAGATGGCGGCGACGGTACGGAGGGGGTTGACGTCGGGCATTTTTACTTGCTTGAATAGGCGGAAGGAAGTTGGTATATAAGCTGGAAAACAATTTGGGGGGGGTGGAATGATGTTACGCGACTCTATAATTCGGGGTTTGGGAAGGTTTTATACACAAGGGACGACTCAATGGCTGCGAAAGTCCAGGCTGGTCTGCACGTTCAGCTTGTGAGAGTCTGGTGAAGCTGTACTGCAAACAGCGGGGCTGTCGGCTTCTGCCTGGGCTAGCGGCGCGCCACGGGTATTCATTCACGCTTCATGACTAATACTTATAAGGGTTTCCGATCAATTGTGCCATTGAACGAAGTAGACAGCCAAAATGAAAGAGGCGGCAATAAGAAGCAAACAAAAAAAACATACAACAGGCAGTGTTTGCTAAAAACTCGTCGCTAACCTGGCTGCTCAGCACCAAGACAGCAAAGGCGCATTGAGCACAGTCTGTAGCAAGGATTCAGTACAATACTTTGACCAAAATAGAGGAGCAAGCGAGTCGCATACAGGGGCCAAGTCTAATCATAGCACGATAAAAGCAGAGTAGTTGAATAATTCAACTACAGAAGTTGCAATAACTAATAGCTAAATAAGCTATATAGTAAGGACTTGTAATGATAGCTAAATAACAAAGCTATGCCAGCTTTCTCCGTAGCGTTTCCAATTTCTAACTGCCGTGGATCTCGTGGCCTGCTTGTTCCTTTATTGTGACTTAGGCCTACTGGCGTCTCCGTGTAGCTCGTGTAGTCCGTGCAGCAGGCGTAGAAGGCGTAGAAGGAATAGAAGGCGCATCTCCGTGATGATGAGGCTGAGGGCCAACGTATTTTTGTTGCGCTTTGCTCTCAAAAGCAAGATGTGTCGCACAATAGTTTGGTGCATCCACCTGCCGCCTTTCGATCCTATCGCACTTGACTGGCGTACGAAAGCCTCTCACCTTGGTAAAACGCTCTCTTTTGCGTGCATCCGCAGGTGTACACATTCCATTCCCAATAACACATCTTGGCTGAACCAGGATATGTTAGCAGACTGGTGAAGAGGGACAACTGAGAGAGTTACTAGAAGATGCGCAAAAGGAGGAGCGACTACAAGAGACAATAAGGATAGGCAGGATAGGCGAGACAGGAGGGATAGGAGGAATAGGAGGAACGAGATTGATAAGAGCGCTGCGATGGAAGGGCGATGCGATGGAGATGACGAACAAAAAATGGTCCTTATTCTCAGAAAGAATTCTAGACTGGGCGTGCTATTATTATAGACAATCGAAGCAAGGAACCTGGGCAATGCATCTATCCGTAGGCAGGTTATACAGTAACTACCTCCTATTTACCTGCTCTGGGCAAGGCCGCATTGTACCTGCATTGACACCCCGCACCACCTTCTTGCCTTACGCGCCGACATTCCCAAGCGGGGACCAGTAACATCCTCGCATCTGCAGCATGCTCGCTGTGGCCTTTGAGCTCGTGTTTCACATACTTGGTAGAGAGAGAGATTCCAACCGATCTTCTTTTCCAGGGTTCCATTAAGGCACCTCCTGTATCAGGGGCTTGTCACCACTTCGATCTGTCAACCACCAGTCTGCCACCGCTGAGCGCCAAGACACTCTCAGGTCAGTTGGTTCTTTGTTCTGAAGAAGGGAAAGGGGAAAGAGGAAAACAGGGAAGATAATCCAATTTAAAGAAAGGCCTTGCAACCCATAGTCTGTCTACTTGAATTGCCTCTTTCCGTCAACAATGGACACACCAACTTCTAGACAATTGCCTGCGTCGCTATCTAAACAGTCACAATGTCGCTATCTGCACTCGCGGCCGCTCATTCCTGTTGCTTTTGCCTCCTAGACTCGGAGAAAGAAGCACTACCGCCTGGTATCCAAATATTAAGCCAGATGGCCCTTGGACCACTATGCGAATTTCCAAGGGCCACGATGGGTCTCCTCAAACCGACCTTTCCTACGAGCCGCTGTTGGCCGTCGAGAGCATCTGGCACCCGCAATGTATTCACGTCTTGTCGTTGCCGAAAGTGCGCAGCTTGACGGGCGACGTCTACGAAACCGTCTACCAGGGCCGCCGTGCAGTGGCCAAAATTGCAGACTTTGATTGTATATTCGCACAATTGAAGACGAGACTTTCCTCTTCTTTTTGATTAACCGACACCTGGATGCAAACAAGTACACGCCCGAGTTCCTCGGCCACCTGGTGGAAAACGGACGCGTCATGAGCATACTGGTAGAGCTTGTGGAGGGCCGTGCTGCCGATTTTGAAGACTATGAAGGCTGCAGGGCCGTACTCTCTTGGCTCCACGATATCGGAATCGTACATAGAGATGTCAATCGGTACAATTTCATTGTGGATAAGGTGGGCGATGTTCGCGTGATTGATTTCGCGAACACTGAGCCATGGACTCCCGAGCTAGCTCGGGTTGAACTGGATAGCCTCGAAGGGCAACTCAAGGAAAGATCCAACAGAGGAGCTCCTTATCAAGTGTGCACGGAACTTGAGTAAAGCACAAGTCACAGTGGCATGCATCTGCCGCCGCTAGAGGAAGCATCTCGGCACGCGACATGTGCTACTGAATCAGGCTACAAGATAGTTCTAGGCTAAATATAATTCAGCAGCTATTTCAAGACTTTCGAACTACGTCTATTAATTAATATATGTCAAGGCTATTGGAATTTTGCCCTGGCCTGAGTAGATAGTTAAGAATTAATGCAACAGTTGCGGGTGAAAAAAGTAGAGTAAAGCGCCTGCGCCCTCTCTGACATTCTATAAGGCCATCGCGTCACGGGATTTCCGTCGGCTCGAATGGGCAAGATTTAGTAGGCCGTAGCAAGACCTGGCGTGGGCTATGAAGCCTTCATCCGACCACTCCTGCAAAGCCAAACGGCGACAATATGCTGATGAATTGAAGGGACGTGGAACAAGCCTTTCCAATACATCGCGACCTAGTTGGTGAACATCATGTATGACCCAATTGCACCCTCGACACCACAATCCATGATCTGCAACGTTCCCAGGCCGTCGTAGGGCGGGGAACAGAATCGATGCCATGCCGTTGCAGCTGTCGTTTGTGGTGTTTGCAGGCGCCATGTATAATCGGGGGTCATGGTCTTCGAATTCCAACTGGGCACGTTGTAAATGTGCAAAATACCATTTGCTGTTCTGGTCCCGCGCCCCGATGCGCTCCCCATGCCGCGATTTAAGATGGGCGGCAAGGGAAGCCTCGGAGCTTCCATGTAGCTTCAACGCCAGCTCCTTTGCAGCACGGACGCTCACCAGACGCTGCCGCGCGGATCGCCGGACACGATACTGCACAACGTACGTGCCGGGCAAGCTGCGCGCCGAGGCTAGTAGCTTCAGCTCTCTGGTCGGGATGTCGAAGCACTTGGCTGCCTGGGCGCGCGGCATCGCCCACAAGGCTTGCTTGTTGTCCATGCACTGGTAGCAGCATCGTTGGCAGGTGATGAGGAAGAGGAAGGCGCCAAAGTTTCCGCAGCACACACAGCGATCCGAGTACAAGACATCGCGAAGGGCCTTGGAGCTGTGCATGTGCAACATGTCCATTCTGGCCAGCGCAGTCAAGGCTTTGGGGGCGTGGCGGAGGAGGTCTTGGTAGGCTGGGAGCGAGTTGACCATCTCGTGAGCTAGTCTGGAGGTGCGGCTGAATCGAGACAGGGAGAGGAAATCGAGGGGGCCGAGTATGAGTTGCATCAACTCAACCGGTAGCTTGTTGAATGGGCTGGCGCCCCTAAGGGTTGTTGCCCATGATCGTGTCCGTGGTGTTTGCGGCGCGTCTTTGTCGTGGATTCTAACCATGCCCGTAATCATACGATTCGGCGTATAGGCGTATTGGTCGCGTATTTCTGCATCAGTCCGGGATTCCATGGTTTGCAGCTGTCGACTGAAGCATATGTTTGAAAGAGTGAGTGATTCGTGTTGCTATCTCTGGCTGAAGACGCGCTCGCGCTGCGAAGAATTGTGCCTTGTGCTTTCGGTGGTAGTGACAACCCTTGCACGCTGCCAGGTGACAAGACGCCAAAGATACGACAAAAACATAGAAGTTATACTATTACTATCCGTAAAACACTATTAATAGTTACTCAATTTTAAGGGGTATTAGACTATCCTGTTAAATGTCGGAAGGGAGCAGGCAGGTCTTTTACAGGTGTTCGGTCTAGACATGTCGCTCAAGAAAAAGAGCTACTTCACGGTAGTAGGCATTCAAGCCACCAATTCAGGTACTGTATCAGTAGCGCAGGCCAATACTAAGGTAGTACCTAGGGTCTACCACCAATCGCTGCACATTGATTCGCCTTATCTGGTAGCTCTGTGTCTCTGTTCCTGCATCCATTGATGGCAGCAAGTAAAACGGACGCGGTTAGGGAGTGATACTGGAGACTCGTCATTCTTGAAGGAATGGAGAGAGAAAAGGAGCGAAAATTAGACAGAGAATTAGGTCACAGGGTACCATCACATCATGGCAACAAAGGACTATTTGTCTCAGCTAATGCTGGGGAAGCCCGGCTGTCGCCGCGGTGCGGAATATATATTTATATCTCCGATTCCTCCTACCCCAGGTTCTATGGAAAATTATCTGGCCTCGGCATTTAATCAGGACCCAACTCCGCCGTCCGGAGATGCCCATCCCCACGCGGTCTCGTCTCCCCGGTTCACGTAGTTACGCCGCCCGGCCGGGGTGGGCTTGTGGGGGGGGCCGGCAAATCTGCAACACTCTTAGGCCCAGTTTGCAATGCCCCCGTTTGCAAAGCCGAGGGTAAGAATGTACTTTCAAGGATTGCCTATTTAAGTTTTCCACATCCTTCTTCAAAGAGACGCCGCCTCTCATCTCGATAAAACGAAACGACTGTACTATTTGTGTACCAAGCACTGGTCGTGTTCTCCAACTCTGCCAACAGCCCTCGGCTCAATTCACGCCTTGCCTCGGCAAACCAACGGCAACCAAGAACAAGAACAACAACGATAAACTTCCAGAAAAACCCCGCCAATCCCCAGCTAGAATCAGGCAAGAACGCGGGCAAACCAAAGGGACAACAATGCCTTCCACCTCACACGTCAAAATCACCGAGTACGTCGGCCCGACGGCCGTAGGCGAGCGCATCGCCGCCGCCGTCATCCTCGCCGCCTACGCGGCCGGCATCGCCTCGCGCTGGGCCGTCCCCGGTAGCACTCTCTGGGGGCTCCTCGAGAATCACGCGCCAGGCGGCGCGGAGAACGCCGTCCGGATCGCACGCTACGGCGCGCTGCTTCTGGCGGCCGCGCACGGCGCCGAGGTGCTGCTCTTCGACCAGCTGCGGATGCGCAAGCACGGCGTGCCGCGCTGGTCAGGCGTCTGGTGGCAGTGGCAGCTGAGTGTCTTTGTCGAGGGCATGGGCGCGTGGGCGCGCATTGGAAAGCTGATTGCGAAGAAGCAGGCAGTGCTCAAGTCGAAATAGGAGGGCGGTAGCTCACCAGATGCTGATGATTTAGGTAAACTATGAGGCTGAAGAACTATAAATATATGAAAATAATTGTGTATATGACATTTATTTTGTGGTGATCCTTGTACGCAGCATGAGTGCACTTTTCCTACACCGAAAATCAACTCCTCGAAATACTCATATGGGATGCCAAATAAGCCAAAAAAAAAAAAGCATTGCATTCCTTTAGCCGCCCTTTTTTTATGAAGCGTCACACCAGATAGCTATATAGATAACTAGAACAGTCAGAGCAAAGCGCTGCGTATTATAAGCATGGGGCGAGAGCTCTGTTGAAGCCATCCAGGCGGCTCACGCACCGCCAGCCCGTACCCGATCGTCTTCTCTTTGCACGCGACGACACACGGCGATACCATAGTTGGCGGTCGCCCTTTTACTCTTCGTAGTTTCGTTCGAAGCCGCCGAAGCCCATAGCCTGGATGGAAGCCATGTCATTGGCCTCATTTTCGGACCCATCGGGGAGTCGAGTCGAGCGTGGCCATCTGCGGCGCGGCTCGATTGCTGTTGGCATTGCATACATTTCATAGCTTTAGATTGCTAACCTTGTTAATCTACTCCAATTCCAACTTCTCGCTGCTCTAGAACAATGAGCTCCCGTCAAGCGACCCGTTCAACCCGCCCCGCTTCCTTCCGTCGGTGAATTCGAGATCGAGCCACTCTTGTTGTCCTAGGCTCTCGAAGATGCTCATGACATCCTGACTAGGCCGCCAGTCACCGACTTGCCATTGGACCGTCGGTGCGGTAGCATCGCCACCCTTTTCACCGGCCGAGTACTTGACACCCCACCGATGGATCTTGGTCTCGATAGCCTCCTCAGGACCAACACCGTACTCAACTGCTCTTCTAAATGACGGGGTCCACCACAAGGCCGCATACATCTCAGCGACCTCCAGATTCGGCATGCTGTTAGTCAGTGCTTCAGCAAATGCCTTGAGTAGTGGCTCAATCCTTTCCCTACACGGCTCAGTACGGAACAAGTCTGGGTCATCATCCCAGTCCGTACCTCCCAAGGGGTCATCTTCCCACTCCTCGTCGAGCTCTCCGTCCTCTTCAATGTCGTAGTCACGAGGGTAGTGAGAATCTGAAATCTTAAACCCGCCTTCTTCAGAGTCGTGGGGGTCCTCGCCACGGGGGCCAATGAAGTACCATCGGCCGTCTGGACGGAGGGGATGGAATTCGATGCGGAGACGACGCATTTTTGACCACGGCGCTGCCACTTCAGGGTTAGGGAACATATCCTTTGTGATCAACGCCCGTACATCCAATATTTCTAATTGCGCAGCCAGCTTGCATAGCCCTAGAGAGACGGGGTCTTCGTATGCTGGGTAGATCAAGTTGGGTCTAGGCGCGTCCTGATTATGATGTGCAACCTGCTCCGGCTCCCAAAAATACAACGCGGCTTTTGTTAAGCTCGTTGGGATTCTGCGTCCAAGATACTTTGCTGGATCTATAACGGCGGCACCGAATTCGTGACGAGCATCTCGCAGAGGCCCTTCCCAGGGCCGCGTATAGTGCTCGCGCATCACCCTGCTTGTCATACTACCGGGCACAGGGCGCTCCCACATCCAGGGGATCCTTAATTCCTCCACTTCTGGTAGCCTAACAAGACACTGGAGAGGCACGAGCGGGGATAGAGGGCGGACTCCGTCTGCCTCCCATTCCCCGCCATAGTTGGGTTTCGATTGGACAGTCAGGCTTGACACAAAAGGTAGGTCTAAAAGTGTCTCCGGATCGTGCAGCTGTAGCCGGCGCGAGTGGTACCTCCGGTGGCTGCAGAATGGAAGTCTGTCAAACGACTGCGGCAGCATCCCAAGAACAACGCGGATGCGACCTAGGGCTTCTGGGTTAGCATGCCCGGCGTAGGCAGCAGCCAGCTGCTTGTAGAATGCATGGATTCGTGCGGATATGTGACAACTAATAGCAGTGGTCTCGTCGATAGGCTCATGACATGGTAATGGTTCGCCTTCTGGGTATTCAAGGTTAACGAGTAACGGCAGCGAGACATCATATGAGATAGACCATCTGGGTAAAAGTTGCCTTTTTATCTCGGCCAAAGCCCGACTCTCATATTCTGGGTCGACCACGCGGAACGTCATGAAGGCTATTTGAAAAGTGGTGGTACATAGGTTGAATGAATGGACTCCTGATGGTGGGAGGAAGAGCTGGTGATGACGGCCGACGCCACATTTAGTATCAGCCACAGCTTTCTGCAAGGGCCCGTTACCCATTTTCCCGTTTGCTTGGGTCCGTCGACGCTTGCTAGGGACAAACTATCTATCTGGAGACTACTAGAAATTTTCTTTGTCATGTTTTTAGTATATGCATTGTTCCGTCTTTATTAATCTACAATAGAAATATTGTCTTGCTTCCAGAAAAACGCACTCAGAGGCGCCGCGTTGTGAGCCAGTCTTGGCACTAAAAATAGCGCAGCTGGCAAACAAGACTCGGCCAAGCCAACTGGTGGCCGAAACACCAACAAGCAAAGGCCCAGTTCCAGTACAAACACCAACAAGTCATCGAGATTCATGTCCACGGATCTTCTCAAAACAAATAAACCGCCATAATATTGACCAGCATCATGACGAAATTCAATTTTTCTCGACCATACAACACTCGAGTCAATTCCCTGCAGCCACGCACGGTTCGTGGGTTGTCTCCAGCCCCCCCGGCTTCTCTCTCCCAGCCTCCCGGATAATATGCACGAAATGCTTGGGAGAAACAAGAAAAGCCCACACACACCAGCCAGCGCATTTTCTTTTTCCCCTTGCTGCCGCGCAACTTTTATTATCTCTTGTACGCCCATGCAACCCTCCGGTTACTATTTACTTTTCTTCCTTGCACAAACACAACATTCCAGCGCGAGCGCCATCCCATCCGACAACGCTCGTACAAACGGCGCATAAAGCTTGTCGCAAACCTTAAGTACAGTCAGTACATTCTGTCTCGAGGATAGCTTCCTCTGCGGCCCGCGCCGTCAAGCCCCTCCCCTCATACCTGTCACCTACCTCCCGGACCTTCATCTACCTCCCACCATCGAGCGGCTGCTCGGTAAAAAAAACGCCCAGCATGATTTTCGCCCTCGTCTTCGTCTGTACGCGTATATCGCAAATCACCACCTTGGTACGTCCGTCCTCCATCCATCCTGGCGCATCCATTCCTCCACCACCACCAGCCGTTGGTGTGTAAGTCGCCTTGCGCCGGGCAAACCAACAAAACAGCCTCCCAACTAACCTCCCGCGCGCAGATCATCATGATGGGAATGCTCTCATGGTTCGTCGACAAGTTCGTCAACGCAAACGTCCTCACCCCGACCTCCATCCTCATCCTCTTCATCGTCTCCGTCCTTGCCCTCGCCTGGGCGCTCTTCACCCTCTTCAGCTACCACCGCTCCTCCGCCAACGCCTTCTTCGTCGCCCTCATCGACATCGCCATCGTCGGCGCCCTCATCGCCGGCATCTACTACCTCCGCAACATCCGCTTCGCCTCCTGCTCCGCCGACCCGGACCCCCGCAGCCTCTGGACCAACCAGCTCGGCGGCAACTTCCTCGCCCTCAGCTGGAGTCCGGAGAGCCCCTGCCACATGCTCAAGGCCATCTGGGCCTTTGCGATCATGAACACCGTCCTGTTCGCCTGGACCGCGTTCGCCGCGTTCATGCACGGCGACCACTTCAGCGCCGCGGATGAGCGCCGCGAGAGGAGGCGCCACCACTCGAGCCGCCACAGCCAGCGCCACCGCAGCCGCTCCCGCTCCAACGGCTCCCACTACAGCCATCGCAGCCATCACTCCCACCGGGTCTATGTCTGAAGAGGAGGTTGAGAAAGTCGCAGGGCTTCGGGGAAGTGCAGAAAGTGTATTTTTTGTTATTGATTTCTTATAGCTATTGGGTCGGCAGACCAGGGCAGACGATGGTGCAAAAGTGTCTGCGGACATGCACGTCATGCCACTGTTGCTAACAACTTCCAGAGAGAAGCCAAGCTAGGAGTAAGGTCGGATCTGGGCGGATTTTGGGTAGAATTTTGGTAGAATTTCCTTTGTTTCACGCCTGTATGTATGTTGGACTTGATGATTCCGACCTCGCACAAATACCACGCTTTATGTGTACATGTGCGATAGCTGATGATATAAAATTATTGCTGTTACGTACTTTTGGACGCTGAAAGTATTCAAATCTCCTTTAAAGTGAATGATGATTGTTAAGGTGAGGGTGAACGTCGTCGCATCATTGAGAGCTGTACATGGTCATAGTGTCGATAGTTAATGGGCATATTATCACATCCCAACAGGCATTGCCTGAGAAGTAGTAACAACTGATTTTCCACCAGGACAGGATTGCTAATACCTGACTAAGTTGAACTCCGTCACAAAGGAGGCTCCGAGATGCGTTAGTGCTAAATCCATTGGCCCAAAAAGGCAACCAGCAGGCGACAGCCGACTCAAACTCCGCAATGTCGTTTGCGTAAGTGCTTTCCTTTATAACTTCACCACGCAACGTTTCAATCTTCAAATATGATGCATCCTTTTATCTGTTCTTCTATTGGAACACTCTTCGAAATTTATACCCGCCACCACGCCGCGGGTATTAAATGATGGCGCCGCCCCAATTCGACGTCACCCCCGAAAAGGAAGCCAGCTTCCTCAGCTTCCTCTCCCGCCAGTGGAACATTACCCCCGAACTCATGACCGATGTTGACCTTACCGGAAAGACCGCCGTCATCGTCGGCGCTACGAGCGGCGTCGGCCTCGAAGCCGCCCGGCAGCTCCTGAACCTTGGCCTGCGCAAGCTCATTATCGGGGCCCGCGACGCCACCAAAGCGGCTGCCGCCATTGCCGACCTGCAAAGTACATGCGGCGACGTCGCATCCATAGAGATGTGGCCAATCGACCTGGCCTCGTACGACTCCATCACATCCTTTGCGCACCGCGCAGAGACCCTGGACCGGATGGATCACGTTCTGCTGAACGCGGGCATCTGTGCCACAACGTTCCGTCGCAGCGAGGCCACCGGCCATGAAGAGACGCTGCAGACCAACTACCTGTCGCTAGCTCTTCTCACCACACTCTTGCTACCGTTCGCGGCAGCGAAGCGGCGTGGGACGCAGGGCGGCCACCCGACGCGTATCACGCTCACCTCGTCGGATGTGGCCGCCTGGACGTCGTTCAAGGAGAGGTCCCGCGTGCCGCTGCTCGCGGCGCTCGACGAAGGCGTCGACGACCTGACGGACCGTATGATGGTGTCCAAGCTGCTTGGCCAGTTCTACGTGGCGGAGCTCGGCAAGCGGCTGTCTAGTGACATCGTCACTATCAACTGTGTGACGCCGGGCATGGTGCGCGATACGCAGTTCAACCGCGAGGTGGACAAGACGTTTGGCGGCAAGATGGTAAAGCCCATGCTTCGGTTCCTGGGCTATCCTCCCGATGTTGGTGCCCGCAACATTGTGGATGCTGCCCTTCGCCACGACAACGAAGCAACGCATGGTCAATATCTCTCTACCCAAAGGGTAAAACCGTAAGTGCGACCCTCGTTGCGGCTTCATCAACTAACATTGGCAGAATGGCCCCGATCATTTATACTGAAGGGGGCAGGCAAGTCTCTGCCCAGCTCTGGAAAGAAACCATGGCCGAGTTTGCTTTTGCCAATGTGGAACACATCATTGAGGATTTGCGGGAGAAAATCAATAGTTTTTCGATGACCAGGTCTCAAGATACCATTTTATGGCGTCCCCATGCGTCACTTCGTCTAATTCTATTAGTTCCGACCCATATCGAGACTTATATAGGCATATGTACAAGGCCAACTTGGCCACGCTGTCGCGACTAGATACCGACGCCGAAGCAGTTGGCATAAAACGTGGCGGTGGCACTCCAGTCAGAAAAGACGCCCAAGATGCCAACCTGCCGCCAGAGAACATCAAGCACGGTGTAGACGTCACCGTCTGTTTTGAGGAGATCCTTCACGCTGTCGTAGTAGTAGTCGCCGTTGGCCTTGATCTGAGCCATGGGCGGCGAGCGCTCCAGCGACCAGGTGATGATCTGAAGGCCGAGCTCCTTCGCTCTCACGGCGTACTGGCTGGGGACTATCTTGTCGCCATCAGCCTCGACGAGGAAGCCCAGGGCAGGCGCAACAATCTTGACACCGTCCTGGGCGTAGGTGCTGAGGTTCGCAGTGGCGGCCTCGAGAGTGGTGGGGCCGACGGTCGGGTCGAGGAAGACGGCCTGCTGGCCAAACTCAGGCTCGTTCTTAATCAGGTACAGGATGTCGTCATAGAGGAAGCTCTGAATGAAGACGTCGGCAGGCGAGATACCGTTGGACCGGAAAGTGTTGATGACTTGCTGGGCAAACATCTCCTGCGTGTAGTTGCCCTGGAAGGGCATGGGGATCATGGGGGTCTTGATCTCCGGGGTGAGCTTAAGGCCGAGAGACTTGACGAGAGTGATGTGCTCTTGCAGCGTCATGACCGTGGCGCAGCTGGCATAAAGGTCGGAGCGCCAGGAGGGAGTGCCGTGCAGGTAATCCTCGGGCGTGGTGGCGGAGGCGTTAAAGCCGTCCATCTTGGAACATAGCGACTTATACTCGGAAACGGTGATGTCGCTGGTGCAGCACTCGGCCTTCGCCGGCTTGCCACCGCTAGCAGGCTGGAACGGTGTCTTGCATTTGGCGTTGAGCTCAGGGATGGCAACGATGTTGGTAGTGGTATGCAGGTCGCACTGGCTGTGGCGGCAGACCAGCTCGCGGTCCTTGGTAAAGGTCACGTCGCACTCTTGTATGCCGGCGCCCATGCGCGCACCTGCCAGGATAGACTCGCGTGACTCCTCGGGAATCAAGAGGGTGCCGCCACCGCGGTGGCCGATGGACCAGGTGCTGGACTTCATCTCCATCTCCGTGCAGGAGGAGAGCTTGTCTTTGAGAGGACTGGGCAGCAGGCTCTCAACAAGATAGTATGGTCGGGGACCTAGCTCAATCTTCTTAATAGGCTTGACGACCCAAGGCGAGCAAGGCTTGGCCGAGACAAGGTTGACGGCCGCGAGAGCGGCGAGGAACGAATTGTCGACGCGCATGGTGAGTTAGCAGTGCCTCGCTAGGTAAGAGAACAGCGGCTGAAGTCTGGGTGTCGAAAGTTCGCACGGCGGATGGGGGAGCAGTCTCCCTGCTACTTATTCAGTCAGCTATCAGCCGGAGTCGGCTCAACGAGACAGAAGTGGTGATCAGCCGGCGAGGTACTGGCAAGGATAGGTGCTGGCAGCCCAAGCCAGCCCCGTGAGGTGGCTTGACAGATTGTATGCAGAATGGTTCCCCTGTGGAACCATCACCACCGTAAACAAGCGCTGGTGGCTCTCGGTCTGCTTTCGGCGAGGAGAATCCGATTGTGTGGGGATTGAATTTCATGAATCGCGGCACTGCCGAGTTTGCGCAAAGAGACTTCATCATATCTGGCCGGCACATCATTGTGCGGAGCATCATCGACAGCAAAACCCGACAATCCTCAGACCCCCGACTAGTTTTATTCACCACTTCAGAAATCAGGCTATAAGTTGAAGCCGGCTCGTGATTTTGTACTTCCTCTCAGCCCCTGGTATCAGAAAGTGAACTAGTCAACTGATGCCTGCTGCTCAGGGCACCTGGACTTGCGGCATGAGGCCCCGGTGTGGCCGTGTGGCCCCCTTGTGGCTTGAGCATATCGACTGGGTGCGTGGAGAGTCCAGACGATTTGGGTTCGGGCGGCGGCAGCGTGTCTGAATCAGTGTCATTGATTTGTGGGTGGCGAGATGCAGCAGGCATTTTATTCCCTCAACCCCATAACTCGGTCAATAAAGTTGAGGCTGCGCGATTGTCTTCTCAAATAAGCTTGATCTTTTAATTTCAATAATCCTCCACGTGCTGTGCCAAGATATTTTCGTAGAAGGTGGCGCTCGTATGTGTGGCTGGTAAACTCAGGCAATCAATGTCAACCCTGCATATTTCACAGCTCATCCTTTTCTGATTCACGCGCTGCAGCAACAGCATGCACACCGTGGACCGTCGCTGCAAGTCTTGTAAAATCGGTCGCGTCCTCGCCGAGACCCCAGGCGAAAACCCCACCGAGCCCCATTGCGCCCACCAACTCCATCATCTTCCGTTCAATGACCTCAACGGTGTCAAAGGTCCACCAGCGATGCTCATGCTCGTCCCAATATCCGTAGCTTCCGTCTTCGAAGTACCGGCCGTCTGTCAGGGCCCTTGAAAAGGACTCGCTCACCTCGTCCGGCACTCTGTCATGCCAGCTGAATGCCGATACCCTGCCAAGGTCGCCGCCGGTTTTGGGGTCTTCTAGTAACTGTGTTGGACACCCCAGAATATGGTCTCTCTTGCAATCTTCCGTCATGACCCATTTCACAAAGTAACCGAGCCCCAGGTTCGCCTTATCGCGGGGCACACCTCGGTCGAGATACTGTTGCACCGATTTTCTCGAGTCCACTATCCCGCTGTGGTGTCTCACCACTGTGTCTCGGCGGTTAACAAGGTCGTAGGTCATAATGTTGATAAAATCGACCTGCTCCACGATTTTGGGCACTAATTGACCTGTAAAAGCCATCAAGTCGCGTTCTAGCCCAGGCACCGCGATTGAAAGCAGTTTGTTTCGCCCTAGTGTCTCTCGAAGCTCCCGCAGAAGCAAAGGATAGGCATCAACTTCCCACTCACGCCGATGATTGAGGATAATCTTGTAATCATTGCGATTGCCGCTACGATGCCGTTAGTAAAATTCAGAAAACGATCAAGAACCTTACCCGGGGTATTCCCAATCAATGTCGATGCCATCAGCTCCTGTGGCTTCTACCATTCGCTTCACATTGCTAGCCCAACGATTCCGGCTAGTCGCATCTTTTGCAGCTTCCTCGAATCCCTCTGAATCCCCCCATCCCCCGATTGCTACAAGCACCTTGGTGGTGGAGGGAAAGCTTTGGCGCACCTCACGCACGGAGGTAAAAAGCGGAAAATCGACTGGAGCTGGTTCAGCGTTGAAGGTATCGGAACGCATAAACGCGAGAATGACGTGAGTAATCCCGGTTCTCAATTCTGCGTCTTCCGGTATGATATTATGCTGCCTAATTTAGGGTTAATGATTGCTTTTCTCCGTTTGATAATTCCTACCCACCCTGTCAAGTACATGATGCACCGGGGAGAGCATAATGCCAGAGCAGCCATATTCAATAGCTGCGAGCATATAAGCCATTGGGCTCTACGCTTCCAAAGCATCGCAATTGGTTGCATTTAACCGCGATTTTGAGGTCTTCGGCCAAATGATGAGCAGTCTTGATATTTGAGGACCTGAGTGATAGCTGCAAGTCTCGTCGTCCGTTTGCTCGGAGCCACGAAAGAACAGTGCCTGTGCTAGATACACTGTTCTCGCACAGTACGGCCCGCAAACGGGCGCTGAAGAGAAAAAGTTGGCCAGTTCCATGCCGAACCAGGAATTACGGCAGCCTTGCTATGAGCTGCAAACCTTACAATTGACCTCGAAAGTGCAACTTTGCTCCTAAGGATTGGATACGAATCATTTTGCCTTGTGGTCTTTTCTCCACGTCACTCTTACCATGTTCGAGAACCTCTGCACGCTGCCGCTTCACGCGGACGTCTTTGCGACGGCGCTGCATCCCAGCGAGCCGCTGCTTACCGTTGGCCTTTCGAATGGCCATGTGCAGACATTCCGCTTGCCTCCCGGCTCTTCGTCCAACGAGAGCGTTGATGGAGACACCAGCGTGCTGAGCGATGGCAGGGGATATCTGGAAACGACGTGGGAAACTCGGCGGCACAAGGGCAGCTGCCGCTCTTTAGCTTACGCCCACGATGGCAGCGGTACGTCCTCCAACCGAATAGAAACAAAGCATGGCGTGCCTGACTCGTCAATCTTTTTTTAGCCATGTACTCGGCCGGTACGGACTCGCTCGTCAAGCACTTTGACCCTGAGAACGGCAAAGTCATTTCCAAAATGGCAATCCCGACTACCACCACACAGCCCGATGCGCCGACGCTGCTACACATACTAAACCCCCAAAGCTTGCTTCTGGGAACGGACTCCGGTGCGCTACACATCGTCGACCTTCGCGATGGCCGGCCCGGCAACAAGCCGGCACAGACTCACTTTCCTCACGCCGACTACGTATCGTCCATCTCGCCGCTGCCACCGACCGCGGAGAGCACCAGCGGCTTCCCCAAGCAGTGGGTCAGCACCGGAGGCACCACGCTAGCGGTAACGGACGTCCGCCGCGGCGTCCTCGTCCGGAGCGAGGACCAGGAGGACGAGCTCCTGGGCGCGTGCTTCGTGCACGGCCTGGGGCCGAAGAAGATGAGGGGCAACGGGATGGTGGCCGTCGGCTCCAGCTCCGGTGTCCTGACGCTGTGGGACAAGGGCTCCTGGGACGACCAGCAGGAGCGCATCATCGTCGACGGGGGCAAGGGCGGCGGCGAGAGCATCGACTGCGTCGCCACCGTCCCCAAGGACCTAGCCCCGGGGTCAAAGGTCGTCTGCGGTCTCGGCGACGGTAGCCTGCGCCTCGTGGATCTCGTCAGCCGCGACGTGGACCGCTCGGTGAACCTGAGACATGACGACCTCGAGGCGGTGGTCTCCCTCTCGTTTGATTGCGAGAATCGGCTCATCAGTGCCGGTGGCCGAACGATCAAGGTATGGGAGGAGCTTTCGGAGCTGCAGGCCAGTCGGGACGACGACGATGATGATGATGAGGAAGATGACGAGGACGAGGGAGAGGCCAAGGGCGATGGTTCGAAACGGGCTGCCGAGAGCGACGACGATGATGACGAGACCGACAGCGAGACCGACGGCTTGGAGGAGATGAAGCGACGCGCGAAACGACGTAAAGCGATGAAGAACAGCAAGCTTGGGCCCTTGGGAGCGCATGGCATTATGGGTTTCAGCGGACTAGACTAAACTTGATGCTACTGCATTTCGTGTTTGCATACTTTCAAGATAAAAACGATACCACGGATAGACTTGCTTCAGTGAATTCATATTTTCGGCCTTTAATTTTCTGTTATTTGTTTGAGTTTGTGAGATAGAGATACTTTGATCGTGTCTTAGGCATCAAAAGGAGAAAGAAACCAATGCAGCGCGATGCTAACGCTCCGACGCTTCCCAAAACAAAGCCCAAGTGAAACAAACAGACGAATCGAACGCGGTAAAGAAAGATATAGGGTTTTCAAATCCCCGGCAGCTGCATGAAACTCCATTTGGAGGAAGGGCTTTGAGCGTCATCTGCTGAGGGTGGTTGACGACCTCCGGTGTTAGCGGGGATGAGGATGCGCCTGGGGACAGAAGTAGTGAGTTCCTCGTCATATATTATGACGGCAGGTTTGACTCTCTGTTTTGCGTCTCGGCTGGCGACGCTTACAGCACTGTGCTTGGAGCTGTTCTTGCTGCCACTCGTGCGACTTTTGCCATCACTAAGGGGACTGCCGATGCGTTGTCGGCTGCTGCTGGGACGTCTGGATGCGGCAGCGCTGGCAGCACCGCCATCAGGTTGGCCTGTGGAAATCGGAACATCGCAGTCGAAAAGATGGAGAACTTCGGAGCCGCTATAGGTTGTGGGGATGCATATGTGAGGAATGCCTTTTCGGATGCTGACGGCGCGGGCGAGCCCAACGGCAGAGGAGCCGCCGACACTGATGACACAGTCTCGATCCTTTACCCTCTCGACCGCGTCGTCGACCAGCTGGGCTCTAACATTGACGACGGCGGAATCGAGGATGTGCGTGTTGAGGTTGGGGATGAGGGCTTGAATATGGCGGGCTGTGGCCATGCGTGAGGGGCTGACGACCATGAGCGGCGATGTCAGGCGGAGACGACCGAGCTCGTTAGGCAGGTGGTTAATGGCACCGGGACCGTAGACGATACGGGAGGGCGGCGTGGAGGTGGTTTGCGGCTTGGAGGAGGGCGACTTGCTGTTCGTCCGTCTGGGCTCGTGATCGCTCCTAACCGCCCGCCTGCTGGAAGATGAAGACTTTGTCGACCTGTGGCCGGGCGAGGGGGCCGAGAAGGCGCTTCCGGCCGCGGCCGCCGCGCTGCTGTTGGCAGTACGGCTGCTGGCGGCGGCATGGCTGGCCGCCGTCGCCACCTTGGGTGACATGGGATTCATTGCTCAGACAGCTGCGGCGCTCCATCTGGGCCTCTGGCTGGATGGAAGGCGTGGATGGAATATACTGGGTTGATGGAAATGATGGCGATGTAGTAGGGCGTAGATGGATGATGCGAGACTGACGATACGAGCGGTGGGATGGCGGTGACGGATGAAACAGGTGCGTATGTTTGGTAACGTGTTCGAGGATGACGATGTGTTGATGCTGTTGGTAGATGATGCCTGGACAGTGGTGCCTTTGGAAAGTGTCAAAGGCAGACTGGTCGCACGTCCACAATGACGTTTCTGCTCCAGCTGCGTGAATGACACTAGAAGAAATACAAGTGAAGCAAGACAGAATACCGGCCTGCAGAAGGATTGATGGTGGTGGCAAAAGAGGAAATGGTTCCTTGACAGGGTTGCATGGGGAAGTGGCGAATTGGAGGGAAAAGTCCATGCCTCACAACAGGGCAAAAAACGATCGGCATTCCCTCTGCATGGGCGTTTACTTTCCTCTTCAGTAGGCAAAGAAGGGGCGCTAGCCACTAACAGCGGGGTGCACCCTTTCGAGCCGCGCTAAAATTTAGTGGAGGAACCACTGTAATTCGTACTAAAAGGCAACTGTAAAGCCGGGCCTTCTGCTCCGGGCCGGCGCTAATGGTGAAGCCAAAGGCATACCAAGTTTTATAAAGTCCATAGAAGCGAGACTGAAGAGAAAACTGAATGTTATTTTTGTTTTTTTGTTTTTTTGTTTTTTTTTTTTTTTTCGAGAAATATATGCCTTTTATCCATGATGCTAGAGAAGTCGCGAATCTTGCAGCGCACGCTGATAAAATGCCAGGTAATCGTTGTTGGCCAACCAGCAATTTAATTAGCTGAGAAGGATAAAGCCTTGAAAGAGGCAGAACGAAGGGCTTATGAAAGTGTTTATTATCTAGAAATCCTCATTAAAGAGTTAGGCAGAAACAAAATTTCGGTACGTTAAAATCTTAAATATCTCCTCTGGCTCCTGAGTCCACCATACTGGAGATAACGCAATCTATGTATAGGGTACTTGCAGACTAATATGTCAACCGTCTGAGCAGCTCTGGCGCGAATTTCTCTACCAATAAACTTCGGAAACCACACAATCAAATTTCCTAGCTGACGCGAAGCTAATGAAATACTACCGATACGGCGCCCTTTTGTGTGGTGGCGCTTCTCATCTGACACCACCTATGTGTCAATCCGTTAGCAAGCGAACCTGGCTTCTCTCGCTCAATGATTCCGATGTGCCTTAGCCGTAGCCTTTCGCTATCCCTTCTATAATTCCTACCGGACTTATTTTAGCCTGGAGACATTAGTTTAACGGCATAGATAGCCTATTTGACTGTTGTTAAACATGCCCTCGCAAATAGTGAGCAAGCTACACGCCACATATCAACTGGTAATATTGTATAGTAATCACAAATATTTCATTTACCAAATTTCCCTCACTGTGCTGCACGCGCTGCTGTTTCTAGTGCAAAATGTAACCATATGGTGCAACCCATTGCAAAATATCATTACCGTTGTTATTGACCTTGATATAAAAGCCCTTTGTCCACCTTGCATCATCCCACCCCCTCCCCCTCCTCCGACTCAATACCCCGGAATGACCCTCATGCGGACGTGCAGGCCGCCCGCAATCTTGGATGTGACCAGCTGCTCAAACTTGATGTTGGCCTCGTCCAGCATGGCCTTGTCGCGGAGCTCAAACTCGAAGCGGCCGACCCACGCCGCCAGTAGGCACGCGAACTCGCCCTTTGCGAAGCTCATGCCGATGCAGCTGCGCGGGCCGTGCAAGAACGACATGAACGCATAATTGCTCGACGCACCGCCCAGCGCCGCGTCCTTGGCGTTGGCCGCCGTGCCGCCAAGCCCGTCGGCGGCGTCCGCCACCAGCCACCGCTCCGGTCGGAACTGGCTGCTGTCCGCACCCCAGAGCCCCGCGTCCGCGTTGACCGCCCACGGCAGCAACAGCAGCCGCGTGCCCTTGGGCATGCGCTGGCCCTGGATCACTGTGTCGCGCACCGCCACGCGACCGGACTGCGGCACCGGGCTGTACAGCCGCAGCGCCTCGCTGCACACGGCGCCGAGGTACGGCAGGCGGTCGATCTCGAGGCTTGTCATCTCGCGGGGGTCGGTCACGGGGGGCAGATTCGCGCGGATCTCCTCGCGTAGGCGCGTCTGGATGTCCGGGTGGCAGCACAGTGCGTAGATGGCGAGCGTCAGCGCCGAGGCGGTCGTCTCGTGGCCGGCGCCGAGGAAGGTCATCATGTGGTGGACCAGCTCCTCCTCGTCGAAGACGCCGGAGCGCATCGCGACGGACAGGATGTCGACGTCGTCGAGCTTGCTCTCCCGCAGCCGCTCCTTCTTGGCGCGGATCAGGTCGCTGCAGACGCCGCGGATCTGCTTGGACGCGCGCATCATCTCGCGCGGGCGCGGCACCAGCGGGTTGAGGATGAACGACGGCGGCAGCACCGACGACAGGAGGTCTACCATGGCGAAGATGAGGCGGTCCTGCGCCGTGTGCGTGGCGATACTCATGTACGTTTTGACGAGGGGGTCGTGCTCGTTGTGCGTGGCGTCAAAGTCGCGGCCCATGCCCGCGACGCCGATGACGTCAAGGGAGACGCGGCCGGCCCAGTGCTCGACCTCGATCTCGGCGCGGCCGTCGGCGTCGCACTCCTGGCTCATGACCTGCACCACCTCGCAGGCCTTGCTCCAGAACAGCGGGTAGAGGTCCTTGATGTGGCGGAAGGCAAAGGCCGGCAGGAGGTTTCGGCGCTGCAGCTTGTGCTCCTGGCCCTCGACGAGGACGAGGCCGTGGCCCAGGACTGAGCCGAACACCTCGCGCAGGGCTCGCGGCTTCTCGAACTCGTACGCTTTGGAAACAGTGATTTCAGCGAGGGCCGCCGGTGATGTCACGAAGACGTATTCGCGGTGAAACGGCCCAAACATGCGAATGAACCCGTCATTTGGAGTCTCTGCAATCCTGTTGAAACGGTCAGTACCTGACTTCGAAACTCGGTCATCATGCTACACATCTGCCTAGGGCATGCTCTCACCATTTTCGACCAGTAGGACCAAGACCCTTGTTAATTGCTTGAACAGAGTGCCCGAGGCCCAGCTGCCAGCCTGAAGCAGTTGGCAGGTGTCGTAGGGGCGATAGAAAGAAGGGGTATATAAACATGCAATAGAAACCATATGCAAGAAATTGAGCAGCCCACAACGCCGCAAAGACCTTCACGCCGAGGGTCCTGGTGGCTGCTTCATTGGTGAGCATGAAAGCGGTGGCCCCAAGGCCGGAGCCAACTGTAATTGTCGGAATGGCGGCAGGCATGATGAATTCAAGGTGGTATTAACGGAGAAAAAGGCGAAAAAGAAACAAAAAGGGATGCAGGGTGACCTTGTAATTATTTATTCATTTTCCATTTGACACGGTAAAAGGCGAATAGTCCGCCAAGCCCGCAAGCGTTTTGATATACTCAACAATCCGTGTCTGAATGACTCTTGTAGTTCACTGATTTACATTTAACAGTTAAGTGATCCCCCCGACCACTAAACTCCGTTATCCCGTTCCCCGCGTTTGAGCTGGGACGTGTTTGAGCTGGGACGGAACAGGAGGAAACCAATTGCGAACAGGCATTCGACCATTTTTACCCCACGTAAACAGATACGTAATACTCCCTGCGAGACGACGAGACAGAAACTCCCCCAACCCTCCTTCGCTAACTTGTAAACTAGCAACGCTGGAAGTCGCTGGTGAGAGGCGGCCAGTGGCATGGGTACGTGCGTAGGCAGATCTCAGTGGGCCGAGGAGACTCAGCGGTAGACAGAGCCAATGTCATTCGCAACGCCCTGTTCCTGATGGTACATGGGAGGCTAGAAGCTCGAGCGGAGAGTCATCTCATGTTCTCTCGACCGGCAAGACGAATCCATCTGCATTGGCAACGTCTTCTGTAGCTGCAGTGGCCACTGCATTGGCAACGCCTTCCATTATTGTAGTGCCTGCTACAGGTGATTCCCTGAAAACCGAGGCTTGGCACCGGCTGAAGAGCTAGACAAGTTCATATGTACTCGATCTACGTTTAAGCGGCGGGCGTTTCTAAGCCTTGTTGCGCCGCCTCCGCACTAGTTTATGCCTTGGTACAGGGCAGGCTGGTCAGCCTCACATGGGCGCGGATCTCGGCCCTCGCTAAAGCAGAAGACGGATTTAAATAGCCTAGAAATTCATTTGAAAATTTATTAAATGATAGATGCAGAGAAGAATAGTAAATAACTGCAGTCAGCTTGATACTATTCGTCACCCTTGTGTTGATACCAATACTCCATTCACTTGTCTGGGGATGTGAAAGCCATGACCCGACTGAGATCTTAGAGCCGGCTTTCACATGTCAAACTCTGTCTTGTCACTGCTTTGCGGCAAGGCCGACTTTGACAGGTGCTTTGCGGCAAGGCCGACTTGTTTGAGTGGAAGGAAGAGGAAAGCAAAACTAAACATGTCTAAAATTCATGACTGTATTTCTTGATGCTATTGGTAGTAAATAAAAATGAAACGGAAATGTATGTAAACCTGGTATATCAACATCGTCTATCCCTAAGTCAAGCAATGTTACTTTGGCAACAAATGGAAAAATCATAACAAAATTAAGCAAGGCAGTACACTCTAATTTTTCTTCTATCCATCAATCCGTCACTCATAAAAGTTCCATCTCTGACCTGAGGTCGCCGTAGGTGGCCTTGTAGAGATCTGCCAGGTACGTCGTGCGCGGGGCCCAGGCGCCGGTGCCGCCCTTGGGGAAGACCGTGTTGGCATTCTTGAGGTACGTCGAGCCCAGGTTGAGCAGGGGCCGGACCTCCATCTTCTCCGGGTTTTCCAGGCGCGGCGTCGCCGACGTGTGCCCGCCAGCCTTGAGCTCGTTGACCAGGCGAACGAGCACCTTGGCCGCGCAGTCGGCGCCCAGCGTCCACGACGCGTTCTCGTAGCCGACCACGTACACGAGGTTGGGCAAGTCCTGCAGCATGCTCGCGCGGTAGATGAACTTTTGCGTCACGTCAAACGGCGCGCCGTCGACCCTGATGCGCACGCCGCCCGCGAAGCGCAGGCCCAGACCGGTGGCGGTCACGATGACGTCCGGGTTCAGCTGCGCGCCCGACTTGAGCTTGATGCTGTCGGCGGTGACGGTCTCGATGTGGTCCGTGACGACGCTCGCCTTGCCGCTGCGGATGGCAGCGAAGATATCGCCATCCATAGAGGCGCACAGCCGCTGCTGCCAGGGCTTGTAGGCCGGCGAGAAGTGCGGGTCGATGGAGACGGACTTGGGAAGCAAGCGACGGTTGACTGAGCGAATGAGCGCACGGGCGACGTTGGGGAAGAGGCGGCAGAAGTAGATCATGACGTAGCTCTGGAAGATCCAGAGCGAGCGGTTCAGCGAGTGCGCGATGAAGCGCGGCAGCAGCGCGAACAGCCAGCGCGCGGCGACGGACTGCTTGGGGATGGGCATGATGTAGGTCGGGCTGCGCTGCAGCATGGTGACGTGCTGCACCTTCTCAGCGACGGCCGGCACAACAGTAATTGCAGTGGCGCCGCTGCCGATGACCACCATGTGCTTGTTGCTGTAGTCGTAGTCCTCGGGCCAGAATTGCGGGTGGATGACCTTGCCGGCGAAGTTGTCAATGCCGGGGATGAGCGCCTTCATGGGCGTGTCGTAGTCGTAGTAGCCGGTTCCGAGGAGCAGGAAGCGGGTGCGCAGCGTCTGGGGCTCGCCGCCGTCGACCGTGTAGCTGATCTCCCAGCACTGCTCCTTGGACAGCCAATTGGCGTCGACGACGCGGTGGTGGTAGCGGATATGCTTGTCGATGCCCGTCTCGCGCACGGCCTCGGTCATGTAGCTCTTGATGTCGGCGCCCTGCGCGACCGTCTCGGGCTTGCTCCACGGCTTCCAGGAGAAGCCAAAGGTATAGATATCCGAGTCGGAGCGGATGCCGGGGTAGCGGAAGAAGTCCCAGGTGCCTCCCAGGCTGTGGCGCGCCTCGAAGATGGCGTACCGGCTGCCCTTGGGGCCGTCCGTTTGTAGGCGGTAGCCGGCGTTGATGCCAGAGATGCCAGCGCCGACGATGAGGACGTCGAGGTCCAGCTGTGTAGAGGCCATTGTTGTTATTTTGTTTGCGTTTCTCGTGTGTGTATTCTATCGGTCGGGTATACACTTCTTTTTTTCTTCTTCGAGGAATGTGGGAGTGAGGCAAAAAGTCTAATGAGGAAAGTGAGAGATGGCAACGCTAGGAACTCAAATACTTTACCTACTCCAACAATATATAGTGGCTGCCTCGGTGCCACCTTGGACCTGCCCAGTAGATTCACTGAACATTCCATTACCGAAGCCCCGCCCGAGGGTAGATGGCGGGGGAGGGAGCCTCCAAACTTTCTGCCGAGGCACCAAAAAAAAAAAGCCCGCTGTCGCCGGCTCAGAGACTGGCCTATCCCCAGCGGTTAAACCAGATCGGCCAAGGAAACAAGGGGAAATACGACCACCCGAGCGGAATGGCCTGTTTTTAGTAACTGGTGTCATTCCTTCAGCATATGAAATACAAAAGATACCACCAAAAACGCCTTGTTGGGATCCTCATGTCGTTACAATCGCGCCATTTCTCAGCGCCTGCCTGCCCATAGCCTACAGAATGAATCATCCCTCAACTTTCATGCCATTCACATGGCGCATTACGTATGTATGTACATACATTTCTCAACATCCCAGCCAACCAACTGGAGCACATATCCCCAGATCGATTAGCAGCGCCCCCCCTGCCGGTGCCGCGACACACGCCGACTCCGTTTCCCAGCCCGCACTAACAGGTTCTAGCACCCAAGTAATTTACCCAGCGATGCCACGGCTACTCCGTAATAGTGGTAAAGTTGGCTGCTTATCTGCTGGGTGCCTAGTGAGCTTTGTTACTACCGCACTGACGACTCTCCGCGCCGACTGCTGCCAGACACGACAGCCTCGGTGTCGCGTGTGTCGCTGCCCTCCGTCGTCGCCGTCGTAGTCGCCCATGTGGACGGCCGCTGCTCCTCGCCCGTCTCGGCCCCCTCTGGCTTGCCACTGCCACCCTGCAGCTCGATGCCGACTAGCTGCTCCGCGCTCTCCGTCACCGTAAAGTTAGTGACCGTCAGCTTGGTCGGTAGCGGGTTAACGCTCTGTGGCGGATGCCTGCGTAGACGCGGGCCCGCGCCGCCCTGCCCGTCGCCGCCGCCAATCGTGCGGAAGCCCGTCGCTGAGTGGCCCGACTTGGACGACCGCAGTGACAGGATCGGCGCGACGTGCCGGTCAAAGAAGAGCTTCAGCCGCGGGAAGATGATGGGCAGGTTCGTCACCACCGTTGCCACGCACGATTCTCGCACACTCCAGGCGCCGGCAGCCTGGGGACCGTTGATCGGATCCTGTCCGGGGGGATAATCTTGTCAATATTACATGCAGGGCCTGGGCATCACGTGCGATAGATAGATGGAGTGACATGGCAAGGAAAATGGCGCCACTGACTATGGTGATCATGATGCTTCGTAGCAGCGCGCATACAATGATGAACACGCCAGAGGTGAATAGTATTGTCGACGCAATCTTCTTGGATAGCTTCAAGCCTGACTTCCAAAGCATCGGAACCGGGATCGACATGAGGTAGAAATCGGTCGACGCGTTGAGCGCGAGGTTCGTCCAGATGATCTGGATCGAAAGCGCGGGCTGACAGCCATCTAGCAACGGAGTTCTGTTAGTCGATGTCCGCGTCGCCCTTGAAATCTCGTCAGATACTCACTGCCCGGATCTGGATAAATCTGCCAATATCTATAGAATGGGCGGCAGGACAAGAACATTGTCCCAAGAAGCACGAGATACGTGGTGCCAAGCAGTGCAAAGCCAAAGTAAATCTGCTTCTTGTAACTCTTGTGCAGGCCCGACTATTCCAGTCCAGTTAGCCAACGGTCGCGTTCCCACATCCCTACTAATTATTTGGGGTCGTACCGTCAATCGTGTGTAGAATATTAGCATGCAGGTCTTGTATAGCCAGAGAACGGTTCCATATGTCGTCCAACCGGCGACCTGTATCTTCGATCCGATCACCCTAAGGCTCGTTAGTTAGCGGCGGCGCGGTGCAAAATGGGTCACTGTAGCCATCTTTAACTGACCGTAGCCGGTACTCGGGATTGTCTGGCGCAAGCGCTGCTCTATCCTGCTCCGTCATGCCTGAGTTGGCCAGGCCGTGTGCGACATTGCCCACGTTATACGCCAGAATCGTTTCGACCAGGTAGAAGAACTTGACCATGTTAGCCACATGCCTCGCCCACGTATTGCAGCTGAATAGCAAAGTCGAATGAATGCTCGACCAAAGATCGACTAACCGTTCCGAGAGAGACGAGGTAGTCGTCCCATCGCAGGTTTCGGATCCCGAGCATCGATATCCGCAGGGCTATTCGTAGCGCAGTGACGGTCATCGCAACCGCCAGCAGCGTCCAGGCCTCGATGGCGAAGACGCGAAAGGCATCTTCGGCGGCGGTGCTCCTCGGCAGCGGCGCCGCCATCCCTCGCGCCTCGTAGCCGGTAGTGGCGCTTGCAACGTCCAGGAGGCGGTGGTGGAGTGCTGGCATGGTAATCGCCTCGTCGACGGCGCGCTAGCACACAGTCTCATTTCGCAGTAGTGAAATATATAGAGAGAGAGAGAGAGAGAGACAGAATAATGTGAAAAGAAAAGGCAGCTGGAAATGCTCAAGGCTGCACAGATGTGGCAAACTTCAGGAGTGCAACCTCTCGACACCGCCCCCCTCCTTTCAGTGCAGGACAGAGATGCAGTGTGACAGCAAACTGCGCAATAAACAGAAAGGATCCAGGAGCAGGATTTGGGTGACAACGAATGGGCTGGCAGCATACTTGCCGCAACTTTCTACGGAGGCAGTGCGCAACCCCCGGGAGCCCCCGGACAAAAAGGCGTACCTAGTATAAAAAAAAAGGGATATGGACCCCCTTGAAGGCCCCCTGCTGACAATATGCAGGCTCTCGGCGGTGAGCCTTGGCTACTGGGTATAATACAGTGACTGATATGACAATGACGGTCGCGACAGTTCAACAAGGGCCGCTTTGCAGGCATCCTGGGGTCATTTTCGTGGAGCCAAAGGGCTTGGCCCTTTCAGATTCCCAGTAACTACGGAGTACCCAGAAAGTGATGTGCGTATCCGTGCCCCGGAAATAGCTACTCTTTACGTATTTATCAGTCAAGTTGATAGCATGGGTGCCCCCTTCAGCCCTGCCTATAACTCGTTTTCCTTGCCCTCTACCCCAGACTCGCTGGGGGCTGGGCTGAGGGCAGAGTCCGCTTGACAGCAGCAAATTTGCATGTCTTTGCCGAATAATTAGGGTGCAATTGTATTCAAAAGTCTTTACAGTTTTTTCAAGGGTTTTATTGCGTATGATACACAATATTTCTTATCGTTGCCATCAGCCTAAATCATTCATTTGTTGTGGCTCTTGTTACAAGAAACAATAATGCGACACTAAAATTCAGCCGCCCGACGCGAAGAGCCTCTAACTATCAATCCAGATAAATATGTCGCAAAGGCAGTTGCAGTCGTAGTCACAGTCTCAGTCAGCTCCTTCTCATTGAGACGCACCGGTCAGGATGAATTCGTTCCAAGCGTTGCGGTCAACGTCAAGATTGAAACATCTGCACCGTTGTCTTGTCCATTAATTTGCCCGCCAGACACATTAGACGGCTGAGGTGCACCAGTGGCGCCACTCCCGCAACCAAGTCAACACTCTGTTTCTTCTAAATATACTTTCACGTCAAACTATTGGATCGAGTTGATACATCGTGGGCTGGTGGTCAATGACGCTGGAACAAGGCCTGTAGCTCGGGCCTGCCGGCCAAGTCTCTAACCTCCATACTCTCATGAGCTTGGACATCTTGGGTGCGTATTCGCGCAATGTAGCTGCGCATCTCCAGTACCATGATCATGGCCGCTAGTTGACTTGTTGCTGGTTTTGAACCATCTTCCTGGTCTGAAATGTCTTGCCGACGTGGCTGCACATGAGGGATGGTCACGGAAGAGTCGGACCCGGCGTCGCCTCCTGCTGCATCTCCGATAGTTGAATAAATTGAACACCTACAGTATGCTCCATTGCACATCAATTGCTCTTAGAAACCGTCACAAAGTACCAATAAAGTATGTTGGCTGGGCTTCACCCCCAAAGCAGGCGGATCCGACGGCTGTCGCCAACTATCTTGGCCCTGAAGGAAGAAGCCAAGCAATCACAAGCCACAGCCCATTACAATTGATTCAACATGCAGCTTCCTGTGAAATGGCCCCATTATGCTGTTGAAGCTGTATTGAAGATCAGCGGCTGCTCTTAAAGCGTAGGAAAACAACGGGATACGTACAAACAAAGTTACACATCAGATAACAACGTAGATTAGTTCCCGCAGACGGGCCGCTCACCGGTAACGCCTTTCTTTGTTCTCATGCAACAACTGATCGCGGAAGTTTGCATGGGTGCCCTTCATAAAAGCGGCTGTGCCCGCAACCCACATATTCATACTGGTTTTGTATTGAGTCCCGCAGGCGAGGAATGATACCTTGTTGGGCTTGGGTGATTGCTTCTTACTCGTACGTTACACGACGTCTGGGCTGGCTGCAGATACGAAGCTGACTCGTCTCCCGCCTCGTCGAGCAGAAAATGGATACTGGTGCATGGAAGTATTGACCAACACGGAACGTCAGATTGAACTGTCTCGGAGGATCACAAGATAACTCGTCATAACGCCCCGTGCAGGTCGCTTGTGGACCGAAGCTAATGTAAGACGCCTGCAGACTCCAATATTGAATCAGGCTGCGTAACGCGCTGGTGACAGGCAGCAGCAGCAAACTAAGTCGCTCTGTTTCTTGGTCAATGGTTTATTAGTTTGCTCTCCCTCGAAAATATTTCTCTAAATCTTTCAACTGAAGACTGCCAGTGTTTTGCTTGTGTCCGAGTGTTGCGACTGTATCAGCCCCCAGGACATTGGCAGGCTGTCACTGCTACATTTTAATCCTGACAAGCCCCCCTCCCCTCCAAACATGGAGAAGCTCGATTGCGCTGTGATCGGCAGTGGTCCGTTTGCCCCGGGCGGTCCCCTCTTTCCCCTTCCCTCCTCCCTTTTCCACGACTCTGCGCCAGCCGCGGCACGCCGCAGAAGTTATCACTGTCACACGGGAATGTCTCTGAGATCTTGAGGGAGATATGACTGACGTTAAAACACGCAGGAATTTATGGTTTAGCCTCCGCGAAGCAATATCACGTCACCCACCCAAGCGACAAGCTAGCCATTTACGAGTCCAACCCCAGCCTCGGCGGCACCTGGTCGGAAGAGCGGCTGTATCCTTGTCTCAGGACGAACAACCTCCGGGGCACTTTTGAGTATCCCGACTTTCCGCTCGAAGCTGTTGACATCGAGCCCGCCAAGGACCACATCCCAGGAGAGACAGTGAATGCCTACTTGAAGGCCTATGCCGCACGCTTTGGCGTCGATAAGCTCATCCATTTCAACACAAAGGTAAACGTCGCGGAGCACCAGGAGGACGACACGAGCGGTGGTTGGATCCTCACTCTCGAGGGTCCGGCGGGAGATGGCGCCCAGACCAGGGTCTTTACCCGTCGCCTGATTGTGGCCACAGGGGGCACATCCGATCCGATTATGCCAACGTTCATCGACCAGGACACCTTCGGACGCCCCATATTCCATAGCAAAGACTTTCCACGCTACAGTGAGACGTTGAAAACGGCCAAGAGGGCCACTGTGTATGGAGTGGGCAAGTTCGCGTGGGATGTGGCCTATGCGTATGCCACATCCGGCGTGACGGTTGACTGGGTCATCCGCGGTAAGCGCATCTTTGTCGCAGCATGATCGATTTAGACTTGCGCTGATTCCCTGTACTGCAGCCTCCGGCCACGGCCTGGGCTGGGTCGCGCCACCGCGAGTGTCGCCGTTCAAGATATGGCTCGAAAAACTGGCACGTGAGTAGCAGTGACCGCAGCCGCTCTGCGCGCCATCATTGTCCTAATACCATGTTAGATATTCGCGCCATGACTTGGTTCAGCCCATCCATCTGGTCGGATACGGATGGCTTTTCTTGGATTCAGCGCTTTTTGCACGGTACCTGGCTTGGTCGCCTGGCCGTGAAAGCCGTATGGAACATCATCAGCCACGATGTCCACCGGATTCTTGCCCTGGACAAGCACCCCGAGACCGCCAAAATGAAAGCCAAGACCCCCATCATGTATGCGTCTACCAGCGTCGGCATCCTCAACTACGAAGAGGACATCTTCGAGTTCGTTCGTAATGGCATGATCAAGCTTCACTTTGCGGACGTTGAGAAGCTCAGTCCTGGCAAAGTGCACCTAAGCGACCGCACGACCGTTGAATCTGACGTGCTCATGGCATACGGTGGCTGGCAGCAGATTCCAACTGTCAAATTCTTGCCTGAAGGTATTGAGGCCGAGCTCGGGCTTCCCCATTCTCGAACCGATGGCGAGTGGGATCCTAAGACAGGAAAGCAAGCGCAATTGATCAAACGTGCCGACGAAGAAATCCTGACCAAGCTTCCTATGCTAAAAAACTTCCCTCAGTTCCCCAACTACGTCCCTGTCACCAAGCAAGATGGTGTCATGACATCCAGTCCTAAAGCCCGAACAAGCTTCATGATGTATCGCTTCCTGGCACCGCAGTCGGCAAGGCTTCTTCGCTCCCACGATATTGCCTTTACAGGCCTCAATATGAATTTTAGCAACGTGACTACGGCTCACGTCGCTGGTCTGTGGATTAGCGCCTTCTTTGACGGCAAGCTGGACCACGATCCGTGTGCCATTGCCACTGACGAGGATGCGTACGAAAAGCTGCGATATCAGACCGTGCTGTACAACAGATACGGGCGCTGGCGTCATCCCCTCGATTGGGGAGATCGGCCTCCTTGTTTTATCTTCGACGCCCTTACCTACGTTAGTATCCTATTACGCGATCTTGGGTTGAAGACGCACAGAAAGGACAGCCTGTTTCAAGAAATCTTCGGGTCGTATGGAGTCGAGGATTACCGCAATTTGAATGAAGAGTGGGCAGCGGCCCAGGCCATCAAGTCAAAGAAGGATTAAAACCTTGAACGACACGAGTTGGGTTGGAAGACATGTCTTATGGGAATGTAGCGAGCTTGTCGTTATTGTGGCTGCGGGCAGCCGTTTTCGTGTTTCTTTTTTGTGCGTAGAAGATTCGTCGTATGATATGAATGACTAGCAGTGCCGATTACAAGCATCATGTACGTGAAGTTCTGAGTCAATCTCTGCAGGTATTACGAAAGCATCACCATGTTCCCCGTGCAAACGGCGTGATGGCTCCATGCCCATCACGTGCTGCGCAAACACAGAAAACCCGCATCTAGGGAGCTCTTGCCTCCTTCACTCTTGCGTTTTACAGCGTATCATTCAGCGACATAATCCTTTTCCCCTCCACTTGCCTCTCACCGCACACCATGTCGACTGTAATAGTCAAGCTTGGAGGCGCCGCCATCACCGACAAGTCGGTCCCAGACACGCTATCCGACAATATCGAGAACCTGGTTGACAGTGTCGCGCACGCCTATCATCAAATACTGCGCCCGGACGGCCGCCGTATGATCCTCATCCACGGTGCGGGCAGTTTTGGACACCCACCCGCGAAGAAGTACCAGGTCAAGGCAGGGTGGAGTGCAAGGCTGGCTGGCTGCGGCGATGCCGAACGTGACCGCGACAGTGTCAAGTTTGGCATGGCACTGACCAGGCAGCGCGTGCTGCAGTTGCATCTCCACGTCATTCAGCGCCTGCATGAGCGGGACCGCATGCCCGTTCTGTCCGTATCGACCTACGACACCGTAGAAACGGACGACGGAGCCACGACGGAGGACTCCATCACCCGGCTAGTGGCGCGCGTGCGCCAGGTGCTGGACGCAGGCTTCGTGCCGCTGTTGTTTGGTGACGCCGTGTTCGATCGTGTGCTAGGTTCGACGATCTTGTCCGGGGACGCTCTCATGTACCACCTCGCCGGCCGCCTCTCCGCCGTGCGGCGCTGCGTATTCGTCACCGACGTGGCCGGCATCTTCACGCAAGACCCGAAGCGCTTCCCGGATGCTACGCTGATCATGAGGATGCGCTGCAGCGAGGCAGGTGACGGCGGCGCAATCGAGAAAGACGACGAGGCGGCGGCGAGCGTGGACGACGTTACGGGTGCGATGCGGAGCAAGTGGCAGTGGGCGAAGCGCATCGTGACGGATGCCAGGCAGGTACAGGAAGTGGTCATTTGTCAGGCGTCACATTCATCGAGGGCTATTAGCTACGAAGGCAGCGATGGAGGTGAAGCTGTTGCTACCGCTACTAACTGGACCGTCATTGTTCGATAAAAGTGCGAGACGAGGTCTCGGAGGATGGGCTGGGCGCACGAGCATTGCATGAGGCTGATGGGATAACGACAACCCACAACTTCAGCAGCCAGTTACCTCTATACCTCTCCTGAACCTTTTATGAAACATCGGACCACTTCACATAAGATTTCTTTCCACCTTCTCTCCCTCCAGCGCACAGTAATCGGGATCCTTGATTGGTCGAAGTGGGCTTACCCTGTAGCACTCGCGAGTTTAGTTCTGGGTTCGAGACGGCCGAAGTCGGATAAAGACGCCGCGAGGTCGTCTTTGCAGTTATACTTCCTCGGACTTTAACAGATGGATGCGCGAACAATTTCTTTCTAAGGCTCCGCTTGCGAATTTACTGACGGCTCGGACGTGGCCGCCGGAGGGTGATTGGCCAATGCAACCTATCCCAAGCTAGCCGATTACTTAGGCTTCGGGGAACAAATACTGATGGTCGCTGTCGGTGTTCAGTAACTTGTCTCAGAGCTGAACGCCACCAGCCTCAATCATCAACGGTTGCGAGATAGGAGTTCAGCGGATAAGCTCAGCGGATAAGCTCAGCTCAAGCTCTACTCGTCGGAACCCGCCGCCTCTTAGCGATAACGAAATGCGTTACAACCTCGTCCGACGAATATCCTGCGATAGAAAACCGGCCTCGCCTTATCGTTCAAGATATTCCCCTGCACTCTCTCCACAAGTCCCGGTACGCTATTCTAAGTTGGCGCCTCCGCTACGCTAGGAAGCCTTGTCGATCTGAGTCGTCGCCCGCAACCCTGTCACCCACAACCTGGCAAATTTCTACTTAAACAACATACTTCCCGGATGCTAATGAACACTCATCTTCCCGATTAGCATCGCTTCTAGTCATCTCGGCTTCAGCAGGTTTGCCCCGAACAACCGCCAGGATTCAGCAGGTTCGCCTGATCATAACCGCCCAAGAAGTTCGCGGGGACCTTTATTGCCACCAAATTATCCTGTACCGTCTAGACAACGGCATACAAACCATTTATTGGCTCACGAAGAATGGATGAAGATCACGGGCCGCAATCCATTGCGCCCGCGCCCGCGCCGCGCCGCACCGTCGGCTCCCGGCTCCGCGCTGTGAGACGGGCCTTGACCACCAAAAAGGGTCTCCTCGGCGACTACGACTATGGCTTCCTCTTCCGACCCAACCTGCCCTTTATGAGGCGTTCGACCTCGCGCAGCCCATTCTTTGGGCTCAACGACCGCATGCCTGTGCTCCTGGGCCTGCTTCTCGGCCTACAGCATGCGCTGGCAATGCTCGCCGGCATCATCACGCCGCCGCTGCTGCTCAGCGGAGCGTCCGGCGCCAACCTCGACATCCACCAGCAGCAGTATCTCGTCTCCACGGCACTCATCGTGTCAGGTATTCTGTCGACGGTCCAAATAACCCGGTTCCGTCTACTCAAGTCTCCGTGAGCAAGCACATGTCCCTACCCTCGTCTCCTGATGAAATCACATCAGGGCCTGCTAACCATGCCCAGCTACTACATTGGCACCGGCGTCATCTCCGTCGTCGGCATCTCCTTTAGCATCATACCGATTGCCCTCGGCGGCTTCGAGCAAATGTATGCTAATGGTTACTGCCCATCCGCGCCAGACGGCACCCGGCTGCCCTGCCCCCGCGGCTACGGCGCACTCATCGGCACTTCGGCGCTGTGCGCGCTCATTGAGATTATCGTCTCCTTCATCCCGGCACACATTCTTCTACGCATGTGCCCGCCCATCGTTACCGGACCGACCGTCATGCTCATCGGCGTGCACCTCATCGAAAGTGGCTTCAAGGATTGGATGGGCGGCTCCGGGCCTTGCTCCGACCCGACCACCGCCAAAGGCCTCTTCGCCGCCTGTCCTAGCACCAGCGCGCCGCACCCACTGCCCTGGGGCTCGGCTGAATTCTTCGGTCTCGGATTCTCTGTCTTCATCACCATCATGCTCTGCGAGCGCTTCGGGTCGCCAATCATGAAGTCGACATCCATCATCATCGGCCTGCTCGTCGGCTGCATCATTGCCGCAGCGTGTGACTACTTTGACCGGTCCGGCATCGACGTCGCGCCCGTCGCCTCGTTCATATGGGTACACACCTTTCCGCTCTCTCTCTATGGGCCACTCGTGCTGCCCATACTCGCCGTGTACCTCATCTGCGCGTGCGAGGCCATTGGTGACATCACCGCCACCTGCGACGTGTCGCGGCTCGAGGTCGACGGCGCCGCCTACGAGTCTCGTATCCAGGGCGGCGTCCTCGCCGACGGCCTCAACGGCATGCTCGCCTGCCTCATGACCATGACGCCCATGAGCACCTTTGCGCAGAACAACGGCGTCATTGCCCTCACGCGCTGCGCCAACCGCCGCGCCGGCTACGCCTGCTGCCTCTTCCTCATCATCATGGGCGTCTTCACCAAGTTTGCCGCCGCCATCGTCGCCATCCCGTCGTCCGTAATCGGTGGCATGACCACGTTCCTCTTCACCGCCGTCGCCGTCTCGGGCGTAGCCATCGTCGCGCGCGGCGTCTCCTTCACCCGCCGCAATCGCTTCATCCTCACCGCGGGCCTGTCGGTCGGCTACGGCGCCACGCTCGTGCCCACCTACTTCTCCCACATCTTCACCTACACCGGTGACAACAAGTCCCTTCAGGGCTTCTACGACGCCATCGTGCTGGTCATGCAGACGGGGTTCGCCGTCACGGCGGCCATCTGCATGATCCTCAACCTGACGCTGCCGGAGGAGCTGGAGGACGACGTCAACGCCGAGGAGACGGAAGTGGCGCACGGTGACGGTGAGCGCGAGAGCAAGGCGCAGACAAGGGACAATGTGCATGAGAACTAGGGCGTCCGGAGTCCTTTGATACACCTCTGCCTGGTAAAAGGGCAGAGTGTCAGAAGTCGTATAAGAAAAGTTATTTCTGGTTCGCGTTATTCAATATCATGGCTATTGCATGTTGGCCCATTTCAAGCGCATGGTATGTGAACTGAGTAAATTATTCAAGAATAAAAACAACTGCGCCTCCCACGTTCCCTTCGTATCCACCTCTTTTTTCTTTATAGTACAAGAGATATGAATAAAGCTTGCGCTCATGACTCCATGGAACAGAAAGTGAAAAGACAACCCAAAAGAAAAAAGCGCCTGGTATGCCAAAAATTTCCATAAACCTTACCAAGCTCCCCCCCTCCCTTGCACCTCGTGAACCAGCAAACAAGATAGATATATCAGAGCAATCTTTAGGTGAAAACAAGAAAGAGCAAAAAAAAAGACAAGTTGTGCGGATCGAAGGAGAAAATCTGTAGTCGGTCATGTCTCCGGATCATCGCTGAAACTCCCGCGCCTTGCGCGCGAGGACGCGCACGTTGTCCAGGAAGCCTTCAACCAACTCCTGGTAGCCGTGCGCCTCGCCACTCCTGGCGCGGCGGCCCTGCTCGATGACGGCGGCACCGGATACTTCAATCTCCAGCTCGTGTTCCTTGTCGCCGCGGTGTGACTAGGCATAAACATTAGTAAAACAGAAGTTTGCGGACGGAGATGGAACAGCGCCTGGAAGACTTTGGGGGTGCTTACGCCTTGCCCGCTGGGCATGGTGACCTGGGTAAGGTCAATCTGATAGTTGCCTTGCTTGTAGCTCAACCGATCTTTGCGGCGGTCGGTGACGCCTCCTTGGGACGGCGCGCTGGGCAGCTTCTCTAGCTCGTCGACGGAGCCGTCCCAATGCATCTCGAGGTTGATGCTGATGCGGCAGTCCATCGGGCACTTGGGCATGTGGAGGTCAATGTCGGCCACCCTAGCCTTGACAATCTTGTTGAGGACCTCGCCCGTCTTCTCGTCGTACGTGACGCGTGCCTTGACGTTCTTGCGTGTCCCTAGCCGGGATCTTACACAGCCGGGGATGCGTGCCTGCATGTCGAGCGGCAGCTCAAAGTACTTGTCAATCTCTCGCCGGTGCTTATAGTGCACTTGCACGCGCTTCCTACCATGTGCTGAGCGCGGGTCCGTTTGTATAACAATGTTGTTGAGGAAGTCGTTGAAAGCTTTGTGGTGTGTCTAGATTGCAACCCCCCCGTTAGCTTCTGTGACACAACACACCAGACAATTATTGAGCTTACCTCGGTCATACTACTCTGGAACGCCACCCTTCCCGTGTCACGAAGAACACACTCCGATTCAACAAATTTCTCGATGCGATGGTTTGTATCCTTGTCAATCAATGTTCCAAGCTTGGCCTCAATTTCAAAATCGATGCCTCTGCTGCTGATTTCTTGTGCATCCTGGGCGTTGATAACGTGGATGAAGAGGAAATCGGCAACAGCCCGTGACATTTCTTCGTATGGCTTCACTCCGGTTATGCTGGCTTCCCAAGGGCCAAGGAACTCTTGAGGTCCTTGGGGTTCGGGAGGTGACGGTGCCCGGCTTTCCTCGGCAATAGGTGAGCGAGAGACATGAGATTCCTTTGCATCATCCGGGGGCGGCGTGTACGGGCGCTGTGGAAGAACATAGTTTGCATGCTTTGGTAAGGCCTTGCCTAGTGTGCGGAGACTGAGCGCCCAAACAGGGGGGTCTGAGTGACAAACGCGCACGACGTTCTCATCTTGTTCTGGCGCCGCAGGCGTTGCTGACCCCTTCGCTGCAGGCGTCGTCTCGTCAGGGGCGATCCCCTCGTTGATTGATCCTTCGTTGACGGTGTCTTCGTTCATGGGTTCTTCCTTGATGGGCGCGTCTTTCACGGACTCCGCCGGGGTCACCGCTTGCGGTGCTTCCTTTGGCGCCGCCTGCGGTGCCTCGCTTGCTTGGCCGTTGGTTTGTCCAGGGGGTGGTCTCGGGTTCCTATTCTCGAGCTCACTAGGACTCATGCTGCGGTCATCTAGTTTTCGCTTGGCGGGCGTTAATGCAGGTTGCTCCTGCTTGAATTGCATGATATTTGCAAGCTTGGGGCTGAGATCCGCACGAGACTCGCTCTCGGAGATTGATGGGCGATGTCCGGCATTGCCTGGCAAGGAGGCAACGCGTGTTTTGGGGCTAACCGACATGCTGTGCTCTCGGTCGCTCGTGGATCTGCGCTTGGCGCTTCCGGGGCGTGGCGATTCCTGGGCCGACAAAGAAGGCGGCCGTGTGTGGGAAAGACGATGTTGTGGTTGCTGTGGATGCGGCGGGCCGTTTGGAGACGAGTGGGCTTGTGCAACAGTAGCGCTGCCGGGAAAGGGCACTTTCTGCTGGTAAGGACTGGAAGGTTGACTGAAAGGATGAGGTCCTTGCGAATGCGCACTCGATGGATTCGCACTATGTGGCTGACTAGGAGGTCCGGGAGGCTGTGAAGGGTGTCGACGATACTCTAGCGGTGGATGCTGATGCTGGGAAACAGGGCTTCCCTGAGAGAAGGGCGGGCCGTATGCGTGTTGTGAATGTGCGGATGTTGGCGTCGGAGTAGACTGCGCGGAATGAGTTCGCTGACCGTGTTGCTGGCCTGGGTGGCCAATTGGTGGTGTTTGAGGGATCGGGGGGTGTTGCAGATACGGCGTCGTCGGCTGACCTTGCGGAGGAGGATGGCTGTCGTGACGCTGGTGCTGGTGGTGAGCGTGATGGGGCGGAGGGTGATACTGGGCTGGGGGGTATTGATGCCGTTGACTCGGACTTCGGATCTCGTGAGGAGCTTGATTGGGAAAGTAGCCTTGAGCTGGACCGTGTCCCGGGCCGGCTGATGAGCTCGCCGAGTGACGATACGGCGACTGAACGGAGGGTGCGTTGCCAGGAGATCGAGGGTCCGCAAACGAACCAGGGTGACTAGCCCGTGGAGGATACGCAGCTTGGGCCTGGTAGGGAGACTGTGGAGGGTACGCGCCGGGCGGGTACTGGCCACTGGGGTGTTGGTATTCGGGCACTCCAGGCTTTCCAGGTGACCGTTGAGAAGCTGAATGATGAGGGTACTCGTGATATGCGTACTGCGCATTGGTTGGTGGAGGACCACGAGGTTGGTGAGGATGCTGCTGGGGATGCTGCTGCTGCAGCGGCGGCGGCGGCGGCGGCGGCTGCGGCGCCCTGGCGGCAGAGCGATCTCCGTTGTCAGAGGTATTAAGCACCGAGCGAAGGTCCATTATTGCAATGCTGATGGTTTATAGCTGGGTCGTTCGAGGGAGTGACAGCGCGACAGGCGCTCGGCGACAGGGAGAGTCGCGATCGAGACACAGCCTGGCTCAGGGCTTGGCGCAAGTCGGCCACGCACCCGACGGTCGCGTATCGAATGAATCGAGGATGTGAGAGAGGGTTGAATGCGCAAAAGAGTCGATTATGCGCGAATGGCAGAAGGCGTCATCATAAGAGGGAGGAGCAATGCGTCGGCGGGCGGGGATGAGGCAGGCGAGGCGCGGTGTTGGGCGGGCTGAAGGCCTCGAGTAGGGTTGGCAGCGAGACCCAGCGTCGGAAATAAAGGAGGTCGGTCAGGGTTGCTGCCTGATAGAATGCTTCTTGTCCACGGCCAAGGTAGCGTGCGACAGGACAGAGCGTGCTGGCTTGTGATGTTGGGCAGTGAATTGATGCTGCGAGGTTGGTTGACTGACGACTACTTTTTTTCCCCAGGCCGCTTCCGAGATTCGTTTGCGCCAGATGGGAGACGAGACGTGTTGCTACCTTGGAGCGGCCCACTTGGGGAAGGGCCTACCAGAGCAATTGCGATACTAGGTAGGCACTGGTAGAGGCACCAGCGATAAGACGTACATAGCTACTAGTTATAAGACAGGCAGCTGTCTACAGGTGCAAGGGATCGGAAAGCTGCAGGGAGGCATTGGCCGACTACATGATATTGGGGCATTCGAGGATGAACTTATGGGCGGCAGGAGTTGATCCCGTCATGCGGCAGCAAGTTCTCTCTGTGTGTTATGCTATGGCTGCTTCTTTTTTGTAAGACCCAGACATGGAAAGCTGTCAAAGTTGAGATTAGGTAAGGGTGCACGCAGGTACCGTTTTGGTGCTCCTTGTACTGTGTAGGTACTTTACCCAAGCCTGCCCAGCTCTTTGTGCGGCGGGTACTTGCTCAGTACCTTTGCCAACCACGCCAACCCCACTTTACCACAAGTCCCCAATCCGTAGCCCTTGGAAGTCACGTGCAGAGCCGGCTTACTCATCTCTCCCTGCTTGCTGTCACGACTCAGGCGGTCTCTTGAAGCTGCAGGCAAGCAAGCCCAGTTATTTTAGGCAAGCTGTGCCTGACGTGGATGCGCTCGCTCCGGATTACCTGTGTACCTCACCTTGCCTTGTCGCCTGCGCAAAACATCATCCACCTCTCGTCGCGACAGCCTCCGCAATCTGCCCCCCAGAGCTCTCTAACTGCTCACCCTATCAATATCTCTCTTTTGACTCCCGTTATTACTCTCTCAGTGCTCTAGTTTCTGTCTCCCATCGCCGTCTGTCTTCGTGCAGCTCGTCGCCCTTGTCTTCCCCCAGGCCCTGCATTATGCCAGGCCTCGTGTCAGCAACCGGCGTTCTCGCCTTCCTCGCTGACGAGGAGCCTGAACTCAAGGTCTTCGCCCTCCAGACTCTCAATGATGACATCGACACCATTTGGACCGAGGTTGCCAACGCCCTGAGCCAGATGTATGCCCTTGCCACTTGCTTTCTTTTCTTACTCACTGCTAATTCTCTGCCCACAGTGAAGCTCTCTACGAAGACGAAAGTTTCCCCGAGCGACAATTGGCTGCTCTCGTGCTCGCCAAGGTTTACTATCACCTCCAAGCCTACAATGATAGCATGTGCTTTGCTCTTGCCGCCGGCGATCTCTTTAAGCTCGATGCCCCTGGCGAATTTGAGGAGACCATTGTCTCCAAGTGCATCGACCAATACATTTCGGTTACCGCGGCTCGCCATGCCACTCCCAAAGCGGCCAAGAATATCGATCTGCCTGAGCTGACAACCAACTTCTCCAATGCGTCAGAGAGCGCCGTTATGTCGCCTACCACGCCCTTTTCCCAAACGACGCTCCCCCCTAAATCTCTGCTTTCGCGCGCCGCCCTCGACGACGTCACCATCGAGGCTTCCTTGCTGCCTCTGAAAGAAGGTCGCTCCGCCTCTGCTGCACAGCTTCCGGACCGGGCTACCGAGAAGGCCTTGCAAAGGATCATCGAGCGCCTCTTTGACAGCTGTCTGAAACAGGGGCGCTATCGCCAAGTCGTTGGCATTGCCATCGAGTCCAAGAATCTGGATATTCTGCGCAAGGTCATTCAGCGTGCTAGCGAGGATGAAAATAAAGCTGTCAAGACTCATGATGTCGCTTCTGGCCCTGCGGAGGAGCTCATGGAGTATACTTTAGGAGTATGCATGGATATTGTCCAGGAGCGCAGCTTTCGTACGGAGATCCTGCGACTTATCCTTGACCTCCTCAACGAAATTTCTAACCCAGACTACTTTTCCATCGCGAAGTGTGTTGTCTACCTCAATGCTGATGAAGAGGCTTCCAGCATGCTCCAGTCGCTTGTTGCCAAAGCCGACCGCACATCCATCGCCAATGCCTACCAAATTGCTTTCGACCTCTACGATAATGGCACGCAAGAATTTCTCGGCAAGGTCCTTTCCTCCTTACCATCTGGAGAGCGTGCCGACACCGAAGACAAAGAACACGACAACACTGAAGGTGAATCCCTGCTGCAGAACCAGCAGAGTGCGCCCGAGGACGAACTCCCCGAGGAAGTCGCCAAAATCTACCGTAACATCCGATCGATCCTCGACGGCTCCAAGACGATCCGTCTAAACCTCGAATTCCTGTACCGCAATAACCGTACCGACCTCAGCATCCTCAACAAAGTCCGTGACAGTTTGGAAGGCCGCAACTCAATCTTCCATACCGCCGTCACTTTCTGTAACGCCTTCATGAATCAAGGAACCACCAACGACAAGTTCTTCAGAGAAAACCTTGACTGGCTTGGCAAGGCTGTGAACTGGTCCAAGTTTACTGCCACTGCTGCTCTTGGTGTTATTCACCGTGGTAATCTGTCGCAATCACGCAAGCTACTGGAACCCTACCTCCCTAGGCAGGGGGGCCTTGGTAGTGGCTCCATCTTTAGCCAGGGTGGCGCTCTCTACGCGTACGGTCTGATTCATGCCAACCACGGCGCTGATGCGCTCGAGTTCCTTAGGACTCAGTTCAGCCAAGCCGAAGAGGAGGTTGTCCAGCATGGCGGTGCGCTCGGCCTTGGTATTGCTGGCATGGCCACTGGTGATTTCGAAATTTTTGAAAAACTCAGAGAAGTTTTGTTCCAAGATTCCGCCCTTAATGGTGAAGCCGTTGGTGTTGCGATGGGTCTCATCATGCTCGGCACAGGCAACGTCAAGGCTCTGGAAGATATGATCAATTATGCTCATGAGACTACCCACGAAAAAATTGTTCGTGGTGTCGCCCTTGGCATGGCCCTCGTCATGTACGGCCGCCAGGAAGGCGCTGATGTCTTGATCGAGGGTCTGCTCAACGATCCTGACCCAACTCTCCGCTACGGCGGTATCATGACAGTTGCCATGGCTTACTGCGGTACTGGAAGCAACAAGGCTATAAGGAAGCTCCTTCACACCGCAGTTAGCGATGTCAACGATGATGTGCGCCGTATTGCCGTCATGAGCCTGGGTTTCATCCTCTTCCGCAAGCCAGGCAGTGTACCGCGCATGGTTGAGCTCTTGTCCGAATCTTACAATCCTCACGTTCGGTATGGTTCTGCCATGGCTCTAGGTATTTCCTGCGCTGGCACCGGCCTGGATGAGGCCATAGATCTCTTGGAGCCCATGATGAAGGATCCCACCGACTTCGTCCGCCAGGGTGCTCTTATTTCTCTTGCCATGATCATGGTTCAGCAGAACGAGGTCATGAACCCCAAGGTGGCCTCCATCCGCAAGACCCTCAAGAAGGTTGTTGGCGACCGCCATGAAGACGCCATGACCAAGTTTGGTGCCGCACTTGCTCTTGGTATTATCGATGCAGGTGGTCGCAACTGTACTATTGGCCTTCAGACCCAGACCGGCAACCTCAATATGGCCGGGATTGTCGGTATGGCTGTCTTTACCCAGTACTGGTATTGGTTCCCATTCACGCACTTCTTGTCCCTTAGCTTCTCGCCCACTGCCATCATTGGCCTGGACCATGACTTGGAGATTCCTGATTTCAAATTCCACTGTGCCACTCGCCAAAGCCTATTCGACTACCCCCCGGAGCAAGAAATCAAAACAGAGGAAGGCCCAGCTCTCATCGCCACCGCTATTCTCTCCACTACTGCCCAGGCCAAGCGCAGAGCTCAGAAGAAGGAGCGCGCTCAGCGCCGTGAGAGCATGGAGATTGATTCTGCCCCGTCCAAGAGCGGTGAAAAGATGGATATTGATGACGAGAAGCCCAAGGACGCTGCCAAGGAGAGCAAAGAGGGAGAGGAGAAGGAGCCAGCCGACACCAAGAAGAAGCCCGAGAAGGAGAAGGTTGGCTACGAAATTGGGAACATGAGCAGAATTCTCCCAGGCCAACTCAAATATGTTAGCTTCCCGAATGGCCGGTACAAGCCAGTCAAGAAGCCTACTGGCGGACCTCTTCTCCTCCATGATACACAACCCAAGGAGAGCAAGTCCCTGTTAGAAGAGAAGCTCAACAAAGCTACAACTGAGGGCGCTCCTGTCGCTGGTCTTCGCATTCCGCGTACTCCCCCCCCTGGTCGGTCGGGCGGTCGCCTGGGGCGTGGGGTGGACACGGTTGGCCTCAACGATCTGCTCGCAGGGCGCATTGGCCGCCAGATGCCGGAGCCCCCTCTGGTTGAATCGTTGAGAGCTCGCGACGCGTCTGCCACCAACCCCAATGTTGAGCCGGACGATGAAGACACAGAGGCCGAGATGCCCGACGAATTTGAGTACTACACGGACAGTAGCGATGTCGAATAATGTGGTGCTCTGTTCACGTGAGCCAGTGTGCACGTCGGCTAGTTGGCGCCAGAGACTACTTTATTACAAAAAAACTTGTTTCGAGCTCGGCCTGTACCATTAGATATATACGAGCCCATGAATGGGTGCAAGAAGTCTGGCGCTGTACGCTGGGGACTCGACGCGGTGGTGGGAGCAAGTTTCAAGTTTAGATTAGCATATCTTTTAGCAATGTACAGTATCTCCCAAATTACCGAAGGCTGTGGGCAGGTCTTTTTATAGTCCTAATATGCAGTGTGATTTGAAAAAAAAAAAGTGAAGGAAAACGAAGACTAAAGTGTGACTGGCAGCTCGCTGCATGCGTTGCGAAATAATATCAACAATGAGACTGAAAAGCAGGAACTCGGAGAAGGTCGAGAAAAAGAAACGATTAAAGGAATAAAACAATACTATGCCGGCATCGCTGAGATGCTCCCATTGTCGGTGGAATTCTTTCTCCTGGATGCAAACATTCAAGCACCGGGGAACAAGAAGTCTATGCTGTTTTACTCCGCACTCTTCTCCATCGTCGTCTTCTCCTTCTTCACCTGGTCCTCCGCCTTCTTTGTCGCACCAGGTGCGCACTCGCTGCACACCTGCACGCGGTGCCAGGCGTTGGCCAGGTTGCCGCGAAAGTTCCACGTCGCGGCGTGGCTCTCCGGCTGGCAGTTGTAGACCTCGTCGGTGGCCTTGACCAGGAGCGTCGTGCAGCGTCGGCTCGTGCTGTCCGCGGCGGCGGCAGCGGGGGTTCCGTTGTCGACGGGCTGGTCAGTGGCGGCGGCCGCTTCAGGCTCGCCCTGCTGGAAAACGCTGGCGGGAATGGCGCCCTTGTACATCCAGCGCTTCCACGTCCAGGCGCCGTGGCCGTGGCACAGGGACGGCGAGCCGGGCTTGGGGTCGCAGTCGGGCAGGAGGTATGCCTGCGTCCAGTTCTTGCCGGCGTCGACGGAGACGTCGACGCGGATGATGGAGCGGCCACCGCCGGAAAAGGCGTACCCGCTGAGTGTCAGCTTACGAGCGTCAGTGGTGGCCTGGGTAGGCTCGTTTTGGTTCGCAGCGTCAGCACTTGGCACCACCACAGCAGGCTCCTTGACCCAGTTTCCCAGCTTCAGCGCGGTGATGGCGCTCTGGACGGGTAACTCCTGGATTGCGGGTGCTTTGTCCCAGTCGACTTTGGTTTGATTGGGGCCGAAGCACTTATAGTCTTTGCGCTGCCATTGGCTCATGCTTTCGTCTTCACTTAGCGTAATCTGGTTAAGCCATTTAACGGACCGCGCGGCGACGTGCCCAGGAACAATAGCACGCAATGGATAGCCATGATCACGCGGTAGTGGCTTGCCGTTCATGCCGTATGCAAGGAGGACGTCACCCTGGGGATCGACAGCCTTGCGGATCGGGATTGATGCACCATAGGCTTCCATGCCATTGAACTGGACGTGTTTTACTTCACTGGTTCCACTCATACCGTCTTCGTTCTCAAATCCAGCGTCCCTGAGCACGTCGGCTAGAAGAACACCTTCCCAACATGCGTTGGAGATGGCACCGGCCGTCCATTGAAGACCGTTTGTAGCGCGTCCAGATCCGTCTGACATATGCTTGCGCCGGTTGCCAGAGCATTGCAAAACTGCAGTGACCTCATGCTTGGGAAACTTCGACTTGAGATCGCGCAGTGTGTACTCTTTGACGCTGCCGTCGAGCAACTCGATGGATAGAAGGTGATCGTCTGATTCGTCTTCTGCAATACGAGGCACCCACATGTGGTTGCGGACATAGAAGAGATCGTTGGGGGTAAGAAACTGGGCGCTCATTGCCTCGCCTGGAGTTTCAGCATTGCGTGGCTTGACGGTCTTGGTAATGAGATCGGGATGGCGGATTGGGTCGTCAGCGAAGGGATCTTCAATAGCGTCCTGGGGAGGCTTTCCGTCTTCCAGGTCGGCGGGGTGCACGAAACCAATCAGGTATTGTTGCAGAATATCGTACACGTATTGGTTTTTGTGAATGGCAAAGATGTTCCAGTAGGGCTCGATAGAGCCGCCAGCTGCTCTCAAGATGACTGAGCCGCCAGGGTGGGCCGGAATCCATTCTGTAATGTCGTAGACTTTATCGCCGTGAATTACCCACGGCCGTTCCGCTTTGCCGTCATGTTCCTTGATCTCGGATAGTCTGTATCGTGGAAGCGCCGTATCTCTCGTGTCGATAAATTCCGGCTCTGGCTTCTGGGGCAACGTCTCGATGGATGGCTTGAAGCTGCCCATGACAGCCGTAGGTGAGTCGAACGAGACCTTTGGCCCAAGGTAGCTTCCAATGGCAATGAATGCTAAACCTGCTGTCACGGCCAAGGCGACGCGATATCGAGTCCTGAGTGTTTGCGATGGAGACGCATTTTTTGAAAACGACAATCTGGAGGCTGACTTGTGAATGTCTCGTATATGGTGCCTGCGCACAGCTTGCGGCACAAGTTGTGGTCTGGGGCGAAAGTGCGGCAGAAGGCGCTGCGCGCAACGACTGTAAGGCGGGGCAGCCATGGCTGGAAGGGATGCGTCGCGATGTAGCTTTTATTGCATTGTAAAGAGCGTGGTAGTTTGATGTGTGGAGGGCCAGCGGCGTAGGAGATGTAAGAAATTGAAAGCAAGAATGAAGTGGTGCCGTGGGCGTCACAGTTCCGACGTACGGGGTGTCCACGAGTATGCAGGTAGGGCGAAGCTTCCTGGTCGGGCCTGATGGCTGGTGACGGCGGCGCGTAGGTAGGGCGAAGTTTGCTGATGACGCGAATGCAAAGAATTTTGTCGGGTTGTGAAGGTGCAGCGAGCTGCAAAATGGCGGGACGAGATTCGAGCAGGGAGGTAAGATGAGAATCGGGAGTCGGGACCTCGTGACGTCCCGCCGTGGTATTGCTGCTGCTGCGCCGCCGCGCGCCGCTGCTTGCCGGGGCGCAGGGTCATCAAGACCCAGCAAGCCAAGGTCAGACAGCGCGGCCCAGCACTGTCGAGCCGAGCCCAGATGATCTTTTGGGGGATTTCGAGGCCCACTAGGCATTCAACGAAAGTCTAATTGGGTGGGTTGGGAGGCGTTGATGCTGCTAGTGGCCGAACTAATGTGCTGTGCTCGTCAGCTGTGTATGTACTGTACATACCATGCAGGCGAAACCTGGACAGTGTGGATGTCTAGGTCGAGGACGTATACCAAGTCGCGATTATGCGCAGCGGAAACCGGAGGAGTCGGATATAGAAAGAAGCCCTTTCGTGTATTCAGGGATTCAGGAATTATAGGTCAACCAGCTTCGTCACCCCTTGCAAGTGTGCGTGATGCACGACAGGATGTGGGTGGGCCAATACAGCGCCGTCGTTGCTTGGTTTGCGGGGTCGGCTGCCGGAATGCAGGGCTGGTGGCGTGGCAGACGGACGGTCGGCGAGCAACTAAAAAATGGTGGTAAGACAACAATGATTTGGGTGAATGTTGTCAAGAGGAAGCCGTGGCCATGAGTGTATGTATGTATGTAGGTGTGTTGGTAGATGTTTGGCGATGGCAAATGTCGAGATTTCTGGACGAGTACGGGGACCGCTCAAGTCCTTGGGCGCCAAAAGTTGGCAACTGGCAGCTGGCAGACAGCGGGCCAGCAGCTGGCAACGCAAAGTGCTACCAGAACCCTTGAATTGTCTGAGAAACGACAGCCGTTCAGGGCTGTCTTTGCTGCTGACTGGAGTCGCCTCTCGTGGGTGGGTGCTTTCCAGTGTGTCCCTGCTCCCGAACGGCAGAGGCGCTGCAAGCGATAAACAGTACCTTTTACTGCGATTTCCTATTGGCACCTTCATGAACAAATCCATTACCGATTCCAATATGGAGTGAACAGATGCCATCTCCGTCAGGATCGATCCAGGTACGGGCGCAGACTCGGAAGTCGGGCATCCACCTGCGTCGGCCCGTCGGGCGACCACCCTAGCTTCTCGATGAGCCGTGCACCGACTTCCGTCTAACCTCGCCCTGCGATCGACAAGTTGACTCTCAGCTCCTGTCCTCTCTTTGACAGCTTCTGTTCTTCCACATCCCCCAAGTGCAGGCGTGCGCCATGTCTGGGACGGCGGACTGCTTCCCTAGCATGAGCATACTGCCGGCGTCTCAAACAAAAATAATCGCCGTTTTCCTAGACCCCATCCATCAATAGCAGCCCACGGACGATAGAGGGCCAGGGGCTTGAGAAGCTCGAAGGCTCCATTTCAAAGCGAGCCAATCTGCCATGCATGGGTGGAGATTCGCAACTACAATTCACAGTTCTGGCTGTTACTGGTCTGAAAGAAATATTAATAAAGACTGACCATTTTCCATTATCTCGCACCTAGATCCTCAGCTAAACCTATTATTAAAGAAAACGACATTCCTCCGCTCCTTTATCCATGTTTTAGAACAGTCCATCATCACCTAGATCAATACTTGGACAATTTCGTAGCTCGATTTCTTACTTTACTATGCGCACTGGTCAGTTATGCCATGAACACGAGCACGTGGGGAGAGTGCCATTTCCCTTGCCGCCGCACGGCCTGTGGTGAGCGATGACTCAGGGTTTTTCGGTAGTTGGGTCTTTCTTTTTGGTATCGACTTGGGCGTTGTTATCAACCAAGGCATCGTTGTCACGGTGGCTAGTAGGGGCCGGGATGGTCCGTGGCGCTTTGGGTAGCAAGGTCGATGTCGGTTTGGCTGGACTTCTCCCTCTTCCAGATGTACCGACTGCGTCCAATCATGATGTAACTAACGATGGAGATGATTAGGGCGATGATGAGGACGCCGAGTATTATGCTGCCAATGGTATTGCGTGAATCGTGCGTGGCCGGGGTGCTCTGCGCATCGACGGCGCCCATCAGCGTGCCGTTGGTGGCCACGGTGACATTGACCAGCTTCGAGCTGTTGCCCAAGTGCGCGTGTTTGTCTGCAATGTAGGCCACGAGAGCCTCGTGCGAGGGAACGTTGGATGGCTGCAGGCTGCTACCAGCATTGGTGATGTTGGCTAGCTGGGTGCCATTGCCTAGGTGAGCGTGATGATCCGCCATTTCGCGCACCAGCTCCTCGTGGGAGGTAACATTAAATGGGGGAACTCTCATAGGCATATTTTTTTGCCTCTCGGTGTTAAAGCTGGTGGAAGGTGTATCGTCGTCTATATGAGACTGTCTGTATTGGCTGGGCGGGCTGTAGCGTGGGTAGGAAAGAAGAAACGATTGGTGAAGAGCCAGGAGAGCAGTAACGCGGTTTTGACCTCTATTTATTTACATTCATATTTCTTATCATATTAAGCCTTTTTAATAGAGTTCGTCGTCGAAAAAAAGGCTTTAGTCTTCGCTTAGATGGTTTAAAACAAAGTTGAGGCCGAGTATTTTGGCGTTTGGCGGCGCTACTTCCACATGCCCTCAGCCTTTTGAGCCAACACAGTTGCCTTACTCTTGATTGTGAGCGAACTGACCAAAAGTTGTTTGATATTGCCGAGTTCTACGAGAATAGGGTTTGTGGTGTGTAGCTGGTCGGGGGGCGCTCCAGAAGGTTCAAACCCCCGTCTCTTCTAATTTACTCTACGGATGGGCTTTGCAGATCTTAAACTTGTTGCGGGACTAAATTCACCCATGTGAGTAGTAGCAATGCAAAAGTGACGATTTTGCTAAAGCCAGGCAGAACATTCCTCCCATTGAGGGCTATGTATGGGAGCGACCGAGCCGCACTCTACTAACAAGTAACTATGTAGATAGTCACGGCCGGCCCATGCACTTTTGCGTACACTTTTAAGTTTTCTGTGCTATAATATAATAGGTAGTAAGATGGGTTGAAGGTAAATCAAGTACGCACGTAGTGGTGTAAGCCCTGGTTTCCAGTGCAATCTGACGATCTTGGCTTGCTGCCCAGCAGCTCAAGCCTGTCGACGTCACCAGTGGCAATTGTGTGTCCGGTCTGCCCACATATGATCGACAGTGCAAACGACATCCCTTCAGCTTGTCAACTCCAACCCCACTCGGTCACTACTGTTATTTTCTTTTGATTTCATGTGAATACTTTGCACCTCATGCGCCGATCTATACATACGGACTCATAAATCTCTTCATCATGGACTATACACAACAAGTTGAGGCCGTGTCCCGCGCCGTCGCCAAGGACGTCGTCACGCTCACCAACGGCAAGCCGGCGCGCGCCATCATCCTACGCGAGACCTTTCCCGCGCCCGTTCAGACCGTCTGGGACGCCGTGACCCAGCCCGAAAGCCTGGCCACCTGGTTCGCGCCCGTCTCGGGCGACCTCCGCATGAACGGACACTACAGCATCATGGGCAACGCCCGCGGCACCGTCACCGAGTGCAGGCCGCCCGAGGGCTTCGCCCTGTCCTGGGAGCTGGGTGAGGTCATCAGCGCCGTCCGCGTCAACCTCCGAGCGGCCGACGACGACGCCGTGACGGAGCTTGAGCTTCGACACACTTTTCCGGTCGACGCGCACTGGCGCGAGTACGGGCCTGGCGCGGGCGGGGTTGGCTGGGACATGACGCTGATCGGGCTCACGCTGTTCTTGGCGGGCCGACCGAAGCCTTCGGAGGAGGATTGGGCGGCGTCTAGAGAGGCGGCTGAGTTTGCAGAGAGGGCAAGCGAAAGATGGCGGGATGCGGCGATAGAGGGCGGTGAGGACGAGGCGTGGGCGAGGAAGGCGGGGGATAAGACGACAGCGTTTTACGTGCCGGGTTGGAAGGCCTATGCTTCAAGTGACGGGAAGTGAATATGAGAACCTGATTCTTGGGGCGACATTTTTTTGGCGATTTCGGTACATAATAAACATAAATGCACCACGGTTTTTATGCTGTGTCTGGATAGTCAACATTGGCCGGTTACGTCGTAATCAAAGTGCATCGGTTAGTACAAAGTTGCTGCGGGCGCTGCTCTTGTCGTCAGCCATATCTCTACCACGCTACCAGGTAGAAGCGTATAGCATTCTTCAAGATAGCACGTTCTAGTTTTGTAAGAAAAAGAAACTTTGGAAATGAAAAAAAAAGTGATGCTGACGTGAACTATCACTACTAATTAGCCGCCAGGCCACAAAGCTTATGCTTGCGGGGTCCGGAGCTATAAAATACCCCGCCAACCTCGGGCCAGGCACCTTAGACCCGTAAAGAACACCCGGCAAAGCCCACCCAATATAGCCTCTTCGAATCTCAATCCCTATTACTATCTATCTCAAACTAATATCATTTGTCCTCGACTTCCCTGGATCGTTCTTTTCCATACTCCCTGGAACAACTGCTGAACAGCCGCAACCCGAATGGCTCCCTCTACCGGCAATCCGCCCCCGCCGCCGGCGCTGCTGCTGCTCCCGCCCCCGCCGACACCGAGCACCCGCCTCGCCCTGACGTCCACCTACCGCGCGCCGCTGACCGCCGTCCTTTCCGCCCTCGCCGTCGAATCCCGACAATCTCGCCGCCCCGTCTTACTCCTCGTCGCCGTCGCCGCCCCCATCCTCACACCCAGCGGTGGCGCGCTGCGGTGGCGCGCTGCGCAAACGCTCCTCGCGGGCATCTACTCCATCATCGCGGCCGTGTGCGCCGAGCAGGGCGTGCAGACGGACCTGGGAGCCGCGGCGACCGCAACCACCGCCAGCGTGGACGCCCGCGTCGTGCTGGTTGACCACGCGCGTGGTCGGACCTACAGCAAGGCGGCGGACGGCTCGTTCTCGAGAAAAGGGACCACCAGCGCGGCGGTGCTGGACCTCGCGGGCTTCGCGACGCGCGTGACGGGCCCGTGGACGCGCATATACCACCCGAGCAGCGAGGCCGGCTACGAGCTGCTGCGCGCCTACCTGGAACTCGCGGAGGGCCGGCAGGTGGTGCGGCAGAATCAGATCGTGCCGGTGCCCGGCGGTATCAGCATCTCCACAGCAGCAGCGGCGACCGCAAAGGAGGATGCGCCGGGGGAGGCGGAGGACAAGAGCTACGACACGGTTATACTCGGGGGGACGTTTGACCACCTCCACCCGGGCCACAAGCTGCTCCTCCACGGCACCGCGCTGCTCATGCGCCTACCCGAGTCGCGCGACCCCGCCGCCGCCACCTCGCCGCCCCCGAGCACGCTCATCGTCGGCATCTCCGGCGCCCCCATGCTACGCACCAAGAAATACGCCGACGAGCTCGAGTCGTGGGAGACGCGCTGCCGGGGCGTCCTCTCCTTCCTCGCCACCATCTTCAACGTGGCCCCGCCCTCCTCCGCCAGTGCCGGCGCTGCGCAGCCGGAGGTGGGCTACCGCGTCGAGCACGTCCCGGAAGGGCCCTCGGCCGGACCCGAGCTGCACGGCACCTACGCGGACGGCGCGGTGCGCGTGCGTTGCACGGTGCTCAACGACCCGTTCGGGCCGACGGTTGACGAGCGCGCCATCGGCGCCATCTGCGTGTCCGGTGAGACGCGCGGCGGCGGGCGCGCGGTCAACGACAAGCGCGCGGCCAAGGGCTGGCATCCGCTCGACGCGTACGAAGTAGACGTGCTGGACACGCGCGGCATCGTCGAGGCCGATGCTAGTGTTGGGGGGGAGGGAAAGGGCGAGGAGGACTTTGCGGCCAAGATAAGTAGCACGGCGATTCGGCAACAGAGAGCCGAGGCGAGGGCCAAGGCCAAGGCGCAGATTTGAATAGGGAACGAGGGTTGATTTTGTTACTCTTAGTGGGGAAGCTTGTATAGCATAGCGTGTAAATCCAAATGACATTCGTATATTGATATAGAATATATGTGTTGACGCTGAATAAGGAATAGGAAAAAGAAAACGCCAGGGGTGATACAACGAGAGTGTGTGAAATGCGCCAGAATTTTTCGCGATGCAATATGCTTCAGTCATAGCAACTAAGAAGTCTCAAAAAGCACAGGCTAGGAACCCAGAAACCAAAAGATGAAAAAAGAAAGGATAAAAATGAGGTGAAAGATGGCTCCTGCATGTTGCATCACATCACGTCTTGAGCAAATCGTCAATTTGGACGCGTTCAAAAAAGCTTATGTGTCCAAACCCAACCCAATACTGCGCCAACCGGTTATGCGATAAGAGAATAAGCTGACTCTCGATAAATTTATCTGTCGGAAAAAGGAGAAAAAATTGTTAGCTCTTCATTGTGCGCATATCAACGGTTTATTGCGGTCGGCAGTACGTACCCCGATGGAACCCGGCTGCAGCCACATGTCCTTTGCTTCTCACCATGCGAGCACCAGCAAACATTTCGTCCTGGGCATCGCCCACATACCCGGCCGGGCCAAGATCATCAGCCACAAATGTATATTCGCCGCGAGGTATATTCGGGTCGCCGGTCAGCTTGATGGCCTCGAGTCGGCCTCTGTATATCCGTGCATCGAGCCGCCGCCTCTGCCACTCGTCCTCCGTCTCCGTGTCACCTCGCTCCAGACCGAGCTCAAGATCGGTGGCTGGGAGATCGTCTGGCTGGTTCACCAATAGAAATTCGCAGCCGTGACCACTGTAGTCGCCGACCCAGATCCCGCGCCACGGTTTCGTGGCCGTCGGTGTGTATAGCGTGGGATCTAGAGTGGAGTATGTAACGATTTCTTCGCCAATATGCACGCCCATGGGAGCCGCACCAGCGTTACCGTTATGTAAAGGCGCACCAGCCCAGGGCAACGGCGGCGGCGGTGTTCCGGTGAGCTCCATCCATTGCCTGATGCGGAAGGTCTGATCGGACACTTGAGACCGGCGTCGAGGCCTGTCATGGGTGGATGTCTGCGCCACGGCTTGTCCGGATTCGATGCCGGCAACATGGTGTCGAGCCGGGATGGCTGGTGGTGGCCAGATGTGGTGGTAAGGGTAATCGGCCGAGAGGCTTTTGTCGGCCTCGTCGGGATCGAGTGGTTTCGTCAGCATGAAGTTGCTGTACATGCCTGCCAGTCGGTCATCGAGCGTCATGGGCATCTCGTCGGCAAATCGGTTAGCGCCGGGACGGTTGAGAAACTCTTGTTCCGCTTTCTCTTGTTTCTGGATTCTGAATTGCAACACGGGCTTATCGAGATGCAAGTTGACTTTCGGCTCAAATCCATGGATTATTACTTCCTTGTCCGCGGGCCAGTGGTCGTAAGAGTCTCTGCGGCTGACTGCAAGAAGCTGGTACGCTTCTATACAACCCCTTCGTTGATCATATCGTGCAAGAATAAGTTTTCCCATAAGGTCGCGATCGCTGAACCATATTTTGTATCGCGGCAAGAACCACAGCCGATCGAGAGCAGAGTATAGCTCTCGATATGTTTTGCAAGGGCCCGGGGTCGAAAGCCAGACGCCAGGTACGTTGCGCTGGATGCAGCGGTGCCAGTGTAGTTCGGAGACGGCATATTGGCGGAGGGTGCGGCACGTTGCCGTGACGTTCAATAGATCCAATGGGGCCAAGTATGACAGGACTGCATGCAGGAGTTCTGCAGGTATGCTGAAAAGTGGTGTCGCATTGTCTCTCTCATGCGGCTCCATATTGTTCCCCTGCCACTGCCCTGTGTGCAGGGGCGCATCACTAGATAATCGATTGAGCAAGTCGTCTAAATTTTCTTACAATTCTCCGCGTCAGCAACCGAAATCGTTTGCGAGGTCTCGGCCTCTTTTAAGCAGGTCCGGGACAATTGCAGGGAACTTTTGAATGCAGCTGCGGTAGTTTGCGGAGACGGCAACAAGACCTGCGCCGCCGTGCAGTGGACCGATATCAGATGCAGACACAGCACTGCCGATGTCTGGCAGGGGGCGACATACCTTTGAGAGGATCTAGCCAACGGCCGTTAGATTTCGTGAACCCGGGGGGGCTAGGTGAATCGGTAGGAAGTCGCTTTCGTCGTTTCAAAGTCCCTGCTTCGTCTGGGATGTGGTTGAGAAATTCAAGGACGTTTTCGTCTTCAGCATCATGGCGGCCCCAGATAGAGGGTAGAGACGAGTGATTCATGCTTAGCACCAAGATTTGCAGAGATGTGACCGGTGAAGGGTCGAGTTTCGTCGAAATGAGGTGATGATATGGGTGAAAAGTGGCTGGCAACCACCGCACTTATGTATCAGCTTCACGGACGGCCCTGCAACGTCTCAACCTAGACCGCCGGTGAACTGGGCCAAATGGTAGATTGTAACCAGAGACAGTCGGAAATGGCGAGTTCCAACACCCCAGCTGCAGCTGTCTGCAGGATTCAGTGGAGCAACCGGCAGGTGGTCAGGGAAAACGGTTTGGATTTCGATAGACGGCCCTCACTGGGAGGCACAATAAATGAAGACCGAGAGCTGGAGAAGCAAGTGAACTGTCTATACAGCAAGCGGCTAAGTCGCTACTTCTGATGGCTATTTATGGCGAGGTGGAGGATTGATCAAGATGGCCTGCTGAAGGATGCAGAATGCGAGATGCGAGTGACGCAGTGGGCGAAGGAAGATGTGCGTAAAACGTTGAGGCGCAAGTAATGCAGGACGCGGAAGCGGCCTACAGATGCCGCTTAGTATAGTGCTTTTTTGTGGTGCTGGTAGGACGGATTTGAGGTGTGTGGTTTGCGTGGTGTGTCGTGCTGTGCCTGTGCTGGCCGCGATCTTTCCGTGCGAGCTGGGCAGCAAGATGACTGTCCAAGATTCAAGGACCACCAGTCGTTGGGCAATAAGAGTAAAGCAGATGACGGCGAATTTGCTGACATGCGATAGAGAGCTCTCTCAGTGGCTAGCCAAGGGTGCTTTGCGTCTGTGTGTTTTGCTGCTAGCGTGGCCGTGCTATGGTGTTGGATGCTGTGGATGCCGCAACGGCGATGGACGACGGCTCGTGATGAGAAGGCGAGACGTATCCCTATCTCTACAGGGCTCTGCAAAATCTGTGCGGAATGAATCTGAAATTCCCGCCTGAGCGAGAATCTGTTTTCAATGTTTGGTGAGTTGAAGCTGGATGGTATCGACCTGTCCTGGAAGGAAAACTGGCTGTCAGCCAAGCAGAGCCGAGCCGCTAACTGCCTAGTTGGAGATTAAAAAGTCCATGGGCAAAAGGACCGAAGTAGAAAGAGGCAGCACAGGGGTTGGTGTAATGAGAAGCAGGAGCGGCATTAAAATTATCGTCGTCTGTTGGTGCGCGTGGTCAATGCATCTGACGGACGACGTTGCTTTGCAGAGTGGCAAAGAAAGGAAGCTGGTGGTGGTGGAACAGAGGAGGTCAAGATACAAGTGGGACCAGACAGAGCTCCTGGTGCTGGTGCGTGCTTTTTGGTGTGTTTGCAGATGCCTCAGACATGACACTCTGGCAATTTTCCCCAGCACAATATCCATCGACCTATGATACTTTGCACCACTGAACGGACGAAAAAATTGCAAATTTTGCAGGTACTGCGGGCCACTCGTTCTGACATTGATTCTCTGAACAATTTGAATGACAAGTGCTACCAGGATCACATTCGCCATAACGGTGAACCTCGGCCGTTGGTCACCGACCTGCCTACACGTCATTCTCTCTCCGGCGCGTCGCTACTTCCATCTAGCCTTGACACTATTTCGTCATGAACCAGAATTCCAACCATTGATTCATATCGTCTCTTCCAGCATGCTACCTTTCTGCAGCCCCTCTCAAGCTCTCTGCCAACAAGGGAAGATGTATACGCCCACGCCCGTTCATGACAACAATGGAACGGCCGCGATATAGCCCCCACTGCGCTCTATATATTATCCACAACCAAAGACACCAGCCCTTTCCATGAAGCGGGCCATCCGGGCCATTGTTCCTTTCTCGACTGGCGCGCGTTGCCACTGCACAAATGGAACTGGTCGCGGAGCTGTCCCCTTGCAGGCTACGAGTAGCTCTGTACGGGGCTGCTTTCTTATTAGCATCCCCAGTATACTCACAGCCTTGCCGATGCATCAGGGCAGAGTCTGCCGCACGCAGGGTTGCACTTAGCCCGGACTGCGAAAGCTATGTCGGGTGCCGACAACGCTCCGCTGGTGAATCCCGCTGGAGGGTCTTCCGTTTCCCTCCCGCCCATCCTCTCGGTTCTCGCAACACCAATGTATTTGTTATACTTGTGGACAAGGGTCCCGTCCAAAGCAGGGGCGTGAAAACTCAAACCAGTGACCAGGCTAGCCTGTGGTGATTTGCTGGAAGGGTCACCCATGTCCGCAAAAACACTCGATTTGTGCGTGTTTCCTGTCCTGCTCTCGGAGCTATGTAGGCCCTTTGGACATGAAGCAGCGATGGACCGGGCTGTCAACAAGAAGACAACCAGAAATAAGGTCGCTGCTCTCAGCAGTAGGCAAAGCTAGCGGGTGCTCGGCTCGGCCTGCTGCGCGCAGGACATCCAAAATATCCCGGTTGGTGCAGGAAAAGGTAGCATTTTGTCTGTAGTGCAAGTCTATTATTAGAGCAAGCAGCTTCCTGTTTGGGAGGGGATCTTGCACTAGGGCTTCCACACCACCAAACTATGTCGTTCAGGCGGCCGGAGCGCGTAGCCTTGGAAAAAGAATGGCAGCCAATTGATGATGCAGGGGATCAACCAGGTAATAAGCTAGCGAGCGCCGCACTGGCGCTCTATTTACCACACAATGCCCAAAAGTGATGATGCGCTGTGCATCTTTGGGCCAGCTTGCGCATCATCCCGGCGGAAATGGCCGCCCTAGACGACCCCCCAGTCCATACAACGTTTTCCACGAACCAAAGCTCGCCTTTCCGGACGTGGGTTGATGCAATTGGTGCTCCATGGCGGGCCTGTGATGTGCGAAGGATGAGTTTAGGGCGGGACAAGCATGGCGGCTTGCAAAAGTCCTGAGCCTGAGGATGCCTGTCATAATAAGCCAGTTTCAATACACCAATTTGCGGCTCCGGGCCCAGGTTCCAAGAAACAAAAGGCCCTTGGCATCATGAGCTAGCTACATTGCGAGAAGCTGCCACGGTGGCGCATTTCTTCGTCTGTTCGATTCTGACATGGAGCCGCACAAAAGTGCCTGAGTTGAGGCTCGGCCGAGGTCTGGTCTGCGGTGTGAACAGATCAATTGGCCTGGTTGCTCCTCGGCCCTGTCGGTGTGCATAGGTGAATGGTTGAGCTCGTCTTGACACTAAGCAGTTATTGGTAGCTGTTGCACTATTGCACGACCAGTAATAGTAGGTGACTACCAAGGTGCTCATTGGTCCTGGGCCAAAGCAGCATGTGCGAAATCTGGAGGAGCCCTGGGTTGCTCACCACCTAACAAAACTGGCAAGCAGATTGGCCTGGTTGGCAGGGATGACAAGAGAGGCAAGTCAATACCATTCCCGTTCATTATGCCGGTAGCCAATTCAGTCTCGAACTTTGAGCTTCGGTGTCGTCTTTAGCCACTCTTGACCTCGGTCATCTGGTGCTTTATAATGGTGCCTTGGCAGTCAATGCCTCGTCGTGTTCCAAATTCTATGCAGTGGTGGCCGCGGCATCATCATACAGGAGATACAGAGGAAGGTGCAATCCGAAGTCGCAGTGATGGTTGCGACATAGCTCCGCTCACGGGATTTTGGTGTGGCGACGGAAGACCGGGAAGTTGGTGGTTTCCAATGGGTGACTTGTGGCTGCTTAGCTGCTTGACTTTAAATGCGGGCAACTGGTGAAATAAGGCGCATGTGATGCTGAAGTTGAGATGCAACCTCTTGATTCCGTTAATTGTTATGTGGCTGCTGTTATTTCTGTTGTTGTTCGTCAGCTTTCCCGTTGCCAGAAAAGATTATTCTGCTAGGCGCCAAGGGCAAACGCGACTTTTGCATCCACATACCTAACGACCATATTGTTTTATATGATACTCAATCTAATCGGCATCTTGCCGTTCATCTTCTCATTGTCATCCTCGTATAGCATACTATCGCTCCCCTGTCCACCTGCAGATCTCAACTGCTTGCTCCCTGCAAGACGAAACGAAACGAAACGAAACTAGATGAACCATAAATACACCTCGAGCACACCATTCCCACCTCCAACAAACCACACGACGCCAGCAAACACTGCCAGCATACACTGCCAGCAAACACTGCCAGCTCGACAACCATCATCCACGACTAATTTACACCATAATAAACTACCTATCTTACGCCATGCCCTAGATGCCGCAACCCAACACCACTTGTTGAGCGCAAAAGCTGGCCATGGAGCGCCCTAATCATATTGCGCTGCAACCCTGTGCCCCGCGCCACTGGCAAGACGGGCTGCGTGATGCCTGTGCTGTCAGGGAGAATCAGGCGCCATCGTATCCTTTGCCCAGCAAGTCTCAATCCTGGTACCCAAAACATTATCTGGTTGCGGAGATTCTCAGTTGGGCTCCTGAACCGAACCATGCTTTACATTTCCGTGAACCTGTGCAGATCTCCATGCTACTGCCGCCGCCGACTCAATTTTCCGGATACCTCTTTGGACTCGAAAGCTTGGCTGTCCTCTTGTCGCTTGTGAATCGCACTGCGGCCGCGCCCTCCCCACAACCCATTCATCAACCAACACCACCACTAGTGCCCCTGGCGTCATTGCTCTGCTCACAGCACTGCTACCCCAAGTCGCATATCGCCGACCACGCTCCTCACAAGCCCGCGGGTTCTTATCTCGTCGGATAACAAGAGTCTGGGGGTGGCGCACGAACTCGACTAAGCCTTCCGCCCTGCTGGTTCACCTGCCTAGTCGGGCTGCTTGGCTGTTCAACCTGGACGGACACATCAAACCCCATGCCAAGCTGTGCTTGAGACTCTTGCCAGCGTGCCCTCTTCGTTGCGTGCATCCGAGCATATCTCAGCCCACTACGTCAACAAGTGCGGCGACACTCGATTGCAGCCAAGGAACCCGGGCTTGCGCAGAATATTCAACTCGACTCCTTGATTCCGCGTCGGAGTGCTCCGTGTCGGCAAACTTCCATGGCGTCACTAATCCCATTCATCTCGGAGATTCTCCCCATGATTATGCCCGCCTCCACCCAGGTTACTACGGCCAATGATCTTCAGCCGACCCATCCAACAGTCGAGGGGCCCGTGATAAGGCGTGCTGCAGTCGTCGACCGCTGCGACAAGATGTGCGCCTCTGGTAAGCTCGACACCACCCTTCGCACACGCACAACGCATCACACCACTTGCTGCCCACTCTTTTCGTTGCTTACCCCGGTCCATTCGGACTATTCGTGCCACCTAATGCTACCGCATCTATCCTTGCCCCCTGCCTGACCACGAGGTGTAACTATTTTAAGCAGTTCTCACAACCCGGCCCAAATCTAGCACGCAAGTCCGTCACAATAGCGAACAGGGTGAGTCTCGCCAACGCCTCGGCTAGGCCCTCTCCGAGAGCAACCTGATACGGCCGCACGGGGCTGGACTTGGCTGACCCGTCCCTTTAGATGCCATCATATATGCCGTCTCCGGTACCGGCATCCTGCTTGTGAACGAGGGTTTTGAAGAGGACGAACCGCGACGTCATGCCCTGACTGCCGGTGATTTTGCTTTCGTACCAGCCTGGACAGAACACCAGATTCAAAATGAAACCGACGCTGACCTCGTCCTGGTTGTGATTCAGAGTGGCTCACGCCCAGTTGGCGCCATCCTGACGGATTGGGGAGGTGACGAGATAGCTGCAGACATAGCTAGCGAGTAAGGCTTTCCCAACACTCAGCTTGGGCTGCGGGCTTGCATTATATCATATTCTCATTCCTATGACGCTAGCGACTGGCTTAATCTCTACAAGGTGCTGAGTTGTTCTCGTACGAGCTGGCTCTCGATTGTGACAGGTCAGCCATCCTCGGCAATTATGCACTTTATAATCCTGTTGTAGTCCGACGGCGTGTCAAAAACTTGCGCGTGATCCAGCTGAGGGAACCACAGCACCTCGACCGCTGACTCCGCACCGCCCTCGACCTCGGGCTCCTCCTGCAAGTACCGCGCCACGGCCGGCGCGTTGACGATGATGTCCTTGGCGGCCAGGCTGACGGTCACTCGCCTGCGACCCCCACCGCGTGGCCGCTGCCACAACTGCTCCTTCCAGAGGATGTTGTCGCGCCAGAAGAAGTGCCTTCCGAGAACGGTGGCGACGCCGACGTCGGCGCTGGCAAAGTACCACAGCTGCCACTCTGCCGCGGTCCGCGGCGGCCGCCTCGTGAAGTTGTACGCGACGTGCGGCAGCTGCAGCAGCACGGTGACGGGGTCGACGAGCGTGACCGACCGCACGCGGGCGCTCAGCGCGGCGTCCTCGGCGGTCAGCAGGTGCGTGGTCGGCACGGACCCGTATGAGTGCGAGACGACGGCGAACGCGTCCCAGCCGTGAGCGTCGACGATGGCGGCAATGGCGGCGAGGAAGGCGCGCCGGTCGAGAGGCGGCGCGGTCAGGCGAAATGAGATTGGCAGCATCTCAACGGCGATGAGGCGGATGTCATTGCCGCTGCTGCCGCGGCGGGAGGACTTGGCACGGGCGGCTTTGATGAGGTCGAAGAGGAAACGCAAGTAGGTGAGCAGACCGACGCCAATACCGTGGAAGAAGACGATTGGCAGCGGCGGTGACGACGACGACAAAGACGAAGATCCGCCAGGCTCCGCACGCGCTGTTGCTGCTGCGCTGTTGGACGCCGTCGTCGTCGCAGGCCCGTAGTACCAGTACCCCAGGCCCGGCGCCGGCGACCTGCGCCGGCATAAGAGTTCTTGCGGTCGCGGGGGGAAAGTCGCGCATACGTCCGCGTTGCTGCTGCGGGCATAGAAGCGAAATCCGTGGGCGCGCAGCAGTGCACAGGTAAGGGCATCGACGAGCGCGATGACAGCGTACCACGCAAGGCCGCGGTACGCCGTCACGATGGGGTCCAGCGTCAGCCGCAGGCACCGTGCCGGTCCGCGGCCCTCCGCGAAGCGGTGTCCGACGGCGTCCTCGAGCCCGGCCACGTACCCGTTCAACTCCTCACTCAGCGGCCCGTTCACGTCGTCGTTATCGGTCTCGAAGAAGGCCCAGAGGAGAAACTCGCGGACGTTGTCGCGGCGGATGTCGTCGAGCGGCGCGCCGAGGAACCACCCGCGGAGGTAGGCGTCCGGCTCGCGTGCGTGCGTGACGCATCGCCGGAAGAGCGCCCGCCGCTCAGCCGGGGTGAGGGCGGGTACGGGGTGCGCGGGGCGGGCGCTGGCGGCGTGGCGCAGATGTGGCCGGTATATGAGGGTGTAGAAGAGGGCCTCGGCGAGGAGGAGGACAGCGAGGACGGCTTTGGCGGTGCGGCGCGCGGAGGAGTCGTGGGCAAGGAGGGCGAGGAGGCTTAGGGCGTAGAGCAGCGGCGTGAAGCGAAAGAGAAGCACGGAGACTTGAATGAGCGCCCATTCGGGCGGCGAGTTGCCAATCATGGCATGTAGACGTGAGGGACGGGTCTAGTTTCAGGAGAGGTTGAACATCCGAGGTGGGTGTTAGTAGTTTGGACACTAGCTCGATGCCCCTGGCTGATCTGTCATTGCATGTGGAACATCTCTTCTTCCAGGAAAAAAAAATTAATTGCCATGAATCGCACGTCTTAGTGTGAGATTAACAGGAAGGCGCTGTGGCATGTTGTAATGTAGCTGTGCGGAGGGAGAAAAAAGTGTCGGCAATTGCTGTGTGATCCGGTGTTTGGTCACTGACCAACAGGCAGGCGCCGGCGTCGCCCGTTACAGCTAAGTAAGTTGTCTACCTCTCGCGACGAATTGAGCAGCTTTACTTTTTTTTTTTTTCAAGGGTTCTTCCTGTTTTTTAAACCGTTTTGCGCATCAAGCACCAATCCCTCGTCTTGTCAATTAGCGAAGAGTATTTCAAGTTCACGGCTCTCGGGTAGCCCGTCAGCTGCTAATCATGACAGAATACGTATACATGGGTGCATAGCTTGGGTAGAACAGGTCGCCGTGCCACGTTCCCTCCAATGTAAAAAATCTTAATCTTCCCAACCTTGGCTGTTGCAACGCGACCACTCGCAGTCGCCGTGTTGCGCTTCTCGCGCTCTGCCACAAGAACCGCTCTCAACTTGCTGGCCGACTGACCTCTAACCTATGCAAATAAAAGTGCCGGGCGTAATAAATAAAGTCACGTTAAGTGAAGTGTATCCCTTCCACTGCCTAATAGAATGAAACAAGAGAAAATGTAGCAACGATGAGTAACGGTGCTGTGGTCGGGCAAGCATAAACATCGACACCGCCAGGGCAGCAACAAGTACGCAGCCCATAAAAAGCTTTGAAGCGTGGCCAATATGCTTTGCGCCTGGATCAACGACAGAGGCACCTACTTCTTTGTCCCAGGCTCGAAGAACCTCATCGGCTGTCGAGTGCTGCCTCTTCCAGCATGCCAGGATCACGTTGCCTCCTACTACTTTCGTCACGTCTGGGTACTTTTCGTCGTTGAAAGCATCGGCGATCTCCCTCTCGTAAGCCATCCTCTCCTCTATTGTCTCTGGTGCACCTGGCGTTGATCGGAAGGGCCAGAGCCCTGTCATGATGGTGAAAAAGAGGGAGCCAAGCCCAAATACGTCGAGAGCTGGTGTTGAAGCGGTTTTGAAGGCAGGGTGGTAGAAGGGGCCGTCGGGGAGGCAGCCTCCATCTAGACCTAATTCATCGCACGTAGACCCGCCAAAGTCACAAATCAATAAATCACGAGACCCTGCTGTTGTTTCGTGCACGAGAACGTTCCTGGGGCGAGGATCGGAGTGAACAACGCCGCGGCTGTGGATAGAGGAGATGGCTTCAGCCAATTGTCGGCACCATACCATCCGTTGGCGCAGGAGAATGGAAGGGTGGTGACTGTCCAAAAAAGCTTGGAGATTGCTGTGGCTTGCTTTTCCAAGCAGTATCCTGCGACCTTGTTGACCGAGATATCTGGAAGGATCAGCACATGAATGTGAGAACGAATGGCTTTGTGATGATCCCTACTTTACAATTCGTGGATGTTGCCCAAGTCTTTCGAGGATAAGTGGCTCCACAGAAAAGCAAACGTCGACCTTTTCGGAAAGCTCTTCATTCTGAAAGGTGATTGGCTGTTTGAGGACAACTTCAGGACTGACTGGCTCAATCGTACTCGTGGAACCGAGATTTTCCATTGTGTCCGTCCTTGCTGAGGTGGTTGGGAATTGTAGAGCAAGGGTTGGCGGCAAGGAGGTTGTCTGGCTATGCTCTATAGGCCGTCGGCTTTGGGATAAATATTGTTTCGTATTTAGCCAGCCTGTCTCAGAACCCCTTATTTCCTGGTCTACTTTACATTTCATACTAATAATCATCATCATAATATGGCCGTTTGTTCAAGTTCTTTTTCATCTACCCTTTCCTGCTATTTCTGTTTAGAAATAAGCTACGGAGAGGCGGGAATCGTGTCTTGTAGTCCTGTGACTTGATTTTTTGTCATTGTCAAGCACAGTGTTTCTGTTTCATCAACAAAACACAATAGCAAATATTCTTCATTATTTCCGTCTCGGCCAGTCCTGACTGGGGTTCCGGTGTGCGAAGAGGACACCTGTGAGAGTGGCTAACAGCTCCTCTTCTGAAGTCAGCCGGAAGGGAAGATCTACCGACTCTGGCACGATAACTCACAATTTCCCGGGCCACAGGTGCGGCAAGTGTACCTGCCACACGCAGCCTAGAGCCCATCTGTATAACTGTCACCTGGTGACCCGGTTCATTCTGTTCTGTGCAAGGGTCAAATTTGAAGGTCACTGGCGGGCCGACAGTGCCGCAAGAATAGATCTTGAACTAGACGTAGTTTTTGCACATGTTATCACAGTAGTTCGTTGGGTGAGGTCCAGAGTGCTGATCTCGTAGAGGGGTGAATAGGCTCACGCTAATTGTAGTTTAATAAGGTATGATACCGGCTTGGTCACAAGAGGGGTATACCTGCAGTTCTTATACGCGAGTGAGCGAGGCGAGAAGTTGATATGGGCTGAAGAGGGGGAATTCACCCCATAGACACCACACGATAGCTGTAAGACAAGTGGTTTCTATTCATATTTGCGTGACTGATAAACCGTAGGAATAGGCTGCATACGCACATGCCACACGCCCACCCGCTCCTCCGGGTGTGGTGTGACTACCAGAGCTGATGGGCTCATCTTAGAGGACGAGTTGAAGTTTGCTTGGCAGCGGAAAGGAAACGGGGTCGGAAATAAAAGATAGAGTAAATGCCCCATTAGCTTAACGGGCTGTGCGTAGTGGCGATGAATAAAGTGAATAAAGAGGCAACGACGTCGTCGTCGAAGATTGTGAGTGAAGAATCGCGGTGGGCGATGGTTGTTTATCTAGATATGAAAAACATCGCCCACGATAGCAACCACCTATATTCTCCCCATCACAGTAGACGTGCTAACTAACAAGTCTTTTATGTAGAAACTACTACATAACACGTATCGCAGCCACGGCGTGTTTCAACTGGCTTCTGCCTGTTGACTTGGCGAGGCTGGGGAGGCTAGCCTGTAACACTTTGCCTGCTCTAAACCACTAACAAGTGTATGTAGTTTAGCTGGGTGAGAATACTACGCTTCTAGCCATATAATAGACATTGATCTATTGTTATCATTGAGAGTTATGATTTATAGTAATATATATCTGTAATAAGTACCAATCACTGGTGATGGGAATAGAAAGCTAGGGAAGAAAAGGCACGCACTTCAGCCGTGGCCCATCCTTGCAGCGGATAGCGATGTAGAGTACTAGTAATCATCGCCGAGAGTAGGAGGGGTTGTTGCCTCAGATTACCTCCAGTTGGGTCGGTGATGATCAGCGAATACGCATTGTTGTACCCCCCCCGTCAGAAGGGGAAGTTTTCTCACAGATGAAGGCGGCCTGCCAATCTCTGCCCGCTCTGCCTATCCCACGTTTTCAAGGCAGCCTAGTGCCAAATCTTACCCGATCGGCTAAATGATTGCTCCGAGGATAAGTTAAACATTAAAGACTTCAGATAAGTGGGGGTTTTACAACCTGGAAAGGGAGTCAATTAAGAAAGCCTCGCCTCCACAGAGTTATTCTGGTTGTTTATTGCTACAGGAGGGAGGTTGTCTCGTGGTGAAAGAGGGGCAGTTTTTTCACATGTTGTCGTCGGTCGGGTGGTTGTCCCTCTATAAATAAATAAAACACACTTGGCCCCTGTCGGGGTAGATCTATGAGTCATGTTGCGATTTTCCTAGATTTACTTGAAATTGTAGAAAATAAAGTGTGCCAGGAAAGGATCATGTGTCCTTGTCCTTCTTCTGTCTATCCGTGCTAACTAACACTAATTATGTAATTTGGAGAAGGGCAAGATTGTTGGTGGCAAGGCCTTTGCCACCTTTTCAACTTGAAAGTGCACCGACCGATCTTACCCGCGGGTGATTGGATGTTTTCCAGCCCCTTACTATAAATGGCTAAGAAGAATGTCAAACAAAAGAAAAGAAACGTTAGAGATCTTGTCTGAGACGGGCTTCGCGGCGTGATGGGCCGGGTAGCACCAGGTTCCATCCAGCCACTGTGTCCAACAACGCAATAACGTCATCATCTCAAGCGTTGCAACCTTTTTGACTCTGTATATAGCCTTTTTCCTCCTGCTTGCTGTCGCGTGATTAGTCTCAACTGCAATTCATTTCCTTCTACTTAGTGGCAGCTGCAGAGGAATTTCCGAGACGCACAAACAAACACGCACGCATACGCATTCGCACACGGCCACGTTAGCTCCTCACCATGGCGGACAAGTACGTCTTGCGCGTCACCGCAGGGAGCAGCTACGATGAGTCTACACACGTCGAGGTGCCCGTGAACCGGCCTGAGACTGTGCGCGTAGCTGGCACACATGCTGTCGTCGAGCTCAACGTTCGCGTGCAGGGGTACGCCGGCCTACCGCGCGGCTCCCCGTCCACATCGCCGTACTTTGCCGCCGAGCCGCACGCCAGCAACCGGGACCAGTACAGTATCAGCTTCCGCTTCACCCCGACTCGGTCCTCCTCCCCGACCCCTTCCTCCTCATCCACCACCTCCCTCTCCTCCTCCTCGTCCGCCAGTACCGCCTCCTCCTCGGGCATATCCGGTGTCGACCTCCAGTTCGGAAATGACTTTGACCGCCCCATCCGGGACCGTCTCCCTCCCGGCTTCAACTTTGCCCTGCGCATCGTCCGCCGGTGGATCGACCCGGGCCTCGAGGGCGATGCCTACGCAGACCGCCCCCACCTCTACGGCCCCGCGCTCAGCTCCTTCAACGTGCTCCAGCTTGGCGAGGGCGAGCACGACCCGGCCCGCGGCGGCCTCTGGTTCGAGGAGGGCGGCGATGGAGCGGCAGCGCTAGGTCTGCCGAACAAGGGCAAGGAGCGCATGAAGTGGGCGCTGACCGGCGCCAACAAGGAGCGCTTCGTCTTTGAGTACGGCAAGACGTACGGGCTCGACTTCTTCAACCCCTATCTTGATTTTGCCAACCTCGCCTTGCGGCTGCCCGGCTTCCAGGTCAGCATCGCCAGCTTGTGGGACGGCCAACCACTCCGGTACGTGTGATTTTCCTGCTGTACTTGTGCTGCCTTTTGTATGCTTCTGCGCTCTGTTTTCCTTTCCAACTTTCCAGTACAAGATACAGTCACCGTTCATTTTCTTTGTCTCCCTTGCATGACTTAACCTTTTTCGTTTTCTTTCTCAGGTCCGATAGGCGCTCACATCGACTTAGATACGTGCTGCGCAACAAAGCGACCGGGCACGTCTACCTCGTTGTCCTCTTTAGCCTCTTCCTGCGCGAAGATGTCAACGACGATGGCACACTCAAAGAAGGTGCGAAGGAGCACGTGATTGAGTATTGCAGCTGAGAGTAAATCGGCGACCTCGGGGGCGATATACTTGGCGTCAGTGAAGCTGCCGCGGACGACCATGGCGTTACTGAGAAGATATGACCGCAGATTGTGTGGATTGGCTGATAAAAGGGAATATAAACATGCATAAGTATAGACAGGTATAGTGTAATAGCATACAAATTTGACTTACAAGCACTGCCCCGTGAGATGCTATGAGTTTTGTTACACCATAGCGCGCGTGCGCTGCCGGTTACACCATCGCGTACCTACAAGCCTGAATCATAACGTGACGAATTTCGGTGCGAGTATCACCACCTTGAGCAAACTTTTGGGGGCGCACGCAAATAGAAATAAGGACGCCGCCCGAGATGAGGCAGCCTGGGGCTGAAGGCATCTACTTCCCCTACTCTGTTCGAATCAAGTTCACAATAGATTGCCTACCACCATGACATCGACGGCAGGGGTATCCAATACGGCACATACAGTGCCCATGACCACGCAGCCACTGGTCTGCCCCGCGCCGGTATTGACGGCAGATTTTGATCACTGTAGCGTCCCAGGAGGGCTTGAACTATGGCGAAATTGGGGTTATTATTCGCCCGGCATCTGCTTCATCGACTACGTGGCACTATGCACCCAGACCGTGGAGCCGTCATCAGCCGGATGGTCGATTGACAAGGACGAAACTGCAGTGCGATGCGTACCAGTGTAAGCAAGGCGCAGTTTGAATTAGAAGGCGGTTGGGCTGCAGCAGCTAACCATATCCAGAGGATACGAATGCAACGACAAGACGGCCGACCAAAGGTACGCCATATCGCTCTACAATGATATGACACTCTCTGCTCCAGCATTTGAAATCAGGTGGCGCAGCGGGGATGTCAACGGACAATTCAGCCAAGCGTCCACGCTCCCACCGAGCTCGTCGGAACCGACGTCAGCGAGATCTACGGGGTCAACAGGGAGCGGCAGCTCAACCGCTTCGTCCACACTTGCGGGAGCAGCGCACAGAGCAGGAGATATGTCACCGGGCAAAATAGCCGGAGTTGTGATTGGTGTTGCGGTAGCCATGTGTGCGGGCTTAGCAGCTGCACTTGTCATGCACTTTCGGCGAAAACAAGGTTTTGCAAAGGCGCAGCCGAATGCCAAAGCGGGCAGAAGCCATAGTGAAGCTGCAGAACTTGGGACCGCAGCTATTTCTGAGGTGCAAAGTGAGGCGGTGGCCAAAGAGCTGGCAAGCAATCGACCGAAGCAGTATGACGACCATATCGCGCTTAACTCAGAGCCTGTGGAATTGCCGGGCGACCAGAGACCTCAGTTGCTGTCTTGACTGACTCGACTGACAAGACAAGAGTTGAGAGCTGGGGGATTTAGCAGACGTTGTGCAAGCCAGGCTGTAATAAAATTCGGATAGTTTGGAAGTGTAATGGAATGCGGAGCACTTAGTTCGATGGTTATTCCCGAGGAACGAACGCCGACATTTTCACCGGTGTGCTTGTGGGTATCTGCTGGAGACGCCAAGATAGCTCATGAAAACTAGGACGTAGACGAGGGAGTGGCTCCGCCGAATTGCGTAAAGCAAATGTAGTTTCAGCCGTGACTTTCGAAATGATCGGAGGCAGATGGTCATCCACAGGAGGGAGACCAGGATGGTGTACTGGGCTAGGACAATCCCAGCCCACTGGATTCCTTGGCATGGGCACAACCGGGAATAACGATGATAGAGTGGGACGCGGCACTTGGGCAAGGCAGATGTCGCAGCGAGCCTTTGGTCTAGTGGAATTGAGGTTGCGCTTGTTTGAAGGTTTGTTTAGTCCGCTGGAAAACTGTCTTTCGCACTGAACGGAATGATGTGTCGTCAGATCCGCCGCATGGCTGCTTTGCTTTTCCCATCTTGGCAAATGTCAGTTCTGTGGACAGAAATGATGGGAAGAGGGGAAAAATCGCTCGTTATTCCCGGGGGGCTAGACCCTGAGGCGTTGAAGCCAAGACCATGCAATTTTCATTAGCTTCGAGTTGGCTTCTTCTTCTTCCGCGGTGAGGGCGGGGCTGCTGTGCGGTCAATGACCCCGTGGCTTATCATCGTGGTCCGTAAGGCGGTGGCCTAGAACGGGCTGATTTGGGGCGCGGCAGGGTAGAAGGCCGGGATGTGCCATTTTCGCTTCTCTTCGGGCTATAATCGGCACGACTGATAGACATCACGAGCGCCGCCTAAACAGCCCACGAGAAAGAAGAGCGCAGAGGCTTGTCCGTCATCGGTGCGGATAAAGGGTGAGTGAGACAAGCAGCGGGCACGCAATTGTTGGGCAGACTTTGGGGCGGCTAGGTTGACTGGATGGTAATTGGGTGATGGAGACGGGGTATTTCGTATAACTAGCGGAAGAAGATGAAGCGGAGGACAAGAAGAGACAAGGCTTGGAGGGAGCAAATTGGGATGGTGAGACAAGATGGGTGGGATAGGATGATAGGAAGAAGGCGCCGTTTGCAGGGACACGTTTCAGCGGAAGGTCAAGGCCCACCCGAGCTGGCGAATTGCGTGGAGGTTGCAGGCGGCCCCAGCACCGGACAAAACTGCGTCGTTATTCCCGACAAGCTTTTTCGTCATCCCGGGGTTGTAGTGGGCTTCGTCAGGGCTGCTTCGCCCTCTGCTTGGTCTGCTTAGCACCAGCGGCCCCCAGCCTAGTCCCGTATTACGAGGGAATCCAACTGACTATTCATTTATTTTGCAGTCATGTCTCTTCCAACCCCGGCCCGACGCTCGAAAGCGGTCTTTTCCCTCGGCCGCCCACTCGGATCGGCTGCCCCGGAGTGATTTGGGGTCATTTGTCATATCATGGCCCTGGCTCGCACATTATTCTCTCCGTTCCCTGCTTCAATACCAGTCTCATAACACGTCGAGTTCAGCGGCTGCTTGCTGTTGTGCTGCCGCTGCTTCCCGGTTGATGTCACCAAGCATGGCTCAACAACAGACCACGCCTTTGGGTGATGTGCTGCCGCTGCGCCACATCGCTGGCACTGGCAGCTCGATCCTAGATCAACCGCAAGGGAAAACATCAAGAGCAGAACGGGTGGTCGATTCCTCGACCCCCATCCTCCATCTCTATCTCGACTTCGACACGCCGCTGCCGTCGCCGCCGTGGCCCCCGCGCCAGACTCCCGGAACCAGCATACCACGCTGTCCAGACCTTCGCGCCTACACCTCACCACTAGAATGGAGTCCGGCGCGCAAGAGCGTCCTGCTCGTGCTGTCCTGCCTCGCCACGTTCCTCACCGCCTATACCGCTGGCGCATACTCGCCGCCCGCTGGCCTCATGGCTGCTGATTTTGGCACTTCCCGCACTGCCGTCATGGCCGGCATCACCACCTTCTGCGCTGGTTTCGGCTTCGCACCTATGGCGCTCGCGCCGCTCTCCGAGGCCTGGGGCCGCTACCCCATATTCGTCGTCGCCGGTTGCGTCTACCTCGTCTTCCAAGTCTTGTGCTCTGTCATGCCCCACGTCGCCGGCATGCTCGTGTGCCGGCTTTTTGTCGGCGTGGGCGCGTCGGTGTTTAGCGCGGTCGTCGGGGGTGTCATTGCGGACCTCTGGGGTAAGGAGGACAGGAACACGCCCATGGCGCTGTTCAGCGGCTCCGTGCTCCTGGGAACGGGGGCTGGCCCGCTGGTCTCGGCGGCGCTGATTGACATCATCAAAGATCGCACGAGGGCGTGGCAGTGGACATTTTGGCACCAGGTCATCATGGATGCGGTCCTTGTGGGCTTTCTTATTGTCTTTTTCAAGGAGAGTCGTGCGTCTGTCCTGCTCACTCGGAAAGCCAAGATTTTGAATGCCTGGTATGTCAAGTTGGAGGAGGCGGGAGTGTGCGGCGTCTGGATCTGCTTGGAAAACGTCAACGTAGCCTCTTCCTCCGAAGTGTGGCTATCCCAGAGTCGTGACTCATACTCCGATGACGCAGACCGTCCAGCGGAACCTCAGACACAATCGCTACAGCTTCGTCGCGTCCGTTGGGTCGTGAAGGCGGATGAGCTGCGTCCTACTCTCAAGGACCTAGTCACTACCTCCATCGAAAGACCATTCGCTCTCCTCTTCACGGAACCAGTAGTCTTTTGCTTTTCGCTTTGGGCGGCCTTTTCTTGGGGTGTGCTGTACCTTTCCTTCTCGGTCGTGCCTTTCCTGTACAATGGAGACTTGGACATGTCAAGTCGCGTGTACATCTCTATGATGGCTGCGACCGCCGTGGCGACCATCACTGGCGTCTTTCAAGAACAGCTTCTTAAACATCCATCTTGGAAGAGCATCGAAGCTGGGGGCCGCCCTACGGACTCCAGGTTCTGGCGGCTCATGCGCCGCAAATTCCCTGCCGAAGCACCGGAGTCGAGACTGTACTTTGCATGCATCACGGCCATGCTCCTGCCCGCTGGTCTGTTCATCGGATTCCTTTGTCCGAACGACTGGAAGGCCTATGCCCAAGCAATTGGCCTAGGCTTCGCGCTCTGGGGTATTTATTCCGTCTACCTTGCCACATTCAACTACCTCGCAGACACCTACCATGTCTATGCGTCTTCTGCCTTGGCTTCTCAGAGCCTTTGTCGCAATCTGTTGGGAGGAGCTTTCCCTCTCATTGCCACGCCGCTGTTCCGCAATCTAGGTACACGGGCGGCGGGTGGTATGCTCGGTGGCATTGGCACGGCGCTGACCGTGATTCCGTGGGTGCTCGTCTTCTTCGGACAGCGAATTCGCGCGAGGAGTAAAATCGCCATCGTAAGTTGCACCGGTCCCTATTCAATGGTAGGATCAAGCTAACGATTTCCCAGTCTCTTCAGAAATAACAAAGTGGAAATTTACACAAATACCAGATACTCTGGCTTGCATTTTCATCTTAGCTTTCTTTTTTCTTTTCCCTCTGATAGTTTTGCATAGCATGGTGTTTCAACAAAAGACAAATCATAAAGTGCAACAACAGGTCGCCAGAGTTAACTGGCAATTGGTTTCATTGGTGAGATATAATGTGATTCTCTAAACTTTTGAGTATCCGATTCTATTTTGGTTGTATCCCAAAGTACAATCGGTCCACATCCCAGCTCCTTATTTGCCCTTGGCCTTTTTGGCCTCAGTCCTTTTGGCCTCAACCTCTTTGTCTTTGGCCTCAAACTTTGTTCTTCTCTCCTCCGCCTTTGTGAAGATGTCGTCATTGTATTTCAACCTGTTGCGGGCAATTTCGATAGCATAGAACTGCATGCGGGGGACTAAATGACGACAATTAGAAACGCCTTTTCACCTCTCTTTTCAGATTTACCTGCTCACCGAGAATAGTGTTGTCCTGATCGTACGTGTCCTTGGCACTGACACGTAGTATGGTGCCAAAGTTGTAGTCCTGTATCTTCTTCTCATACGACATGAGGAACTTGCGCCACCGCTCCTTGCCCGTCTTGCTCTTCATTTCGTCCTCATTGATTACCTTAGGGTCGACCTCAGGAAAGTCCCTCCTGAAGTGCTCGTAAATCTCATCGTCCAGCTTGGTCAGGCGTCCGGTGGAGGCAGGTTGGGCCTCGAGAATTCGCCAGTGTGCTTTCAGGTACTTCACAGCTTTGACGGCGAACTGCTTCTCTATCTGCTCGTCGTGATTAGCTCGGCTCAACTTCTTTAGGCGGGACGGAGAGGCAATTGCTGTCTGCGCTATGGGAGTGACATCATGCCCCTCCATGAAGGTTTTTTTTTTTCGACCTACATCTTCCATGTTGCCAGCATCCTCGGCATTGAAGCCCGCGGGGATGCGGCTCCCGGTCAAGGACATGCTCTCCATAGGATCCATGGCTGTTTGTCGTTCCTCCGTGCTGTTGTGAATAAAGAGTCCCGTGTGATTTGAAGTCGAAATCTTTCGAATCGCAAAATCTGGATGTGGGGGCTCGAGGCGAGTTGAAAGTGGGATGGAGGGGCAGTTGCTATATCTACAGTGCGAAACTGTGCTGCACTGTACGGCCCGGTGAAGCTTCTCGGCTCTACTAAGTTACTGGCGGCATCTAGAGGCATCCATCTGCTCAGGGTACCTAAGATTCTGAGCAGTAACTCAATTACATGCGTAATTCGGAAAGAGGGAATCCGTTGACCACAATTCAATGCTCGAAACAGATGGCCAAACATCGCCGTGATCAGACAGGAAATAGGCCGGGATCGCAGAAGCCAAGCTACATTACATAGGTAAGTAACTAGCATTTTCGGCGCGGCGGCTTCGGCATGCGGCCTCGCGTGACACTCTCATTTGTTTTTGCTTGTTTTGCGTCTTTCTTAATGAGTTGAGTGAACGGACATTTCACACCCATCCCAGCTTGGATGGCAAGCAGCTGTCTCGGGTGCAACAATTTGACCAAGAACCACTGCCTTAATCTGTATGCATATTTTGTGTAGCACACCCGAGTACTTGATGAACTAGGTACCCGCCCTCGCGCGTTAGATTATCTCCGAGAGCTGGTGTAACACTATTTACTGTATTGTCTGATGTGTGGCACCTCTTCCTCTCTTCAACGCTCTCCGTATAGAAGTACCTCGAGTGACATTGACATTTTGTGACTGCTAACGCCCTTCTACTGCAGGCAGCTTTGGACTGCATACTCCATCGACGCCAGGGATAGGATTTTGTGGGTGCTATACTCATTGACGAAATCAGTATTGGAGGGACACAGACAGTGGGATCAAGCCAAAAGTACAAGCAGATCTCCCTTGCATTATGCCCGATAAGCATCGGCGTCTAACATCGACTGTTCCCGATTGTCTCATCACGCATGCCTGTCGGCACAGATGCGTCAGCCGTTGGGCATCACAGATCGCTTGTCCGAGTAAGTTGCTTGCCGATGTAATGAGACATATAGAAGAGCACCCGATTAAGAATTTCGCAGTCTATTTCTACTTTCTGCTCATCTTACTTAAAGATATGCTGGCAAGCAACTGAGACCCTTGCAGTTGGCGTTGCTGTGTCTGGTGGTCCGAGCGCAGCACAATAGCAAGCAACGCCATTGAAACAAACAACTCTTGCTTTTCCAAGTATTTGATGCCGCTCCGGGTAGTTACAATCACTCTCCCTCACGATACAGAGCCACACGGAACAAAGAGACGACCGTTCTGGTCTCATTACCGCCATGAAGAAAGGGGTGTGGCTGACGGGTCTGCCCGCCCGCTTGGTGGTTAGGCGCGAGACCTCCTCGTCGCGCCCGTCAACACCATTCATCACAAGACACCGTTCGACGGTGATGATGCTCAGCATATTTTCTTCAAGATGAGGGATCAGGACGATGAAAGTAGTGACACCGAGTCGATCTCTCGTTCTGCATTTGTTACTGCGCTTCTCAACGAACGCCCGCGATGGAGGCACTTGTTTGCCTTCACGACCAGGCAGCACCTGAGCTATCTCGGCGCCGCGTGCGTCTCATCTGCAGCTGCAGCTGCCTTACGCACAACTCTATCAATAGTACTTGGGAAAGTATTTGACATCGTCGCAGAGGTTGGAAGCGGCCAACTTGCGAATGCACAAGCCTTGGCCCTGGTGTCGCAATACTGCGTCACACTGGCCGCTATGGGCGCCGCTCAATGGATCATCAATTCGTCATTCTTGGCACTCTGGCTCAGATTTGGAGAGATCCAGGCCAAAAGTATACGCCATGCTTTATTTCCAGGCCTTATGAAGATGCGACGTGCCTGGATTGACTCACTACCTCATGGCACAACAGGGCTTGTCGCGTCGATCCAAAGGTGAGCTGCCTCCCGGCCTGAATACAGCGTGACTCGCTTACCCTTCCTGACAGAACAACACACGAAGTCCAGATGGCCACATCTCAAGCCTTTGGCTACCTTGTTGCGGATATCCTCACAGCATTTGCTTCGCTCGCCATTGCCTTTTGGGCATCGTGGAAGCTCACTCTGGTCCTCCTCGCGACGCTGCCGCCATCTCTCATCCTGTTAGCACTGACGGGTCGCAAAATTCAGCCAGCCATCACAAAGCAAGCCTCTCATCTAGACTCGGCCTCCAGAGTGCTCGCGGCGTCTGTCAGTGGCATCGACCTTGTCAAGCTCTGCAACGGCTATGCCTATGAAGTCCGCAAATACACCACGCATACTAGGCATGCTGCCAAACAGTATCGCATCCAGACTTTCCAAAATTGTATACAAATTGGATATACTACCTTCTGGGCTGTGGCAATGTTTGCCGTTGGATTTTGGTACGGACTGGCTCTCGTTCAGCAGGGTATACCACCAGGGAATATTCTGACAACATTTTATGCCGTTCTGACAACACTTCAAGGCGTCGAGTCATTGTTACCAAATTGGCTCGTGTTCCAGAGAGGAATGAGTGCCGGCCAGGTATTGCTCGCGCTACAAGTCGAGGTGGCAGAAGCCACCAAGGAAGACGCCGACACTGTCCGACCTAGCTATTTTGTGGGCGCTGTTGATATCAAAGAGGTTTTCCGCACACTATGATACTTATTACAACTGATTACTAATGATAGCAATAGGTTAACTTCTCATATCCAACGGCACCATCAATCAAGTGTCTCGATAACTGCTCGCTATCCATTTCTGCGCAAGAACTCACCTTTCTTGTCGGGCGTAGTGGATCTGGAAAGAGTACGATTGCCAGTCTCATCTCGCGAACATACGAAGCGCCAGGCGACGGTATACATATTGACGGGATTTCGATAAAGAAGCTCCAACAAGAATGGTTACAGCAGCGCATCATGCTCCTCGAGCAAACCCCCGTCATTTTCAACGACACGTTATTTCGAAATATCGCGTTTGGGCACACTGATCCAGCCTCAGCAACTCAACGAGATGTTTTGAGAGCATGCCGAAAGTTTGGTCTCGAGTCAACAATTGTGAACTTGAGTGGCGGTTTGCATACAGTGATCGGCGGCAAAGGCTGCCCCCTAAGCGGCGGCCAGCGACAAAGGGTTGCACTCGCTCGCGCATACCTCAGAGACCCGCCAGTCTTGTTGATGGACGAACCTACATCGGCGCTGGATCCATGCAGCCAGAAGTTGATTATGAATGAAATTAGGGGCTGGAGGCGACACAAGACGACAGTCATCATCTCCCATGATCTAGACAGCATTTGCGAGGACGATTTTGTCTATGTGTTGGATAAGGGGGCAGTGATTAAGAGTGGGTTTAAACGACACCTGGAGGTTACCAGTCTGGACGCCTTCTTCGACGAGGCGTTGAACGAAGTCATGAACAGCGGCGCATCACCTATGCAGACCGATGCCATGCTGCCTGCTAGGAGAGCCCCCAAGCGCCCGGATAGCCGCAGTTTCCGTTACTCAACAATCCACGGTCAAACGTGGTTTTTAAATAGCCCTATCTCGCCTGAGTTCGGCGCCGCGTCTCCCCACGCCACTTCCCTTCTTTCCCCCAGGCTCTCTGTGTTGTCAGGTCCCGCGCGATCGGTGACTATGTATCAACCCCCCGACATGGCACGATTATCATATCTACTCAAAAAGCCCCTTCCACCATCTCCCGAACTGTCTGCACCGGATTTGAGCATCGCAAACACGGGGCCGCCGCCGCTGGAACCTGGGCTTGACTCGATATCCGTGTGCACCGCTAACGAACCGTCAAAACCCAGCACGGCGAGGAGGCGGCGACGTGTCGTCAATCTCGGCGTGCTGACTAGAAGTCGCACACGTGCGTCGAAACTTTCCTTTCTTAGCATAATGCGCACTCTCCTCACGGCCCTCGACGCGCAGCATACCGCGCACCTCGCCCTCGGCGTCATCACGACCATGATTGGCGCTCTAACCACGCCGGCATTCGCCATTGTCTTGGCCAAGCTGTTGGCCGTCATGTGGTCCGCGGGAAACAGGGCCGCCGAGGGGAGACTCTGGGCGCTGTACCTCTTCATCGTCGCCGTCATCGACGGCATCTGCACTGGTCTCGGTCGCTACCTCCTCGAGTCGTCAGCGCAGGCGTGGGTTGACTCCGTGCGACGCTCTGCGCTGGAGTGCGTCCTGCGCCAACCTAAGTCCTGGTTCAGTGACGACAAGAACTCGCAGGCTCGCGTTGCCGAAGCCTTCAACGTGCATGCGGAGGAGATGCGTAACCTTGTCGGCCGCTTCCTCCCCAACATCGTCGCTGTGACCACCATGGTCGCCGCTTCCGTCGCCTGGGCCCTCATCATCCGCTGGGATCTGACGCTCGTGGCGCTTGCGCCGCTACCAGTTGTCGTGCTGGTCCTCAAGACGTACACCCGCCTGGGACGGGAGTGGGAGGTGCGCTGCGCCGACGCCGCGGAGGAGACCGGTCAGATCGTCGCCGAGGTGCTGGCGTTCGGCCGCACAATTGCCCACTGCAGCCTCGACGGTCATTTCTTCAGCAGCTTTGCGCAAGCTATCGCACGATGCTTCCATCTCGGTAACCGGCGCGCCTGGCGCACCTGTCCCCTTTTCGGACTCTACCAGGCCTTCAGCTACGTACTAACGGCGCTCGTCTTCTACTACGGGACGAAGTTACTCACAAGCCACAGCCGCACCGCTGCGTCTGTAGACTCCGTACTGCAGGTTCTCAACCTGCTCCTCTTCAGCTTCGGCACCGCCACTGAGTTGCTTAGCACCATGCCGCAGATCACCGTAACCACAGCCGCTGCCGCGCGCGTTCTGAGCTACACAAAGCTACCCAGAGGTGAGCTGCCGCCTGAGACCGGGGACTATTCCCACGGTGGCCGGGCGGCCTTGCTACCAATACGCATGCGCGACTTGAGCTTTACCTTCCCAAATCACCCCGACCGTGCCACACTCGCCGGCGTCACGCTCAATATACAGCCCGGGCAGTGCACTGTGCTCGTCAGCACCTCTGGCGGCGGCAAATCAACCCTGCTTGCCCTCCTCCTCGGCCTGCACCGCCCCGACGCCAACGCCACGGAATCCGCATTCACCTACGCCGACATCCCCTTCGCCGCCATGGACCTGCGACATCTCCGCGCCGCCGTCGGGTACGTGCCGCAGGCACCCTTCCTCTTCCCCGGGTCCATCGCAGACAACATCGCCTACGGCCTGGACGCGCAGTCCCCGCTGCGCCACCGCTCGAACGTGCGCGCCGCCGCGCGCGACGCCGGCATCGACGACTTCGTCCTCTCCCTGCCCGACGGCTACGACACCCTCGTCGGCGACGGCGCCGGGGCCACGCGCCTCTCCGGTGGGCAGGCACAGCGCGTCACGATTGCGCGGGCGCTGGCGCGTCGCCCCTCGCTGCTTGTCATGGACGAGCCCACCAGCGCGCTCGACGAGGAGAGCTCGGTGGCCGTGAGGGCATGCGTCGTGGAATTGGTCGCGCGTTGGCGCGCCGAGCGTCGGCCCGCGGCCGTCGTTGTCGCAACGCACAGCATCTCGATGATGCGCGTCGCCGACGTCCTCGTCGTCATGGAGGAGGGGCGCGTGGTCGAGAAGGGTGCATTTGAGGATCTGTGGTTCAGCGGGGACGCGTTCCGTCGGTTGGTGCGGCAAAGTCAAGACGCTTCATGATTTACCTCTTCTCTCATGCTATTTTGCATCGAGCCGTCGAGCTGCGCTTCATACAATTTTTCCATAATAATGTGCCCTTTTTCTGCTAAGCAGTTAATGATCAGCGTTACATTTCACGAATCTTAGCTTTGAGTCCGTCGTTTCCAAATACATGAACAAAACGTTCGCCATTAAATGTGGTGTATCAAAAGATGAAATCTATATGTACCAAGGTGTGTAGTGTGTGTCATACGTCGTCAAGGTGGTGCGGCCAGTGATGATGGTGAAAAAGACCAAAACAATATGCAAGAAAACAAGGCATGCAAGTCTTTCTTGAAATCGAGACAAATAGCAAACCAGGAAAAAAAAATGAGGCCACCTGCCACCCGCCGTTTTTCTAGTACTCCCAGTTGCGTTTGCGACAACAGTCCGTCCGCCCGTCCCAATGCAACAAGGTAAAAACCACCCAAAGACAATAAACAGGTGCAAATTATATAATGATTGAACAATGCGTTGCAAAGCAAGACCCCGCATAAGCGGTCGTTGTCTATCGACGCTTGGAACGCAAGAAAGACTCCCACGTAAAGCCGTTGCGCGCCTTGGGTCGCGTGTGTGTTAGCTGCTGCGGCCTCGTCTGCTCGACCCAGCGATGGCGCGCCGGGACCCTATTGCGCCGATGTTGGCGCTGCGCAGCGTCCTCGTCCCTGCCAGCGTTGATGTACCGCAGGATATTTTCGTCCTGGCTCGGAGGCACGCGGTGGTTGATCCATGTCCCCAGGATCGGGTCCTCCTTGGGCGTGCGGGGATGGATCTCGAGAACGTCGCGCTTGAGAGCGCGACCAACCTTGGCGGCCTCGATCAGACCGAGCAGGTCAACCTCGCGTTCGAGCTTGTCTTCTTGCTCGGCGCCATCGTCCCGTGCACGCTGGGCGGCAACTTCCAGCGCGTGTCGCTGCTCGGCCGTCATCTCCAGGTCCTCGCCCTCGCCCTTGAGCTGCTGAAGAAGCTGGCGGCCCCGGCGCGAGACCATCTCCTCCACCGCGTTCAAGGGTTCGGGATGTTTCGCCGCCTGCTCCTCGTCCTGTTTTTGCTGCTTCTTGTTTCTGCGCAGGCGCGGCAGACAACGTCGTACGGGGCCAGTGACGGTGAGGAAGGCCGACTTGACGTCGAGGAAAAATCGCAGGACCCATCGGTCGGGAACTTGGCGGATCAGCGCACCAAGTGGGATTGTAAGGATACCGAAGAGCATACTCCAACCCCACTGGGCACCGGAGAGGGGTTCTGTGTCAAAGGCTTCACCACCCTTGAAGATGATGATAAACTGGCCAGCCAAGGTAAGGCATTGGACACCAATAAACCATGGATTGCGCAGCACGCCTTGATACCAAATATCGAGCTTGTTGTCAACTCGTCGGCAGTTGTGCTGATTAAAAAACTGCATCCAGACGTAAATGTTGAAGACCAACGTTTGCAGCTTCTCAACTTCGTTCTTTGTGCCGGGATTGAAAATATCCCATCCGATGTAGTGTACTAGGAAGACGACAAGTAGCTGGTAGATGGACTGGCCGAGAATCATCTTCCACATGGTAATGCTAACAATCGGGGCGTTACGTGGTTCTGGCTTTCGCTTTAAGAAGTCGGGCGACGGGTGGTCCGTGGCCAACCCGAGGGACGCAAAGATATCCATGATCAAGTTGATCCAGAGAAGCTGAACAACTGTGAAAATGGAGTCTCCAACAAGCTCCGATATGACCGTGATAATACCAGCTGTAATGTTGATCGTGAACTGAAACTGACAAAACTTCTTTACCGCGTCGTTAACGGTGCGGCCCCAGCTCAGAGCCTTGACAATAGAGGCAAAATTGTCGTCAAGCAGGATAATCGAAGCGGCCTCCTTTGCTACCTCTGTGCCTTGTATACCCATAGCGAAGCCCACATCAGCCGCCTTCAATGCAAGAGCGTCGTTGGTGCCGTCTCCGGTCACGGCAACGGTTTCGTTCATGCCGCGCAAACGTGATACCAAGAGTAGCTTATCTTCCGGGCTAGATCGTGCGAGAACTTGCAGTCGGGGGATAACGCTGTCGAGCTGCTCAGGGGATAATCGTCGAAAAGTTGGCCCATCCATAGCGATTCCACCAGAGGTGTAAATACCACATTCAGTCGCAACCGCCTTGGCTGTCGCAAAGTTATCACCGGTAATCATGCGAACAAAGACACCAGCATCCTGGCATCTCTTGACAGAATCCACAACTTCTGGCCGAAGCGGATCTCTGATGCCAAACACGCCAATATGCACAAGGCCGGAAGCAAGCCATTCCAGGTTGACCGCGGCCGGATCCTCATCGGGATTCTCAAAAACTTCCGACGCTTCAAAGTCACGGAAGGCAAGCGCAACGGGGCGCAGCATCTGTCCGGCGTACTCCTGGATAGATTCCCGTATGCTGGCGCGGTTCTCCTCGCTCAGACGGTCCATATTGTGTGGATCTTCGGGGTCGGGGATGGTATAAGCGCAGTACTCAAAGACAACCTCGGCGGCACCCTTGATAAGCAATCGATAATGTCCATTGGGTAACTTGATAAGCACAGCCATCCACTTTCTAGTCGAGTCAAAGGGAAACATGGTGAGGACAGGTGAATTGGCACGCTCTTCGCGTAGCGGGCCCATGCCGAGGTGGTCGTGAGAGAACTTGAGCAGGGCGGTTTCCGTGCTAGATCCGACGTAGCTGGGCTTGGCGCTATCATCAGTCTCAAATGCGGTTGAGTTCAGAGCGATGCTGTCCTTCAACAGATCGCGAATCTGCGTGGATAGATGAGAAGTTGCATAGCTCGACGTGTCGCCCCTGACAATTGTACCGGGAGCAGTAGGACCGGCGACGGCATCTTTGGGATCGGTATCGTCGAAGCTGCACTCCAGGCCGATGCGACCAGCAACAACCGTCATCTTGTTCTGCGTCAAGGTGCCAGTCTTGTCAGAGCAAACGGTCGTAGCGTTGCCCATAATTTCGCAGGATCGGATGAGGCGAACAAGGTTGTTGTCTTTCAGCATGCGCTTGGTAGCAAAAGCGAGAGCGATCGTGACGTTCAGGGCGAGGCCTTCGGGGACGGTGATGATGACGACAGTGATGGCAAGGATCAAGATGCCAAAGAATCTCTCTGCCTTTTCGGATGGGCCGAAGCCATTGAGTTGATCCAAGTTGGCCATGAAGCGGATGAATAGGATAAGGAAAAAGACGGAGCCGGCAGCGGCACCAAAGAGGATCAGCTGCTTTCCGAGTCGGCCGAGCTTGGCTTGCAGGGGCGTCTCTTCGACGTCTTCCCGGAGTGAAATGAGGGTCCGTCCGTAGGTCGAGTTGGCGCCGACGGCAGTAACAAGGTACTGGCCTACACCGCGACAGACAGTGGTGCCGCTGAAGAGGAAAGGGTCGGCACGGGTGGCATGCGCAGGGTCGTGGTCGTTAGCGACCGTCTTGTGAACGAGACCGGTCTCGCCGGAGACGGAGGATTCGTCTACGTGCAAGCCGGCGGCGCGAACAAGGACACCATCCGCAGCGAGAACCTCGCCAGCTTCAATGTGCAAGATGTCGCCGACCATGACATCGTAGACGGAGACCTGCTGGATGCGGCCGCAGCGCATGACGGCGACATCGCGCTGGGACTTGCGCTCGTTTAGCTTCTCGAATTTGTGGTTTTTCTGCCAATCGGTGGCGGCGCTGGCAAAGATGATGACAAGAATGGCGATGACAACGGTAACGCCATCCACCCACTCAATGTTTGCATTCTTGGTCTTGGCGTCAACAGACTGGTAGATACCGATAGCGAGAGAGATGCATGCGGAGATGGTAAGCAGGATAAGGAGCTTGTCGTTGAAGGCGATCCACATGAGGCGGAAGAAGGACTTTTGGGGTCGTCGGGGCAGGCGATTGGCGCCGTACACAAGGCGTCGGTCGAGGAAGTGAGTGTCGGGCTCGTCACCCAGGCGAAGTGTGAGGCCGGTGGGCGTGGATCGCGGGGGCAACACCTGCTGGAGGACGGGGTCGCGCTCCTCCCGCGCGGCAGCGACTGCCTCTTCAAATGATATCTTGCCGGGCAGCTTGGTCTCGTCAGCGCTGAGGCCGGTCTGAACGTTGGCCCGCAGGCCACCGGCCAGGCCATAGAGTCCGCCGAAGACGTCGAGGGCGGCGAGGCTGCGGTACGTCAGCAGCTTGTAGAGTTGGGTGGTGGAGAAGGCAAAGGGGCTGCCTTCCGGGGCGGGCTCGGAGTCGAGGATATCTCTCGCAATGTCTTCAGACGAAGCAGGCGCGGCGGCGGCGGCATCGTCGGGGTTGTTGGTGGGTGTCGTGGCAGGAACAGAAGCGACAGGCTCACGGGTCGAGGCCGGGCCCGGGACCGGCGTGATTTCGTCCATGGCGATGACAAGACGGTCTCGTCCGGTGCTGCATCTGGCGGTCGACGATGCAGAAAACCGGTGTGAGGAGGAGGATAGCGGGGGGAAGAGAGGAGAGGGGAGTGGTGGAAGAAGGGGAGAAGAAAGGAAGTCGGCTGGGGACGGAGCAGAAGGTGGTGGTGAGGCCGGCGAGCCCAAAAGTTGGAGTGGGACATGGATGGGCCAAGAAAAGACCAAGACCAGCCTTATTTTGGCAGGGAACTTTGTCCGCATATTGAGGTTCCATAGATAGGGGAAAATTACAGTGGAGGGGGCCCCTGTAGGGATGCTGTCAGGCGCTGGAGCTGGAGGCCAAGCGGAACTGGCCTGGAAAGGCCGGGAAGTTGCAGAAGGTACAGCGCTAAACTGGCCAACTGAGCAGCACCAGGTCCACTAAATGAGCCGCTAAAGGAGCAGCTAGAGGAAGCAGGTCAGCCACTCGTTGACGAGAACGAGGGGGACCTGGCTGCAGACGGTTTGGGCCGACCACAGGAGAGTTGGCGGCCGACGGGAAGGATTTACTTCTACTACCAAGTAAAGAGTTAAACTACTTTGATAAGCTACTAGACTATACATCCGCCATGGAACAAGCCATATGTCGGGCGTCTAGTGCCGCGGGATAGTGGACATTTGTGATAATGTGACCGTTCTGTGTCCACCAAAATGTGCAACGACTCAAGTTCAGCCGCCAACCTCCCATCTAGACTCTGGGGCGCAGCTTGGCGACTGGCAAGGGGGTCTGGGGGTCTGGTCGACTCTGTAGCGAGGATTTGATGATTTATGGTTGTAATTAAACATTCACCATGTCTTGCTTTATTTTCGTTTTGTTTCTATTTTGTGACATATCTTGTCTCTAGCCGGAGCCCCCGGTCAAGGGGCAGGCCAACTGAGCAACCGTCAGCGAAAGCGCATTATACATTCACACTGCCTTTTTGTCTACTAAATCATTCAATAAGCAATTCATTCCTACTGGTTAATAAAAAAGTAAAATCATGCCAACACTCTCCGTTGCCAAGCCTCCAAAAACGCCGCCCAGTTCGCGGTCTTTTCCAAAGTACGTGGCCTGGTGGAGCCGGGTCTCCCCCGTCTCTCCCACACAATTTCTCAACTCTACCACCAACTGGTTCCTCACTTTTGTGCCGCCTTGTATTTATTGCATCATGCCATTGCCGCCGCTTCTACCCACCATCATCATCGTCATCCGCTTCAGTCATCAATCAAGCCACGGAGCTCCCGCTTTTCAATAATCACGGCTCTCCCTCCCTCAACCCCTCAACCAACCCCCGCACCCTTACCACCATCCACCCCCGCTCACGCAACAGCTTTCGACATTCCCACGAGCCCATGACCGCCAACGGACTGATAGTCCTCGTCACCGATACCTGCTCTTCTCCTCAACCTAAAATCGTGGAATTCCACCTCCAAAGTAACCCTGGTGGATTGGATTCGACACCCCGTTCCCTGTGCCCTCTTTTTCCATCTCACACGGCCTCTCGCAATCCTTGGCGCCGCCTGCATGCATCACGGACATTTGCCGTGCGACACACGAACAGCACCAACACGAAACGGTCAATCATGTCAAGAATGATGATGCCCAAGCAGCCCTGCAGACACGAATATACATACCTGTTTCTGCACTAGTCTACAGTGGCCATCTCGCCTTGTCGGGTCATCTCCAACCTTGTCGCCGCCATAAATCAGCTTGCGACAAGATCATCGCGTCTCGCATGAATCATGTCCCTTGTAAGTTGTCCCTTCCCCAAACACTGCGGGCAAGATACGCAATCCAGGCTCTTCAACCTTAACGTTACCTGCCCCTCATCTATTGCCGTCGTAAAGACATGAATATCCGCCGTGTTCATATTCGGTCAACTTGCTACACTATCAACTAGTGGAAACTCTGGCCTTACAGTTGGCCCTGCATGTTATTGCCAGCCTCTTCTATATTTCGGCTCCGTAAAACGTGGCATTTAGTCTAGAACCCCCGCGTCGCGTCTTGGTCATGTCCAAGCGGAATCGACATCCAGAGCATTCGAGCTCCTGTGGCATGTCCCGAGTTGACCTTCCTCTTAACGTAAAATGAGCCAATACAAACTGCAGCTTGATCATCTACCAATAAGCTCTACCTGGAGGTAGGTTAAGGTGTAGGCTTCAATCTCTACGACTAGTACACCGCATCAAAGGCCCACAGGATGAAAAAGGGCATAATTCTCGACGGGTAGTGTCTGCTCCGTATTGCTACCGTTCGGGGGTCCTCCCACAAAGGTTCCCGTCTGAGTGCAATTCAAGGCCCTGCAGCATCTGGCGTAGTATTTTCCCGCGGGCAATGACTTGTGCCAATGCCGCTGCTCTATTTGACACATTGTCCAAGGCCAGCTTCCGGGGGGGGGGAGAGTATCGTCGAGATCCTTGCCTCTCCCTCAATATATCACGTCCGGTACCCGGATGGGGTCCTGTGCAACGAATCATGACTTGCAGTGAGTCCGTGCTGGATGCTCCCGACGCGAGGCGGACGTGAAATTCTTTTTCATGCTACCATGCAAAGTTCACGAGAGAGTGGTCGATTTCCCGTCCAGCCCTGGCGGGCATTGTGTTGGGCAGCGGTTGTGGTTCCGGGTAAACGACAGAGCTGGAAAGGAAGTTGTAATCTCACAGTGAAAAAAAGATCGAGTTGCAGTGAAAGTTCCGTAGCTAGAGATGGCATTCAAGTGTCTCAGTCCTAAACGCACTGACATTATGGAAGCCACGAGCTGTACTCTGAAGGGTAGCACACCCGTCTCTCTCTAATTAGAGGTCACAGTACTGTCTCACGAGCGTGCCCGTCTCATCTCGTGTCACCGTGACCCGCGAGTCTGGTTCTCTTTTAGCCAAGGTTGCTAGAGTCAGCATCAGGCTACCACAGTACACGATCTATAAACAGCCAACCAGGAGCGAGCGCTTGGCGTGACGCAGGCTCTGGCCGTTGGCGAGGTCGATCATCTCCGTGCGTCGCGTCAAGCTCGTCCCGTGCAGCTCTGCGCGACCATGATCGCCTTCTTTCGAGGGATTTCCTCTTTAGTACGTTCTTCGTCAGTAAGGAGAGCTGTCTTGCAAGCTACGGATGCTTCGCTGGCATCGCCCGTTAGAGTGTATTCGCCACGCTGAGAGTCGGTGGGGGGAGGGAGCCGAGGCGCCCTCGGCATCCCAGAACGACAGTGTAGGAGGCAAGCGAGAACGACAATGAATCAATGTTGCTCAGCAATAATAGGAACAGTATTTCTGTAAAATGTAGGCCAGATTCTGGGCTTCCAAAGTCTATCTCAAGACATTAGACAAAGTCGAGCATCAAAGACACCTCCCACCATGCAGTTCCTCACTCAACTTGCTGCCATGGCCATTGCCTTGAGCGTGGTCATCACAGCAGACGTCCTCAAGCCCAAAGTCATGATCATCTCCATGGTTAGTAGCTTCCAACGCACCACCCTCTTCCCCTCTCAGTGCCCATGCCCTTGGCTAACCTTTGCCCACCCACCAAGTTCGCCCCCGAAGCAGACGCCTGGCACGACAACTTCCACCGCTCCGGCCTCGGCAACCTCTCCGCCGTGCAAGTCTCCCCCCCCGGACTCTCGCCCCTCTTCCCCTCCGTGTACTGCACCGCCACCACCTCCGTCTGCCACGCCACCGTCGGCGCCGGCGAGATCAACGCCGCCGCCTCCGCCACCGCGCTCCTGCTCTCCCCGTTGCTCGACCTGCGCTCTGCCTACCTCCTCCTCGGCGGCATCGCCGGCGCCCACCCGGGCCGCGCCACCCTCGGCAGCGTCGCCCTCGCGCGCTACGCCGTGCAGGTCGGCCTGCAGTACGAGGTCGACCCGCGCGAGGCCCCCGCCGACTGGGCCAGCGGCTACGTCGCCCTCGGCAGCGACCGCCCCGGCGCCTACCCGCGCGTCGTCTACGGGACGGAAGTCTACGAGCTCAACGCCAACCTGCGCGACGCAGCCTACGAGCTCGCGGCTGCTGCTACGCTCGACGACGGCGGCGGCGAGGAGGCGGCGGCGCTGCGCGCGCGGTATCCATCCGGCAGCGCGGCGGCCGCGTCGCCGGGGCTGCTGCGCTGCGACGTCACCACCAGCGACGTCTACTTCGTCGGCGACGCGCTCGCGCGGGCCTTTGACCGGACCGCCGCGGTCTGGACCAACGGCAGCGCCGCGTACTGCATGAGCGCGCAGGAGGACAACGCCGTGCTCGCCGCGCTCGCGCGCGGCGCCGCCACCGCCGCACGTCTAGTCGACTTTTCACGCGTCGTGCTGATGCGCGTCGGGGCCAACTTTGACCGCCCGCCGGCGGGCACGGCCGTGGGAGAGTTCCTTGGGCTGCAACCGGCGCGGGACGTGGCGACGCGCAACATGTACGCCGCGGGGGTGGCGGTGGTGCAGGGCATCGTGGGCGGCTGGGAGGAGAGGTTTGCGGCGGGCGTGTCCGCGGATAACTACATCGGTGACATCTTGGGGAGCCTCGGTGATGGCGAGCCCGACTTCGGCACGCCGGCCACGAGGCTGGGGGCGCAGCGGCGGCGCCGGGGGAGGGGGGGCGGCGAACCGGGGCCAGTGAGGACGGACAACACCGTCCAGGCCTAGCCTGAGGCGTCAAGTCATCAACAGCGGCAGAGGAGACGAGCTTGGCGAGAGCGCATAGACGCGGCGGTGGCGAGTGTCCGGGTGTGAAACATTGTTACTATTTGAACAAAGCGTTACCTGTACACAGCCCCTCGATATAAGTTCCCTTTTTTAGAATGCCATGTTCATATTATTCCGACTCGTCTCTCTTTATAATCTCATATCCTCATTAAGCAGGTTCTTGACACTCGGCAGGAAAAGCAGGGACACGACCTGGCTGTGTCACCCTGCCAGCCGATCTTGCCACACACAAGGTGTTGCAAACTTGCAAAAGGCACAATATAAGCGATACCTTTCTCCAACGCGGAGCCGTGGCTGTCATCGAACATTCTACCACTCCGCCCATCCTTGGCGCGGGCCGTGGACGCAGAGGGCGTCCCAACGGCCTGCCAGCCAGAGGGTGGCAAAGTGAAACGCGAGGAGCATGGTGCCGGTGCCACGGGCCTGAAACAGCCCGCCGATGTGATAATGCTCGCCGTGCAATCGGTTGCCGTGAGTCACCGGCGATGAGGCAAAGAGCAGCTCGAGCGCGGCAACGACCAGGAGCGGCGCGCTCACCTGCAGGCTCGCCACGTAGGGCCAGCATGGCCGCAGGAGCGTCGCTGCCTTGACCACGAAGACGGCCAGCTGGAAGGCGTACACGAGCGACTGCATCTCGACACCAATGGCCCAGCACACGTAGTAGAGCGCGACAGAGACGCGATGCTCAATATCAGCCCAGAGACTGCGCGGCGGAGCCAGCAGGAGCGGCGTCGTGGGCGTGCGCTGGTGGTGGCGGTGATTATCGCGAGACACGCCCCGTGGCGCAGTAGCCAAGGTATTGGTCGCCGTTGGCGTTGTAGATCCGTCTTGGTAGCCATTAATATCTCGATGAGATACAGCGAGCGATTGTTCGATACCTTGATCATTCGCGTCTGGATCTTCTGATGTTGCCCAAGGTACTCTACCTTCCCTAAAACGGGAACCTCGGTTTGTGTTTGGCGTCGTATCTACATATCTGAGGTTAAAAGACGAGGCTTGCCGAATCAACTCCCCATGCACGTACCTGGCACCGGTGTCCCTGGTCCAGCTGGGGAATCAAGACTCTGCACTCGGTTTGACCGGACGCCCCCTAGCACTGTATTTGCCCGATCAGGACGTCCCAGGGCGTCAAAATTGGTTTCACTCTTCATCGCGTGTAACACCTCATTTGCGCTCGGTCTTTCCGCGGGGTCAAGAGCCAGCAGCTTCTTAAGCAGTGTGTACAGCTTAGCGGGCAGGTCGGGCCGCTCGCGTCGCTCCTCTATAAAGCCCTGCCAATCCGTAATTTCAGCGCGCAGCAGCTCTACGTCCTCTAGCTCCTCTTGTATGGCGTTGGCGCTTCGATATGGCAGCTTGCCGAAACACATAAAGTATAGAATCATGCCTAGCGAGAACATGTCCGACTTGGTAGTAAAGTTGCCGTAGCGGCCGGTTGCCGGGTCCAGCTTGAGAACCTCCGGCGCGCAATAGGATATAGTCCCCGTAGAACCGGTTGATTTTCTGGTTGTATTCTCCGCTTGAACCTCGCCAAAGTCGCTGATCAAGCATCTGAGGCTCGAGTTCTCCCGGTGTAGCAGGCAATTGCTGGGCTTGAGGTCACGGTGAATGTAGTTGGCAGCATGAAGATATGCGACCCCCGATGTGACATCCTTAAACAACGAATAGATTTCTTCCAATGCAAGTTGGGACTTGTTCCCAGTCAGATTCCCTGGTGGCTCGGGCTGACCCTTGGAACGGCGTCGCATCCGAGCTTTGAGCTCTTCTTTGGTTGCCGGTGTTGGCGCCTCACCCACAACATGGCACTGAAGATCACCGCCATTGCAGTATTGCTGCAAAATAAATGCACACGCGACAGATGGAGCAAACTGGCCCAAGTCTACATCCTCCAGCCACGCATGGCGATATGAGACAAGGTTTGGATGGGAAAGCGCGGCTAGCAACTCGACCTCGATCAGTGTCTTTTCCAGCCAGGCGTGGTCATCGCCGACGGGCACTCGCTTACACGCGAAGTGCCCGAGACTGCATCCGGCAATTTCGTGCCGGACGAGCAGAACAACGCCCTTGCCACCTTTCCCCAGGACCCGTTCTTCTCTGAAGAAGGTCTTGAAGTAGTTCGGAGTAAAGGCCTCGCGGCGAATCCTGCTGCCCCTCCTCTGTGGCGTGTCATGCAGCTCCAACTCTTCATCTTCATCTCGCACCTCGGGTTGTCGAAATCCGCGAGGGCTGGTATCGTAGCTGGGTCGCGGCAGCGACCGCACAGGGCTCTGGGAGGCTCGTCCGGCGGCATGGAGAAAGTTGTAGTTACCACGGCGCAGCATGCGAAAATATTCTGGGTCGACAAAGGAGTCGTCGGTCCCCTCGTATGATCGGTCATAGGCATGACCGCCTGCCGAAGACTGTGGCAGGGGCTGGTGGCAAGTCGGACATGCGTGGCCGCGAATCTCGAGAAGCTGCGAGTCCGGGTCTCGTACGACGAGGGCGTTTCGGTGGCGGCTGCAGGTAGAGCATACGGTGGTTAGCTGGATAATCCAAAACAGCTCATGTGTCATATGGGAAGAGGCCTAGTTGGCAGTAGCATACAGGACAATTTCACGGCCCTCGTGAGGGTGGTATGGGATCAGGGACATGACGTAGGCGGGTCAGAGCTACAGCTCTGGAGCAGAGGTGCAATCGACCATTGCCAGCCGGGCTCTCCGTCTAAACGCGAAGATGTTGCATCGCCTGACGGTCCGCTTATCGTTTTTGGTTGCAGAGCAGGAAAGTATCGTCTTACTGATGAAATTTAGGAGACCGTTGGCGGACGTTGGTGAAGCGGTTGTGGCAAAAGCTGGTAAGGCGGGGGAGCTGCAAGGGCGACTTGGAAGTACCTGTAGGCAGTCATAACAACCAGTCTGTCGTGCATAAATCTCATGCACAATAAATGGTTCAGATCCGGCAAGTACAGCACAAGTACAGGTGTCCACTTTTCTGGAGCATGTTCCTCACAGTAGCTCAAGATACCAGAAACATTAAAGTACGTTACCTTATATAAAACAATTCGTATATTATAGAAAACTTTTTGATGCCTTATGCCCAAGTAAGAACATTGAATGAAAAATTGTGCATAGAACACCCAGGAATGCTTGATGCGTTTCTCCTCCGTGCTTTATTCAAAAGGTGCCGAATGTGCTGGGGCCACCGTAGCTTTGCAATGACTGGTTTGCATCCAACAGGCGCACTTAAACGTGCTTTGGCCTCTTACCTACTGTATCGCGCAACATTATGCTGTGAAAAAAACGCGTAGAATTAAAATTTCAAGATCTACATAGCAGTTCTTCATGCTCGACGCGGCTTGCACCATGCAACGGCGAGGACGTAGTCTCAAGCAACCCCGGCGTCCAAAGAGAAGCCGGCAGAAGCCGGCTGTAGGGTAGGAACTAGTAGAGCGATTGAGACAATCATGTTCATTGAAACTATCATGGCTGTTGAAACTATTATGGCTATTGAAACTATCATGTTGAAACTATTATGGCTATTGAAACTATCTATTATGGCTATTGAAACTATCATGGCTATTGAAACTATTATACTAGTCAACTAACTTTCTTGTACTAGCAAATCTTCCCGAGGGCGCTGCTGGCAACGGACTCGGCGAAGGACTCTATGATGAGCTTGCTCAGGGTGCGGCGAATGAATGGAACGGACAGGATCTTGGTGCCGACATCCTGGCCAACCTTGGCGGAGTAAGTGAATCCCGGTTCGATCTCGGCCCGTTGCGACCGTATGACTGACAAGATGGGCGGCGAACAGCTGATCCCGTACAAGGCGCGGCTGAGTGGCTGTCTGGTGTTGGCCAGCTACAATGGAGAGATGCGAATACTGCCACAGCTAGCAGCACAAACAGACAATAAATGCAGCATGCATTTCAGAGGCTTCATAGAGACGTTGAATACTGCTCGCAGTAGTAACAGTATGAAAGTTTTAGTGTAGTCCTGTAGTCTTAGAATGGGGTTTATGATAAATCTACTTATTTCCGATATTACTAAAAGCTAACTCAGTTATCAAGGGCAATGATTAGTGTCAATTTGTGAGAATAACTACTGCATTTAGTAACGTATGGCGAGTTGTGATGAAGAGAGTGCTTGTATTCCGCATGTTCATTTGCTGGCTACCCGGCAGGTTGACGGCAAACTATGTGTGAGACGACGCCGACAACAAAACAAACTGGTAGTTCTAGTGTGGTTTGCGTTGCTGTGCTTTTTCTTCTCAACCGAATGTTATCGCCCAAGTCCGCAAAGGCTGTGACGGATTACCAAGACAACGCAATGTTAACTAGAGGACAGCGCCCGATCGAGTAACTAATCCCTCCGGGCGTCCGGTTCCCTCCATCGCGGCGTGTCCTGGACAGGCTATGAGGTGTAAGTTGAGGTAAAGTGATTGGTTTGTTTGTCGCTCGCAAACTATTTACAATGCTAACTTAAGGTTGTCATTTGCTTCCTTTTTTGGGCCCTGCAGGTCAAACACAGTGGCACCACTTCTGTTTCCATCTTTGGACTTGAACCGTTGGACCGAGCCTCTCAGAGCGTCGACAAGTCTCCCAGTTGTCTCATCGGAGAACCACTTCTGAGACAGGCGCCAAACATCCTTACAGGCACTCGATACCAAGCGGGAGCGCTTCGAATGGTAGGGACAAGCGCAACATTGAGCGCCACAGCACTGGCAGGACCCTCAACGTGTTCTAGATGCGAGAGAGAGCTCGAGGGCTGCGAAGCTGAGGTTTGGTGTTGGCACAAAAACTGTTAATTTGGTTTCTTTGAAAGCAAATGCGCCAAGCCCATTGTGCTGGCACGGGAGGCGTCTGTTGGACCGTGGTGGGTGATTCATCAGTAAATAAAAGTTAAGAAGGTCAGCACATGGTGAGGCTTTTACCCGATTTTTGTGGTATTAATTTTGTCTTGTTTAAGAAAGTTGCTTAGGTTTAGAGCAAGCGTTGGGTGGTAGCCTTGCTAGGACGCCTGAGACGCTCCAGTAGATCGTAGCAACTAGACCTCATTGCCATCAATAGCACAATGTGCTTGCCTTGATATTCCACCAGCTCCTGGCTGTTCTTACCCGCAAAATACGAGCCATCTCGCTGAAGGTTAACCCTTATTGGAGAAAAGTGTGGCGTTGAAGCAGTAAACAGGCCTTGGCAGCGGTTAGCAACTAAACAAGCCAACACCATGATGCAAAACACCCGCCGGCCGTCTACCAACTTGAGTATATATAGTAACTCATCACCGGGGCAGCTTAAGTTTAAGCACTCTATTCTTATCATCGACAGAAATACTGATTTATTGGTTTCAGGCAGCGTGCTGCAGACTTCGAGCAGAGTTCATGTTTGCACTCTCTCTATATACCCTCAACAAAGCTTGTTACGACATAGGGACAGTTTATTTTTATACTTTCTAATCCACAGCAACAAGCCCTGCCATGGCATACGAGCGGATTTTCTTATACCTCCTTCGATTCTTCGCAATGCAGATCCAGCCTCAAGTCGAGCCTGTTGCCATAGTCGGCATGGGTGAGTCTGCTTTGAACCATTGCTTTACGCGTAGAGACTAGCACCTTGCAGCTTGCAGATGGCCCGGTGATGTCCGCGATGATAAAGGACTCTGGAATCTTCTCGAGAACAAACATCCGGCTATACAGGCTTTGGAGACTACCGCTACTCACAGTATGGCTTCATCCACCCCGACGCGGAGCCCACGGGCATCACCTCAACGCAAGGCGGCTTCTTACTCAAAGAGGACCCTCGCCTCTTTGACCACACCTGTTTCGGCACGTAGCAGACAGAAGCCGAGACTCTCAATCCATAGCAGAGGAAGTTGTTGGAAGTCACATACGAAATGGGCCGGGAGTTGTTCCAGTACGCCGTCTTCCGCGACACCATCGCGTACTTAGACCGGATCGTCGCGAGCGTGTCCGCGTCCGCCGACAGACGGGTTTCCTGAACAATCGAGGAGGTCGTCTCGTCTAACATCAATGCTGGGAAATCAATGCAGCCTGCTGGGCTTAGTGCTCATATCACTGGACAATCGAGGAGGTCCTCCAGGACGTCGAGGACGACGAAGACTTTGTCAGCACCCCTGAGGTTGCGCAGACAGTGTGCACGGCACTGCAGATTGGAATCATGGACCTCCTCGCGTCGTGGTCGATCCGCCCTGCGGCCATCACCGGGCAGTCCTCCGGGGAGATGGCGGCCGCGTACGCGGCGGGTCGTCTGACGGCGGCCGAGGCGATCATCTCCGCCTTCTTCCACGGCCAGGCGGTCAGGACGAACGGGCACGATGGGGCCCTGCTGGCTGTCGGGCTCGGCCTGCGCGAGCTGGAGGAGTCCGGGTACATGCAGGGCTACGAGGAGTCCGTCACGGTCGCGGCGACCCAGTCTCCCGCGATGCTGACCATGGCCGGGGACGTTGAGGCCGTTGAGGGTCTCGCGACCAAGCTGACAGCCCGCAACGTTTTCAGCCGCGTCATCCGCACCGGTGGCAATGCGTATCACTCCCGCCACATGATTGCCGTGGGGAGGAAGTACCAGGAGTTGGTGCGCCCTGCAATGGCCAACGCAGCTGCTGAGGAACTATGCGAACCAGCTCACCGATCTGACCCGGTCCCTTGGTTTTCTTCTGTCTTGCCGCTAAAGGACATGAACAACATACCGGCCGATGCGGATTCCTATTGCGCCAACCTCGAATTGCCCGTCCTATTCTTGGAAGCCGTTCAGCAGCTCGTCAAGACCGTTCCCGTCAACGCGATGATTGAGATCGGCCCGCATAGTGCTTTGCGCGTGCTTATCAGCGAATGCCTGGAACACGCCAAGTTCGCTGTTCCCGTGATGGCCGCCCTGGAGCGCAACAAGGACGGTCAGGCGTGTCTCCTGAAGCTGGCGGGTAACCTGGTTGGCATGAACTTGCCCGTCGACCTGGTCGCCGTCAATGCAGCCAACGACTGGGAGGGGCGCGGTCTCCCCGTACACGGGTGCACAGCCGTCGATATGCCTCCGTATCAGTACGCCTACGGGCCGATCCTCTACCACAAGAGCGACTTCAGCAAAGGGGGCAGCTGGTGATGAGGATGGCGGACGGGGCACTGATGATGGAGAGGGAGAGATTGAGGGAGGGATGAAGTAGGGGCTTTGACGATGGATGAGTGATGAGTGATGACTTGCCAAAGTTTCCCTGTAGATACTTACTTTTTTTTTTATTCTAATCGCCGAATTTACTAATTTATTCATGAACGTCTTGATGTGACAATGTCTCGGGCCAGTGGTCAAAAAGCGAAGTGAGACATGGATTCTGAGGCGGGGCGAGTTGGACAATGAAATGCGAGGTGATACGAGATGGCGGGCGGGCGTGCAGCTTTGCAGATGACATGGTTCAAACTGGAGATTCGTGTTTCGACAGAGTAAAAGTATCCGTACCAGGCTATGGTACAGACGGCGAACACGAATCACATAATTCCAGAACAGACCCAATGATTATAGGGAATAGATTGGGCTCGCAAGATTTTCTGCTGTGTTCAACGGCCGCACTACGTCCATCCTCTGCCTACCAACCCACCAACCCATTCAAGCCATTGTACGTGTTATTGCCTGGACAGTTGCGATAACCGTGCGGGCGTCAAGCCGTCATGTCTTGGTCAACAACTTGTCTGCTGCCGGCGGCAACTACAAGAGCGACCCGGTCGGTGGTAGAGACACCAAGGCGGCCAGACTGGCGTGAGATATCTATCCATGTATGCATGTCCAACGATGCAGCACCATCACCACCAAGTACGCGTATTCCTGCATAACTCGGACTTGCACAAGTTCCGGTGCATGCTGGTGCTCCACCGTCTTCCGGCCGCGGGGAAAGATGTTAAAAGGCAAAAGCCACGGTTTAGTTCCAGCAGCTAATTCGATTTACCCCAAAGCCCCTTTTCGCATTCGTGTGGACTCGGCCGACAAATACTAAATACTGGTACAAGGGCAGCATGTCTGTGCCCACGAACCCAGGGGCCCATGTCCTGCCACGCCCCGTGGAGCTAATCCTGAACCCCACGGAGCCTCCCACGCCCGCTAATAAGATGGCAATGATCTCCCCAAGTTTCTTAGTTCTTATTTCTGGGCCACATTAACTCGCCTCCGGATTTTCGACCGCGGACGAAGAGCCTTGCACTCATACCACTACCAGGGATCGTCACAATGGCACTCGGATATTTGCCCAAATTAGCTTGCTTTTTTGTGCGTCCTGGCCAGGCATGTATGTATGCATTGTTACGGGCACAAGCCCATGCATGCAGTCGGTCCCCGCCGGCCCATGTTTGTGTTGCTCTTACGTCTCAGTAATAATAATAAAGGGCTGCAGTCCAGCCTTGTAGCACATCCATCCCTTCTCTGTCGCTGTTCTCTTTTCTCTGGCTGTTCTTGTGTTTTAAACACCGTTCATCCCCGTTGCTAGCTTCTCGCATATCAGTCCGGCCAACGACTCTGCCAGCAAACGACCCCGACGAGCCCATCCACCATATAGCCGCTCCCCGCACTCAACCCCGGACCGGGTGCGCGAGAGAGTCTCCCAACTGGCCGGCCAGGTTCTGCAAGTCTTTGCCGGTGCTTGAATCCTTCCGGAGAGCACAATTCGGATTTGGGTAAGGCTCAGCCTGGCTTGCGCCTGTGATGCGCTGGGCGCGGATGCACCAACCACACCTGCTCCAGAGTCGGGCGAAGATGCGGTCATCGCCAAGACATTTTCAGACAACATGTTTTCTAACACGAAATCTCGGGACAGGACTCAAGGAATAAGAAGCAAAAAAGGGGCAAAACTCCCTGAGCAACGTCGGAACCCCGCGCGCGCGTGTGTCGATGGCTACCAGCGCCAACGCGGCTCCGGCCCTCGACAGGCCTGTCAACGTCGAGGCCACGAGCGGCGACGACTCGGCCACCGAGATGAACGTTGACGAAAAGGCTGACGGCACAGCCGGGCCCGGGCCGCCGCCGGAGGATGATTCCACAACAAAAAAGGACAACGCCAAGGCCGAGGCTACGGAGCAGCAAATCGACTACAGCGCCACCGCCGGGCCGCGGCCACCCGGCCTCGACGACGAGGGCATCGTCTTCTGGGACGGCGACGACGACCCTCACAACCCGTACAACTGGCCGAACTGGGTCAAGGTATTCAACTGCGTCCTCATCAGCGCGCTAACCTTTGTCACGCCGTTGGCGTCTTGTATGTCTTTCGTTGCGCACTTCAACGTTGCTTGTTGCTAACGAGGACGCAGCCATGTTCGCGCCGGGCGTGCCCAACCTCATGCGCGAGTTCCACTCCTCCAGCGAGGAGCTCGCCGCCTTCTGCGTCTCCGTCTACATCCTCGGCTTCGCCGCCGGACCGATGCTCTTCGCCCCGTTATCCGAGCTCTACGGCCGCACGCGCATCTACCACGTCGCCAACATTGGCTTCATCGGTCCGTCGTCCTCTTCCTTCCTCCCCTCCCCTCCCCTCCCCTCCCCTCCTCTTCCTCCCGACCACTGACAACCTCCCCGCAGCGTTCCTCATCGGCTGCGCCCTCGCGCCCTCCCTCAAAGCCCTCATCGTCTTCCGCTTCCTCTCCGGCGTCTTCGGCTCCTGCCCCGTCACCAACGGCGGCGGCAGCATCTCCGACATGATCACCCAGCGCAACCGCGGCGCCGCCATGGCCGGCTTCTCCGTCGGCCCGCTCCTCGGCCCCATCATCGGCCCCGTCGTCGGCGGCGTCGTCGCCGACAAGCTGTCCTGGCGTTGGGTCTTTTGGGTCCTCGCCGCGCTCGCCGGCGCGCTCGCCCTGCTCTTCCTCCTCCTCGCCCGCGAGACCTACGCGCCCGTGCTCCTCCAGCGCAAGACCGACCGCCTCTGCAAGGAGACGGGCGATTTGACGCTGAGGTCGAAGCTGGATGCGGGGCTGGCGCCGGGGGAGCTGTTCACGCGCGCGATCCTGCGCCCGTTTAAGCTGCTCGCGTTCTCGCCCATCTGCGCCATCTGCAACGTCTTCGTGGGCGTGGCGTACGGGTACCTGTACATCATGTTCACGAGCATCACGCCGCTGTTCCAGAGGCAGTACGGCTTCGACGGCATCCACGCGGGGCTCGCGTTCCTCGGCCTCGGCGTCGGCTCCATGCTCGGCGTCGGCTACTTCTCCTCCGCTAGCGACCGCTACATGAAGAAGAAGGCGAGGGAGGCCGGCGAGGCGGCGGCGGTGGACGAGGAGTTGGCGCGCCGGCCTAGCGTTAGTGCCATGAAGCCGGAGCACCGCCTGCCGCCGCTGCGCATCGGCGCCGTGCTGCTGCCGGTCGGCCTGTTCATCTACGGCTGGACCGCGCAGTACAAGGTGCACTGGATCGTGCCCATCATCGGCACCGCCATCATGGGCGTCGGGAACCTGATTATCTTCATGGTAAGCGCAGCCTCCCGCCATTCAACAACTAATCAACCCCCGTTTGGCCAGGAGTAAGAATAAGCACTGACGCTCACACTGCACCATCTAGGCTCTGCAGCTATATCTTGTCGATACGTTCACCATATACGCCGCCTCCGCGCTTGCCGCCAACTCGGTTGTCCGCTCATTGCTCGGTGCCGTCCTCCCGCTCGCCGGTGGCCCCATGTACGCCAAGCTCGGTTTGGGCTGGGGCAACAGTCTGTTGGCGTTCATCGCGGTAGCTTTGATCCCTGTACCGTGGCTGTTTATGCGGTACGGAGAGTTTCTGCGCAAAAAGTTTGCCATTGAAAACCTCTAGAGGGAGGGGCGGTGTTGCATAATAGAAAACAGCTGCGCATTCTTGGTCACCGGGGGAGTTTCCAACGTGAATATAAAGTTGGGCACTTGATACACCAGATGCTTCTTATACTTTGGATTTATATGACGACAGGTAATAGAGCGTTTCTCAGATCAAATCTAATCTTGCATTCTGCGTGTTGATGAGAATACGTGAGGATGCAAAATTGATCCTAGGTTGCCCCTTGTTGTAGATCCATTCACGGCAATAAATCCACGAGTACAAATTGCCAATGTAATGCAGCTGGTATCAATCTAGTGATTCGTTGATGTGCTATTTCATACAAATACTGCTAGACGCGTTCGGTGACTGCCTGAGCCACCCTACACGTTCGTAAAGTATTCGTCGACATCCTATGCGAAGTTCTCTCTATCCTTGCCTTCGGGCTTCAAACAATGTCCTTCATTACGTTACAAAAGAAACAAAAAACTCCGTTTTATTGTGTGCCTATTTCCATCATCATTGCAATTTTTGGTCCCTTACATCTCACCGATGCCAAGGTGCTCAGGCTCGGCGCGGACGATGCGCAGAGTGTTGGTGTTGCCCATGCCACCCTTCCAGCCCTGGACGACGACGACGGTATCGCCAGTGGTCAGGGTACCGAGCTGGAGAGCCTGGCTGACGGCCCACTTGATGCGCCTATCGACATCCTCCTGCCAGTTGACCTTGCTAAAGTCGGGCTTGGCTTCGGGGAAGAGGAAGGGGTAGACGCCACGGTAGAGGTGGGCGAAGCGCGAGGTAGTGGCATTTCGGGTGATCATGAAGATGGGGCAGACGGGTCGGTACTTGGAGAGCAGACGAGCAGACTCGCCAGAGGTGGAGAGGACAATGATGCCACCGGCGCCGAGGTCGAGGGAGGCGCGGACAGCAGCCATAGCGCAGGACTCAACGGTGCGGACGGGGCGCTTGACGAGGCTGCACATTTCCTCAAAGTGGGAGACGTAGGGGATGGTGTTCTCAGCCTTGAGACAGGCCTCGTGCATCTCGCGGACGGCCTCGGCGGGGTAGCTACCCTTGGCAGTCTCACCAGACAGCATGACGCAGTCGGCGCCGTCGGTGATGGCGTTGCCAACGTCGCTAATCTCAGCGCGGGTAGGGCGGGGATTCTTGATCATGGACTCGAGCATCTGAGTGGCGCAGATGACAGGCTTGCCAGCAAGGTTGCACATGGCAATCATCTTCTTCTGGGCAGCAAAGACCTCGGCGGCGGGGATCTCGATGCCGAGGTCACCACGGGCGACCATGACACCATCAGTCTCGGCGAGAATCTCGGGGAAGTTGTTAAGACCTTGGCGGTTCTCAATCTTGGCAATGATCTGGATGCCCTGGCCCTCGGGGCCGAGGACGGCACGGATGTCCTTGATATCCTGGCCGGAGCGGATGAACGAGGCGAAGACCATGTCGACGTTGTTCTTGACACCAAACTTGAGGTCGGCCTTGTCCTTGTCGGACAGGGCGGGTAGATCGACATCGGTGTTGGGCAGGTTGACACCCTTGCGGGAGGAGATGAAGCCGTTGTTGCGGGCGCGGGCCTCGATGGTCTGGTCGTCCTTGATGGAGAGGACGTCGAAAGCAAGAACACCGTCGTCGACGTAGATGATGCGGCCGGGCTGGATGACCTTGGTGATGTTCTTGTAGTCGACGTACCTGACGAAGTGGGTTAGCGATGTCAATGGGCAAGACTGGTGGCGGGGGGGAAGCTGAAGGGGAGCTCCGGGAGCTGCTGCGAGGGGTGGAGTGAGGCGTACATGTTCTCAGTGTCACAAGCCGTCTTGTACTTGTCATCAGTGGTAATGTTGATGATGGCACCAGCAGCAATGGGCAGGTCGGCATCGTCCTTGGTGTTGCCAGTTCGGATCTCGGGGCCCTTGGTGTCGAGAGCAATGGCGCAGGGACGGCCAGGGTGAGTGGCGACGGCCTGACGGGCATTGTCAATGACGGACTGGTGGTACTCGTAGGAGCCGTGGGAGAAGTTCATGCGAACAACGTTGAGGCCGGCATCGCGGAGACGGTTGATGGCCTCGACCGAGTTGGTCTTGGGGCCAATGGTGCAGATGATGGAGGAGCGGCGATAGTTTTGCTGAGGGCTGTAGGCGGTGTCGAGTGAAGAGAGCCAGGCGAGGCGGCCGCCGCCGACGTCGAGATGGTCCTGAGCAGTAGCAGCCATGAGGGAAACGGAGCGTTGACGCTTTGCTTGGGGCTGAGGCATGATGAAGAGAGGAAGAAGGGAAGGAGAGAGATGAGGGAAGAGGAAGATGGAAAACTGGATAAAAAGAGATAATTGAGGAGCTGGAACAGGGTCTTACTAGCAAACCAGGCTGGTGAGACGGTGGAGGTGGAGGAGGAGGAGAGGAGGGTGAATGGTGGGATGGTTGGTTGAGGAGGGGCGGCGAGAAAAAAAAAAGCTGGCCAGAGTAGGCAGAAAGTGGGATGGGAGGCGGTGGAGGGGCAGCCAAGGGGAGGAAACGTAGGGATAGCTCAAGCTATGTATGTCTGAGCTTGAAAATGTATCAAAGGAAACGTAGTACAGATATCCGTAAGTGAATGAAAATAGCTGGCTGGACCAATTGATGCAGCACGTTTGTTGCTGGGTGGCTAGAGGAGGGGAAATAGAGGGGTTTGTCGCGAGCATTTATTTTCGTCCTGAGACGGGCATCGCAGCCAAGATGGTCTGATGCTTGGATACAGGAAGCCACCAACATCTACAAGCTAACTATTCCATAACCAGACAACTAAAATAAAAAGGAAAAAATGAGAAAGTTGATGCAGAGTTGTTTCGTGAGATGGTGGCGGCGGTTTCGGCGACTTGACCTGCCCCGCCGCAGACAGCTCTGTTGTCCATCTCAGCGCCTTTACAGGGTTTACAGAGCCTTCATTCCCATTTCAGCCACTGACACCGCGCTAGAACTCGCCTGAACCTCGAGCCTCCAATGCTTCTGTCCGCTAAAGCGCCGCGGGAGAGGGGCCAGAAGAGGGGCCGCCCCGCCTGGAAAGGCTAATATTAGGCGACGGACCCAGTATAATTACGCCCCATGTCGTTCTTATCTTTCGCTATCTTTCGTCGACCAACCAACAAGAGGCTGAAGGGGAGCGGCAAGGAAAAAAAAGGTCAAATAGCTCGTTTCTCATGGGTTGGGTGTTGTGAGTTTTCAGATGACCGAACGACTGCACGCACGGCTGGGCTAGGTGAGAAAAATAAAAAACTAGGGGTCGACGGTCCGCGCCAATCCATGACACTCCCCGGCGTAATATACAGACACGCACACGCCCGTCGGCAAGCCTCTGACAAGCCCTTGACGTCAATACGGTCAGATCTTGTTTCTGAACATCCAGGCCTGATCTTGGTTTCTTGGCTTGTTGTTGTTACGAGTCGTTGTCTGTTTCTGAAAGTAACCTTCGGCAGAGCAGCTTCAGGTAGAAAAGAGCTTACTGGCCGCCCAGCCACCTGCCTCATCTTGCGCCATTTCTTTCACAAACCCTCCATTCGGTCCGGCTGCCTCTGCTCAGACCTTGCCTGTTCCCTTATCTGCCACGAATCCACACTACCGGTCTCCGGCGCCGGACATGCCGCATCCTTGCACCGGAGCATCGGCCCGCTAGTCTCACTCAGCACCGCCGCCATCTCCCAGTTTATCCCTCAACAATTTCCCGCGCACCATTGCCCAAAATGGGGCTGTGTATTACTCGATGTCATTGTTACATTCCCCGTCATAATACCAGTATTACTCTGCTGTAAGTTACAATTACCCCAAAACTCCAGTTTCGCCGAATCATACCCCATGCCTGATGCCTGGGGCAATGCCGTCTACCTTGCGGAGTTGGTTCATTTCATGACGTGCTCATGAATCTGAGTTTCGAGATCCCCCTTTGTTATCCACGATTCAGATTTATATTACTCGCGAAACAGGGCAATGGCGCCACTCCTGCAGCGCGTATCGGCGCAGTGCCATTTATGCACCGTCTAGAAAAATAAATACGACGAAGCAAGTAGAATCAATTACTACAATCGCATACAAACTCGGCAGCATTCAGTGTCGAAATCAGGCAGATTTGTGCCAACTTTTCTCGTCGCTTTGTCGCGCCAAGGTCGACGTCATGGCCCCCGGCCTACCGAGATTACGAGCACCGCCGAGAGCTTCTACAGTCGAGAACAGAATTACAAAGTGTACTCAGCGTAGCAATGGGCAACAAAATCTTATCAATAAATGAAAGATGCCTTCTTACCCGACAGCCTTCTTCGCAACGATTGTATACATCGAGACCTGCTCCGCCGCCACCTTATCCGCGAAGCTCTGCGCGAAATCATGCAAATCTCTCACTGTCACCGACACACCCTCCGGATACCTCTCAAAGTTGGCCTCAATGTTCGCCTTGAGCGTCAAAAACCAGTGAATCATCTCCGCGTTCGACGGCAGCACCCTCATGTCCTGCACCTCGAAGCCGCCCCCCTCCAGCACCGAGAGGTAGTACTCCCTCGTCTTGTGGTCCTCCGTGCCCACCTCCCCCTCACCCCTCCCCTCCGGCGCCGGACCCCCCGGCTCCTCGTACAGCGGATCCGACAGCAGCAGCAGGCCCCCCGGCGCCATGCGCCGCGCGACGCCCGCGACGGACGCCTCGAAGACGCTCGGCAGGCAGTGGAACCAGACGCCGCGGACGAAGACGAAGTCGTACGGGACGTCCGGGTCCGGTAGGCCGTCGACGTCGCGCACGTTGCAGCGGAGCAGGCGCACGCGGTCGTGCAGGTCCGCGGGGAGCGTGGCGGCGCAGTGGCGGAGCTGCGAGGGGCTGAGGTTGACGGCGTCGATGCGCGGGCAGTCCGGGAAGACGCGAGCCAAGCGCTGCGCGAGGACGCCCCAGCCGCACCCGAGGTCCAGGATCCGCCGGAGCGGCAGCCGGGGAGGTGCATCCGGGCGGAGAAGCCCGGCGAGCTCGAGCTGCCGGTCGATGCAGCGCAGCTCGGATGGTCCGACGGAACTGGGATGGGGGCCTGCGGCGAGCTCGTCTTCAGGAAAGAGCCCGCCGTTGAAGGAGAGGGTCTCGCCACCGAGGATCTTTTGCCAGGCCTCGGGCGGGTCGTCATAGTTGGCGAGCATGGCCTCCTGGTAGAGGTCCGAGTAGTCGGACTCGACGACGTGAATAGGTGCTAGGCTGCCCATGTTGGCTGCCAATGGTCCACACTACCGTTTCTGGTGAGGAGATTGAAATTTTGTGTGCGGTGAACCGCATATTTACGCTTCTCCTGCAACGGCCTGGAAGTTCCTACGAGAAGAGTATGCCAAGTAGCCGGATTTCTACGGCAAACTCGCGGCAGGTATGAGCACATGCATGCTGCATCCCGGACACATGATCATATCGCAAACTGATCCAGACTGGGCTAGATTCATAAAACTACATGCTATAAAGAACTTTGGCGCGCCACAAGAGAAGAAGGAGTTTGCCGTGCCATACAGCCGCAAGTGCGCCAGCAGCTGAAATGCAGCCTCGGCGCCATCATGCACGAGAGTTGCACTGGTAGGCTTTGCAGCATGCGGGAGGCTTCTTGCACATGTTTCGCGGCATCAGGGATTGCACCATTCGTAGGAAAGATTAGCTATGCATGTGCAACAGCCAGGGCGCTCCGAATTGCAACGTTCTGCTGCTGGTCCCCTGGGGCCGCGCCCTCTGCGAATGACAGCCTCAGTCCTTTGCGGAACAAGAGACACTGGCTAGAGCCGCCGTGCCGAAACATTCCCAGCTCCTCCCCCTTTCTAACCTGTTCTGGCTTGCCTGTAGTGAACTTGGGGTTGATCTCGCACGAAGACACGTCCGCGATGCCGATGGCCATGAAGCACACAATGCCGATGGGATCGTCGGCCTGGATGAAAACGAGGGCGCGCGTCGCGACATGGCTGAGGAACACCAAGTTGTAAAGCGGCGGCGTGACGGGCTCGTCGCCGAGTCCGTTGGTCGAGCGCTCCGAAAAGTACGCGCCGGCTAAGATGGTCGTGGAGATGACCTTGCCCGACACGGGCGACGCCCAGCGATGGTATGCGGTGGGCAGCAGCACCGACTGATAGATGGTACCGCCGATGAAGTTCTCGGTAAGCTCGTGATGATTTAGCATCTCGTAAACCGAGTAGCGCGCGTTCTTGACCCAGAACTGGTCAATCGCCTGGACATTGGTCCGGATGACGGCCGCCTTGGCCTCGCACGGCACGACTACCCACTCCGGGGAGTCCTCAAAAGCAATAGGCCGGATCCGGTCCATGTCGCGGAACCGTCGAGTGAAGAATTCATCCCAGGAGCGGAAGCCCCAGTGCTCCGGGTCCCCGTGCGGGTCGCAGTGGTAGATCTGGTCGAACCTGGACCACCGACGGGGGTCGAGGTTGGTGTCGCGCTCAAATACAGCGATGACGTCGCGGCTCAGCCATCCCCCCGGGCGCGTTGTGATGACGCTCTTCGATCTCTCCGTCGTGAGCAGGTCGTCGTGCCATGCCTGCAGCATCTCCCGGAAACTCGCGTTGACGTCGGCGTCGAGGAAGAAGGCGTGTCCGCTTGGTGTGCCCATCGGCCAGTCGAGGAGCGCCTGGAAGGGCAGTCCCATGAGACCGACGCCGGCGGACGCGAGGGTCCAGGTTGGCGCGACCTCGGGTACGACGACGTTGAGCAGGTCGAGGAGGTGCTCGTAGCCGCGAACTGGGCTCCGCGGCGCCGGCTGACCTGGGCGCCGGCGGTTGTAGGGGATCTTGTTGGGCACCTCCTCGAACATGGCAGAAGCCCACATGCGCAGCTCCAGCCGGCTCTCGACGAGTTCCTTGAACTTGAAGACGGTGGGATGGAAGCTGGCTGGGGCGTAGCGTGGCCGGGCATCGACGTCCCGGACGAAATTCTCTACCCAAAGAATCGCCGCCTCAGACTGCAGGGAGGTCCCGGCCCCATCGTGGCCTTGCAGTTGCTGTGGAAAAGAGAATTCAGTTTTCCGAGTCATCTTGATGCAATAAATAGTATGGCTGTTGGGTATTATCTGTTCGCAATGAAAGTCAAATTTTGGGAGAGGGGAGGGGGGTAGACCATTGACTGACTGGCCTCGCCAATGCTTTCAAGTCCAGTACAGATCTACACAGACAAGATTGGAATGCCGAGATCGCAGTCAGAGAAAGAGTGGTACTCCTTAGACATTGTAACTTCCCGAATGCTTTTGCAGGACGGCGCCGGATGGCTGTCCGCAAGATGTCGCTCTTACCTCTGCATCCGCACCTGCATCCGCGTATGCAGCTCGCAGTGCCACGTCACGAAGCTTTTTGCTTCCGCACATTATGTAACATGTATTCCGTCACTGTACATTTTAGAATAACATGTGCAGGCTAATGTCGGGGAGTCACATCACCGACAAGGCAGCTGCCGATTACCAACCTCGCTCGGCCATCTGTCTACCACAGCACCTCCTTAAGCCCGACTGGGTTTTATTGTCACAAAATAAGATCTAGAGCTTAATCTCTTCCTCCTCCAAGACTATCTGCTCTAGTTGTCTCAATGTCTTATCTTGCAGTCTCCCCGCACGCAGACCGAGAAGTACTGTCTCATTACGCCGCGGACTGACAACTGTAGAAGCCATGGAGACGACTGCAGGATAACCTACCTTGATCTGCAAGCCATCTGAATTAATGTTACATGCCGTCATTAGTTCTACATTTTGCTATCGTACGCAGTAGTCTATATACTACTGGTCGCTGGTGGGAGCGGGGGGCAGGATCCGACCGAGAATGCCAGTGACGATCAGCGCGTCGCACCTACTGATAGTTGCTGAGACTAATAATTACTCTGCTTCCTCATCAGTTCATCTTCGCGTTTGCATACGCCATGTACACAGAAGACTCAATGTCTCGGAGCCGAATCCTTGCATCCGCGCCCTTCGATGAGATATGTCCGCCCGGCAGCGCAGCAAGACCGGTTGCTGGACGTGCCGACTCCGGAAGAAGAAGTGCTTCGAAGATGGCCCTCCTTGTACCAACTGCCATCAATTCGGAGTGCTTTGCCACGGCTACGGACCCCGTCCGACCTGGAAAGACAGAGGAGACCTGGAGAAGGAGGAGGCAAGAAGGATACGCCTGGATGCCAGGAGACAAAAGACTGTGGCCATTCCGTCAAGCGGTAGCGTAGAGTCAACAACCGCTACAGCCTCATCTGCGGAATACTCGGGAGGCTTAGGGCCGGAGAGCCAGATGGACCTGCAAGCCCCTTCCTCGCCACCACTGCAAAGAGATGACTCCGAGTTTGGTCACTTTACCGGGCCTCAAGTAGAATATGTGGCTTTCGATTGTTCATTTCCTTTGGATGATGAGATCTGGATCAATGACGCCGGTTACGATCTGACGCCCTACATGCCCCTGCCGATGCTACCACCACCACAGCCGCCAAGCCACCACTCTGATACCGGTCTCTCGAGGGCCGAGTCTCTACCAAAGGACAGCCACTTTGGCATCAAAGCCTCGGAATCCGATATAGTACTCGTCATGGACTTTGTCGAGTCCACTTTTGGCCATCAATATCTTTTATGCAGCCATCCTTCAACCCCACAAAAGACCTGGCTGCTATGCTTGATGGTCCGATCTCCGACCTTCTTCTACACCTCGCTCAGCATGAGCGCCTACGTGTCCCATTTGGACGAATCTGCAGACCCCAGCACCAGGGAACTGGCATACTGTAGGTACCAGAGACATCGGGACTTGGCCATTCGAAGTTTCAATGCGGTACACTCGTGCCCACCCGTTGTACATGGAGAGTCCATCATATGCGGCGTGCATCTGGCCCTACTAGAAGTTGGTCATACCTTTGAGCTGCGCACTCTTCTCCACAGACATTGAAGCTAAACATCTACTTGTAGGCTCTTGGAAACAATATGCAAGGCTGTCAGTCCTATCTTGCCTGCGCGTCGGGGTTTCTTGCTGGCGAGGAGTTTCTTCCGGGGCCGACATCGGATTTGCCATGCTTCAGCCAATTGAGTGGCAATGAACTTGAAAGTGCAGTTTCTATAGAACATCACTGCAATCAAGCAGCAGTAGCTTGCTCACGTCATAGCTCCCCTTCGCCGCTTCCGTCACGAATGGAGTGGACCGCGGCAGTTTTCTTCACGGCCATCTTTGTCTGGCATGACATCTTGTCCGCCGCAGCAGTGACGCGAATACCTGATGGAGAAGAAAGCTACCGCAATTATCTTGCAGACTCTGCATTTTCTTTGGTACTCGCAGAAATCACGGGATGTGATGCATGGATTCTGCACAGCGTTATGGATATTACAGCATTGGAAGTAAGCAAGCTCACTCAATTATCTGACGGCACTCTCAGCGTGCGGGACCTTGTCCACAGAGCCTGCAAGATTGAAGCAACTCTGGAGCACAAATTGAAGAGGCTACCAAGCCACAGAAACAATGCATCAGAAGACTTGGACGAGTCCAGAGCCCATCAGCCACAAATAGATCCTGCGATACGAACTCGAATTTTCGGACATGCAGCACTGATCTACCTCAACACAGTCGTTTCCGGTGCTTTTACTGGCGTACCTGAGATTCACGACAACATTTGTTGGATACTTCCCTCCTGGAAGATGCTGTCGAAAGCATCCAATTTTAAGTACCTGGCGTGGGCTTATAGCACGACAGCCAGCCTCGCTGCGCCCTCTCAGCGCCCTGTCTTTCAGGACATCATGACAAACTTGTCGCCACAGGATTCTGGACTGACTGTTATTCGAGACGTCAAAAACGGGGTTGAAGAGTGTTGGAAAGAAGTCGACAGACACGCGCCGACTACGTCAAGTGTGCCGTGTGATTGGAGAGAGGTGCATAAGAGAGCAAATTCCTGGTTTATTTTTTTATAGATAAGAATGCTACTAAAGTTGTCCCCAAAAACTTTAGGCCACGGCACTGACGTGCGATGATATCACTACGCCTGTTGATCCGCAGATGCGCGACGTGGTCGTGGACATTAGGAGCCTTGGGATGAGTCTCGACACACCTCTCACATGGTGCGCCAGATAAAAGACTACTGTGGCTCCTTTAGTAATATTTTGGTTTGGCGCGCCAATGAAAATGAGAGGCGCTGAGTTGCGGCGCGAGGAATTTCACCATCAACTCACTGCCCGCGCCTGGCTGCACGCCCCCGTCTCCAACGATGACATACATGACATGGTTCAAACTATAACAGGTTGTACAAGAAACTCTCCTTGGTCGTCACCGTCTTGATTACCATCCCAAGTTGAAAAAGCTCCACTATTCATAAAAAAAAGCAATTTGAGAATCATGAAGTTTTCCGCCACCTTTGTTCTTGCTGCCCTCACGGCTTGGTCCAGTGCCGCCCCAACGCCTGTACGTATCTGGCCATCTTACCATTCTCGCCATTGTTAACTAAAGCATGATCATAGGGCAAGACCGTCGAGGATTACACCATCGGTCCTGGAAAGGTCAAGTCTGTTGAGGACTACACTATTGGGCCGGGCAAGCAGGCCAAGTCTGTTGAAGATTACACCATCGGCCCTGGAAAGCAGGTCAAGTCTGTCGAGGACTATACCATCGGGCCGGGACAGCAGGTCAAGTCGGTCGAGGATTACACTATTGGACCAGGCAAGCAGGCCAAGTCCGTTGAGGACTACACCATCGGCCCTAGGAAGCGCGGCATGTCTGTCGAGGACTACACCATCGGTCCTAGTAAGCAGGCCAAGTCTGTCGAGGACTATACTATCGGTCCAGGAAAGCAGGCCAAGTCTGTTGAAGACTATACCATCGGTCCTGGCAAACAGGTAAAGTCTGTCGAGGACTACACCATCGGACCGGGCAAGCAGGCCAAGTCTGTCGAGGACTATACCATCGGTCCTGGTAAGCATGCATAGTCGGCGACAGACGATACCCTCAGGCATTGGGGATAGTCTGGATGTTTCGGATGATTGTTTGCGCATAGTTGCATAGTTTGGTTGCATAGGAATCCTTCAATTATGCGCAGAACTTTGAATTTACATTCTCTCTCGCTCAACCCGCTGAAGCATTCATTCACTTGTGACTACACACCCAGCGTAGCTGCTTTACGGACTTTTTTTTTTTTGCCTCTTTTTTTCTCTTTTTTTCTCTTTTTTTCTCTTTTTTTTTCTATCTGTCTCTCTTTTGTCCATTCTTTTTTTTTCAAATCCATGCTTGTCGCTTTTTGTCTGTCTGCAAGACTTCCGCTGAGAGAAGTGCTTAATCGTAGTTTTCCGTAGACCAGGCCAACATCCATAGTGCACACAGCACCAAGGTCTACCAACACCTGCCTCTGCGTCAGAGGAGTGAGAAGCACACAAAAGACAATTGTTAAGAAGACTTGAATCGCTAGCTAGGTCATTGACGACAGATAATCACTGGTTACAGCGCAACTAGTCAATCTCCACCAGCTCCGTGAAGCGATTCGACTCCGTCCACTCAAAGACGGCGTCAAAGTTCTTGCATGTGTGCTGAAAGCCCCAGCCCGACGTCTGAAGATTCTCCTCCTCGTTCACCCACTCGAGCGACGTGTCCGCGGCGCACATGGCACTCTGTCTCAGGTAGTCCCAGCAGTGGATGAGGTGCTCGGGCGGGATCTCGTCGAACTCGGCGTTGCGGGCGTTCCAGTAGGCCCTGAAGGTAATGTACTGCGGGAGGGGGGCAAGCGTGTCAGCTCCATGCGCAATTGATCAAGGAAGAGGTAAATTTGGACTTACTAAGCAATGCATTTGATGAAAGACTGCCACGCAGGCTTTTTGTTCCCGGGCAGGGCGGCGAAAGCCGGGCATGTTGGGGAGCTCCGTGTCGTTTCTCACGACAATGAAGCCCTTGCCCTCTGAGAGAGATGAGTTAGCAGGGCAGTTGCATGCTTTTTCTTTTCCTCTATTCTCTCTTTTGAAAAATTGACTTACTGGGTATCATGGAAAGCCAGGCCTCCTTGGCCGTGCCTACAGGCTCCTCGCCATAGATCTGGTGCAGCCTAAACACCTCGGTGCGCCACTCCTCAGGCGGGAGCCACTCCGGGTGCGCGTCGACGCGAGGCAAGCCCCCTAGCGGGATTGGAGTCTGTTTTTCGTGTTCATGGGCGTGTTTGTGAGGGCACTCGTGGGAACTATGCGCCTTGGTCGAGGAAGGTTCGCTACGGCTGCCCAGCTGGCCCAAAACCACCGCCCCGAGGATCACGTTGGAGATGGCCAGAACCGCAACGAGCAGGACAAACAGAATTGTTCTAACTGCTCGTCGGGACGAAGGCTTTCTCTGCTCCACTGTGCAGGTTAGCAGGGACTCCTTCTCCCGCAGCGGAATGTCCAGGGCGGAGTCGCGAGCGGTGGAACTGTTGCTGTCTCTGTAGCTTTCCATGACGGACGGAGTGGCCGGATGTGTAGATGGCGATAGTATTGACTGGGTGATGGCTGCAAAGAAAAAGGGGAAGAAACAATTCCAGGAAGGGGTTCTAGCCGGAAATACAGCCAAATGCAGCAGTGTACATGTACAGCGGTTTGGCGCCGGATCGTCAGGCGTGGCGCCAAAGAGAGGAGGTCTGGCGCCGGGGTGCAGAAGACAGCATGAAACTATGAGAAATTTAAGTGACATCTTCGGTAGAGTTATTTTTATTACCTCACTGGCGCGCCTCATAACTTCTCTGCGCACATGACAGCACATGCCAAATTCATGTGGCGCTGCGTCGTCCTGTAGTCTAGATAGACACGGCGGCAAAGCTTGTGAGGATGGAATGTCAGAGCAGCCCAGTAGTCGTAGCCTCTGTGTTTCCGCAAGTGGGATCGAGGGTAGCAAATCTCCATGTTTTGTTTCAAGTCTCTCATCGACGAGAGTGACGATGCTCACCATGGCGTGGCCGCAACACGTGAGCGAGCCAAAATACGTGGTCCTCGACGACTCGAAGTCTGAACGTGACGATCAAGAGCCAGAGCATAACTTCTCACGAGGCAGGCAGTGTGTTGCAGTTCTATTTCTCTCCCTGCTTAGCACGATCGTACTTGTGGCAGTCCTCTTTGTAGTGCTACAAACCGCTCCTGTCCGCCCACCAACAGCAAATGGGTGCGTCGATCCGCCCGTCCGTCGTGAGTGGCGGGCTCTCACAAGCGAAGAACGTGACGATTTTATACATGCAATCAAGTGCATCGCGAGAACGCCTTCCCCGTGGCAGATGAACCGAACAGTCTACGACGATGTCGCCATCCTTCACGGTGGAATAGGGAATCTGTGTAAGTCGAGCGCTACGGCCCGGTAAGCGAGGCGACTGACTTCTTGTACAGGTCATCGCTCTGCCTGCTTCCTACCATGGCATCGACATGTATTGTCTGTTATCGAGTTCAGGTTGAAAGCCCACTGCGGCTACCAAGGCTCCATGCCGTACGTTCAGCATCGTGATGATTCCAACGTGTCACCCTAAATCTCACGCCGTTTCTTTCTTAGATACTGGGACTGGTCGCTGGACTGGATGGACCTCGCGCACTCGTCTATCTGGGACAGCAGAACCGGCTTCGGCGGCGATGGCGACGCTCTCGGCGCAGAGACGGTCGGCGGCGGTCGATGCGTCGTCGACGGACCATTCGCCGACCTGCGACCCATCATTTACAACCACACCTTCGCCGAGCACTGCCTATCGCGGGGTTTCCGCGACGAAGAAGGGATCACGGGTCGTATCCCTGGTGACATGTTCGGCCCCGAGAACATGGGTGAGATCCTGCGGCAGAGGGACTACACCAGCTTCCTGCTCCGGGTCGAGAGGGACCTGCATAATACCCTGCACAACTCGATTAACGGCGACTTTAGAGCCATGACGGCGGCGAATGGTGAGTACTAAGTGATGGGCTTGACGGTTCGCATCTTCGTCCTGACACGCGCTGCTAGATCCTCTCTTCTTCCTGCACCATGCCAACCTGGATCGGCTGTGGTGGACGTGGCAGCGACAAGGTCCCCGCGATCGGCAGATGCAGTACTTGGGACAGCACATGTACAACTCTACGGGCGATGCGCGGCTGGACGACATGCTGATGTATGATGGCTTCACGGCGGATGTACCCGTGTACCAGGTGATGGATGCAGAAAGAGGGTTACACTGTTATACGTATTAGTAGATGTCCAAAATTGCAAGAATTTTAGCCACGATCGCTGCACCGTCTGCGTTTTCTTTCTCAGTCAAGGTGCCCTGCAGCAAGCCATTCACAGCAGGAGGGTTGAGTATCTTATAGATCAGATAAGCTGCAACTCGGTAGCCTGTGAGTTTTGGTGGAGCGCATTGCTATGATACACGGAGTGAATCAGCTTACTTTACTGAAAGCTAATCTACTAATAAACTTTTGGCTTGCTTTGCTCTGCTTCACAGTGGCGCGAGACGGCGCGCACCAAAAACCTTGTACATTCTCGCCAATAAATAAATATATGTACATAGCCTAAGGCCGGCACCAAAGCAGGTGCCCGTAAGCCGGTTTTATTCTAATATTTTCTATAAATTGTTCTCTTTCACTTTCATTCAGAACCACTTTGCAGCCCTTGTGACTTCCTCTTCACCTCACGGCCGGTCGTCGACGAACCCCCGCTGTCAGCTCTGCCGCTTCCGGTCGTGCATGCATATATGCAGGGTGGTGCATCTCTTCAGCTGGCAACTGGGCTGAAACACAAAAGTTCCGAGTGAATCTGCCTGAAGATACTTTTCCTCCTTTCTGTGACACCCGTTCACCGACTTCTTGCCCTCAATAATTCGCTCCGACTTCAGCATCTCCCAGCACCGGAGAGTTCAAGCCATGGCCGTGATGACGATGCCAGACACCCAAGTTCTCACGCCTCAAGCATCAGCATCCGACCGCAGACAAGATAGCAGCCATGGGTCAGGAGCACGGCTGCATGAGCGGCAAATAGCCGCGCCGATCCTGCAGGAAAAGCACGTCGCGACCACGTCCCGGCTGGAGATTTGGTCCTGGTACGCCTACTACGTCGGCGCGAACGGCATCGGACCCTTCAACTTTGCGCCGACCGCCTTCCAGAACCTCCTCGCCCAGGCCGCCGCGCTCTACGGACCGGACGCCAACTCGCTGCCCTTTGCCGGCCGCGTGCGCGACGTCAACAGCATCGTGCTCTTCTGCAACGGCGTCGCCTTCGCCATCCAGACGGGCCTCTTCCTCGTCATCGGCGCCTACGCCGACTTTGGCACCGGCCGCCGCTGGCTGCTCCTCGGCACGTCGGTGCTCGCCTACGCGGTCGGCTTCGCCTGGGTCGGCGTGCACGACGTCTCGCGGTGGCGCGTGGCCGCGGCGCTCTACATGGCCGGCTCCGTCACCTACCAGCTCGCCACGGCCTACTGGATCGCCGCCTTTCCGGCGCTCGCCCGCAACACCCGCCAGCTCAAGGAGGCGCGCGCGGAGCATGGCCGCGGGGCCATCGGCGCCGAGGAGCTGGCCCGCCGCGACGAGCTGGAGCGCAGCCGCCTGAGCAACGTTGCCTTTTGGGCGCAGTCGGCGGTCGAGATTGCGCTGCTGGCGGTCATCGTGGGCGTGATGCGCGGCGTCCAGGGCGGTGCCGGAGATGACAATAACTGGGCGCTGTCGGTGCTGATCGCGTTCGCGACCGGGTTCTGGCTGATCCTGTCGGTGCCCTGGTTCTTCATCGAGAAGACGCGCCCGGGGCTGGCGGTGCCGCCGGGCAAGACGATGCTCACCGTCGGCGCGTGGCAGCTGCGGGAGGCGTTCACGCAGATGTGGCGGCTGAAGCAGAGCCTAATCTTCCTGGCCGGCTACTTCCTCCTCGGCGACGCTCTTAACACGACCGTCACGCTGGTCGGCACGCTGCAGAACGAGATCGTGAACTACGACAGCCTGCAGCTCACCTATTTACTAATCGTCAACATCGCCGCGCAGACGGTCGGCATCGGGTCCTTCTGGCTGATCCAGAAGCGGTACAACCTGCGGCCCAAGACCATGTTCGCCGCCATCATGGTCGGCGTCATCCTGCTCGACGCCTGGGGCATGGTCGGCAACTGGACGACGCGCTTCGGCGGCTTCCAGACCGTCGCGGAGATCTGGGCCTACCAGGTCTTCTACGGGCTCTTCGTGTGTCCCTGGTACAGCTACGCGCAGATCATGATCAGCTCCGTCACGCCGCGCGGGTACGAGTACCTCTTCTTCTCCCTCTTCAGCGTCGTCGGGAAGGCGTCCAGCCTGACGGGGCCGCTAATCAGCAGCGCCATCATCGACGCGTCACCGGACCGGGGGCCGAGGGGCAAGAGGGCGCCGTTTTACTTCCTGTTCGCCCTGAGTCTGGTCAGCGCGCTGGGGCTCTTCTTCTTCCTGGACTTGGATAAGAGCGCGAGGGAGCAGAACGAGTTTCTCGCGGAAAAGGCGGCTCGCGTCTATGGCGTCCTTGATGGCCAAGACGAGCAGGTGGACGGCGTGAACAAGGGGTTGAGGCGAGCAATCGCGTAGAAGCAATTTCAGCTAGAATTATGCATTTACTCAGCAAGCGATTCGGAAGATGTGCCGCAATTAAATAGCGATGATTTCTACATTTTAGCCTGGTGCTGAAAGTGTGTTTCGACTCAGAGGCAAACAGGCTTTAATTAGTTCAAAATTACAAGACTTTGAACCACCGCCTTCTGGACACAACTTCACTTGGTTGATATGTAATCGGATATTATTTTATGTATATTATTAATCTGATGTTTTAAATCTTGACTGCAAGAAATGTCCACATCATGCAATGAGTTGCCTTGAAAATGTAAAAAGTAAAAACCCAAACTCCTTTGCTTGCACGCCAATATGAACCAATCGAAAAAAAAAGCACTTGATTTTTAGACCATTTTTTTTTCCGCGATTTACCAGGCAGCGTGGCCACCGTCGATGCGCAGGTCAGATCCTAAAAAAGACCAATTAGCATACTGTAGAATACTCAAGCGCTCCCCGGCGACTTACCAGTCATGAAGCTGGAGGCGTCAGAGATGAGAAAGACGCCGGCGCCACGGAACTCATGCGGCAGGGACAGGCGACCGAGCATGTTCTCCGAGGCCCACTGATCCTTGCGGTGAGGCTGCGTCACGAACAGGTTCTGCAGCATCTCCGTCATGATGTATCCCGGCGAGATGGTGTTGACGCGGATGCCGTACGGCCCCCACTCGGCGCCAAGGTTGCGGGCGAGCTGGATGACAGCGGCCTTGGAGGCGTTGTACGCACCGCCGTACATGCCGCGGTTGGCGATGGTGCCGCTCATCGACGCGATCATGGCGATGGAGCCCGGCCGCTTGAGGCGCACCATCTGGCGCGCCGCCGCCTGCGCCGTCATGAAGCAGCCGGTCACGTTGATGCTCATCATGCGCTCGCACTCCTCCTGCGAGTACTCGAGGGCGGTGGTCTCGTAGTTGATGCCCGCCGCGGCGATGAGGCCGTCCAGGCGGCCGGTGTAGTCGGCGATCTTGCGCATCGTCTCGTTGAGCGCCTCGTTGTTGCGCACGTCGAACTGGTGGTAGCTCAGCGTCGTGCCGAGCTCCTCGCGCGCGCGCCGCTGCACCTTGGAGAAGTGCGAGTCCGGGTCGTTGGCGGGAGGGTCGAGACGGTCGATGCAGTGGACTGGGCGCATCGTGTTAGTGGGGGAAAGCGAGACGGGGTCAACAAAGGTGGGTGAGGATGACGAACCGATGGCGCCGGCTTCGAGGAGCGCTTCGGCTTGGACGAGGCCCAGACCGCGGGCGCCGCCGGACACGACGACGACCTTGTTCTCGAGGCTGAACTCGGGGAGCAGGTGAGGGCGCGTGACCGGGTTGGGGTCGAGGCGGGCAGGAGAGGAGTGGAAGCTGCGGGCAGCAGAGGCGGCGATGGGACGGGCCACGACGCGGGCAGAGCGGGCAATTGGCGTGCCAGACGCCTTGGCCGCCATGCGGAGGGTAGGAAAAATCACTCGAGACATTGTACGGTAATGTCTGTGTGTCTATATGTAAAAGGAGGATGGTGGTGGTAACACTGAAGTGTATGAAGACTTGGGTGAGTGAATGAAAAAGGGAAGAAAGAGAGCGAGAGGTGTGGGAGGGAGGGCTGGACAGCTTTTTGTACGAAAATGAGCAGACCACCGACGCCCACGATAGTTGGCACACAGCATAACACACAAGACTACGCAAGCTTACCAGGCATCCCGGGGTGTGCGGGTGGCGCGAGTCCACGAAGTTTGCTTGTGTGACCCTACTCTTGTGAGTTGAAGCGGTTACGGACGTTCTGGATGTGTGTGGGCTGACGGGTAGAGACACCCCCCCTTCTTCCCCCTCCCTCCATGGCGTTTTCAGCGAAGAATTAAAGGGGGGGGGGATCGCGGGGAGGTTGCGCGTGGAGAGCAAAGCGAGGTTGAATTTTCCGCGCTACCCGTCACGAGGACGAGAAGTATAAAAACGGGGAAGCGGAAGCTCCAACGTTAGGATGAGGGCGAGAACGGCGTCGACTTTCGGCAAAGGTGGAGAGAGTTGGGGATATTTTGTTGGAGGTGAGATGCTGGGAGAGAGGGGGAAGGGAGGGGTGCAGATAGTGCGCCGCGACAACCCACACCACACACCACCCACTATAGCACCGGAAACAATGAACTGGAATTATCCTGGGCTATGGGATTCGAACGAAGTATGGGGATTTCTCTTGTCTGGTCGCAGGGGAAACCGCTTTCCGGGGGCCCCGGTCATCGGATCAAATGACTACCTCAGCTTACAGGCATGCAGCTGCGACAAACTGCTTGCAGGAAGCAATCAGCAGGAGGCGGGAGCCGGACGGGCATGAAAAGTGACGTGTATTCGACAGCCATGGGGCGATGTCTTTCAATTAAAAGGAATTCTAAGACGTAAACTTGGCGCCCATGGATAGGTAAATGGGCTGGCCGATCCATGGGCAAAAGTACTTGGGGGAGCGGACGGCGGGAGAGAGAGGCTTGCCAAGATCATGATCACTAGGTTGAAGCAGGTCAAGCCAAGACCCAGCAGCACATATGCACGTGATGAAAGCGAACGAGTAAAACATGACAGCCCTTTTTTTTTTGATCTCTTGCCAGAAGGAGGGGGAGGGAAGAGAGCCTGGGCGCAAAATTGGGGGGGTGGGCTGAAGAGGGGAGAGGGTCTCCAGTGCAATTGCCTTTCCCAGCTGCTTGCGCAGCCCGAAACACTGGACCTTTTTTTTTCAACCTACTACCATTAGGGTAGCAGGCCGTTCTAGGTCGAGATTCGCTTTTCCTGGGCAAAGGAATGGATGGAGCAGAGCAAAACTGGTGAGAGAAAGCAGAGAAGAGAGGGAGAGAGGTAATGTAGTTGGGGGCGGGGCAGCTTCGGGATACCTGAAGAAGTTAGCGTGACGATGGGCAGCCGGAACAGGCTTACGGGGTTTGCGGGGGTTTGCCGCCCCTCCCCGCCTAATTGACCAGGTCTCTGTTTGCTGTTATAATTTTTATCCATTTATCTTTATTTAATTTTGCAGTTCTTTTTCCTGGCCTCGTTTGTCCTCTGCTGGAGGGGAGGAGGGAGCTGACCTCCGCCCCCCCCCCGCACGCGGAATACTGAGACCTGTCCAAGCCTGACCCCCAAGCGTCCGTTAGACTCTTCCTTCCCATCTTCCCAGCCTATCCCCCGCAAATGGCGATGCCCATCAGCTCCCACCAGTCAAATCAGGCATCTCACCATCCAATCCGCATGGTGGCGGCGCCATCCAGTCAACGAGGCGTCCGATAGACACCTCCTCAGCACCAGGACGCCGCAATGCCCGCATGCTACCAAGTCGTTTTTACCACCTGGCATGGGCGCTGCTACCTTGCCCTCCACGTGCAGCCATGGCGTGTTTTTTTCAGCTCCTGCAGCCAGGCGTTTGAGAGCAGCTCGCATCGCCAGCCTTCGAAATCTCGATGCATGACTGCAGAATTACGAAAGGGCGCATGGAGATGTTACCGTCTCGTGGGTACGGATGCCGACGGCGGCGCCGTTGGACGTGACCTCGCCCGCTGCGGTTCGGGGCAAACGCCCGTCGCCAACCGACGAAGCTTTCCGCAGAACGGTGCTTGGACCAACTCTGGCTTGCCCGCTGCGTGGAACAAGCCGAGCTGTCGTTTCTCGCCTCACCCAACGAGATGAACGACATTGGTTCGGTGCCGCTTTCGCTTCGACAGGTCGTCTTCTTGTGCTCACTAAGAACGCACGTGCGAAACAAACAAACTGCGACACAGCCCCGTTACCAAGCAATGGGACACAAGAGCGCTGCCTCGACAAGAATCACTAGATGCAAGATTCTTGACATCTTGTATAATTCACACAACGTATAGATATTATTAGTGCCTGCAGGTTCGGCCGTCCACGACAAAAAACAGACAACGCCACCCATGCCGGTTCTCCCGCCGGCGGTGCCTGTAAATGCAACGCAACGCAACGCAACGCGCCTCGCCCTTCACCGCAGCCCAGACCGCACCCAGCAACTTTTTTTATTCCCAATCTGACAGCTTGACAGCTTTCCCTCGAGGGCCGCGGCTCAAGCCCCAACGTTCTGGAACACCTCCCCGGTGGGGAGGCAACCCCCGTCGTCTCACCTCCGATGCTTCGTTGCGACGAGATGCTGAGCTCGTCTCGCGACGCTAGAGCCGAAAGCAGTCTTCCGAAGCAACATCAACTCCACAGTCTTGAGGAACAAGCTTCAAGACCCCAGGACCCTTTATTTGGCACACTGTTGCTGAGTGTCTGGGTCTGCTTTTCAGTTCATTCTAGTGCTTGCAGCGAGCACCCCAACCGCCATCGGATTTCTCAATCCGGAAAGGACGCCTCTTCACGATGGAGGCTCTTTGGCTTGCCACCCAACACTCCGCCGCACCGCGCCGTGCTCTCTCACTGATGAGTACTAATGCTGTCGCCGACGCCGGGCCAGGAACGGGTAGCTCTCCGCGGCACGGCTGCCCTCCAGCTTTTTTTTTTCTTCTCTCGTGACCCAACAAGCTTATCATGCCGTTCTACTAACCCGGTCACGAATTATGTCTTGAAAATATGGTGCTGAGAGTAATTGAAGGTGGCACTCGCCTTCAGTCTGTGCTATTCTCAGAAGCGAGCCTATCGAGTTTCGCCGACCGCCAATTGGGAATCGAACATTTTCTTCGAGTAGTCTACGGCAGCGATGTGCCTTGTTCTCCTGTTAACATTGGTAGTTGAGCCCTCAACCGCAGAGTTGCAAAGAAAGAACCATCCCAGGCTACGTACGATCCTGTGGCAAGCAGTAACCAATAGCCTCAGCGTTTCACAGTCAATTTTGAACACTGTGAGGCTCTTGGTTGTGCAGGGCCGACGGGCAAGGCGACTCGCCCCAAACCTCTTCTTGGCGCATAATAGGCGCGTCAACCCCGAAATCATTGTCGTATTTCTCTTCACAACTGCAGACTGCTATGCAGAGGCTGTGCAGGGACAAATTTAGATTTCCAAGGGAAGCCAAGCCAGTTAGGAGATCCACCCGGGCGGACTATCCGGACTGCAACTGCAACACAAGCAGGGGGGCTGTTGGCTTCCCAATGATAAAGCCCCGAATACCGGAGGCCGGCAGGCACAGTTCTCTGGTATTGAAAACTGAGGACCGTCAGACAGGAGAGGGGAACCTGATCATCAAACCATCAAGACATGTTAGCGTGCCGGGTTTTGGGTCAATGGGCACCCTTGCGCGCGCCCTGGCTCAGGTCTGGAGAAGAACACAAAACCCAACTGTCCTTGTGAGCAGATTTCTGTGGATCAGATATGGACTGGGGCTGCCCGATGGCACGGAGAGCTCTCCCGGGGCCCTTGCATGACCTTTACTCGGTCTACTCCCTCGATCCCTGTACCGGCCGGAGACACTCCGTGGACTTAGTCTAGGCGTAAAATTTCCCAAAGTCCACCATGGCTGGTCAGGTGGCGATGCACAGGCACAAGTAAGAAACGGGCATTAATTGAAACTTGAGGGAGGGCTGCATGGGACATGTGCTTTTATTCGTATGCGTATATGCCACAACAGTTTAAAAAGAAGTCAAACCCCAGCAAGTTGCGGAAGATGAAAAACTCCATTCTCATGTCAGATCAAAAGGGTAATCCGAAGCGCGGCATCGTTGAAAAAAAATAGCAACGTGCACAGGTCGCATATAATATCCTTGCTGGGTACCAAACCAAAACGTATCCCAACAGTTTCGAGAAATCCAAAGAGAAAAAACAATCGAGTCATTCTCGCTCACCGCATTCTCGTCATGTTACTCTGACCATATGCCCGCCGCATGCATGATCCTGCTCTTCCCCTGGCATCGCTGCCCTCTCTCTCTCTCCATCTTTGTTTCTTTCTTCCATCCTTCCACATGCAAACACAATCGCCACGTCACCAGTAGAAAATAAAATCCACCAGATAATATGCAAAAAGTAGAATAAAAAAATGGCAACATGCTAGACTTTGGAGTCGATCCACTGATACACCGTCACAAACGTCGTGTACACCATCGCCACGAGGCCGCCCGCCATCAAGAGCACGTCCAGCGCCTTGACCCAGGGCCTCTCCGCCGCGCCCTTGTAATGCATGTACGCGGGGTAGATGTAGACGAGCGGCACGCACGCGAAGCTCCCGATGAGCGCCACGAACTTGTCCAGGTCGCTCGCGCCCACGATGCTCACCCCCACGCACAACGCCATGACCGCCGACCGCAGCCCGTTCTTCTGCCACTTGATCGCGAGCGACTTCTTGCCCGTCGCGCGCTCGCCGAACAGCGACGTCTCGATGATACGCACCGCGGGAAAGAGCTGCACGGGGTCGCCGGCGAGCACGGCGACCGAGTAGAGCAGCTGCACGGCGTTGACGAGGGCCGAGTCCTGCGGGAAATTGGAGATGATCTGGATTTTGGTGCCCTCGCCGAAAGTGGCGTAGCAGAGGGCGCCGACCGAGGTGAAGATGACGGTGATGATGAACATGACGAAGTAGAGCAGCGGCGCGAAGTGGTGCGGCTTCTTCATGGACGACTGGATCGGAAGGATCAGCCCGATGCCCTCAAAGGTGAAGATGGCGGAGCCGATGGTCAGCGGGAAGTCGATGGGGTTAAAGAGCCGGATGGGCGCGGGTCCGCGCGAGGCCAGCGCCTGGATGTCGTAGTACCAGATGTAAACCAGTCCAAACAGGATGAAGACGTCGGCGATGAGCGCGGCCGGACCCAGCTTGGAGATGTTGCGGATCAGCGCCATCGGCACCAGCGGCACCAGCTGCAGCGCGATGAGCGCCGGCACGCCGAGCTGGAACACGCCGCTCCCGCCGCCGACGCCTCTACGCGTGACAGCGTCGAGGAACGCGAACAGGTTCTCGGCGGTGAAGATGAGCCCCGAGCAGACGAAGCCGAGCTGCGAGAGCGTGATGGAGAAGAGGATCATGCCGCGGAAGCGCGGGCCGACGATGGCGGCGCCGAGCTCGCCGTAGCCGCCACCATAGCGCGCGCGGCAGTCGAGCAGCAGCTTAAAGCAGACGCTAGTCACGAGCGAAACGGCGACGAGCGTCATGCTGGAGAAGACCATGCCGCCGTTCCGAAACGCCTTGGGCAGGAACATGATGCCCGTGCCGATGAAGGCCTTGAGCAGCGTGAAGAAGGTCTTGAGCGTGCTAGCGTCGCCCTCGCGTGCCAGCCGCCGCACACTCTTCTTGCGGCCGAGCTTCGCCAGTCGTCGGTTGGGGATCAGCGGCGACGCCTCGGTCGGGGCGGTCTCGTCGGCGAGCACGGAGTCGTCGATTGCGGATTCGTCTTCGAGGTCGTCGGTCTCATCGTCGGTGTCGTCGAGGTCCTCGCCGGCGAAGCTGCCGTAGAGGTCGAGGAAGTCGACAAAGTTCCGCGCGAAGACGGGCCCCCGGGAGGCTCGTCGCTTACGCGCCTCTTGCAGCAGATGTTGCCGGCGGAAGCCGCCGGGGATGCGCTGCTCGTGGTACGAGAGATCGTCGGCGGGCTGCAGGCTTGGCGATGGCTGGTGTGAGAAGGTGTTGGCACGGCGGAGCGAGTTAGCGCGGGCTTTGATGCGGAACATTTCGCGGTGGATGTCGCCGCCCTGCAGCTTGAGCGATGACTCGAGCACCTCCAAGTCGGGGCTCTCGCCTTCTTCATTTGGGGGACCGCTGCTGCCGCGGGCGGAGAGCGTCGGGGACTCGGAGCGGCCCAGCGTAAATGGCGGCTCGAGAAGGGCCGCCTCGACGGGTTCGGTGGATAAGCTGGCTTCGGGGTCGGCGGAGTAGCCGTCGGGCAGGTGGCGGTCGAGGATCTCTGCCGCTCGCCCCCTGCTCTGGCTGGCGGGACTGCCAGGAATGTGCTCGGGGAACTCTTCCATCGTGGGCGTATTGTGAGGAGGAGAGGTTTTTGGGAGGTTGAATTCAGGTTGGCAAGTCGGTGAGGATCTGGAGCCCAAGCAACGTGGTTGAGGTTGCACAAGGAGGCAGAGGTGGGTGACGAGGAATTCGGGGTCAGACGGGCACTGGTTCCATCCCTCGTACCAGTAACCAAGCACGGCAGCAGGAAGCCTGAAGGTATTCTAGATGAGTTTGAGCCTGTTGGGCGGCAAAGTCGGCCAGGGGTTTCTGGAACGAATTGTTGTGAAGAATGAAAACGCAGAAACAAGGGTTCGGAGTGTCACTGTTTAGAGTGGGGTCACGCGGCCGGCCCGGGGGAGGAGACGGGCCGATCGTGAGACTTAGCGAGAGGTACGGTTAGAGACGGTTTAATGGCAGAAAAAGAGCAGAAACGGCGATGAAAAGTTTGGAACAATACTGAAAGGAAATTGGGCATAGAGCGATTCACAGGTCGCAATATGCACCGTTGGAATCTGGAACAGGGCTTGCATGGTCGATTGCATGGTCGCACCACCATCGTATGCATGTGCATGGATCGTGATAACGAAGATGCAAAGCATGATGACGTAGCAGTCGACATCTACGCTTTTTCCCCTTGCAAAATTCAATGAAAAGTATGTGAGCTAGATTGAGACTTGCTTGCTTATTTTAAAATGCAAAATTGTTTAACCCCAACTATAATGTTGAGTATTTGCACTCAAGCAGTCTCCCAATTGATACATACAAGATTGCTCATCCACAGCCACAGATTGTATACTTCCAGCGGGTGAGGTTTCTATACAACGCAACATCATAGCAAACAATCATAAAATCTAGAGGAACATACAAGCATTTTCTGCGCAGAGGATCAGAGGGGATATGGTGCGAAAACGTTCGCAGAAAAAAATGTCAAGTTTCCTATAGGGTAGCTTAGTATTAGTCAAGCTTCAATCTTCAGACAATTTCAGACCTCACGCTACAGTCGCATATGCTAAGGACATATTTTTAGCAGTCTACTATAGTTGGGTCATTGAAATTCTGTGTCGAGGGCGACTCTGTTGAAACATTGCTACAACCGATGGTAGAAAATCACTCTTTCACAAGGAGCGGCCTCCCTCGACTTTGAGGGAGAGAGCTAATTTCGGTAAAGCAACCACGTTGCGAAGCGCAGACGAAGAGACCGCGAGGGACTTAAATGCCGAGGCTAAAGTTTGTTTCTAAAAAAAGAGAGCAGAAAAGTCGCACCTTAGCTCAGGACCTGCTGCCTTTGGTTCGAGGGAGCAGCTCTCGCTCCAGACCTCTCGCTCGGCCTCACGCTGAGGGCCAAGAGCCGCGGCCACAGAGGTTTATTGTTCTGTGTTCAATGCTGCGCAATGTTCTGTCAGACTGTGACTGACCAGAGATAGAGTCTCAGTTGAGTACCGGTTCAGAGCTCTCCGTACTACACTGAGTGTTGCCACTCTAAGGTATTCGTAGCCGCGCTGTGCCTGGCGGCGTTGCTGCGGGACTTTTCATCAGCCCCGTCTGCTATGATGTGCCCCAGAGTTCGTCTATAAGAGTAGGCAGTTACTGAAATATCTACCAATAGAAAAGAAAAACCCTTCGCCGTGAGAATGGACGCAGTAGGTGTTAAGGCCAAATGTCCATGGGTACGGCGACTCCCCTGCGCTAGGCTGGGAGGGCTGCGTGGTCTAATACGTATCCGACACAGTCACAACACTAGTTCTTTGTTGACAGGGAGAAGCATTGGGAATTAGAAAAAATAAATCAAAGAAAAAGAACGAAGGAAGGGAGTGGCTTGAACGGTTGTGGACAGGCGTCAAGAAAAGCAATGCGGTTGCTTGCCCCGTCTATCGGGCTCACTGACTACTGTTCTCGGTGTCATGGCTTAGCACTGTCAAACGTGATGAAATTTGAGGAGATTCTTACCCGGGAAACAGCTAGACAGGACGCAAAAAAAATGTCTGAAAGTACGAGATGCCTGAATGCTTGTTAGGTGGTCCAAGGGCCTGACTGCCTACATGAGGGGAGGCGCATGTAAGCCACATACTTACATAGTTATCAGCTAGGGTTGTGTTAATAATACATGAGACCATGGGTCTCAATTGTTACTAACTTATGGTTTCCAGCCTATCATCGCCATGTCTTACCTGGGTGTGGGGGTCGTGGCCGTGGCCGTAGCCGTGGAGCGCAAGCACGAGAAGGCGTCAACGTGTACAAGGTTAGGTCGTCGAGCACATGAAATAGTAGCGTAATGCAGATGGAAGCCTAATGCTAGTTTCTAGCAAAGATGGCAAATGAATGAGGTACCCCCCTATTTTGGGAGTATTGTAGGAGCGAGAAAATGTCGTTGAGCTACGCTCGCGTCGTGTGTTGGCTGCGAGTTGAGACGCGAGGCTGCAGAGTGACAAGGCAGAGGCAAATTCGTATTGTGGATGATGGTACATCACCAGTATGAATATGCATGTCTGAATCATCTCTTGCAATATGGATGGCCAAAATTTCGTCTACGGAAAGAATACGAAGAGTGTCGGGCAGATTCTGTGTTGTGCGTTTGGAGGCATCCGAGTCAGCGTAATGATATGCGATCCAATGTGACAGCCGGCCATGACAAATATGCCAGTGTGATGCGGATGCTGCTGATGTACTCGTGCATGTTTTGATCGTCCATGTCGGGCAAGATATGGCCACATAGGTGGCTGGGCATTGGCTGGCGGTGAATAGAGCTGGGATACATGGTACGAAGCGCAAGTGACGGCCCGGGACGGCAAATGCCGCACCGCAGAGTCGGACGGGTGCGTGTGGTCGGGAGGTGGGCGGTAGGCTCCGTTGAAAGGCAGAATGACGATGTGAAGGGTAGAGCGATGATGCTAGCGATGATTCGGACTTGAATAGACTGGGGGCAAAATGACCTGACAAGCAAGACAAAGGGCTCCAATAAGAATGAGGTGGGCCATGACCGTGTATCGGAAGGCCGAAAACAATGATGGAGTCAACAGCGCTAATGCAGGTGCTTTTTAAGGGTGTATCGAGCTGAAAGAATGCTGAAATTTATACCTCTATGAGCGACATTGCGAATTCCGACATGTGATGAATGGTGATTGTTCATGAATGCGCATGTTATTTGGCGACATTTTGGATTTGAGTTTTGTACTGCATGATGCTATTGTAAACTTTACCTTTAGCTAGCTACGAAGAGAAGCATGCATAAATCATCGCTTTTCTAGATATCTAGGAGATGGTTTTATACAAAAACTATCATCTAAACTGTGGCCCTAAAATAATCGGCTCCCGCTAGGATATCAGTCAGATCTTGCTTCTCCTTGGCCAGTTATCCGCATCAATGCGGCCGACATCACATCGCCCCGCCAAACCCGCCTATGTATGTACTAACTACCTATGTACCTATGTATGTACATAGTTAGCGTCTCCCGCTTGTCCTCCTGCAAACTCCCTTGTCACCCTTTTTTCCCATCTTCCTCTTCCCCCTCCTCCTCCTCGCCCTTCCATCGCCATCACAACGCCATGCCCGCTATCCGAGCCCCGGAGGATCATCTTTCGATATTCTGGGCAGCACATCCTGGTCCAGCTCCCCCTGTCGTGCCACATCCGGGAAAAGCAATCTGCGATTGACTGTGTAGCGGTGGCTCGTTTGCCAGCCTTTCCCCCCTCACCGTTCCGCCCAGCCTTGCTCCCGCCCTTCTTCGCATCCGACCTTCGCTTAATGTCCCGGTCTATAGAGGCGCCGAATTACCCAATATGCTGAATGTACGTCTCATGATTGTCTCATTCTTCCACTCACCTGCTTACACCGGTTAAGGTTCTTGCTCGCATGGTGACGTCTTGGGACAGTGTCGTTGGCTACCAACACCGCGCGCCATGCGTCCACGATCCCCTATCAACTGCGACCAAAGCTCAAGGGCAGCAGAGATGACACCCATATGCGCCACTTTTCCTTTCGCCTTTGCAGGGACATTGAGCAAACAGCTGGGAAACACCTAATTCAAAGGCCACGACTAGCTCGGCCATCGAGCTTCGCCCCGCACCCGGCCCTGATGCTATCGCATTAGTGCTGCCCATTGTCCCTTTTTCTTTCTTTTGTCCAAGGGGACAGTCAATGACGGCGCGCAAAGCTCTCCCCAGTGACCTCCCTTCTCGCTCTCGGACAACATGTCAGGGTTTCTTCCTCACTATCGAATACTCACCATGGGACGAGACCACCCATCCAGAAACTGAGACACATCATGACCTTGGCCAATCCAATATACCCTCTCTTCCCCAGCGACATGGCCATACGAAGTGCACAAAGGCGAGAGCGGGTCTCGATATGCAAGCTTGACACGAGCTCCTGTAGCCAGGTGCTAGACACAGTCTAGGCTCGCCCATACAAGCAGCTATAGAATTGGTACTCGCAGTTGTGGAAAGTGTTTACCAACTTATCCCCTCATCCCTGGCACATTGCTTGTCAAGAAAAGCTGCTTCTCAGGTATAAAGCCGACACGCCCCTCCGATCAGCTCGTCTCCCTCTCTTACGGCTTGGACAATTCCTTCCACCCAGTTGAGTTCTTTCAGCGCTTCTTCTCCAGGTCTTTTCCAAGCCAGTCAGTCTTTACCCTTGTGCTTAACCTGTTCATACGACTGGGATAATCAAGATGAGGTTCCTCACTGTCGCCGCTGCGGTCTTTGCCAGCACTTCACTGGCCGTGCCCACCAACCCCAACAACGGCGGTGGTGCCTGTGTCCCCAAGTACCCCAGTGATGGCGAAACGTCTAAATATACCAGGCCCTCACATACCGGCAGCTACACCGGTCCTGGTAACAAGCCTACCAGCTCCAGCTATACCGCCACCGGTAGCAACACCAGCTCTGGTCCTGGCACCCAGCCTACCGGCAGCAACACCAGCTCCTCCCCTGCCACCACCACCACTGGCTCCAACACCAGCTCCAACACCAACACCGGCCCTCCTGCCACCACCACCAGCAGTTCACCCCCTCATCATCACAAGTTCAAGTGCCCCAAAGGCCTATACAGCAATGCTCAATGCTGCAAGGTTGATGTCCTTGGTGTCCTCGGTGTCGACTGCGCCACCCCAAGCAGAGCCCCGACCTCTGGCGATGACTTCAAGAGCATCTGCGCTGCTAGCGGCAAGGAGGCCCTCTGCTGCGTGATCCCGGTTGCCGGTCAAGACGTTCTCTGCCAGCCCGCTATTCCTGGCGGCAACCATCCTCCCACTTCTACTGCCCCCGGCGAGCCTACTTCTACCCAGCCTGGCGGCAACCCTCCCACTTCCACCGCTCCCGGCGAACCTACCTCTACCCAGCCTGGCGGTGGTAACCCTACTGGCACCCCGCCGCCCCCGGGCAACGGAGGTGATGAACCAGTCTGCCCTACTGGCCTCTACAGCAACCCTCAATGCTGCTCCACTGATGTTCTTGGTGTTGCTGATATCGATTGCAAATCTCCCTCCTCAGCATCCAACCCCAGCAACTTCCAGAGCGCTTGCGCCGCCGGCGGCCAAAAAGCCCGGTGCTGTGTTGTCCCCGTCGCAGGACAGAGTGTTCTCTGCACTGATCCCCTCCCTGGCGGCAACCCCCCCGGCGGCAACCCCCCTCCTGGAGGCAACCCTCCTGGCAACGGCGGCAACGAGCCAGTCTGCCCTACTGGCCTCTACAGCAACCCTCAATGCTGCGCCACTGACGTCCTCGGTGTTGCTGATGTAGACTGCAAAACGCCCTCTTCGGCATCCAGCCCCGCTGACTTCACACAAACTTGTGCCGCCGGCGGCCAGCGAGCTAGGTGCTGTGTTATTCCCGTCGCCGGACAAGGTGTTCTTTGCACGGACCCCCTCCCCAGTGGTAACCCTCCCGGCGGCAATCCCCCTCCCGGCGGCAATCCCCCTCCTGGCGGTAACCCTCCCGGTAACGGCGGCGATGCCCCGGTTTGCCCTGTTGGCGTCTTCAGCATCCCTCAATGCTGTGCCACTGATGTCCTCGGTATTGCTGATCTTGACTGCAAGACTCCCTCTTCGGCATCCAGCCCTTCGGACTTCACGCAGACTTGCGCCGCCGGCGGGCAGCGCGCTAGGTGCTGTGCCGTCCCCGTTGCTGGACAGGATGTTCTCTGCACGAATCCCCTCCCTGGTGGCGGCAACCCTCCTCCCACTTCTACCGCTCCCAGCGAACCTACCTCTACCCAGCCTGGCGGTGGTAGCCCTACCTCTACTGATGCCGGTGGCGAGTCTTGCCCCAGCGGCCTTTACAGCGTCCCTCAGTGTTGCGCCGTTGATGTCCTCGGTGTTGCCGATATTGACTGCAAATCCCCCAGCCGAACCTTTACCTCTGGCCCGGACTTCAAGGCTGTGTGCGCAGCCCACGGTCTGAAGCCCAGGTGCTGTGTCGTCCCCATCGCCGGACAGGCCGTTTTGTGCGAAACCCCTGTTGGCACCTCGTAATAAGAGCGGCCTAGGATATCTTGGTCTACTTGGCGCGCAAAGGTCTGGAGATGTATGACCCGCGTCTGAATATCATGGTCTGTTCACGATGAAAGCGGCCTGGAGCTTTTTGGAAAGTACATTTTTGGGTGAACGGCTTGTACGAAATTTTTTAATTTTTCTTCTTTTCTACAGTATAGATTGCCCACACACCACTTTATAAATTGAAGCTCCGATTAATGAGTCTCTCTGCCCCCTTGTCTGTGTTACGTACCTCGATGATGTTCAAGTCATTAAGTTTCTGGTGTATTCTCTTCCGCGCCGATGTCATGTTTTCCGGATTCTTTGGGCAGCCCAGCACCCTTCTAGAGTCAGTTTATTTTGATTTTATTCGCATCGTTACACCTAAACAGGGTCAACCGTAGGTCAGAAGGGTTGAGTTTGGGACGGCCGTGCCAGGACGGGCGTGTCGAGGGCTAGGTCACAGGGGCACCCAGGCAGCCTCAAATGAGGTCTTGAATTCATTGTATGTTCCATGACTAGGTGGTGGACGGCCGTGAATGATGTCGAGTTGAATTAGATAGCCGGCGCAGATCGGGAACCGCTGCTCGCAGGAGCGATTGCCGGGCTCGGGGGCGGGGGAATGGCAGTCACGACACGCTGGTGGAAGCGGTGCAAAACAAAAGCGGAACAGGCCAGTTTGTGAGTTTTGGCAGGTCATGGGAGACGCGTTAACGGTCCAGGGCTCTTGCAGCGGCTCGCATTATCACGAAGGCGGGTTGCACGACGGCTCTACATGCTGACTTCGATCAAGATGTCTTCTCTGCTTGTTGGAAACGATTTCGCAAGTGCATCGGCAATGGCAGTGCCGTTGTTATAAGCAAGGCACCGATATTTGGGGCTAGTTTCAGAGTTTCACAGGCACCAGAGACCAGGGCAGGAGGGGGAGGCGGTGGTGAGGGGGGCGAGAGGGGGGAGGGGGGACGCCGCCTGATTGTGACGCACGCACGACGCAGAGCCACCCACCAGAGAGGAGAAGGTACATGAGAGTACTTTCTCCCAATTACCCAGTGAAATGAAGGCAAGCGAGGTTGGAGCTAATAAACAACTGGCGTTCGACGCTCGACGGGCCACCACCCTCTTTTTGGAGCTTCCCTTGCCAATCAGGATGTGCGTCTCCATCACATGCAGGCACTGCTTTTAAGCCGCATCATTTGTCGATGAGAATCTTTATTGACTTTGATGAAAACCTCGGCTTTTTGTTGATGGAATTGATGAACTTTGACAAACCTAACCCTTTTGCTCAGACCAGACGAATCCTCTCCTCTCTCCACTGGGAAAAAAGCGGGGTAAGCGATGTTGCCGTCTGGGGAAGTGGGCAGTTTTATTACGGGGGGGTCGAGACTTGCAGGGGAGAGCAGACCAGTCACAGCCCGCTGATTTGAACGCTACGGGTGCTGGAAACCCACTGCATCGCCTGGAGCTCGGTCAACTGTAGCGGCTGGGTCAGCGCTGGGGCCCGCTCGATTCTGGGGGCGGGGCGGGCTGCTGCGTGACTGCTTGCCTTGTCGGGGACACGGTGAACTGAGGTGTACAAAACGCGGGCACGAGTCGCGAAAATTGGAAGCATATGCGTAAGTGAGGGCATTCACAAGTTCAAGGTGCTAGTGGATAATTAAAGACGGGTTGGGTTGAACTCGGCCCTTGCCACTCGCCGCGCAACGTGCGGTGGTGTGGTGAACGCCTCTTGGTGTCGAGGCCAGGCCATTTTCTGCGATGGTGGTGTGGTGGTTGCGCCAAACAAGGTCAAGACCTGCACGACGCTTGCGTCAGGCTGGTGGTGACTGCGTCGGTACTCGCGGGGCCCTGCAGAATCAACAGTCTCGAGCAGGTAGCGAGTGCGTACCTCGACGACGTGAACATGGCCGAGAGCCAATCACGACCCATGAACCGAGGACGAAGAAGCCCCAAGCTAGCGACTATTGAGGCCTGGTCTGCACTATTTAACATTTGTCTCGTCGTTGCTTAGGCACTGTCGGGCAGGGCAGTCGTGAATACCTGCTGTTTCGCTGCATCGCCTTACCCCGCTCCTGTACATGCCTGCACCTTGTCTCCCCAGTCTGGTCTGGTCAGTGGCGGGCGTTGGCATCCAACCATTGTCTGACCAAGCAAAGTATCTTTTTGTACTTCTCTAGTCTCGCTTCTCTGTGTGTCTCCCCATCTCGCCCAGTGTATATAACTGTCCCGCCTCCCGGTGACGCCTCTTCTTGTAACACTCCTTCTACTTTCATCCATCTCTGTGCATCAAGACGTTTATCCCATCATCATCATCAATAAAGTTATCATCTCTCACTGATAGCTTATCCTGTCAGCTCCTCTCGATCCCTCCACCACACACACAAATCGTGAGCTCCTCCCTCACCACCTCATCGTCCATCTCGCCTCCACCCATCACTAACTAACCACAGTCCACAGTAACCACACACACACAAACCACCCACCATGCGCCCTCGCATCCCCCGTCTCCCCAAGGCCAAGCGCTCCGAGGTCTGGATCATGGGCGCCGCCGGCGTCGGCGTGCTCGCCCCGCTGTACATGATCATGCCCGGCGCCGACGAGCGCCTCGCCAAGCAGACCACCAAGTGGGCGCCGCGCTGGGAGAAGAACATCACCTACTTCGCCCCCCCGGTCGAGCGCGGCATGCAGCGCATCGAGCCGCCCGTATCCCGCGCCGTCCAGCGTATCGAGGAGCGCCTGCCGCTCGAGAGGATGGCCAAGGGCGTCGACTCCTCCATCAAGGCCGGCATCGAGCGCTTCTCTCCCAAGCCCAAGGACTGAAGTAACTTTTCTTATTTTGTTCTTCAACGGCGTTTTTTATGAGTAGTTTCATCATGTCGACGATATGTTGTCATTTTGTACTGTATGTTTAGGATATCATGGGTTTTAGGGACAGTCGTTTTCTCCTTGCTATTCGGATGGTTGCATTTGCTCCATCCCCGGTCTCAGTGGCCGTTTTTTTATCGTCACCAGTGTGGGAATATCAGTCGAAAAAGGTCCGTCAAGGCTAGATTTAGACATATCAACAATACAACACTTTTTTGATGAAAGCTTGACTCTTGTGAATCGTGTATACGTCAACAACAACCGGACCGGAGGGTGGCCACTTTTCCGATCTCCCTGTCTTCCCCGCCTTGTGTTCGAGAATGCAACGCAGCTTGACACCACAATGGTTCCTTCGTAACCCCGAGACGCCCGGCTGACAGTTGTGGCTTTTCCAACTTGCATGAAACCGGCAAAGAGGGTCAATTGTGAGTAGAGGTATATCGGCCTGTCCAGATTCTCCTCATTCAACATCGTTACGAGCCTGTTCAAGCCTTCCCGGACCTGCCCTCATTCTCTCACAATTTATAAACACCGCCAGCATGGAGCCTCTTCTCAAAGGATACAATGCCTTCGTCACTGGTGCTGCTTCAGGTATGTCAACTCATTTCTAGAATTATATCCTACCCATTTTCCCCCAAGAGAGTACCGAGTCAGACAGGTATCCCCTCCCGGCCTCGCGAGCTTACATGCATGCTACAGGCATCGGCAAAGCTATTGCTATCAACTTTGCCCGCCACGGCGTCGCCGGCCTTGCCGTCGCCGACATTGATCGTGCGGCCCTCGACTCCCTTGCTGCCTCCATCGCCCAAAGCCACCCGGACGTCCGCGTCCTCCCCATCACACTGGACGTGGCCGACGCCGGCGCTGTCAAGGCCGCCGTGGCGCAGACGGTGCAGACGCTCGGCCGGCTCGAAGTGGCCGTCAACAATGCCGGCATCGCGGGCTCGAAAACGCCCACCCACGAGCTGTCCGATGAGGCGTGGGGCAAGACGCTGGCGGTGGACCTGCACGGCGTCTTCTATTGCCAGCGGGAGGAGCTGGCCGTCATGATGGCCCAAGAGTGCGTCTGCCCCTGCGCCAGCGGTGGTTTTTCGACCGACCACACCACGCTTCGACTTGGCGAGGGATGGGGATGCTAACGAGCATGTAGGGACCTCGGGCCTCGTCGCGGGCGCGGCGTCATCATCAACACGGCGTCGCTGTACGGCCTCCGCGCACCTCTCGTTCCTCTGAACCAGACCGCCTACGCGGCCTCCAAGCACGGTAAGACCCAGCCACCGAGTCACCTTCCCCCCCCCCCCCCCCCCCCGCGCTGCAAATGTATACTGACGAGAGTATGCAGCCGTCGTGGGCATCACAAAGTCGGACGGCATCCACTACGGCCCGCAAGGCATCCGCATCAACGCTGTCTGTCCCGGCTACGTCGAGACGCCGCTCATCGCCGGTGGGCTCGACAGCGAGAGGCTCGTCGGCCTATTCCTGGACAACTCGCCCATCCGGCGGCTCATCAACCCGGACGAGGTCGCCGACGGCGTCGTCTTCCTGGCGAGCCCGATGAGCAGCGCGATGCACGCGTCGACGTTGTCGCTGGACCTGGGCGTGAGCAACAGAAGCTGAGCGACTGGGGTGTACTCTGGCTGTTTTTTTTTTTTTTTTTTTTTTTTTTATCTCAGAATTCTAGCAGAAGATGGCCTTTGAAGTTGCATAGCCGAATAAAACAGCTAGGCTTTTCCAAGATTTTCTTGTTCGTCAATCTTATGGTGAAAGCTGTGTGCCAATTGACCGGGATCTGTCCCAAGTACCCGGCCGGAATGGTTCTCCGCACAGACGAGGGTCGCTCGGCCCGGCACATCATCAACGTTGTAAAAAGCCGATTATCTCATACGTAGCCGTTGCCGAATCCGCCGCTACAAGCAAATAGTCCGCGGACGTTTGAACTCAACTCCGCATGGTTTACATGGTTCCCCAACCAAAATCCACAGCGCCATCGACGCCTCCCCCACATTCATTCACCGTTCAAGTTGATGCCGATATCTCCAGCTCAGCTTTTTGCTCTCCCCAGTTCGTATTGGCGCTCTTTTATCAACCCCGCGGCATTGGCCGACATACAGCCTTATTTTATCCATATACCAATTCAATTCCCTTCCGTCACAACCCTTCTCTCAATCTCCTTTCCTCTTTCCCACGTCCTCACTGCCTTTCCTCCCTCGCCCACCTCTTTTTTTGTGCACACCACAGCCACCCGTCATACCTCGGCTGTCCGCAGTACTTCACACCTCTTTTCCCTCGACGCCCCCCCCCCCCCCCCCCCCCCGCCCCCCCCCCTCCCTGCAGCTGCAGCCGAGACAACACAGCAGGAAAAAAAGGCCCCGTTCGTCATATTGTCTTAAGCGTAGAAATCACCCACAATGCCTGTCCGCTCCAAGCTCCCCGACGTCGAGATCCCCTCGGTCAACGTCCTCGACTTCATCTTCGACGACCCCAGCAACATCACCGACAAGCCCGTCTGGATCGACGCCGACGACAATGCCAAGAGCGTGTCGCTCAGGCAGGCCCTCACCTGGGTCCGCCGCATCGGCCTCGGCCTGCAGCGGCTCGGCCTGCGCAGCGGCGACGTCGTCATGATGTGCTCGACGAACCACGTCCTCGTGCCGGTGCTGTACCTCGGCGTCGTCGGGTCGACCTGCGCCTTTACCGGGACGAACCCGGCCTACACCCCGAAAGGTAGGTTCTCTGAATCCAAGCTTACAAGGGAAAAAAGGAAATGAGAGCGTTGGGAAAATGTTTTCTCCTGTCAACACTATCTTGAGAACTCGGATCCACTAACAAGTACAACCCCAGAAATCGCATACCAAATCTCAAACTCCCAGGCCAAGCTCATCCTCGCCCACCCCTCCAAGATTGACGACGTCCTCGCCGCCGCCGACGAGGCTCACTTCCCGCATGACCGCATCTTCCACTTCAGCGACGACGCCTCCGGACGCGACCCCACCGTCCGCGGCGGGCTGCGCGACTGGACCAGCCTCCTCCCCTCCGAGGCCGAGTCCGCCTCCTGGCGGTGGCCTCGCCTCGCCGGTTCCGCCGCCCGCACGCAGCTCGCCACCATCAACTACAGCTCCGGCACCACCGGCCTCCCCAAGGGCGTCTGCGGCGCGCACCGCAACCTCGTCGCCAACGTGCAGCAGCTCATCGGCCTGCGGCACCCGGACGGCCTGACGCCGGACCTCGAGGCCGACGTCTGGCTCGCCTTCCTGCCGCTGTACCACGCCTACGGCCAGATGTACACCATCCTCATGGCCGCCCGCCGCCGCGTCACCGTCTACGTCATGCCCGTCTTCTCCTTCGAGCGCTACCTGCAGTGCGTCCAGCGCTACCGGCCCTCCACCCTACAGGTCGTGCCCCCGGTCGTCGTCATGCTGTCCAAGCGGCCGGAAGTCAAAAAGTATGATTTGTCGAGCGTCACGGACATTAGCTGCGGCGCGGCGCCGCTCAAGGCGGATTTGCAGAACGAGGTGGCGGACCGCATGGGGACCAACATCGTCCAGGGCTGGGGCATGACGGAGCTGACGTGCGCCGCGTCGGGCATGCCCCTTGGCGGGGTGGACAGAGAGGCGAGCTGCGGCTTGCTGCTGCCCAACTGCGAGGCCAAGTTCCTGGACGAGGACGGCAACGAGGTCGGCGCGGGGGAGCCCGGCGAGCTGTTCGTGCGCGGGCCCAACGTGATGCTCGGGTACTGGCGGAACGACAAGGCAACCAAGGAGACGCTCGACGCCGACGGGTGGCTGCGCACGGGTGACGTGGCCATGTACAATGAAGACGGCAAGCTGTGGATTGTCGATCGGAAAAAGGTGAGCATCTTTTACTAATTGACAGCATGACGCGAGCAGCGCTAAATATCGTTCCCAGGAACTCATCAAAGTCAACGGCCTGCAAGTCGCGCCGGCCGAGCTGGAATCCCTTCTCCTTGAGAACGAGCACGTCGCCGACGCCGCCGTTGTCGGGATCGAGCTGTAAGTCCCTCACAACCCCCCTCCCCTGAAGCTTCACGACTAACCCGTCACCAAGGGACCACGAAGAGTATCCCCGCGCCTACGTGCAGATCCAGGACGTCTCCAAGGGCCGGGTCCAGCCGCGCGACATCCAGGACTGGCTCGCGCCCCGCGTTGCCAAGCACAAGCGCCTCGCTGGCGGCGTCAGCTTCGTCGATGCCGTGCCCAAGCTCGCCAGCGGCAAGATTGTCCGCAAGCTCCTGCGCGAGTGGTCGAAGCGCGACGCCGAGGTTCTGCAAAAGGCGGGCTGGACGCGCTCCAACATCTAAGCTCGCGGTGGCGTTTTAGACGGTGCGGCTTTTGTTGCGTTGCTTGACATGAACAATACCATTGGTTTGGTTAGAGAGTGATGAACATTTTCGAGTATTCAATGCATATTGTACAACTTTTCCCTTTTTACGATGGAATGTATTTCGTAGACCGTATCGACCGACTCAGTCGTCTCGTTTTGTCGGTTCCCGATTCAAAACCTTTTGTGCGTGTCCCAGAGCCACTACGAGATGTCAGTAACGGACCGCGATCCCTTGTCGCACAACTCGGATAGAACGAAACTACATACGTCGGTCAAACAGGTAGTAACTCGTAACCAGCAATATCGGCAGCGCAATCATCGTTGACGTCCACCGCCGCGCCGCGCTCTTGTACCGCGCTTTGTACTCCTCGGCCGTCTCTATGGGCCCTGAAGACGCAGGAGCCTCCTTCTCGGCGTTGACGCGGGAACGCGCTGCTGCCACTGCCGCCGTTGGTGCAATTTGTGTTGTCGTCCGTCTCGCTGTCGGCGTTCGTATCGGCTGTCGAGGGGGCGTGGGCGAGGAGGAGGCGAACCGGCGTTGCGTCGTGTGGGCGGCGAGGGCACTCTGGTTGCTCATTACAGAGTGCACGCAACGCACCGAGAGAAGACGTTGGTGCAGACGGGGGGAGGTCATGGCGAAATACGAATGTGATGTTGTACTTGTCAAGGTCCTGAGTAGTTTTGTCATGGACGAACTTGGTATTTGTCCGTACGCAGTTTTATGTGGGTCGCTGAACTGGAAGTCAGGAAATCAAAGGAAAGAGGAAAGAAACGTCAAGTCGCAACCAGATATTCATTTTTTTACTAATCCTCGTCTGTCGTTTTCTTTCTCGCTACTGCACAGTCCTTATCCCAGCCAAGGAAGAAGCTAAAATTTTCTAGATGATAATATTACACAAAAAGAACTTGCCCAAACGCCCGAATGAAAACCTCAAGAACCCTTTGCTTAGTCGTCGTCCTCCACGTATCTTGGGCCACTGGCACCAGGCGTCTCCGGAGGCGCAGCCGGTGTGGGAGCCCCGTAATAGCCCGTAGCCGCGGGTGTTGGGGCACCTGCGGCCGGCGTAGGCGCAGAATCTGCTCCCCAGCCGCCTTGCCATCCCGCGCCGGGCGTGGGAGCACTGGCCGCCGGCGTCGGCGCTGAGTAGGCACCGGGTGTCGGCGCTCCGAATGCTCCCGGTGTAGGAGCACCAAGTGCACCGCCAGGTGTAGGTGCGTCGTAGGCACCAGCACTCGCGCCGGGCGTGTAGCCCCATGTGTCGTGGCCGCTCGCCCCAGGCGTAGGGGCTGAGGCACCCCACGCTGGGGTCTTGGAGCCCGAGGCCCAGCTTTCGCCGCCAGCGTAGGCAGGAGTTCGCGAACCGGCACCGAAAGCGTCACCGGGGGCCGGAGTTCTGGCGCCGGACTGCCAAGCGGGAGTACGGGAGCCAGCACCGTAGGCTGTACGGCTGCCGTCATATGGGTTGACTGTTCTTGACCCATCCGCCCATGCTGGCGTGCGTGAGCCAGAGTAGTCCTGGCCCTTCCATGCGGGGGTTCGCCCACTCGCAGCAGCTGGCGTACGCGAGCCCCAGGCGGGGACTCGGTCGCTGGCACCACCCGCGGCCGGGGTGCGAGATCCTCCTTGCCAACTGGGCACTCTGTCTCCACGACCGCCTACCGGTGCGCCGCGTCCTCTACCATTAATGTCGATGGAGGCGCCGCTCGTCTTGTCCTTGAAGTTGAGCGAGTCTCGCGGCACCGTGACAATTTTGCTTTTGGTGTGGAGTTCGACACGGCAATGTGTGTCCGTGGAATCCTTGACGATACCAAGCAGGCCCTTGTAGGCGCCCTTCTTGATAATAACAGTCTGGTTGATAGCCTTATCGCGACCGAACATCTTAACGGGGGTGAGGGGCTTGTTTTCGGCCCCGTTCTTGTGAACCTTGAGTGCAGGGTTCATGGCACTCAGATCAGGGCCCGACGATGCAGCGTTGACACGACCACCCTTGGCAGCCACGGTATTGACCAAGCTGGATTTGGTAACAAAGACGCCAGCGTTTTCGTTGGTGTCATTGGTGTGCAGAAAGACGTATGTGCGGTGGATATGAATGATTTTTCCCTGTCTCTGCTGCCCAGTGTACTCCTTGACAACATCGTCAAGCCGAATCTCGGATCCGTCACGGTCAGCGGCCACAGCCTGCTTTCTCTTGGGAATCTTGTTTGAGATCTGCGAGGGCATGACCTGTCTTGTGTCGCCAAACTGATCCAGCACGACCATAGAATCACGGTCAACCTTGACAACGCAGCCCACCGTGGTCATGTCCAACTGAACAAGGTCGTGCAGCGAGTACTGACCCAGTGAGCCCTGCCCACCAATGTCGCTTGCCTCACGAAGATCTTTGCTAAACACAGTCACCTCATTATTGGTGTGGTCCGTAAGCAAAGTAACCCGATCCTCTGAAATCTTGACGACAGTTCCGACTTCGTCCTGGAATCTGCTACCACCAATGACCTTGACGTGGTCACCGATCTTGAAGCGCTTGCGCAAGCCCTTGATCGGCACCTCGATTGTTTGGCCAGTCAGGTCACCTTCCGTTACAGTCATGGTGACAATATCACCCTGTACATTGGTAGCCGTGCCAACAACACCTTTTTGCTCGCCCGAGTACACTTCGATGACATCACCAGGCAGGTACGTAACCTTGGTGTTGCTATCCTTGAGACTGGCAGCGAGAGCCTTCAAGTCGAGGTTTTCCGTACCGTCCTCAGCGCCCGACGCAAACCGCGTGACTTCTTCCAGTGTAGGGTTAACGTCGGTCAGGGTAAGCTGCTGAATCTTGACATCCTTTACCTGGAACCCGTTCTCGAACTCGTCGCCCATGTAGGTCCAGGTATTTGTGGTCGGGTTGCCCTGGATGAACCGAGGATGGCGTTTGCGGGCCTCAACCTCACTAAAGAGACGCTGAGGAGGCTTAGGGCCGCCTCCAAAGGCTCGCTTCCTCTTTCCATCCTGTGTCAGAGCATCATCGCGCATGCCGTAATCGAGTCGCGGGATGAAGCGGACCCGGGCTTCCAGTCCGTTTTCTGTCACGGCCACGACCTGCGCTAGGTCACCACTATGCTTGATGGGGCGACGCAGTCGACACCACGCGCCGGGTTCCAGGGTAGCGGTCTTCGTGACGCGCAAAAGCTCTGGCATATCCTTGATGTCGACCAGGGTCATTTTGGTTCGCGGGTAAATGTTCAGGATACCATCAAGCGCGACGAGAATGTCTGTCTGGCGCTGCGCTTCGATGTAGACGATACCCTTCATGACAGAGTTCGTACCTCCGCGCTCAAAGGCGGCCGTGATAGCGAGCTCGCCCTTGGTCCCCATGCGCTCCTCGATGCGCTTCATGATGGAGAAGACTACCTCGCGCTCCTTGCCTTCCTTGCATCGCACGGCCCAGATACCTGGATCGTCAACACTGGGGAGAAGCAGGCGCTTTGGTACAACAGCAGACTCGCCCGCGCCTTTTCCAGAGCGGTACTTAGCATAGCGCTGTCGGTAGAGTTCGGCTTGCTTTTCCGCGTCCAAGCTTGACTCCATGTCACGACGGCGATCGAGTTCTCGGTGACGACGATCATCGTTGAGCCGCGCGGTATCCGCAAGGTCGTCGGGGTGTTCGTTGTCGATGAAGTCGCCTATTTCTTCATCCTCCTTCTCGTCGTCCTCGGCCTCATCTTCATCATCGACTTCGGCTTCGATATCGAGGAAAGCATTACGTCTGTCGCGACGGCGCTTGCGGCGATGGCCCTTTAGCCGGCGTTAGCGAGTTCTCAGCGTGAAAATGATAACGAAAACATACTCTTTGCACGTCATCTTCGTCCTCGTCGTCTTCCTCTTCCTCCTCCTCATCATCGTCGTTCTTGCCCTTGGGTTCCTCCTCTTCCTCTTCCTCTTCTTCGTCTTCATCTACGTGTTTCGGACGCGCAGGCGACGTGTTATCATCGTCTTCTTCATCGTCGTCTTGAGCGGGGCGCCTACGGCGCCGCTCCTCGCCGCGTTGTTCGCGTTGAGGCTCCTCATCGGACAGGTCAGCGGGAGCAGGGTTGAAGTCCTCCTCGTCTGACGAGTCATCGAATCGAGGGTCATTAGATGCCATGATGGAATCAACGGCCGATGGCGTATCCCTCGAAAAATTCGATGCCAGAGACTTTAGTGTAGGATGCGGGGGATAAAATTGGCGGTGCACCTCTAGGCGTTATGGCTCTGGCATGTCAAGAACAAGATTGCTGAATGGCGCCGTGACGGCGAAATGCGCTGGCCGGGTAATTCTCGGCTATTCTTCTGTGTCAAACGGCTGTCGCTGCCTCGTTCACTGAGATGCGGGAGGGAATAACCTGCTGGAAATTTTTGAAGTAGACAAATTCGTTTCAAATAAATCAAATATTCGACCAGAACCAAAACGCGATCAAGCTCGCAGCATATAGCGTGGTGTGATAGATGCACGGGCTTGAGATGAATACATTTACCAAAACGCCTATAAGCCTGGGGGCACACTTATCCGCTCCAACTTACCCGACCGTTGCCGAAAGCTGAATTGACGCCTCTGTTTATTGTGAAAGTGTTGTGCAGAAGTAAAGTTGATGCAAGAAAAAAGAAACAGGATGAAAGCAATTGTAATGGACAGGTTTTGTGACACGTTGGACGAGGTCCATGTATCAGAGGTCCCAAGCCCCGAAGCGACGCAGGACAATGTTCTGATACGAGTTCGAGGTGCCGGGGTCAATTATGTCGACACCCTCTATGTGCGTACTCACAAAAATTCCAATCCTCTTCAGTCGATGGCTAATAAGTACAGGCTCGTGGGAAACACCAAAACAACCAGAGGCATGTGATCCCTCCATTCGTCCTTGGTCTCGAGTTCGCTGGCACCGTCATCTCCGCGCCGGCAGACTGCGAATTCCAAAAAGGCGATGCCGTGTTTGGTGACTACGCCGGCTCGTACACCGAAATTATCTCCATTCCCAGAGCCCAGATCCCATCGCTGCTGCGCGTCCCCGAGGGGTGGCCCGTCGAGGCGGCAGCCGGCCTCGCCGCCACGCTACCCGTGTCCTACGACGGGCTCGTCTCCGCGGGCCGCCTGCGCGCCGGCGAGACCGTCCTCGTGCACGCGGCCGCCGGTGGCCTCGGCGTCATGGCCTGCCAGGTCGCCGCGGCGAAGGGCTGCCGCGTCATCGGCACCGCCGGCTCCGACGACAAGTGCGCCTACGCCAAGGGCTACGGCGCGAGCGAGTGCATCAACTACTCCGCAGGTGGCGCGTGGTGGGAGAGGGTGAACGCGCTCACGGGGGGCAGGGGCGTGGATATCGTCTTCGATCCGGTCGGCCTGGTTGAGCGCAGCCTGAAATGCACGGCCCCGAAAGGCCGTATCGTCGTGGTGGGCTTTGCAGGGCTGGACGGCAAGTTTGAAAAGATTGTCATGAATCGCATTCTGCTGAAGCAGGTCGAGCTCATAGGATACGTACGTGCTTTCTTCTTCCTACTGCAAGTTCCTTTGCTAATGTGATACCGTTCTAGCGCTTTGGACAGACCTTGCGAGACAACCCCTCCCGAAGAGCAGAAATTTGGGAGCAGCTGTACCCAATGCTAGAGTACTTGAGCGTCAAGCCGACTATTTCTATCATGTATGAGGGACTAGAGAGTGTACCAAAGGCGCTGAAGGACATCTCGGAACGCAAGGTATTTGGCAAAGCGATTGTACGACCCGCGTCTGGTGGCAGCGCCGCCCGATTGTGAGATTTTCTCGCGAGATTACCTGGGCACCGCCTGTGAACATATACTTCATTTATTTCAAATCCACAATCCAATGACCTACAACTCCCTAAATATGTATTCCCATGACCACCAGGGCATATAAACTCGTATGCCCACTCTCCACCTTTTTACAGTTTGCCGCCGTGCTCGCTTCAACCTGCAGATTTTGGGGTCAGCTACCTGGATGCCGAACAAAAAAAGGACATGACAAATATCTCCCTCGTTATAACACAAAATCCCTTCCAAAAGTCAAGTCTAAAGCCATGCTGTGTGTTTACTCTTCAGTCCCAAAAGGTAGAAAAGCCCTACTTGTTTGGTCATGTTGTACTGAGGCTCAATTGAGGCGTGCCCCCCAAATGCCGCGTCCAGCACTCACGCCTAGCCATTCGCCGTAGTCGTGACCTTGAAGGTGTGGCGTCCATCCTAGGTTGCCAACCTCGTAATCGCATTCCCAGCTAGCGACGGGGCTTCGCGTGTTTTCCTGAGACCCATTGGAGGGAACCATGGAAGAACCCGAGTTGATGAGGTCCCAGATAAGAACCTGGCAGTCGTCGCCACCGGAAGCCAACGTGCCACGTCGCAGAGGCGACCACTCTAGACAGTTTATCGACCCGGTATGGCCGTGAAGCTCCAGGAGAGCCTGACCTGGCTGCCGTACGTCAAGGACGCGAATAATATTGGAGTCTTGGGCAAAGGTAGCCAAGAGATGGGTATCGTGAGGTGAAGTGGCAAGACGTAGCAGGGGCGGAGGGTTAGCCATGGTTTGCTGGGCTTGTGTAGGACTGGTGCGTCCTGAGCCATCAACTAAAAAGAGTTAGCGCGACACGATAGCAGGACTATGTTCAGGAGATCTTACGTCGGTCATCCTTTCCCGTGGGCTCGTAGATAATGGTAGAGTGCTCAAGGCTGCGGAGATCAAACATGCGTACACTGCCGTCTTGACCACAGCTGACAAAGACGTCAACACTGTTGGCGCAGAACCTCACATCATAGACCTCCTTGTCGTGCGCGATTAGTTGTGTCTTGGCAGTCAATGAGGGAATGTCCCAAATTGTACAAGTAGTGTCGATGCTGGAGGTGATGATGAGGCTGGGGGAGACGGTATTCCAGTCGAGAGACGTCAGAGGAGCGGTGTGGTCTGGCGTCTTCGAGTTTGACAACAACGCGAGAGGCGTCAGCTTGGCGGCGGCCGGATCTCGTGGACCACCTCGTGTAATATTATTTCCTGGGTTTGATGGTGTATCGGAGGGCAAAGACCATAGTCGGAGATGGTCACCCGAAGTCGCCAAAAGATCTGTAGACTGCTTCTGCGATGATGGTGGTTCCCAGAGGAGTCGGGTTACGGGGTACGAGTGTGTAGCTTCGGCGAGCTTTGTGAATTCGAGACTGTACTTGGAAGTGCCGGGGGTGTAGGCGTCTTGAGGCGTGGGTACGACGTGAGAGTCGAGAATTTGAATCTAGATTGGTTAGCTTAGCGTCGGCTTGGGGGGTATAGAGTACATACAAAATTGTGCCCATCTTCAAGATAGCTGCCAACAGCAATCTTGCCAGCACTGTTGCCCTGGGGTCTCCATTTGCACCAATCAAAAGCATAGACGGCCCAGGGTGCGAGGTAATTGCTGGGCCCGGGTTGGGCGCTTGCAAGGTCGTAGCCCATAGCGTTGGGGGAGCCGTCAGACATGCTGGAGTCGGCGCGGGGACGAATGTCGGCCAGACCCAATGGCGTGTTTGCGATGTTGCGCTGGGAGCCGGGAGGGCCATACTTGCCCGCATCAGGGCCCGAGACGAACTGCGACGCGGAGCCGCCTGGCGTGGTGGGAGTGTAGGCATGGTACGGGGACGAGGAGGCCGCATCGTAGCCGGCTGCGGGGCTGGAGCGCGAGTAGTTGTGGGAGAGGCTCAGCGGGGGCTTGCCGGCGGGCGAGATATCCTGCATCGGAGACTGCTGCTGGGACTGGGACTGCTGCGGAAGGCCATGCTGGCCGTGCTGAGGGGGCATCGAGGGGTGCATGCCGGGCATCTGAGGTGTGGTGTTGGAGGACATTGGGTGCGGGTGAGGATGCGGGCGCGATGCCATGCCACCAGGTTGCAGGACGTTGGGAACGGCCGAGATGGCGGCGCTGGCGCTGGCAGTCGCAGAGAGACGCTGGGGCGGCGCAGTCAATGGCGGCGGTGCGTGGTCGAATTTGATCTGGGGATGATAGTCGCGAAGAGGAGCTGCCGACATTTGCGAGCCTGCGGCCATATGCAGCTCGTCGTGGGAGCTGTCGTAGCGCCCCATGGTAGGCTGGTGCGGTCGCGTTGAGGGCGGCTGCTGTGATTGGCTCATTGGATTGGAAGGGATGGGGGCGAAGGAGGAGGGATGAGGAAAAGCGTGCCAGCCAGCCAGCCAGCAAGCAGGCAAGCCAGCACCAGGCCAGCGGGTTTTAGGCGGTAAGGAGAAGAAGAAGAAGGGTGAGACGAGCGGCGCTTGCTGAGTTGTCAACGTCTCGCTGAAACAAGCTGGGAGATGACAATGCGTGCGCGCTTTTCGACTCCCAACGGTCGTGCAGCTTGCTTTGCTGGTCAAGGTAGGTAGACGCGACAAGCTATAACTAGGCGGCAACGGCTTTGCTCGATCGGCTCGTGTGATGAGGAAAGAAATGACGAAACAAAGCGGGCGCCGACTCGTTGGCCAAGATTGACGAGACTTTGATGGATGGGGCCTTGCCTTGGGCAAAAAACGCAAGCAGTTGTCCTTGTCGTGTCGTGGTCCTCCTTGGCCTCTGCCTACCCAACTGACGAATGCCTACCTACATAGGTACTTGACCCTGTATATGATCGTCTATTTTTGGTGGGCCGCGAGTTATTATTCTGCGAAAATCGCTATATATTTACGGTACTAATACAATATTATTTTCGTCATTTAGTTGAGGTAGCCAAGTTAGCTGCTTCTTCAATTATTCATGGTAAATGCATGTAGGCATCTATCTGCTTTCCTTTGCAGGCTCAGGTACCTCTTCACTGCGAAGTGGTGCCTGTACTTGGCACTGTGGTACAGCTGGCGGACCATCAGCATCAAATGGTTGCTTTCATGCGAAACGCTATCATTTGAAAGAAAAAAAAACCATCATAGAAGTAAACATACCCTGCATCACAATTCCCATATACCCTGGCCTGCACAGCGTAATAATAAATGCAGAGCTGTTTCCCTTCAGGTGAGATATGTACCTTGTACCAACCAGGCCTTCCCGCAGCCTCACCTCACAACTTGGCAGGCACATCTGGACTCTGGCACATGCTACTCCCCACTCCTACACCTTGACCTCGTGAGCACTTCTGTTCATCTGCCACGACGTGATATTGGCTCTAATTCACCCCGCCTTCTGTCTCTTTGTGATACAATCTTCTCATGCAATCATGCAATGATGCTCTAGTACTTGCGATCCTGCTTGTTTCGTCCGCGACGCGCCTACCCGACGGTGATCGACATGTCTAACTCGTCCATATTGGAACGCCTGTCCAGTCCCCCTCTGCGGTCCCCGATACTGTCCGCGTTTCGCAGTCCGCCAGCCCGATCGTCGACCGAATATCAACTCCAGGGGCTTGATCCGAAGCCTGACTATCCCGAGATGTCGCGGGACTATGGTTACGACAGCCCAAAGCATCCCCAGCCCCCCTTTACGGACCAGTCCACCGATGGCTGGAGCAACGATGCGCCGAGCTCAACTGGGTCGCCGTCTACACCAAAACGGCGCGCTATGTTCCATGGGCCTCCTCCTCCTATTGCCAGTTCTGTTATGAAGAGCAATCGATCACAGACAAGCTCTGACGCCGGCCGATCTCCGGGCATCGTCGCCTCCAGCACCGCCCAACTAGGAAGCCTTCTATTCCATCCGCCCCGTCAACAAAGTCGCGCCCGCCCAGACTCGGCATGGCGTGCGTTTGGTCGCAGAGAACAGGCCATTGAGCAAGAAATCCAGCAGCTACTTGACCTTCAGGCTACTGGATTAATTGCCGGCAGCGGCAGGTTGCCAGAGGAGGGGGACGACTTCAGTGGCACCGGCAGTAGCACACCAACAGGGACCTTTTACTCAACAGCAACATCAAAATCGAGAATGATCAACTCGCTCCACGTACCAGCCCGATCCACGAAAGAGGGAAACCTCATACCAGTGCGGCAACCCACCGGCGGTAAACCTCTCGGTCTCAGGTCAGCTAGAGCTGGCTTACGCAAGGCCATGGCGGCACTAGTAGAACTCAAACGAGAGGAGGATGCGCATGTTGATACGGCACTCTCAGAACGCAAGAAGGCTCTTATACACCTCTCGCGGTTATCAACGAAGCGCAACGGTGTCAGCAACGAGCTCCACGAGCTCGAAGACAATGAAGAAGAGCCTTTGGGCAAAGAGATTCGAGAGCTAGGATCGAAATATGATTCCCTGACGCAAGGAATCAGGCAGCTTGAGGTGAAGCTCATGGCAATGCGAAACCAGCGCAAATTTGTCAGAGAAAGGATTGACGACGTCCAGAATCGACGTGATGCAGGGCTAAGTGGCTATCGCGGTGCTCTCAAATCCATTGACAACGAGCTTCAATCAATAATGATGCACCCGCCGATTCAGCCGCTCGACCCAGAGGTTTTCTGTCCTCCCGGCTCTGCTGCGAACGAAACGGAAAGCCCCGGAGGCCTGGAATTCTTGGGTCTCATTCCCGAACGCCGAACACCTGCCATGGCCAAGTCATGGTGGGAGCAGGAGCTCAGCGTACTGGACAGACGCAGACTTCAGATCAGCAAGGAAAGGCAGGCTCTAGAGGAGGGTAGTGCCGTCTGGAGTGAGGTAACAAAACTAGTAACAAGTTTTGAATCGAGCTTGCGGCACCTAATGAAGATTGGTGCGCCACAAACCCCCTCATCAACTAAAGGAAAAGAACCCCTACTTTCACAAGAAAGTGTCATTCACGGGCAACTGGCAAAGATGACTGAGGTTGTCGCGCAGTTGGAGGCATATTTGCGTCAGGCCGAGTCTGAAGGCTGGAATCTGCTGGTATGCGCCGTCGGAGCTGAGCTGGAAGCATTTCGTGAAGCCCAAGATATGCTTCAGGGCCTTTTTGAACAAGACGCGTTATCGGAACCAACCTCCTCACAAAACGATGCACATGACAAACAACATCATGCAAGCGGGGACGTAGAAGAGAGCGATAACGAAGTTCCACCGGACCTCCTGGGATCCACTGACGGCGCATCCCAGACCGAAAATCTGGCCTCAGATGATGTGGGAGAACATATGGCAGAGCTCAAGAGAGTTGACAGTGAAAACGATGTCCCGCCTGAATTCTTGGCTGCGCTGGATAAGGGGGAATAGTTGAGCGTATAGCTGGTGCTGTAATGACTTACGCAACCGTTTCTTGTTAGCGATAAAGCATTTAGTTCAATAACATATAACTTCACTTAATCTCACGACCTTTTTGAATCTACTATTTTATGGCGGGAAAACCACACTCACTCATAGAAAAGTTTGCCCTCGGGTGTGTTTGCGAGGCTGATGAGCAGGGTGGCAAACTGGCGAACAAAAAAAAACTCCATATCTCGTAAGATGTTCCTAAGCTTTGCGTACATGTGGTAAAAACAGGGTTCCCAAGAAACGCCGAAAAGAATATACTTGGCACACGATCAGCTGCTATATCCTAGCTCTGGCCCCCGAGTCGAAGCTCTGGCAGCACAGTGAAGCAGAGTGCGCGGCGGTCGCGGCCTCATGTAAAGTTGAGTAGCGAGGGGTTTCAATCCATCAGCCCAAAATTTGTGAACAAAAGATTCCGGCCTTGCGCCGTTCCCAACCCGCCGTCTATCGCGTGCGCTCAAAGAAGCTGCTTGAGCCGGCAATGGCGACGGACTGGTCCATGACCCATTCGCCGAGGCCGAGGTACTTGTCGATCCACTTGTTGGCCTCCTTGTTGTCGCCGGCGACCTTGTCCGTCTTGAAGCTACTCACGCTATCTCGTTAGCCGGCACCGTGTTCGCTCGCCGCCGCTCGCCCACGGCTCCCTAGATCGAATATCGTTTCGGACTCACGTCAAGCCGGTCGATCGCTTCATGCCCGCAAGAAATGCGGAGACTGCGGGAGATGACAGGTTAGCTTTTTTTTTTATTTGGTGTTGGGAGCGCAGGCAAAAGGAGGGGCGGTATACGTACTCAGGACCGCGTCAAAGGCATAGTGTGTCAATCGTCCGACCTTTGACCATAGCCCGAACGTCAGTAGGTTGAGGAGCTGTGAGAAGCAAGATCGTCTTAGACAAAGAGCCCCAAAAGCATAATGAATGCGAAAAAACATATCATATCAAGGGCGGAGCACGCAGCCTCTCTTACAGAGAGAGAGGCCGACGTCCGAACCACGTAGTGGCCGGTCTTGCGATGCGATCGCGAGGTCGGTGGAACACAGCCACACAGAGGTTGCCACACAGGGAGCTGGAAGTATGTGTACTTACAACCATCTTTGCGATATTAAAGCTATAGAATAAGATATCCGGTCTCAATCGTCTCGTGAAGATCGTGGCAAGGTATGTAGTCGATGGGCTTCGAGATGCGAGAGGTGATGATGGGTGGTTGCGTGGGCTACCCTTCCTCGGGCGGAGTTGTGGTGCCAGCTTGTGGCGGGTGACTTGCGCTGCAAGTGGAGAAGCTAAGCTTGTTTGCAGCAGCTTTCACGTAATGGCACGTGCACCTGTTGACGGGTTGTGGCTTGAGAGTTGTGTGGCACAGCACGTTCTGCGTTGGACATACTGAACTGGACAAAAGAGACTTTGGTAAACAATACCTTGGCTCATTCCTCATGCGTCGCAGGTCAAAAGACCGTTTTGTGCCAGAATCACAGCTCAAAAGGCTTGGTGTGGTGATGAATCAGGGGAAAGCAGCCTCGGCAAGTCTTTGAGCGCAACGCGCATACAGAAAAGCTCGCTTCTTCTACCCTATTCCTTAACAGCCCACCTTGGGGATAGAAATCCTATAGAAGATCTCTTCCACGTTGCCGACAACATGCCACCGCCTTACACCCAAGTGCAGCTCAAGGACATGCGGTCGGACTTAACTGTGCTTTGCAGCAAAATTCAGCCATCGAAGTTCCCATCTTTCTCGTGTCAACTTGTGCATTCATGGGCAGCTGCTTTGAAAAGCAGTGGACCATGAGAATTCCATCTCACAGGTTGAGGTCTGGATAACTTGATGCATCGGCATCAGGCGGCCAGTGAATGACCTCGAATCAGTACCAGACTTTTCCAAATTGACATTCCGCTCCGAAAATCGTAGAGTTACCTGCCCTTTGGGAGCCACCGTGGTGTGACTGTTCTTTCCAGTGTTGGTTGCGCATCCTTGGATGGTGGCGTCGAGTCTTGGGTGTTCTCGGCCTCTTGGCATTTCTTCAGATTACAGATGCTACGTGTCGAAGGAGGGAAAACCCGAGAAGATCAGAAAATAAAAGGCAAGAGAGCAAACAGTTCTTGTCCTATGAAAAGCGCGGCTGCTCCAACTCTACAGACGCGGAAGGCAACACTAGGAGCAGCCCGGTGAGGCCACTACTAGCTATACTCTAAGCACAGTTTGTATGAAAGAAGACAAAATAATTGATGTTAATTGAACTATGAAAAATGATGGAAATGATCATGTTGACAACAGAACGCCGGAAAAATACGCCCATTTGTTTCCTAACAAATGAGTGCGAATATCATTTAATTAGCATGCAGGAGCATAATCTAATCATGTTTGCTCAAACAGAAGCCTGCATGCCATTTGATAAAGTCGTTGGCGATAGCATTCAACAACTCCTCCACTTGCTCCGAAGAGTATTCTAGTCGTTCCATGGCTTTGTACTCGGCATCCAGCTCTGCCAGTGTCATTTCCTTCACCGGCGGCTTCCCACCCCAATGCCTGTCGATGGTCTCCATATAGCGGTCATTAAGCGACGCGACGAGCCTAACACTTGTCGCGAAAAGCTATGCAGTCGCAGGGTCGTCCGATGGCCGCAGCGTGCTGTTGTGTCTTGCTGCGCCAGTGTGAGCTCTTCGGCTGTTCTGACGTTGTACAGCCGCTCGAATTTGGCGCCGGTCATTGCAGCATCGGTTCTGCCGCGGTAAGAGGTACGCGCAACCTCAGTAAATGGTTTTCTCACTTCTGTTCGCACGTAGGTGACGGATAACTCGGATTCGGAAGCCATGTCAACGGAGATGGGAAATGGCTCGAATTGGCTCGAGGCCAAACAGCATGCTGCGGTGCCACGGAGTGCAAAGAATGGGACGAACAATAACATCTCCAAGGGAAATGTACAATGAATGTGCAGAAATTCAAGGTCGTGGATAGGTTCTCAAACCTCGATCAAAAATTTGTAACGTTGGCAACCCTTGTTGTAGTTGGCACTTGTAAACGCGCCACCTTTGAGGTTGCTTACCCCTCCTCGTCATCTAAAGGAGACAAAACATTGCCAAAACCGAGTTAGGTAGTACTGTTAACTTGACGAACGGCACAGCCCAGTCGTTGTTTGCCTCGACGCATTGTCGCCAAAGGCGTACAGTGGCCACAGGCTGCTCAGCTCCTACCCTGGAGCAAAAATGCACTGCACAGGAAATGCACATGATTGCGCGAACGTGAACAGCAGTATTTAGATAGAGGAAAAGGAAATGCTTAACACGGTGGACGCAACCAAGCAGTTTTACGGAGCATTGCCTTTGTTTAATCTGCCTGCCTTCCATGGTGTGGTGAGCGTCTCCCAACAACGGACACCACCTCCGGCACCCCTCTCGGAACCATCCGCCATGCATTGTTGGGTACCCTTTCTCATCTGTCAAGTTTGCCCAGGCAGTTACATGCCAAGACTACTCTCGTACTTTTCTTCTCACCCCGTAGTAGGATCTTTTTGTGGTTGGTTCTCGCAATCGCAATGGTTGGAGATGGATGACTGGCTGGTGGTGGGTTGCTGGCTTGGCCAGAACAAACGCTCCTCCGCAACCACCCTCCTTGCCAGGTTCCTCCATCGCGCATCGTATCATTCGCAAGATTTGTCGACCCCGCGACCAATTACGATTGACGCCCCTGTCAAGACCTTGATAACCATCGCCGAGACTGGCAGGTCGCCGAGATGAAGGCCAAGCAATCCAGCCTGAGATTGGGGTAAGGCTGCGGCTGACAACGGCCACGTCGCCATCGCCGAGGAGCATTGAGTCTTGTCCTTCATCATGACATTCGACACCATATTCTCCTTTTCCTTTCGATCCCGATTGCGAATTTGAATCACATCGGAATAAATGACTCGTCGAGCTGTTACGACATACGGCGCACCGGCCAACGCCCCCGCGGCCCAGGAGCCGCTTGCGCGAGAGCCTCCCCGCACGGAGAGCCGCCCGAGCCATAAGCAGTTGTCGTCGGCGATGCGCTGTCTTGGGATCTCGCCTGCCTCATTGCGCAGCTCGCAGCGCCATGAATACGACGACGATGACTGCACATCTGCGCGAGCCGCCTCCAGAAAGTTTTACACAATCATCACGTCCGACCTCCTGATCCCCGGCGACGGCGAGCCTCTCCCAGACAGCGCCATCGTCGTGGAGTCGGCGATCATCGTCTGGGTCGGGCCGCGCGACCGCATTCCCCCGTCGTACCGGGAGGCCCGGCACCGGCTCCAGCACGTGCCATACATGATGCCCGGCCTCTGGGATGTGCACGTGCACTTTGGCGCCGCCAGCGAGGACCCGGAACAGGCGGCCAAGACGTGGACGTACGGGCCGCTCGCCGAGCACCCTGCCACGCAGGGCGCGCGCCTCGGCCGCGAGTGCTGGCGCGCGCTGCAGATGGGCTACACGTCGATGCGCGACTGCGGCGGGCTCGGCTGCGAGCTGGCTGCGGCCATCGACGACGGCGCCATCCCCGGCCCGCGCGTCTACAGCGCCGGCGCGTACATCAGCCAGACGGCCGGCCACGGCGACCAGTTCAACATGCCGCCCGGCGACGCCTTGCTGCGCATGGGCGTCGGCAGCGTGCGCCCGGGCTTCTTCTGCGACCAGACCGCGGTGCTCGCCGACGGGCCGGACGAGTGTCGCAAGGCAGTGCGGCTGCAGGTGCGCCGCGGCGCGCGGTGCATAAAGATCATGGCCACCGGCGGCGTCGTGTCCCTCGACGACGACCCCGACGCCGCGCAGTTCAGCGCCGACGAGATGCACGCGCTCGTCGACGAGGCGCGGCGCATGGGCCGCGCCGTCGCCGCGCACTGCCACGCCAAAGCCGGCATCCTCGCGTCCATCCACGCCGGCGTCACCACCATCGAGCACGGCTCCTTCGCCGACGAGGAGTGCGTCGCGCTGATGAAGGAGCGCGGCGTCATCTACGTGCCCACGCGCCGTGCGGTGACCAACCTGCTCGAGTTCAAGGACCAGCTGCCGCGCAAGGTGCGCGAGAAGCTGGAGATGGTGGACGCGCGGCAGCTGGCGGCGTACAGGCTGGCGGTGGCGGCGGGCGTGAGGATCGCGATGGGCACGGACACGGTGCCGGGGGGCGTGCGCGGCGTGGAGATCCAGCACGGCGTGGAGGCGGGGCTGACGAACCTGCAGGCACTCAAGGCGGCGACGGCGACGGCGCCGCTGACGCTGGGGAGGCAGGGGCCGAGGTCCGGGCAGCTGAAGGTGGGCTACGACGCGGACGTGCTGGGCCTGACGGAGAACCCGGCCGAGGACGTCAAGGTGCTGCAGAGGGGCGAGGTGATCAAATGGGTGTGGAAGGGCGGCAAGCTGTTCAAGGGGCCTGGAGTTGGACCTTGGGGGGAGGAATGAGAGCCAGACGGCATTTATGACATCTGCTAATGTACAAGGGCATCTACTTTTCAACGAACAATGTCAGTTCTGAGAAGCGGCAAGTATCACGGTCATGGCTGGTGAACCCGCCGTAAGAATGGTTCGTGCCAAATCGCTGAGCTATGTACAATTTCCTCGCTCCGTTCATATTCGCAGTGTTTAGTAGCTGCATGTATTTCAAAATCTCCATGTCAACATTGCGCTTCCTCCATGTTATACTGTTGCCTGCACCACATGGTACGCCTTACTAAGGTGGCGCCCATATATGATCCAGTTTACTGCACAACTTTAGACCTAGGAAGAAGGCTTGTAAATATTCTTGGAAACGGCGTATTCCCTGCTCGTCTCGCTGCCCCCCTTCGCACTGGCCTCTTTGAAGTTTGTCACGACCATCCCCATCACCCCCCTCGTACCATGCACCGCTCCCCTGACGACGGCATTCTCGCCATTTCCGATCGACAAAGACTCCGTGCTAATCGTATAGTTGCTCTCTCCAAGGGGAGCCTCTGTTCGGACAATGTTGGTTAGTTTTCTTCCGGTGGGTCGGCGCTCTATAAACTTGCTTGTCAAGTCAATCGCCGCAAAGGGTCGCCCGCCGAGATAACCAAACGGCAGCGAGTTGTCGGTCCCCGAGAGCTCCAGAACGTAGTCCCAGGTGTATCCAGGCTCGCTGTTCATGGTGACGGTGACTGTGATGTCATCGCCGTGCCGAATGGTCTTTGGCACGGCGAAGGAGACGAGCCCGGCCTGGACGGGCGCGGCGACGAAGTAGAGCTTGGCAAGTGAGGACAGCTTCATAGTTGCAGAAAAGGGCTAATTCCTTGATAGAGGGTCGGTTATTCTCAGCCTCGACTGAAGGCAGCGATCGGGAGGGTTATATAATGGGTTGGTGTGTGTATAATGCAGCCTCGGCCCCGACGTAGCCTGATTGCGTAACTACGAGGCCGGAGCAGATAATACGACCCATTTGTGTTTCTAGATGATATAAATTATATTTATTGCGCGAGATCTATCACAATGTATGAACCAAACATACTGACAAGGTCGTTTGTAACTTCGCGACCCCAGGACAAGGTAGCGGCATCTCGTATGAGTCTACAGAGTCTATAGATGCAGTCAGTCAAGTAGCTCTATAGTAGCGTCATAGTGCCAAAAGGAGAGAAAAAGGAAGCGGGACAAAGTTAATGGGGACAAAAATGTCTCCGAGCTGTAATTGCCCCGTTGCCCCGCGAGTGTTCATGTTAGGCAGGTCTCGGTGTGTTGCATCATGGCGCACAGCGGCCAGGCCTCGATCCGGTATTTTCGCCCGTCTAGGGAGACATTGAAGGACAAATCGGGCGAGGCCGTAAAAGGGCAAAAGCGGCATTTATGCAGTTTAAAGAGGCTCCGATTAGAGTATTGGAGTCAAAGGCCATCTCGAGCTGCAGGAGGCTGCGGGTTCGATCCGGGAATTGCCTAATGAGGAAATATTGGCACCTCACTCACTAACCTGCAGCATTGAGTTCTTTTGTGCGCCAATAATTGCCCATATTTCTCGTGGCCGAGTGTTAGTAAATAAATTTAATAAATACAAAATTGATTAACAAGTATTAATTTTCTTGGCCTCTGTCTGCAACACTCGCTGAAATGTGGGTGACTCGACTGGACTGCAATGTCTACGAAGAGCACACTGCCTGCATTAGCGTAGTCAAAGAATATTTTTGGTCATTACTGGAACTTTTGAATAAAATCGTTGACGACAACATGGCCAATCCAAATCGACATCAAGTCGTTGATGGTTTTTGAATATGAACTATACAATGGACTGCTGCACCTGCAGAGAACTAAATCACACATGCCTCCCTTGACCATTGGCCCCCTTCCCTATTATATAAAATTTTTCGGTTCTTCGCCGGTGATATTCTCCCGACTTTCCATGCCGTTGAAATTGACGGGGCTGGCGCTTCGAAGAACCGGTGGCCCGATCTCGACGCCAGTCACCACCTCAGGCGGACTCGCCACCTTGACGAGCATGTTGGTCCTTGCAGCCCTGTTCCCCGTAATAAGGAGGAGCATTTCAAGTGAGCTGGTGTACTGGCCGAGCAAAAAGACGAACACGAGGCCCATTCCGAGACCCACGGCCAGCTCGAGCGACACGATCGAGCGGGTGAGGCAGAGCGTCACGCTGTTCAGGTCTGTGAAGCCGGTGGTGGCTGTTGGGAGGAGCAGCGCGAGAAGGACCTGGTTGCAGGCGTGCGAGGCCCACGTCACGAGGTTCGGCTTGACGGTCAACGACATCGGGTCGCCGGAGGTGAGCTGCGTTGGCTTGGCGATGAAGGAAAGAGCAACCGCAGCAATAGCAAAGATGAGCGTGAAGAGACTGAGAATCTACCAAGTGAGAAAACCGTTAGCATAGTGCGATGATTGCATTGGACCGGGACATGCGGCTTACACCATGGGCTGTGCGGAAGTGGCCTTTTGCTGCACCGGACAGGACGCCAAAAATGAGAATGAGAAGCAGAGACGGCGGCAAAACAAAGAGTCGGAATATCTTGCTCGCCTTGGCAGTCCGCCTAGTGAGAAGCACCGGGATGCGAAAGCGTGCAGCCATTGTCTGCATGCTGCCAAAGGTCAGGACCAGAGGCCAAATAATATACAAGGCAAGAACGGCAATGACGACTATTGTATCCCATGTTAGCTCAACACAATACTCGGACCGCCGGGTGAGATGAACTTACTGTGAAGCGCCAGGAGCACCGCATACGTAACAACCGGGCGACCATTGATGGTCAGCGTCGACGCCAGGCTCAGAGCCGACTGTCCCAGCTTGTCTGCGAGCTGCGTGCCGTCAATGGAAAACGTGTTTCCCCGCGATTCCACCTCGATGATGCCCTTTGGGATGAGTGACTTGAGCGTCTCCAGCGTGTTCCCGCTCGGCGTCTCCAGCGACACGGTGCCGCTCTTCTGCAGCCCCAGCGCGAGAAGGAACAGACCCGCGACGCCGTCGCACGTCAGCACGTCGATGCCCTTTTGCCCGATTGTCGAGACGGCCGACGCATCCACCAGACGGCTCAGGTTGAGCGGCGCGCCGGCGCCATCATCCTCCTGCCGACGACCGAAGACGGCCAGGTCCCGTCGCTGTGGGTTGCTCGAGCTGTTCGAGCCGAGGCCCTTGGCCAGTAGCTTCTGCAGGGTGACGACGCCGGACGTACCCAGACCCTGGCCGAGACCGATGGCCGCGCCGTTGGCAGAGTCGTTGAAGTCGACCTTTGTCTCCGGGATGGCCCCCGCGGGCGCCACTGCGCTGCCCTTGATGATGGCGTCGATGCCGCCGAGCGCCTGCACGCCGTCTCCCGCGCCGGTCAGCAAGCCGCGCGCCAGACCGTTGGCCACCCGCGGCACGTCCACGTTGGCGAGGAGCGAGCCGATGCCGCCGCCGTCCGTACCGCTGCCGCCGCTGCCGGACACGCTCTTGAGGAGCTCGCCGGCGGTGTTGTTCGCCAGCAGGCCCGACGTCAGCGACGCAGCGAAGCTCTGCGAGAGCCCCTCCGCGTCGATGCCGCCCATGGCGTCGCTACCCTCCGTCCCTGCCGCCGCGTCCTTGGCGGGCGGCGTGATGGCCGACTCGGGCTGTAGCCCCAGGCCGACGGCCGCGCCGATACCAATGCCCTTCCCGAGGCCGGACGCCACCGGCGTCGCAAACTGGGCCGCCAGCCCGCCCGCGTTCTTGACCAGCTCCTTGGTCAGCCCTGTGACGTTGAGCTGGCCCACCAACGAGTCGCTCAGCCCAAACGCAAACGTCGCCGCCAGCTCCGGCAGGTCCTTGAACGAGGTCGGCTTCGGCGGGGGCACGACCGCCTTGTTGCCCAGGTCCAGGCCCTTGGCGATGCCGAGGCCGAGCCCGGACCCGACGCCCGAAACGGTCGCGCCGAGGTCCACCGAGGGCAGCGCGCCCGCGAGGTTCTTGACCTGCGAGGTGAGGTTGATCTTGTCCGTGAAGGAGTTGCTGAGGCCAAAGGTGAACTTTTCCACCAACCCGGCCACGTCTGCCAGCGGGTTTGCCGGGTCGGCGCGGGCGCTCAGGTTCTTGTTGTTGTTGTTGTTGTTGTTGTTGTTGTTGGTGAGGCTGCCGGCCAGGTCCGAGAGGCCGAGACCGGCCGAGGCGCCGCTGCCGATGCCGCGGCCCGCGCCGAGGATGATGCCCCCGACGTCCGCGTCCGCCGGGATCAGGCTCGACAGGCTCGCGCCGCTCGCGTTGAGCGACCCCGTCAGGCTCTTGCTGACGCCAAACGCCAGGGTACCCGCAATCTTGGACAGGTCGATCGGGCCACCCGCTGCTGCGGCTGCTGGCGCCGCCGGGGTGCCGAACCCGCTGGTGTCGTTCTGGGTCAGCTTCAGGCCGAGCGCCGCGCCGGAACCAATGCCGTCGCCGACGCTCAGCGCGGCGGACGCGAAGTCGACCGGCGGCAGCATCGCGCCGAGGCTCTGCGCGCTGACGTTGAGGCTGCCCGCGAGCGCCTTGCTGAGGCCGAACGCAAAGGTGCCCGCGATGCCGGGTATGTCCGCGTTGCTCGCCGGCAGCGGCGGCCCCGCGTCCGTCTTGGTGAGCTTCAGCCCGCCCGCCGCGCCGGCGCCGATGCCCTGGCCCGTCGTCAGCGCGATGCGGCCGATGTCCAACCCACCGGCGGCCGGCAGCAGCGCGGAGAAGTTGACGTTTGACGTGAGCGCGCGTGTAGCGCCAAACCCCAGCGCGCCGATACCGCCCACCAGGCCGGAGCTGTTCAGCGCCGCGGGCGACATGCCCGCACTCTTGCTGAGACCTAGACCCACGGCGCCGCCACTGCCGATGCCGCTGCCGAGGGCGTCGGCGGCGTCGGCGAGGGAGGGCAGCTGCAGCGCGTTCAGGACGCCGCTGCCGGTGACGGCGCGGAGGGCGGTGGCGGTCAGGCCCATGGCGGCGTTTTGGATGATGGGGTTGAGGCCGGAGCTTTTCATGCCGTTCTCCTGCGCGACCTGCGCGCCGAGCGTCTTGGTCTTGTCGGGGGTGCTGAGGTTCAGGCCCTGGGCGGCGCCCTCGCCGATGCCGACGCCGCCGAAGAAGCCCGCGCCGGCGAGGCCGCTGCCGGTCGCGGAGAGGAGCTTGTTGAAGATGCCGCCCATGGCCTTGCCCATTCCCTCGACGGCGGCGCTGTCGGCTCCGGCGTCTCCATCACCACCGCCGAGAAGCTTGCCGATACCGCTGAGAAGTCCTCTCTTCGCAGCTGCCGGGTGTTGTGCCGCTGTTGATTTTTGTTCCGTATCATGGCCATTGTTGGTGGTGACGAAGGCGAGTTCTGACAAGACCCTTGTGACCATGCTCTCCCGCTCCTCGCCTGAGTTGTCGTTCTCCTCCGGAGCGGCCCTCCTTTTCAGCTCCAGACGGTCGGGCTTTTCCGTGTTGTCGTTGACGGTGCGAATGTGGCTGTCCAGGTCGTTTGAGAGCATTCTCAGCTCCGAGCACCCGTACCTGTCGGCGGCTTCCCGGGAGGCGTCGCTGAACATGCTGACCAGCGCCATGTACGTCCGCCGTAATTGCACGTCGCGTACTTGAGGAAATCGTACCGAATCCTCCCCGCTGCTCAAGTCTTCCAGCTCATTGTAGAGGGAGCTGTCCTGAGCCAAAGCCACCTGTACTGTGCCCAGCAGCAGGCAAAGCCCACACACCAAAAGGCGAACTGCGCGAAGGAGGTTGATGCACGCCATCCTGCGGCTGAAGAATCGTTATTTCCGAAGCGCCAATGGTACGTCGACCAGCGACGGGCGATTTGTATCGTATCGTATTGTATCGTCGGATGGCAAGTTCAACCTGGGCAACCTGCTGTATCCTTCAGTCCTCGTGATGAACAGTCGAGCGAGCACTACTATAGGCATGTAATGCCTCGCATAACACTACAACCTTTCCCATGACTCTTGCAATTTTATTTTAAATAGTTACATTATCCTCTATTTGTACCATCTGAATAGCCAGGCCACGATGGCGGAGCGAGTCGCGCGGTGTTTCTAGCTTCCGTGGTATTTTGAGCTGAAACAGCAGGCCCGCGTTTGAGATTTGCATGGATCGCGTTTCACCCCAGGTTCTCAATTTATCTAGCACAGATACTCTACGGTATGGCACATCACGCCTATAACACGTTCCCGCTTATTAACGACTATCTATGGAACCCTGATGCACGAAACTGAGCCGCATAAACAACCTGTCAAACCAGCCCCTTGGCCCCGGCCCCGGCCTCGGGACGGGTTGTTTAGCCTAATAACGCTGCACCCCGTTGCATAATCTGCCCGGTTCTATAGCCTATGATGTGCTCTTGAACTGAGACCAATTCCTCCGGCGGGCTAAGTAACGTCAACTTCCTGTCATTGTTTCGCCGACTTGCCGCCTGTCGGCAGTGCCATCTTGGTAGATTGGCCACGAAAACGCCGTACTTTCGAAACAATGCTAACACATCAGTGACGATTATAAAACCGAGCTGGAGTATGGATGGTGAAATAAATGCCTTCATTTTGAGGATATTCTCTTCATTTCACCTCGCTGCAGTTTCAGCAAGTTTGGCCTCATCAACCATTTGGGCAGGGGACAGTCGAGACTACAATTACTGTCCGACCAAGACACATAATGGTCTGACTTGGCCATTAAGCCTGTCTCTTCGCTTATTCTAGCATTAATGAAGCCTTGCTTATATTTGTATGTCGTGTGATCATTTTTAGTCTACTTGCTGCTGTCTTTGGAGATGTTTCCCAGCATTTCTTCACACAGCTAGTCTATCTAACATTACCATCATCTCTGTAGAGAAGAAAGAGAGAAGACAAAACAAAACAAAAAGGGAGAAAAAAAGTAAAAAAAAAAAAAAAAGAAGAATCGAAGATCAACAGAGAATCTCCAGCGCTCTAGATGCCTAGGTAAAACGGCCAAGAAGATCTGACAGCCCTGGCCAGCTTCAGAATGATATCGTCTACAATGGCGCCACTCCTGATGCACTTCCTCGATGGTTCCTCGGGCCGCCACATTGCCAATGTGGCTGCCGTCATGGTCGCAGTTATTGAAGTCGAGAAACTGGGGGACGGTTAATTGAGTCGGCAATCCATCCGTACGAGACGAACGTGGCGCAGCGCGGGCTGTTGTGCTTCAACACGACGAGCCCAGCGCCAGCGTCGTCGTCCCCCGGAAAAGCCCCATTCCGAGCGGTTGAGGCGCGGGGCTTGATCCAGAAACTTTTCTCGGGTTTGAGTTTCTGGCTGATATATCCCGAGGTAACCTGCGTTGAGCTGCCTGCATGTCGTCCGGATGGAGGTTTCTGCAACTGGCCGCCGTCAAAGCCTTACTACATCTTCTCTTGTCGATATCCTCCGCAACTGTGAGACGCAATCATACACTGGTCTGATTCAAAGGTGGCTCCTTTGCCTATCGGTGTTCCCCTTCCGCTATGCATTATTAATCGTTACGAAATGTCATTTATGATGTGCAAAAGCTGCCAACCTGATAGACAATCAAGGAATTCTATTCCGGACATCTAGGTCAACTAACAAAATCCGGATAGTAGGGTGGCAATAAGATGAGTGTCAAGAAAGGAATATACGTACATACACATCTGAGGAAGCCAGATCTATTCGTAAATATCCAGAGAACAGGGTCCTCCCAGTCCACGGAGCCGTCGCTGTTGTACCACTTGGCGCACGGCGGAGTGATCCTCTCGTCAAAGCGCATCTCCGGCTCATGAGTAAAGGCGCCCCATCTTTCCGGGAATGGGTCGCTGAGGGCCGCCGCTATGGGAAGTATTGCAGCTACATTTGCGCGTCTCAAATCGATGGGCATCCTGTCTGTGGAGGGATAGCAGATGTAGGAGTGGTTGGTACAAGTTGTTGGTTCAAGTGTTTGGTGGCCAGCAAGTTGAGGTTCTGAGACTATTTATATGAGCAAGATTCACTGGAAAATATAAATTGAAAAATCAATATTGAGCCCAATTCTATGAAGGCCAAATGGGCTTTTTCAGCAGACGCTCTGCACCGTCATGACTCATTGCTTCTGGATCCCCGACCACGGCCATAGTTGCTTAACTCTCCTGTCATTCTTGGGAAATATCATCTTCTCTAACGGTGCTATTCATTAATTTATTCGAGCTATAGGAGTCCCTGGAAATTACCAGAGCTATTGGTGATCCCACTTAGATCACCCCAGTTGCGCGTATCCATGCTCCTTGTACCTTTTCCTCGACGGTGAACACTCATCGTACAGTATTGATATGCTTGACTTTGACTCATCTAGGCTCTTCTGTTTGAGTCCGGGATATATTACTTCTTCACCAAGCGGGAATTCTACCCTTCATGGCTGCGGTATTCCATCTCGGGCCCGCAGCCCCGAAGGGGTTGGTTGATGTCGAGGACAGCACATGCCACCAAAACGCCTTTATCGGCATGAAGCTCTGACAGTAGTATCAAGGGTGATTGTCACTTTTAATCACGTCCTGTACCGACATCCATGTTCATTTCTTCATAAACAATCTCACAAACGCCCAAATTCATCACACATGAGACAAGCGGCATCACAACACGGACAAACTACCCACAGAGATTCGGCTCCAGATATGGCTTCTCACCATTCCCGACGACGAGGAAGAGGTCTGTCTGCCGTGGCCTTGCGACCGCCCCGACAGCACGGACGAAGTGGTCGAGTCCATCGCTGATCTTCCCGTGCTACCCCTTACCGTCTATGCGGGATTCCCCGTCGCCATGCACGTCTGCCGAGAGTCGCGCGAGGTTGTCTAGAACCAAAGACTCAGTGGTGTGCGTTTCCGCGCGTCTCACACGGCGCAGTGCATAACGCCGTTTCAGCGCTTTCGCCCAGAGCTCGACGGTCTATAATTCGATCAAGAGTCCGTATAGCATCTTAACCTCTTCCTAGACCCGAGCCACTCCAGCTTAGCGGGGGTGCAGGGTGCGGACCGCCGCTGAGCAATAAGATTTCGAGGAATTCATGGACATTTTAAGCCGTGTTAAGCGACTCACTGTCCACGTTGTTAGGATGGGGCTTAACAATGGAGGCTCATGCACCGCCGTCATCTACGACTTCTTCATATACCACGTCAAGCAGCCGGAGAGCGTCGCCTCCGTGCTCCCGTACACCACACTGTAGGCATTTCCCCGTAAGGACCTCCCCGATCGATTCGTCGGACTGGGAAGGCGGTGCCGGCTAATCACTGTACCTACTCCCATGGACAAGGCGTTGCTGATCGAGCAACGGGGACGTCGTAGGGGTCCCCATTACGCCGATGGAGGCTTCTGCTGAGGCTTACGGTCATATAGAAACATAGTGCAAAGATGAGCGGGAGGGGG